GAGTTCATAGCTATATACTAAGCGCTCAGCAAGCAGTATTAAAGACACTACTGTAAAAGAAATTAATTTCCAATAACAATCCTCACGGATCACCGGAACATCACCTACTTTATAACAACGCAAGAACTATCTCGCAGATAAGTCAAATATTATAAGCAACTCTCCGAGTTTAAACTCTTAATCAGATACTGCAGTAATTCAGATAACGGATGCGCTAATGCACTTAGCAGACGTCTAAACTACTTCTAAGAAATCCCGGAAGTAAAAGCATAAATACTGGAAAAGAATCAGTATAGCGACCTAGTGATTTAATTAATTAACACCATATACTAAATCAAAATAGATGATCTAATTATTAACGACATAAAGGAATACGTTAAGAACTAGGAAAACAAACAATACCCAGAAGGTATTTCTATAGACATAGGATACCCAACACTAAATAGACTCATCTAGGTACCAGAAGACTTACAAAGCAAAGTAGTAAAATCAGTTTACGCACACAAGCTCAACAGACACCGTAAAATCCGAAAAACCATACAGCAGATCATACAATACTTCAAATTCAAAGGTATTAAGAAATAGGTACAGAAGGTTATATTAGAATACATAACATACAGACAAGCCAAGGCATTACACCATCTTCCTTATAGAAAACTACAACCCCTACTAGTTCCAGTTAGAAATTAGGAATCAATAACGTTCAACCACATTATAAAGCTTCCACCTTCAAAAGAACCTATAACCAGCAGTACTTAGGACAGCATCTTCGTAGTAGTCGACCAACTCTCGAAAATAGCCTACTTTATCCTAACAAAAGAATAAAGCTCTGCAGAAGACTTAGCTTATATATTTTTCCAATACATCTATATAAACCATAGACTGCTAAACGAGATTATCTCAGACAGAGGATCAACATTTATATTAAAATTTTAGTAATTACTTATAGCAAGAATCAGACTAAAACATAAAGCCAGTACAGCTTACCACCCCCAGACGGATAGACAAACAGAATAAATTAACTAAATTATTAAAATATACTTACGGTACTACGTTAACTTTAACTAAGACAATTAGGTAGAATACTTACTAACTGCCTAAGTATCCTATAATAGTACACCGGTAGAATCTACGAACTACTTACCGTTTTACGCAAACTACGGGTTCAAACCAGATCTACACCAACCACCTATCAAAAGAGAAAATACCAGCAAAGCTATCATTATAGCTAACAAACTTAAGGAACTGCACTAAGAATTACAAATATAACTTAAATTCGTTAAAGAAAGAATAGCTAAATTCGCAGACACTAGAAAAATTAAAGGACTAACCTTTAAAAAAAGAGACATAGTCTACCTACTTTAACACTTACAAAATAATAAACAGCCAAACATCAAAACAAACAGGCCAAGCAACAAACTCAATTTTAAAAAACTTAGACCTTACAAAGTTACGAAGAAAATTGAACCTGTTAATTATAAAATAGATCTTCTACTCGCCCTAGGAAAACGAAGAAGAACTATATATCTGAATTTTCACATTTCACTACTAAAAAAAGCACTAGTAGATAAAGAAACAGGTGAAGTTATACAGGACGAAATTATTATTTAAGGCGAAGAACTTAAATACGAAGTTAAAAAACTTAAAATAATAAGATTTAATAAAGATACCCAATAAACTAAATACCTAGTAAAATAGAAAAGCTATAACGAAACGGAAAAATCATGGCAAACTATTAAGGACCTTAAATACTCAAAAGACCTTATAAACAACTTCCATCAAAGTTTAAGTCTAGTAAAGAAGGGTCAAAAGCGTTCTAATTAACAGCGTTAATCGCAGAACCCGCAATCACGGGATCAGTCGGATTAGGTAATAATAATACAGCCTAAAGAGCAGCCTCCGCCTTACGCTCCTTCTTTTCCAACTACTCCAGCTCCGCCAAATTATTAATACCCCGAGATACCGCACGCACCGCCTTTTTAGACCATTCCTTACGTTATTTCCGAAGATAAACAACTTTAGCCATAAAATTCGCAATTTCCTCTTCAACGGCTTCAACCTTACTATCAAGCTAGTTACACCGACGGAAAATATATAATAATTATTAAGGTATAAGAAATGCCTTACAATAAGATTTATAATCCTTAACATACTTTAAGCAGCAACTTAAGTTAACCTCGGAAGCCAAACACTAGGATCCCTTCTTTTCGTAATAAAAGCAGGGTTTTATCTCAACAGATCGCAATAATATAAAAGCAGTAAGTACCACACTTTTATTAAGTTTCTTCTTCTTTCCTTTTATATTAGCCAAGTCAGCAGATTTTTAAACGCAGAAAGTTATTTTAGCGATAAGTAGGTAATAGAAATAAGAAGAATACCTATAAGTGGGAGGTGTGGATACTTATATGCTAGATCACCTGGTCTTAGGGATAAGACTAACAGGAGGGGGAGAATTATATCACGACCCGGCTCTTATAGTTACAACAAGGGGCCTACAGGGTAGGCACTCCTGGATTAACGTCGGGCCGCGTAGCCAATCAGGAAGCAGTCGACGAAAATCAGCGTTAATTCTAATTAACGCAGGAATAAATCAATTAAGATCATAAGCAATTCCACTTAACTCCAGAATACACAACTAAATATATAAGTTTACTTTATATCACTCATTAAATTACTTAGATAGCCAGTTATTATCACAGCGTTTATAATATAATCAAATTAGAACTTAGATATCTACTCTTATTTATATTACTAGCTGGTAATAAGATTACCCGTTTACTAACCTAATCGCTCCGCCAACATAAACCATAGAACCACTCTAAGGTTTATCCCTTAGAAACAGCTAACCTATAGTGCCTATAGGACCCGGTTCGTCACACTGTTTTTTTAGTAAACGTAGGAGCTTCTGCTGTAGTAGGGGTTCTAGTAATATTTAATTTATCCTTTTTATTATAAAATATATTAGCTAATATTATCTTAATTAGTTAGGCAGCTTTTTCTTTACTACTTAATTTCTTAGGGTTTTTAGACCTTCCCTTAGGGTTAATATAGAAGGTAACGAAGTTTTTAAAAATAGTATTTAAGTATAAGCAGACTTATTCTACTACTGCTAAAAAAAGCTAGGAGGTATATTACGCTAGGCAGAAGTTAATAACTATAACTATATTTAATACTATATCTTATCTAGCTTACTATTATATATTAATTTTATTAATTTAGTTTATAATTTTATTTTTAATAAGGGATTTCCCTTTTTTATTTAAGTTAGTAGCTTCCTTTATACTATTAAAGATAAAAATAATAAAGCCTCTTAAGGTTATTTATACTATAGTTACTATTGCTGCTGTACTTAGTCTTACTTTATTAAAATTAAGTAAAGGTATTTTATCTACGCCGAGGGCTTCTCTAAAGCGTCTTTTCTTCTTAGGGGTAAAAGGGAGGACCGTAACCTCTCCCGTTTTTAGGCCTAAGGGGGTCACCTCCTTCGGTGGTTGGAAGGCTATCGCTGGTCCGGGGGCGACGGGTTTTGTTCTGTTCTAGTTATCTGGAGGGTTTACAAATGTTTCCATCTCTTTAGGGTCCTTAGATAGGACCGTAAATAAAAAAATCGTAGTTGTTTTGTCTAATAGCTAGTTAAACGGGTAGGAGTTTTTGGTAGTTAGGCACCCAAAAGGTGGGGTACCTGTAGATGTAGGAGGGAAGCTTGCCGTAAGTCTTGTACAAGTTCTAGTAATCGATGGTCTGGTGATTGGTGGTCTGGTGATTGGTGGTCTGGTGTTGTTACCTTCATTCATCAGCCTCAACTCAAGTATCATGGCGCTATATCATATATACTTACTCTTAATAAATTGTTCAGTTTGTGTCTGAAAGCCTGAAATCGCCGTTGGTTCTAAGCTGGCTCTTGATTTTCATTATTTGAGAATTTCCCCTTGAAGGATTAGTTTCGCTCCTAATTAATATAACACCACTGGCTTACTCTTAGTAGATCCTCTAGCATCGCCATGGAAAGAAAGCCATCTTCAATATATCCCATGAGGCCCAAAGCCTCGATCCAGTGCAGGAAGTGTCTTCGAAGGAATAGAAAGATTGTTTCGCACTTCTCGTTAACTTCGTTCTGAGATTGATTATTATCGTTATGTATGTCACAGAAATGGTCGACCCAATGAATACAAGAATAACGTATAGTATTTAGCGGATCCGGATTTAGTGCCTTGATTTCGTTACTTTGGAGCCCAGGAGAGTATAAATTATAGATGTTCCGTCGTAAGATGGTGGACATTGCCTGTATTAAGCGCAAAAATATATCGCCGTGAACATCAGCGGGGCTAGGGAAGAAGGCAGCTGATGATGCCTTGTCGCTCAAGTAGTCTTTAGCAGACTGGTGGATAACATAAACCTAGCTGTCTCTCACGGTAAGAAATAAGCCGCAAAGTTCTATTGCCTTATACATTAACTCAGCATCTGTGAGATCATCATCCAAAGACTCCATAATGGAACCAAGCTCAGCCAGTATAACAGGTCAATACACAAGCAACACAATCGCAAGGATCCAACAACACAACTCAGTATCTCTAACATCATCCAATTAATATATTTGCTTCACCATCCTCTCATATAAAGCAGTAAGTCCAGGTGGAAACTCATTCAGCTTTAAAAAAGTATTTTTCAGTAAGACCCTCTCTAAATTCTAATAGACTAAGGCCACCCAGAGGAAGGTATTATTAGAATTAAAGGATAAGTAGTAGTAAACAGCACTCTTTGTTTTAGCATTATATTTCTTTTTTTAAGCCAACTTATTAACTTAGTACTCGATATATACATTAACGGCTGCGGAAATAGACTTTTCATTAAGCTCTAGGCAGAGCCTCATTTATTAAGCAGCAGAATTAAGACGCTCCTTAATGTCAGGCCAGTTACAACTAAACACTATCTATTTAACGCAGGAAAAAAGGGCAGAGTTAATGTTAATAAAATCAAGTAGCTTTAGCAAATCAGTTACGCATTCGTCAAGTACATCAATAATCACAAAAGTCCGCTCTAGGCTTACATCTTCCAAGATATTTAAGAATATTTCTAATAATGCAGGCCATGCATTAACACCTTTAAAAGTCGCCTCCCCTCCATGCTTATACTATTTTTGTATATAAGAGACGAGCGACGGTTACTGTTCCACAATCAGGTAGATAAGACCTCGCAGTACAGCTGTGGCGCTATTAATGCGCTCGTCGGCGGCCTAACAGAAGAAGTAGGATAGCAGTGTATTAGCTCCCTTGTCCTTCAGCCTCGTTTAGGGAGTTAACTCGTTCACAATACCGCAGAGCAACATCGTCTTACCCTTACCGAGATCGCCCTTAATCCAGAGCAGTCGGCTCTGTTCGTCATCACGCCATTATCGGAAGTCTTTGTGCTCGAGGATCCAACGATATAAATCTTCAAATAGACCGCCCTTTATATCTTCAATGCAAGCTTTATCGAGGCGGGGGTCGGTATTTCTGAGGTCGGAAAGGCAGCGGTCTTCTGCCTGATGGATATGTACGACATTTCCGATATGGGCTCTTGCGTTATCTTTGAGGTCCACAGAGCCGACATGAGTATTTGATATCATGTCTGCCATGTTCTTGCGACCCTCCTGCGGTTGTTCGCCTGAAAGTAGACCAATGTTCGTACACTCCCAAGCCGTATGTTGGTGCTTCTGTGGTATTATGTCTTGCAAATCGCAAGAGGCTCGGGGATAGAAAACCCCGCAGCATCTCAGCCTTTGAGTATTATGTGCGGCACGACAGGTAAGGAGTTGTCTGGGGGCAGCCTGATCAATTCATTGGTCACAAGCCTCTCTGCTGCCTAATGCATGCATGGCGGCCAGGTTCAGCATCCTTTCTCACTACCACACCAAGTTCAATACGTTGATCAAATCGATTCATCAGGCATCAATAACTTCTTTCGCGTCTGCCTTTAACAACGAACTCGCTATACTTTTGAACATGGCCGAAATCTTTGGCATCGCCACGGGCGCTTTGAGCGTAGCAGCACTGTTTAACAACTGTGTCGACACTTTTGAGTACATCCAGCTCGGCCGCCATTTCGGAGAGGACTACCAGAGATACCAACTTAAACTCGACGTTGCGCAGACTCGCCTAGGCCGATGGGGTGAGGCTATTGGGATCAACAGCGACATACGCTTCGCATCTGCCGCGCCGAGTGACAAGGCTGTAAAGGATGCATTAGGGATCCTCGAAGATATTGCAGATTGCTTCGAGTCTGCGCAAAAGAAATCAAGAAGATATGCAGAGCGTGCTGATAAAAAGGAGCTAATGATCCATAATAACAATGATATGAACCTCATATTCCAACGGCTGCATAGTCGTTCCAAGGACATCGCTCGTCGGAGACAGAAAGGCATAAGCTTTGTTAAGAAAGCTGCGTGGGCATTATATGATAAGAAAAGCCTCGAGAATATCGTTAACCAAATTTCATCCTGGGTTGACGAGCTGGAAAAGCTATTTCCTACTGAGGCGTCTTACCAGAAGTCTATCGAGATTGAGATTGAAGAGATTCATGACGAGCTGAGCCTTAAGGCTCTTAAGGACGCCGCCCGTGATATCGATCCAGCCCTAGAACACGCGGTAGAGCGCAAGGTGGATTCCATCGAGGGAAAGAACTCTGCCAGGGACATCACGATGGAAGACAAGGCGAGATTCCACGTTGGCAACGTATTCTCAGAAGGAGTCCTCCAACACGAGATCCTCGTCAAGGATCAGACGAAAAACTCTGTAGAGACAATTTCGGCGAAAAGCGAGACTCGGGTCCAAGTAGGGAATGTTTACGGTGGTAAGGGGATCTGGGATGATTAACGGATTGGCATCTAGGATCACAATGGTGGTCAATTGGCTACATGTATTGAACTCACGCTAGCTTATTAAGCTATGAAGATGAACACTTAAATGCAGACTGAAAAATAGTAACAGCAAATATGAACTATCGAGGGATGTATAGATAAAAAACTCAAAGTCTCTAAAGGTATATAAGACTCTAAATGTTGACCTCGTCCTGCTAATATACGACATATTACAACTTCTTTTTGCAATCAGTCATTTCCAATACGGTCAACTGACGAATTAGATGACCTTTTACTTGATTTGTATTCTTGGACCCATTTAGGTTCTTCGCCTTTAAGATCATTGTAAGCTTGACCCAAAGTCGCCGAAGGAGCTGGCGCAGATAGAGGTGCTGCAAAAGCGGTTCAGGAGATCTCGCTTCTTGGTCGAGATTTTTGAGACTCAGATCGATTTATTCGTTCTTTGATGATGCTAGGTCCGGCGATTTTTCTTCTAAGACAATTGTGTCGAAGGATGCATCCTCATCTATTTCCGGGACTTCATAACCCTCATCGGTTCCCATTTCGTCGTCCAGAGTGCTCCTTTTTTCAGAGTCTTCGTCGCTGCTGAATGACTGCGAGCTAGAGAAGGCATGCAAGTCGCCATCCGCGAGCTTTTCTACTGACAATCGCAGTGTAAGCAAGGCTAGGAATTGTAGATGGTCGGCGATGTGATCCATCATAAGACTCATCGTAGAGTCCATCACAGGGGTCTTCATAGGAGCAACAATCCTCGTCTCTAAGTCAGCCACACTTCGGGCCGTTGGATCTCTTGGTGGTTCCTCTTCAGATCCAGATTTTGGAACGTCGAATCGTACTGTTTTAGCGCCCTCTTTGGTACCCTCAAAGTCTTTCTTGGACCCCGGTGGCGAAGTTACCAGCACTTCATCCAAGTTCTGTGACCCGGACGATACTGAGAGTACAGCAATGCTCTTTAACTTAGGTCGAGATTTGTCAAGTGGCAAGCAACAGAGGGGACAGATATCCGCGGATCGGCCAACATCGAATGAATCTTGGAAATTAGGGTTGAGGGACTGATTATCATTGCCAATCGGGGTGGATGGGCCTTGTCGCCAAAAGACGCCATGCTCTCGCTCAGTGTGGGCTTTCCAGTCAGATCGGCTAGCAAAGGTTGGAGATTGCAAACATGAACTCGAAATGCACACAAAAGGTAACAAATCTTCGTTCACGTGGCATCTGTGCCATACTCATTAGCATCAATCAAGGATGGGAATCTTCAGAGGACCGACTTACCTCCACCATACGTTATCAGTATAGTTAGCTTTGAGGAAGTTCTTTTTTGGCAGAGAGGACAGGGCTTCTGAACTTCTCCATCTTCGAACTGTGGAGGGCTGGGAAATTTTGCTGTGCTTTCGAGGACAGTTGACGCTCCAGCGCGTCTTGGAGACGGTATCTTGGCTTCTGCTGTCGGTATAGTGAATTGAGAGCCTAGATCCGATGCCAGAGCCCCAGATAGAGCTGAAGTCTCAATGGAAACTCTACTTGGCTCGGGTCTCGTCAAAATCGGGTTTCGATCTATGGCTGATGATTGTGGCAGTGATCCTTTGGTAGGCAAAGGTGACGATTCTCGTCTCGATTGCACGGATTCATCTCCAGACTTTTCATCGCGGCGACGGTCTATACGCAATTTCTTCCCGTGGGACCGCCAATATAATAGCTTCATATGTCTTCTCTTTTGCCCTCGATACGTAGATTTTAACTTCTCAATCTGCATTGAACAGCAACACCCCAAGCCGTTCTCGCATTCGAACTTGGCGGCAGCTTGATCGCAGTATTGTTTCCAAGCCAGCTCGCCCAGGCCGTTATTTCAGAGCCTCGACCATACCCGCCCCCAATTCCCTTTGAACGAAACGATCCATATGACTTATCGCCCATCGAGATTTCAAGGAATTCAGAATACCTGAGCGACTATCCAGGTCGAGACAAAGCAAGTTGGAGACAAGGCGACCCGCCGCCTTGACTGCCCCATGTCACCGTATACCTGACCTTGATCATCTCAATGGGGATTATAACATGAGTATACTAATTTTAAAATAGGTAAATACTACACTTGTGTAAATAGGAGGACTCTTAAGCAATTCTATTAAGCATATTTAATACTATTATTTACCTAGCTCCCAAGCTCTTCTAATATTTTCGACATTATAATATCCTAATCCAGACCCCTGCTAAAATTACCATCCGTGGTGGTGACTGGCGCCAGCTGCAGCTCAGCGACAGCTGTTTTAAGACATGGCCCTTGGAGAAAGAGGGCAACAGGCTCTTCGCTCGTATAACCCTTATCATTTTCCATACGATAATGAAGCTCATACTCTCGGCTGCCCGTATATGGATGGACAATTAAAAATATTTGCCAGCCATGCAATACCGCCCCCCCTGCCCGGGGGGCAAACAAGCTTTGTCATGACACAGCTTAGAGCTTTTGCTTTAAGCAACGACGTCAATGGTAGGGACTGGGCAATGAAGCAAAGAAATGACGCAATTGAGCAAGAAATGAAAGAGTAAGCTGGGATGAAGTTATAACGCTCTGTCCAGCCTATATCTTGCTGCGGCTCAAGTGCTTTTGGTCCACCGCTGTATCAAGATTGCGGCGGAGGGACTGACAGAGGATATAGCTGGGCATACCAGAAGACCCTGTGCAACAGCATGATGATAAACAGTAAGGGCACCTCCCCGCCGTGTATGGCGGGACATTTGCGGAAAAGAAATTGAGTTCAATTCGCTGCCTTCCGACTTGAAGGGATGGGCACTAAAGGGTTCAGACCCAACCTCGACAACTACCTGGAAAACTCGCGCCGTAGCCGCTGCCGGAAGAATCCGAATCATCGATGACTACGATACGTCGAAGAACGCTTGAGAAGGCCGTTGGGTATATTGGAGAAATCTGTATGGCGGAAAACATCCTGGTTGGAATGACGACCACCATTCAAGTAGGGTGTTTGGCGGTTAATCATTTCGCTTGGGAATTTCACAGGCACCCCGTTTTATCTCCTTCTGTAAAGTAGGGCTTAAGGGGTTTCGTGGTGAACGATTATAGGAGGCTAACCCCACGCGATGAACAACGCCCTCACCGTATCATCCCTTTCCATGCCATCCAAAGAGATTCCAATCGACATACATTCAATGCAGAACCGCCACCACCCCAGCGAAGCGCACTGAGGCTAGACGCATAATATATCTGGATTGCGAAAGAACAACGTCTAACCTCGTAAGAGATGGTAATGCTCCTCTTCTAACAAAGGTACACCAAGGAGGTACCCGTAACACATAACCCAGCATCAGCTCCAGTATAGCTTTTCTGTACTACCGCATAGTTAGAAGAGCCCACCTGCTACAGTCAAGAACGCAATAGGTATTTTCTTTACACTAGCCCTACATTTGACCACAGACTCGGCATACACACTTCAACATGCAACATGTTATGCATTTAACAACCTCGGTTGGTGTGGAAGAAGTCCTGATGAGGTCTGCAGACGTGTGCAAAGCTATCAACGAAACACATGATCTGTAATCATTGCCACATCCGAGGCATTTAATAGGGCATTGTGCAACCTAGCTACCCAACCTTCCTGATAAATCTATTGTGTGGAATAGACGTTTTCCGTAGATATGTAGTTCAAAATTCACTCCTGTTCCAGTCGGCACTGAAGTCATGTTGGCTTTTAGGCCAGAAGGGACTTGGTCAATGCCAGCCATGGTCAATTGGTGAACGCACGTTATTATGCAACAAAGGTATTCACAAAAGTTCACAGTGTAAAATTAAAATATCTAAATGAGCGTAGAGAAGTAAACCTAAATATCTAGCTGCATATGGATTGGTTTGGTTTGTCTGGGTTGTGAGCTGAGGTGGACGAGAAACCACTTGACCAAATGTTCCATTCCTTGATTGATGCAGGTCTGAAGATATGTCTATCCTCCGTTCCAAGATTATTCCTACTAAGTGGAATAAAATTAGAATGAAGGTTTAATGGAAACATTCAAAGGATTGAATGTTGTCGTTAAAACCAGGATAATGGGCGGGAAGACTGTTAATACAAGGAAATGCGGCAATAAAAGAAGGACCTTCGCAGCCCCGATTACTAATTTCCAGTGTTAATACAATCTTCTAATATGATAAAACCAAATTTGTTGCAAAGACAGTAAGACAGGCAGCTTACTTGAAGAAACGGCATGCACCAGCTGCAGCATTGGGTTGAATTGATGATATCTTGTTGCTCATGCTTGCAGGGACGTCCTCTGTATCATGACGAGTTAGATTTTGTCGTTGCTAAATTTGAGTTGAATAGACATACGGCAAGTATTGATGTTGACGTTGATACGCGGCCAGCAATCTTGAAAATTGACATGGTTGCATGCAAGCACCTGAGGACCATTATCAAGAAGCTCAGTAGGTGCTTCCGTTTCGGAGCCAGCCAGCGCAGTAGTAGCGAGGCAGGCTACAACATTAAGGAGCTTAGAGAACTGCATTTTGAGTTGGGGCTTAAACGGTAGGCTAGCTGGATAGATCTTGAAGCGACGCTGTTGGTTTATATTGTTTTGTTGAATAGAAAGATTATTGCAAGAGAGTTGGCAGTTGCACTCTTTTTATATTCCGCAGGTGATATAATACATTTTATCTCCTCGCATATGATCTTACTACATATAAAACTAAACCAGAATCTAATGTAGTAATATATGAGACACGCTCCTCGTTTATTAGTACAAGTGTACTCCAAAGGCAGTGAAATATATGATATTACGGCAGGTGAGACAAGTTTCTCCCTCTTACATAAAGCCTGGCTACATTTAATCTTAGATGAGACATGTGCTTCTTCCTTTGCATACAGACGTATTACACACAACGTTTGATGAGAGGTTTGAAGTCCTCACAAGTAAGATATATACCTCCCTTCCTACATCGGCTGATTATATATGGAGTCAGATAAGAGACTCGAAGGTCTAGTGAGTTAGATATAATGCCATCCTATATTATAGAAATCCCTGGGCTCCTTAATTGATTCGCAGATGACTTCTACTGCCATATTTCAGTTAGTGGTCATAGTATATGCACCCACGAGAATCGGTGACGTCTCAGGGGGTATGTGCAACAAATGACAAGTTCCATGAACATTTGGAGGATAATCACAACTTGTGCCGCCTTTCGCTGGACTGAATATAATACTTGTAGTCATGTGAGGCTTGTTTATGCAAGGAGAATCTGACCTGGTTGGTTATCAGGACGGCCGCAATCAGCATAAATTTCACATTAGAATTTGCCATCAGAGATGCGATAGTAGGATATCAAAGGAGTGACACAACAGAGCTTAATATAGCATAGCGTGATATAGCAGAGCGAAACACGGCAGAGCGAAACACAGCAGAGTAAAACACAGTAAAGTAAAACACAGTAGAGTAAAACTAGTATAACCTGACTTATACTATTAAACTTATTGAATACGCTTACAGCTATAAAGTATATAACTTTAGCTTAAGATAAGCCGGTTATATACACACCGTTTGTTTCTATCCCTGGATATCAGGAGAACAGGACAAGCTGTAGAAAACGGCTTTCTCTTGCTACACTATCTCACTGCAAGAATCTTGATGAGGATGAGGACGACTTAAAGCTTCTCTTTTAGTTCACTCTGTTGGCTAAAGATTTGTTGCAAATTGCGCGGGGAGACTCTATTCGCTGGGTTAAGAAATCCAAGATATTCGAGATATTCAGTCGTTTGCAACACCAATCACTGCCGGCATTGCCGCTACAATCCTGGACCTCGCAGCCCGTGAGGAAGCGATCACTAGCCGGTCAAAGAAGAAGCTCAGACGCCCTGAAGGAATGGAAAAGATGCTACGGATCATGTCAAGTCCGAAGAAAGATGTCAAAGATCGACTGTACTACATGGCGACATGGCATCATTGGGACAGTGGCTGGGAGATGGATGAGTCTAGATGCCGATAGGTCTGGGACACCATCAATTAGCTGTTTTAGCTTAGAGGTAGAGATTAAAGGAGTATATGGCAACAAACAGTAATAAAAATGTTTCAGCTGGTCTGTTCAACTCAATATGACCAGCATAGCTGGCGCACACTAGTCGCCCATAAATCTTTCATGGGAGAACCCATGTGACGGGGCCTTCCTTTCCCATCTGGTTCTCGTCTACAATGGTCTTTCCTATTGCGATGTCGACTTCATCGTCAATGAACTTAAGTAAGTCGAGGACGCCCTCGTTCTTTGCCTTGAATTCGCCGAGTGTTGCCCCGGCAATGCCTTTGATATCGTGCCTCACACCATCCCTGTCCCACCAGATTTTTCGCACTCGGATCCCAAGGATGAATGGCATTGAGCCATCAAAACTCGAGGAGGCGGTCTCTTTGATCCCGTAAACTACTCTGGCGCCGCCCACAGTGCCCGAGTTTGGGTCAGTTGCAACGACCTGGCCGCTGTTGCTTCTAATTCTGGACTGAACTTTGGAGAGCTTGGCTCCTTCGGTCCACATCAGTCCAGTAACCATGTGCACAGGCTTCTTGCGCTTTGTGTTGTTGATGTGAAAGGCTACACCATCGATTTGAGGGCTATTTTCGTATATTCAAACGTCGGGATGAAGTATCGGACGAACAATTTCTCAACTATCAGGGTTTCGTCATTCTCGCGATTGCGCAAGAAAGACAACGCGCCGCCCAGCCCCTCGTTGCCAAAGATATTTTCCCAAATGCTTACTTCGAGGCCTCGCAGCTCTTCAAGGCTGCGGCTAAAGCCGACCTTCTCAGACGGTTTGTCGAGCGGCCTCAACTGCGAAGCGGGAACTTCGATTGTGTCTCCGATGTCAAGTGTTCAAAAGATAGAATCAACATCGAGGCCTCGCAGTACAAAGCCCAACTCCAGTTGACCATTAGGCGGCGGGGCGATACTGAAATCGGGGCACAGATGAAAGGAAGGCTGGGGGCTAAAAGATGTGGCCATTGTGACTTGGAGATATCATTCAGTTAGGCGATGTGAAGGCATGAGCGCCTCTGCAGGGGCTCTATGTGGTGACGGGGAGAACGGTCATTAAGTGTAAAGGATTGTATTGTGCCCTTCAATGAAAGTGTCTAACATGCAGGACGGAGCCTAATGGATTACCAATTTGCAATTCTTTCTCAGCTCTTCAATGTAAAGAGCTCTGATCAATTGGTCCAAAAGGGCTGCCTATCAGATGTCTGCATGCACCTGCGGGGGTTTTCATGGAAGGCCAATCATACATGGATATAATGAGTCCTCTTGTTTGCACGGGTGTTTTTGTCTCTTTGAACGGTCATAGCTCATGTACCAAACACATTCGAATTACGGTTACCCGTATACTATAGCTTCAGCATATGTTTGTTTGTTTGTTTGTTTGTTTTATTATTAACGTCCACTAAGTAATCTAGTTACATAAGTCCTCATCTGGGTACTAGGACGGTAGGAGCCGCCGAGTTCAGATCGGGCGTTCGCTACGTTTCAATGTGACAAAGGAAATGGGGAAGTATCAATCTGTTTTACGTATCTGTTTCTGTAGGGGGGGGGGCGTATGGGCTTGTTTCCTTTACTAGCTTCTGGAAGTCCTTATACCCCCCGTTACCGAGGAGGTATTGGATATAGGTGGTTCCGAAGCGCGCCTCCCTCTCCGGTACGTCGGGGAGGAAAGGGGCTACTATACGGCACTTCACGAAGTACCCTTGTGTCCTTGGCTCCCCGCATTTGCGGGTGGGCCTGGCGTCGTATCCAAATCTCTCATAGTATTCTGTAAAGTCCCCATGTCCAGACCTTTCGGCTAGCAGCCTATGTAGGATCGGGCGTGGGAGATGTAGCTCCGGGGGCATGGAGGGGGCTTTGTAGAGGCCCCATCTACCGGTCTTATATAACTCTGGGTAGTTGTTGTTCCAGTTGTCGTTTTGTATTTCCCTGCGTTTCTTTTTCACCTACCTTTTGATAAAGGTGATGGTGGAGCAGTTTCTCGAGTGGCAAGGGAGTTCTAAACCCTCCTTTGCCAGTTGGTCGGCTTCTTCGTTTCCTAGTACATCTTTGTGGCCTGGGACCCAGGCCACATAGCTTCAGCATAAATTCATGGGAATTATAACACATGTTTATTTGCACAGACTATACCTGCCTAAATGGGAAAAGAACGGTTGTAAAGCCATTCGACTCAGCAGATTCAATATTATTACGTATTTACCTAATCTCTTCTAATATTTTCGACATTGCAACATCCTAATCCAGACACCTGCTAGGATTACCATCCGTGATGGTGACTACCGCCAGTGGTCTTGTGGCTCTTGTACAAAGTCGCAGAGTCGAGGACGGTATTGTTGTTGCTAGCAATGAAGTCGTGCGTCAAGTGCGTAGCGTTGTGGAACGTCAGCTTGCTCCATCCGTAGGTAGCATTAGTAGTATCAAGGCCAAATCGGCTGTACTCCTGGCGAGGGGTCTGAATAGTATCCAGTCCGTCGTAATGACCAGCAGCTCCGTTGGTGATGTACCAAGGAGAGGTCGGGTTGTTCAATTCCTTGGGGTCAATCTTTTGGTCGGCGATAGGAGCCAGGCGCTCGTAGACGTGGGCGTGACCAGATAGAACAAGATCGACGCCATACTTGATGAACAGAGGCTCGAAAACGTCCTTGCAGCTCCAGCAGATGGTACCAGTGACATTTGCGTGGCTGAGATACCAAGGGCGATGGCCGCCAACGATGACCCAGGGCGTGACGCTGCGGTCGATTGACTTGAGATCGGCCTCAAGCCAGTTGACTTGAGCGTTCATCTTCGCGTTGACGGGACTGGCACCCTCACCCTCTGTGCCTCCAATCTCGTCGGGGCCAATAAAGCCGTGGCCAAGATCAGTCTCGGTGTCGAGCTGGATGAAATGAGCCATGCCACTGTTCCAGCTGTACCAAAAGTTTCCAGTGCCGCCGGAAACATCGCTGGGCATGCGGAAGTGATTCTTATAGCCGGTGAAGTTGGTCTGTCCAGGCATGCAGATGCTAAGATCGTAGGTGATATTGTGTGCCTTATCAGCGGTGCCACCGTTGTCGCAGTTGGCCTCGTGGTTACCAGGTCCAACCATGTAGGCCTTGGAAGCAGTGACGGGCATCATCTCGTTGTAGAAGTCGTTCAGGATAGCCTCATAAACCTTGTATCCCTCCTCAACAGTGGTGTTGGGTAGGAATCCCTGAATTTCCTCCTTCAGCCAGTAGTCGGCGTATGCAATGTCTCCGACGTGCCACAGGAACTCGTAGTCGCCCATGGTGCTGATGAGAGAGTCGACCGTGTTCTTCTCACCGGGCTTCAGGACGTTTGTGGGTGCAACACCAGTTCCGGCTGAAGTATACAGACCCTTTGAGCCCATGGTGCCCAAGTCGGCGACAACGGCAACGGAAAAGGGCGTCTTGTCACCAACCCTGCGGCTGGTGGTGAAGTTGAATGGCTCATAGCACACATCCTCGTTCAATTGCGCAGGCAGGTAGTAGTAGGTGGTGTCCGGCCTCAGTCCCTTGATCAAGACGTGGTTGTTGTAAGTCGTCGAGGTGGGATAAGTGACAGACACGGCCGAGGACGCGACATTGGTGAGGTGCTCCTTTGACCTGCCCCAGAAGACACTTGGACGAGGAACATGGTCAAACGTGTTCCAGCTGACCATCATACCATCGTCTCCGTGGTAGGCGATTCGGATCTGCGAGTTGGCAGCATCGCTGTCCGCAGCCACCAGAGGCAGCAGGCTTGCCAGGATAGTGCTCTTCTTCATCTTGTCAACGGTGAAGATATTGGGACCTGTCGGGCTGGTTGCCAAGGTTGGGGCTGGTATGTATATATATGTATCCATTCTGGGTCGGCTGGGATGTGCGCTCATCGCCGTCATAACCATCTGTACTTCATTGCCACTACTGCTTACAGTATCAACACCATGTACGGAAGCTCAACAACTAACAGAGCTCAACTTGATGCGATACCTTGTTAATTGCCCCGTTGGTATTGGCTCGGCGATACCATCCATGGGCGATGTGCGGGGAGATGCACTGCATGCCTCTAGCATTCTTTCGGCACCGAAGCCAGGGGTCAGCCGTTGCATGTGCTCACGCTGAGGCGTCAGATTGGCCACGCCGCGGGATCTGCAGCCGATTCAGGAACCGAATCTCTAGATTTCGGTCTGCACTGTCGTATATACGAGTTAAAACTGCTACGTGAATTCATTACCTCTGGAAGTGTGTCATGAACAGAATATTGACTCTTTTTTCAGCTGGCTGAACAGGCTAAATTGCAGCAAAACAGGAGCCAAGAGGTGAACTATTTCTACCACCGCCAAAAGCTCCCGCTTACTGACGCAGCTGAAGGGTATCTACAAACTCAGTGTTAATGCATGCTCTTTTCGTTTGTACTCTCTTATGATTTGCCAATCGAATGTTTCAAGAATTATACTCATCTCAAATCTTGATAAAAGGCAATTGAGCAGACGCGCGGCAGGGGAAGTAGAATATGTCGAATTGGACCTGAGTTTATTCCCGCAGTGGCGGTGTCCCACGATCGGTTCGTTCTGAACACTAATAAACAACCGCTCCATCTACTAGTAAGTATCGCTATTCAATCATTTGCGACCCGAATTAGAGCTATGGGCTAATAATCTTCAGCTCATTCAATGCAGGGGTCATTTTAGTCGAGCCGGTAGCAGCTTACATAGAGATCCAGCACAGGTGTTCCACTTACAGACTCAGCGTTCCAACCATGTTTCGTACTGTTCTCACATTCCTCCCAGATCTTGGATAATGGCAGCATACCTATATTGAAATAACAGACCATTATTACACGGTCGAGCATGGCCATATTTATGCGGCGTTCCTTAAATTGTTAAGAAAAAGCATGAACCCCAAGAACCCCGGTGATTGTTTCCATAATTCGTCCCCTTACCCAGCCTTCATGTAGAAGGGCATGCTAAAGAGAGATCCATAGTATATCTCGCCCGTTTAGTAAATGGGCAATTATGAACCTGCCTGCAGCAAGGCAGTTATTAAGAATATCAGAGACATTAGAATAGGAGAGCAGTTCTATCTCAACTGGTTCAGTCTATCAATGATCGCATCATGAAGTTGTACATTCTTTGCACAACAAAAACAACAATGCTTGTGGCAGCTATTGCGGTACTGGCCGTTGATAGACATATATGCCTTCATACGATATTTCTGCAAATAAATCGAGCAAAACTAAACACAGCTACCCGCGTCACCCCATTCTCCATCTTACGATCTAAACTCCCATAGATGTTTTGTATTCATTAGCTTGATAATATATTAAGAAAGCAGTGTTCCATATATCTCTCATTTTTATACGATCATATAATCTCAAAATTGAGTATTGTAATTCTACGCGTAGTATTTCATGAAGCTAATGAGTTTAACGATCACTCTGCCTCTCTTATGACTCCATTAATTCTCAACTCAAGCTTTCAATGGATACTATTCGCAAACGTGTACAGAATCTCTTTAAAATATTACCGACCAGCTTCACAAGCTCTTAGCCTTTATAAAAGGAGACTCAACAGGTGAAGTGTTACAATTCTCGTCCTAAAAATCGACCGATAGTAGACAATATCATCGTGCCTTGCAGGGTACCATTCGGATGTACATCTAAGTAGCTCTATGTACACTCTGTGGATGGCACGAGAGCACCAATAGCGGGATGCATAGGGTCACCGCCAATAGGGAGCCTCAGAGATGAACAAGATTAGGCAGCAGTCATAGCCTGATGTCAAAAAGATCACTACATGACATGAGGGATTTTAATCAACGATATACGAAGCAATGCCTTTGCCTTTGCGAACAATTCATTCGCAAGCACAAAAGTGAAATCTCATCGCGTTATTCAGGCGTTTAGCCCAAATAGAGTGTCACCATACAGATAGAACAAGGGACAATGAAAAGAAAAGCACGGTCGCATCTACGCAATATTCGCAACAACCGGGTTCGCAACAACCGGTTTCGCAACAACAGGTTTCGCAACAACTGGCTTCGCAACAACCGGTTTCGCAATAACAATGTGGTCACACAGGGCGATACGCATATTTACATGTCAGATCGACCAGCCCGAGCTGCGATTCACGTCATTGCATATCCACCATACGAAGATTTCATCAAACGACCAGATATTGTTGATAAACTTGACCAGCTCTTGCCACGATCATCAGGCTACCATAGTGCCGCTCTTTGTGGGCTAGGCGGAACAGGGTATGTTGGTGTTATGCGATTCATCCGGCGTTTACTGAATAACCCGAATGTAGAAAAACCCAGATTGCGCTCGATTATATATACCGACAATGTGGTACTCGCTCCGTCTTTTGGGTACACGCGGATACAAAAGCAACAATCATAAATGATTATAAAACAATCGCGAAAAAGCTTGGCATTATGTATGAACAGCTTGATGACGAAGCTTTGCTCATGGCAGTTTGCAGTCGCATTGAAGAAGAGCCAGAGTGGCTCTTAGTCCTCGATAATGCTGATGATCTATCATTATTTGGAGTAGGGCCAGCATCTACTTCGTCAAAGAGTCTACCCAACTGTGTCCCTCGAGGCCCCAAGGGGGTCGTTCTGTGGACGAGTCGTGACAAGCGCATTATGGGGACATTGGTCAGCCCTCTCAGAGTAATTGAAGTAGGTGATATGTCACTCGAGGAAGCAAAGAAATTGCTCGCGCTAGCAACGGCAACGATACAAACCGAAGCATCGAGTGAAGACACCAAGGACATAGACAAATTATTGGAAAACCTTCAGTATCACGCATTAGCAATTTCGCAAGCCGGTGCCTATATGCGAAGAACGTCGACACCAGTGAGAGATTATTTAGCTATGCTCTCAAAGAAACAGAAACGACAGAAACTTTTAGAAAAAAGCGAGTTCGATCGACATCGGAAATCTGGGGCGCCCAACAGTATTCTAGACACATGGAGCATCTCAATCAGGCGTATTCAGCAAGAAAGCGAGCAGGCATTCCACTTGTTTCATATTATGGTATACTTTGATTGCCAGAGCATTCCTGAATCATTGGTCGAAATTGTCGGCATACGTTGTCACTTAAAAGATGACGAACTGAAGGAAGCTATAACCCGACTTGGAGAATTTTATCTCATCTATCAACGAAAAGATGAACATGGGTGCGCGATCTATGAAATACACAAACTTGTACAGGAGGCTGCACGATATGGGTTGCGTAGAAGGAATCTATTGGACAAGGGTTTGACAACAATAAACGTCAGCGATGTTCCGCGGGAAAGGGAAGAAGATTCGGAAGACTCGGAAGAAACATATTTCGCAATGTATGCCTTGTTAATTATGGGATTCCTTTCTGAAAAACTTCAGGAAACTGGACAAACCTGGGCTCTGGGCGATGCTTATCTGACACATGTTCTTCAGATAGTTGAATGGATGGATATCTTCGAAGAGAAGGTTATCGTATTGACCGACCTTTTGCTTGTTGCAGGTCTGCTGGGGCGCCTTCGCAGATGGAAAGACAAAGAATTGTTAGTTAAGAGGGGGTTAACAATGACACGAAAGATGCTTGGAGAGGAACATCCGGATACGATGAAATGCATGCATGCCCTTGCCATATCGTACCTCGGGCAAGCTTTCGGACTTCGAGATACAGGGCCGCTTCAATTTGACTTTGATTCTTGGGGCAAAGGAGCTCAGGAACTGTGTGGTGAAGCTGAAAAGATAGGAAAACAGTTAGTGAAGCTTGGACGAAAAATCTCTGAGCCAACGGATCGAGAAAAAATCGCAAGCTTGAAGCTTATGGCGGATGTGTACTGCGGACAAGAAAAATACAACAAGGCCAAAGTGTTTACAAGAAGAATACTACGGCTTCAGTGGAAAGAACACGGATTAAAGCATCCAAGTACATTAACTGCGATGGAAGATCTTGCTCGTGTCTTTTACTTCCATGACACACCAGGTTTACGCAAAAGAGCTTTGCGTGTCAGGGAAAAAATACTGGAATTTCAGAAAGAGACAACTGGAGAGAAAACTCCGACTACCATATATGCTATGTATAATCTCGCGACTTCTTTGAAAAGGTGTGGAAGGCTTCGCGACGCTATCACTCTGATGAATCAGTGCTGCAGGCTATCGAAAGAGGTCTTTGTAAGGGGTCATGATATGATATTTGAATGCCGTTGGCTTGCAGCGTATTGGAGATTAGAGCTTTCTAAAGATGATAAAGATGGTATACAATGAGCCGTACATAAGCTGTACAAACTGGATCATATGAGCCAATTGACGGTTTTGTAGGTACGTACCCTATTCCCTCGCAAAATTCGACTATAGATTTCTGAAATTTCGCTTAATCAGCTATGCATAGTTAAATAACTACTACAGTAATTGATGGGTAATATCTGGAGGGACCTACGGTCGAGTTTTGCGAGGGAATACGGTATAAGGCATTGTCTTCTTCTAAGGAACGCAATTTACGCCGCAGAATCTATGTAGATATAAAGCTATTAGGCCATCTTATAGCATTTTCCATTTTAGTTTTTCCTCATAGGATTCGTCATTAACATAGCTGTTAGAATCGGCAGTATTATAATATTCGCCCGATCTACGTTGCAGGCAATCATGCCTTTTATCACTGGGGTTCTGAGCATGGAATCTCATTTGGAAACTGCAGATAGGCATGGTAAGTGGAGGTCGCCTTTAAAATTAGTGTTGAGATAGCCTCCTCATATGTTTGATGTATCCTATGAAACTTCCGTATGCAGCCAGTCAAATGTATCTAATAGATCGAAATTAAAATCCAGAGGCTGGGGAAAGTCGTATGCCAGAGCTGCCCGGGGACTATTGCCGTCTACACTGCCATCCAAGGTATGATCCAACACCCGCTGTATAATGACTTTGCAGTCCATGCACAAATCTCCATTTGGTGCGGATGGACGCACCCAGTCGAGAAAGCCTACCAAGAGACTGAGATTCTGTATAATACTTGACCGTGAGATTCGTGCATCCTTGGGATGTTTGCCTGTAAATGTCGGGTTGAGAAGTTCTAGACAAAGGATGCCGCCTGCGGGTGCGGCGTGGGCCATGAGCTTGCTCAACAATTAGCAAGGGGCGATAAATAATAAGACGGATTGCACTACTCACAAGCCATTCAAAATTGCGCCGCATTGCTGCGAAACGGTCTTTGTGCGTCCACATAGTAAGAGTCAGTGTGAGCATCTCAAAGCTAAATAGCAGCAGATTGCCTTCTTCCAAGCTACCGTTTAGTAGCAGCAGCCTTTCCAAGAAGAACATTGTCTGTAAGTGAGTAAGTCGAATGAGTATCCGAGCATAGACGGACTTGGTATCTATATCAGGATCTAACACGTCTTGCGGATCATATCTGAGATACGGGGGAAATGCCGCAACCAATTCCAGTTGTCGACCCTGCATGTTTCTAGCCGATGCTGTGAGCTTCCACCTACGTTTGAAGAGAAAAAAAAAGTTACGTGTGGGAACATACCGTAGCTCATCAAGAGTTACACAAACCTGGCAACCTAGGGCAATCTCCATGACTTCCTCGAGAGCGGCCGCCAACATACGGCGAGCTCGAATAAGCGTAACTGGATAGATTTCGCCTTTTGTGTTCCAGCCGCGATCATCCAGCTCTTGTACAGCCTTCTGTAGCGTTGACTGATCTGCAACCAGGTCTTCATCTCTGAGATCGAGGGGCAGAGGTGTTGTGCAGTATCGACGGCTGAGCAATGGAGGTCGCCCAGAAAATGCGACGCAAAACTTATCGTTGTTGAAGATCTGGGCAACGAGCCTTCTGTTATATTCGGAGGACAAGGTGGGTGTATACGGAACCTCCTTCTCCATGGCATGTAGGCCCATGAAGGTCAACATGGACACAGCCGCGCCGTGGGCGTACCAACACGATCCAGCTGCTCAATCATTATTATGAAAGCGAAAATTAACTCGGAGACATTCATATGCTTACCGGCATCGCCGTCCAGACAAGACACCAAAATGGTTCGACGTCGGTGAAGATCCAATAACACAGGACTGCCATCACAAAACTGCTTAGACAAATCAATGCAATAATTTATATACGTTCTGGAAAGTTCCTTAGACCCCTTTCCAGGAATCCACTCAACGTGACAGGGCCGAAAAGAGTTCATAGTATCCGCAAGACGCTCCAAGCCTCCCCATATCAGCCCGATTGACTCCCATCTGAGATTGCTGCCACAAAACTGATCCATCCACTCATGCGGATCGTCGATCTCTTTAAAAGGCTGCGCAGTGTTATGGCATATCATCTCGGCAATGCTTTCCAAGTTGGGGCCAACCCCGTCCGCATTCTTTTTGAGCAAGTCTTGAAGATATCTGGTAATACGGGCCAGCGCGGCTTGAGTCGAGCCCCAATCCGGGATATCTTCGTCGTTGAAGACAATTTGCTCATTACATTGCCCTGGCAGAGCCTCCAAAACGTAGATGCTCATGTGGCGCACTATAGGGGAGAGCTGGTTGAAAGAGCGCCTCGGAGTCATCCGATCATCGGCAGGTAGCGAGAGCCGAGGGTCCGCTTCCGGGCCTTGAAGACGGCTGAGACTTCGCTTTGTCGCCTCGAATACGTTGGTATGGCTGGTGAAGCCCATGTAACCAGAATTGGGCGATCCGTGTCCATTTGTATGTCCGTTTGTATGCCCGTTTGTGTGTCCATTTGAATGGCTCTGCGTTGGCGATGTGTTCAGGGACATGGAAATCGATGGCCTCACTACTGGTCTCGGGCGCCGTACGCGCCGCCGTGGCTGAATCACTTCTCCGACGGTGTAGGTGCATTCGCTGGCCTGGTTTCTCTTAAGGCATCGGTTGCACACTGGACGAGCATGATCGCAGGCGACTTTGCGCGCGCGACACTGATCGCATGCCTGGAGTCGCCCGTTTAGACGCCGCAGCGGTTCGTTGTCGCTCATCTTGATATTGACGATGAATATGAAGAGGTTAGCCTTACAGTGAAGGTCGAGTCAGTTGACCGAAAGGCGTAAGAGAGGAATTTCTGAGTGCTTAGTAAGGCGAAGCGTGGTGGCAACGCGACGCAAAGTTGGCAAGGATTCAAGTCAAATAGTTACCTTGTCAACAACGAATTGTGAACAGTAATTTCATCTAAAGGCAGACATATTACAATGAGTCAACTTTGGATTTAACCATTGATGGTGAGGGAAAATAACAAGTTGTCATTCAAAGTGGCGCTAATCATGTGGCTGACAGATGAGTAAGTATGCGTAAGCTATTCGTCCATAGTCTTGAGTCCCTTAACGATTCACGTTAAACTTGTTTAACTTAGACTCAACATACGTAATTTTTCCGGGTGTTGAGTACTAATTCTATGACTATATGTCTGCTTCATCTTCTTAAATGCACTTGTGATACTGTTTTAATACTCTATAGTTGTTGAGCTAAGAGAAATAGCGGGTTGTGGAGAGAAATGCTACCGACAACACCAACGCTATTTGTGGTCTCCGCTGCCAAGAGATTCAATCCATGAGATCTGGAACCGATAGCCGGCTTATGCTCTGGCCCTCGCATCCACTCTTGCTGCCATGGTTGTCAGATCTCTACGTTGATTGCTTGGCAACCTTCTTGGGAAGAGTAAACGCAACCCTCTGAGGAGCGTTAGCAGTCTTCGATTATGAGTGGATTTAAGATTGCCCCTGGATCGAGGTCATGCATCAGAGGTCTCTTATACGAGGCATCGTCGTTCATCTTGAGCGTAACATCAGCACGTGGTCTACCTAGATATCGACTTATATGATGGACGATCGCATCTGATACGAAATAGTTTGTCTGTTGCACGCTTCCACAGAATAACCGTTGTCATAAAGACTCGTTATTGGTACTATAGCATTATTAAAGTATTACAAGCCCAATAATAGCCATTTCTTTATACCCTCACATCATCCTCTTCCTCAAACTTGTACGAGGCAAACTTCCTCGCGGGAATGCCTCTTTCGAACATGATATCCAACTCTTCGTAGGTTCGGCCCTTAGTCTCCGGCTGCATTAAAGAAAACTGTTAGCAAGCTGTACTTGAAAAGGGGCAAGTTATTAGAAGCTGTACTCACCATTCTGAAAATGGTCCAGATTAGCGAAAAGACAGAAATGCCGCCGTATAAGAACTCAATCTTGGCTCCAGCGCCAGCAGCACCAGGGTTGAGCAAGTAGGGTCCAATAACGGAAGTAACCAATCCAGTAAGGGCGTCGATCATGGTGGCGATGGCAATGGTCTTTGATCGGAGTTTCGTCGATGGAGTCTCGCAGACGACGACATAAGTCAGGGGACCGAGGGTTGCCTGCCAGACGAACTGGAGAATGATGAGCAGAGTAGCCTGAGCCCATCGGTACGAAAAGTTGGTTGTGTAATCGTGGGCGAAAGTCAGGAGAGCGACGATGAAGAGAATAGTAACCATGAAGCTAAGACCGAATATATAGGCAGGACGTCGACCGAGATAGATGAGAGGAATAGCCGAAAGACAGGTGCCGATGAACCCGACTCCGTTGAGACCAACTCCCATGTCGAATGCCTGGACGTTGTTGAGACCGATCTGTTCGAAGAAGTATGTTGCGAAGCCGACGGGGTTACCGCTGAAGTTCTGGATGACAAACAACAAGATGCAAATCTCCATACGGCGACGGTTGTGTCCCTTCCAGCAATCAGCGTAGGTGGTACCGACCTCCATCTCTCGCTCGAGGAGATCGGTCTTGACCATCATGGCAAGGGTTTCCTTGATGTTGATGCCCGAGTTCTTTTGAACAAGCTTCGAGAGAGACTTCTCAGCCTTCTCCATGTTGTTCTGGCGAACCAGCCACCAAGGGGACTCAGGTGCAAAAGGGAGGCCGGCAAGCAAGACGACGGGCCAGATCCACTGGATAGCAAAGGGGATCTTGTATGCCCACTGGTCGGGTCGGTTGATGAAGCCACGGGTTACACCGGTCTGGATGAACTGGCCCATGACGTAGCAGAGGTTGATGTAACCAGTGAGGAAACCACGGAGACTGAGAGGAAGGACCTCAGAAGCGTATGTCGTGGCAATAACACAGTAGCCTCCCCAAACAATACCGCTGAGGTACTGACTAGCCGTCAAGACACCAATGGTGTTGGCGAAGAATTGCATAAAGGTCAGGATGGCCGTCAGGACGAGGCAGACGGCAAATGTCTTCTTACGACCAAACCTCTCCATAGGGAACGAAACAAGGTATGCTCCCACAATCTGACCGACCAAGCTGCCCATGCCCATGGCGACCTGCCATCTGGCGGGAATCTGGAACCCTCCGTGATCCGGGCCGTAGTCCACACCAAAGTGCGTCTGGAAAGCGGGCAGCGCGAAGAAGTTGCCGCTGATCTCAATGTCGTAGGCGCGCATGATGATGCTCAGCGAGATGAACATGGACCAGAAGGCGCCTTTGCGGTAGAGCTTGAAGGCCTCCCAGGAGCCGAGTCGATGCTCCTGGGCTGTGCCGTTGTTGGCCATGGCCTCGCTGATGCTGGCCATCTTGCCAGTCTCCCCCGCATTGGTGAGCTCATGCTCGATGTTGCTGGCGACATTTTCGAGCGCCGTGGAATGGGCCTCCTTCTCCATGATGGGCAGACGTGTTGATGGATCTTTGACACTTATGAGTTAACAGGAGAAGAAGAGGCAGCTTATTAGGAAAAAGGCCCTTGAACCGAAAGGCACTTTTGAAGGACAAACCGAAAAGACCCTGCTCTTCACCACCAGATCAGCGTTGCATGCATCGTATTTATATGTCTTGTATAGTCCGAGTTCACAAATAGTCATCCCCGGACTAATAAGGTCAAGTTGCGGGGCTCCGCAAGATCAACTTAGTGCAATCCTGGTTCTGGGGAAGCGACACGAGCCGCATGGAGATGGACGAGCGGCGATATTTTTGCCGAGGCCGGCTTTGTTATTGGCAGTTGGGAAAACAAGTACAGTAACATCGAGATGAGATGAGGTGAGATCCGTCGGAAGTTTACGACATGGTTCAATTCAATGTCACAATGACTACATGACATGTTGCCTGTACTGGTGTGGGCTGCTTTCAAGTCTCAACCAACTTACCTACTGACAGCGTATTAGCTAGTTGCAAGGGCTTCAACTCCCGTCGGGTTGGCAGTAGATCAGCCTTCGGGTAAATTCATTCTATAGTATCACGAGTTTCGCCAGTGCCTTTTTTACCAAACTATTGGAATTTTTACCATATAACAGCTGGTAAACTTTGGCAAACATCGAAAGACTCCAGGTCGATGTTTCGGACGAAAACCCGGGATGCGGCATCTAGTGGCGCTCGATCTAGGCCACACCTCTCCCGGACCAATATCCGGCTCAATATCCGGGAGGAAAAGCAGCTAGATCGACCAATCAGCCAGGGCCCTAGTCGTGGTGAAGGCCAAGGAAGCCAAGAGTCCACCCGAACAATGCTCCCGCACCTAAACCCCACAACGAACAGCTGACTCTTTTTTTTTTGCTCCGGCTGCCGGCTATCGTGGTCGGGGAATTGCGAGCTTGGGGGGTTCTCAGCTGTCTTTATTGGTGATGAGTTGGTTTTCCGGCTTGGCATTTAGCAACGGTTCATAGACTCATGAGCCGTGGGGGGTTATGCGGAGTAGAGCTGTTGCTGAAACATCTCCGCAGCTGCGAACTGAACCTGGAAGCTGCATACATGTCAAGTCATGTCATGTTCATTCGCTTCACGACTCACTCATAGCATAGACGAAGCTTGATTCGCAACATCAGTTTTACAAGATGTCTTCAGAACACAGACTTCATTATACCACTCCCTCAACTACATTCCCTACCTCGCTCCCTCTTGGCAATGGCCGTTTCGCCGCCTCCGTGCTCTCTTCTCCCGCAAAGGAATCCTTCATCTTGAACGAAGTCTCTTTCTGGTCTGGGAAAGAGGAAAAGGCGGGTGAAGGACTAGCAGAGCGACCCACAGATCCCAAAGCCGAGCTGAGAGAAACACAAAAATGCTATCTCAATGGCGATTACGCTCAAGGAAAGAAGCGAGCGGAGAAGTATCTTGAAAGCAAAAAGAACAATTTTGGAACCAACCTTGGTGTTGGGACGCTTGACATTGCCGTCAATGGCCAGGGAAGCATTGATCAAGTTCATGGCTTCGAGAGAGAATTACGATTAGACGAAGCCGTAGCGGAGACAAGATATACTATAAATGGTCGCCAGTTTAAGAGGAGGTCCTTTCTCAGTCATCCGAACCAAGTGCTCGTGGTGCGATTTGATGGTGATGATCTAAGTGGACTGGAAGTTGTGGTTGGCGTGCAGGGCGAGAACGAAGCATTTACATCCAAGATTACTGATGATGGAAAGCTCGAGTTCAACGCCCAAGCCCTCGAGTCAGTCCACAGCGATGGAACATGTGGTGTCAAGGGCTACGGTATTGTCGCGACAACTGTCGATGAAGGAAAAGTCGAGCACCAAGATGCCAAGCTTGTCATTTCAGCGAAGAAGAGCATCACAATATTGGTAACCTTCAATACCGACTACAGCGAGCCGAATGATGAATGGAGAAAGAGAACTCCTCAACAGATGGAAGCGGCTCTGAAGCTCTCTGTAGCTGATCTTCTCAAAGCACATCTGGAAGACTATCAGCCTCTATACAATCGGATGAGCATCTCTTTGGGATCCAAATCCAGTACAACCGCCGACATTCCTACAGACCAGCGTCGAAAGAGCTTTGAGTCTTCTGGATATGCCGATCCCAGCATGTTTGCACTCTACTTTCACTATGCCCGCTACCTTACCATTGCTGGTACCCGTCATGATTCACCCTTGCCGCTCCATCTTCAAGGCTTATGGAATGATGGCGAGGCCTGCAAAATGGGCTGGAGCTGTGACTACCATCTCGACATCAACACGCAGATGAACTACTTTGCGATTCTCAACGGCGGTTTCTCCGATCTCATGCAGCCTCTGGTCAACTATCTGATAAGACTTGCTGCGAGCGGCCAACACGCTGCACGGGTTTGTTATGGCTGCGAAGGCTGGGTCGCTCACGTCTTCAGCAACGTATGGGGTTTTGCAGATCCCGGCTGGGAGGTTTCGTACGGCCTTAACGTGACGGGAGGCCTTTGGATGGCAAACCATCTAGTCGAGATGTTTGAGTATTCTCTAGATGAAGCTTTCATGGCCAACGATGCATGGCCGGTGTTGGCGGGTGCAAGCAAGTTTTTCCTTGACTACATGGTTGAAGATCCAAAGACGGGCAGGCTTCTCACAGGTCCGTCTGTAAGCCCAGAGAACAGCTTCTTCGTTGTCAACGAGAACGGTGAAAAGGAAGAGCACTATGCAGGTTTGGCCCCGACTCTTGATGTCGTCTTAGTCCGCGATCTCTTGGCATTCTGCGAGTATGCTGCGACAAGATTCAACACTGACAAGTTCAACTGGGAGGACGATATCCGGAGATATCGAGAGGCACAGGCGAAGCTGCCCCCATTCCAGATTGGCAAGAATGGTCAACTTCAAGAGTGGCTGCATGACTTTGAAGAAGCTCAGCCCTACCACCGACATCTCTCCCACACTATGGCCCTCTGCCGGTCAGCGCTAATCTCCGCTCGGCACCAGCCTGATCTTGCAGAAGCAGCGCGAGTGACGCTGGAGCGAAGGCAAGGCAGAGACGATCTCGAGGATATTGAGTTTACGGCGGCTCTCTTTGCCCTCAATTACGCACGATTGGGAGACGCAGAGAAAGCTGTTGCCCAGATTGGTCACTTGGTGGGCGAGCTGAGTTTCGATAACCTGCTCAGCTACAGCAAGCCGGGCGTGGCAGGGGCTGAGAAGAACATTTTCGTGATTGATGGTAATTTTGGAGGCGCGGCGGCTATTTCTGAAATGTTGATTCGATCCATCATTCCTCGTCTGGGAGGTCCGGTTGAGGTAGATTTGCTTCCGGCTTTACCCGCGGCCTGGTCTGAAGGAACGGTGGACGGCATGCGAATTAGAGGGGGTTTGGTGGCTCATTTCGAATGGCATGGTGGTAAGCTGGACGGCGTGACTTTCAAGGCCTCTGCAGCATCGTCGTTGATTGTGTATTATGATGAGTATCGATTTGAGGCAACGTATCAACCTGGAGACATTATTAAGCTGGGACCGTCGCTGCAACTGCAGAACTAGGTGAGAAGGGTTAGAAGGGTAAAGCACTATGGTCCAAAGCTGGCAATAAATAGAGAAAATGCATGATGAAATAAGTGGCCGAGCTATTAGTATCATATATCATTTGATGTTATTAAATCGACAATGATTGGAGATGAAAGTTGAAAGTCCGTGTCTTGTTCGGCTCAACTCAAACCCCCGGCTCTCTTGTTCCGGCCCGAGCCCGGACTTGTTTACCCAATTCATTATACGGAGGGCGATACGACGTGCTATAGGGTATAGTCCACTATAGATCGAGCGCTAATGGCGCTATACTGCGAAGTCTATCCCTGTTGGGGTGCAGGGCAGGAATAAAGGATTCAGATGCGTGGTGATAGCGTGCTGGACTAGGATGCGAGAGTAAGATACAGTTGGCCTAAATGGCAATAAGGTTATATGCGCCATCCGTCAGGATAGTTTCTTATCCAATAAATGAGCGGGAAATTGATATGTCTTGTGTCTATTGTACCGTGTAATACACTTAGTTATAGAGGCAACTTGCTCCGTGTTGAGAGTTACTGTATCCGAGGTCTAGGTTCCTCTATTTGCCGCTGACTTTTTCTACTATAAACGGCCCGGCAGATATCGGAATTCGCAAGTTCGACTCATGTCTGTGCGAAGTCCGCAATAATTGTCTTCCAAAGTCCGAAACTCTTGTCTCAAGCACGGAAAGAGTTGTACCAACGGGCTTTCACAATCATCACATCATTGAACCTTTTCACAACCATGGAGCCACATAGTCAGGCGGTGGCGCTAAATTCCATGGAGCTGAATCAAGCATGGCAGATTCAAACTCTAAAATTACCCATGCATTGACACTTGATCGCTTCTGTCGTTGATTGATCCTCTCTTCCCGCCATCGTGAAAAATAATTCCGCCCTCAACCTTTCTTCTCTACTGCTTCTCTGCTGCTTCTCTCTCTGTTCCACACATTCTTCCATTTCCATTCTTCGCCCTTGATTAATAATCATCACGAATCATCAACATTACCTAATGCCTCCATCTCTGCCGTGCCTTTGTTAGTTGGTTCAAAGAGGCAATCAATGCTCTTGTCGGCCAAAGTCATGAAAACTGCACGATACGCCACCTCTCGACAAAAGGCCTGCCAACAATGCTCAGTCGCCAAGGCACGATGTGACCGCAAGGAGAGATGCTGCTCGAGATGTGCTCAGCGCGGCCTTGCCTGTCTTTATCCGCATTCCACTTCCACCTCTGCTCCCTCGTCAACCACATCCATCACATCTTCATCCTCAGCATCAAAACCACAACCACAGACACAACCACAGACTCAACCTCATATTCACACTGCATCTCACCTCCCCGTCTTCGTCGACAGCAGCGATCCCAGCCCTATTCCCAGCTTCTCCCGCGCTTCTGGCGGTGCTCTTCCCAGCCCTGAGCGCGACGAACTGTCACCACCAGGCGTAACCCAAGACCCAGCGACGCCGTCGGTTCACCCTGGCTTCGCGGATCACAGCCCCATCAGCTTCTCAGCGCCGGCTGGCACGAGGGCGGAGTGGCCGGTCGCGCAGTCGCTCGATAGCCCAGCCTCGGTCCCGGAGTTTTTCGACTTTTCCAACCTCGATCTCATCTGCCCCATCGCCCCGGAGGAAATCAGCAACCGATGGCTCAACGCGTACATCCCGATTCCTGGCCAGAGTGTCAAAAACTACCCGCCCACTGTGGCGGCCTTTATCTACCGGCTGCTAAAGTCGTACACCGGCATGGCCGTGCATGGCCGCGGGTTTCCGCCGTTTGTGCACACAGCCCAGCTCACGGCCCAGGGGCCCAACCCGCAGCTGTCGTCTTGTCTGAGCATTATCCGGATATGTGACAAGCCACTGCCGGGCAGCGAGAATGTCACTGCCGAGATAATGCAGAGGGAGATGAACAATCTCTTTGAACAGCGTGATACGTATGACCATCTGGCGCTGCTTAGTGCATTCCAGGCCTACCTCATGTACACCATGGTCCTCTTCTTCAGGCTTAGTCAAGGCCTCAGCCCTTTTCTGCGCCAAGCAATGATGAATTTACAAGAGTTGGCGTGCGTCACAGCTCGGCAGGGGCTCATGTGCGTGGCAGAGCAGCAGCGCACGCGCCCCAAGTGGGAAAGCTGGATCATTGCCGAAGCTTCACGGCGAACACTCTTCACCATGTACCTCTTTGACAGTGTCCTCTCGTCTGAAGACGGATTGCCGACGTTTCTCGGGATAGAGCTGGAAGGGTTGCCGGCAGTATCGAGCAAAACTCTGTGGTTCGCTCAGACACGACGCGACTGGGAAAAGGGGTACAACATATATCTTACCGCATGGGACGAGGGCATGCTCCGCATCAATGAACTGTGGCCGATCCCTGAAAGCCTAGAGGAATCGGTGGTTGCAAGGAGGCGCCAGAGAGTTGACAGTTGGCTGGAGGATCTAGACGAATTTGGCACCATGCTCTACGCAGTCACAAGCTGCACGCATGGAGGGTGAATTGACATACTGCAGCACAATTTGCCCATGGCTCTAATTTAATGATAATCTATACACAACCTGCCCCTATTATTCACTGCCATTAAGCCCAATTTCATCATTGCACTATGGAATAAACTCTAAGAATGCTCAAGAGCCTCTAACGCTTCTTCAAGTGTAATGACCTTGAGGTTCATTTTCGGCATGAGATAATCCAAATACACAGCGGCAAATTGCTCATGTTGGGATACTGGCATTTCCAACACGTTATCCTTAATCACGATGATCTTGTAATCCAAATCAAACAGTCGATAGACGGTGCTCATGACGACTCCGGAGAGACTAAGACCGGACTGGTACAGAAACAAAGTTAGCTATGTCAATATTATATCAAAGACAACTACTCGACGTTGATGTGACTTACAATGACAACAGTGTCGATATCGTTCTTCTTGAGAATGTCTTCCAGCTCATTCCCTGCACCACCATACCATCGTATCTTCTGAAGGACAACATCCTTTTCATCCACGTTCATGTACTCAGGTACTTTGACGCCAGGATTATGTTCATCAAAAGTAGTGAACCCATTCACAAGCTTGGTAAAAGGGGCTTCTGCTGGAAGCTCGGCCTGAGAAGGGCTGGTGAAGTACAGAGTCGTGAAGATGTTTGGGGGTCGGGGAACTTGCTTATGCACCGCATCGACCCAACGAGTGCAGTTGGCCACGAATTTGGTTCCTTCGGGCGTGCGCTTGGCAATGTCGAACAGGATGTTCATGAAATCAAGGTTCAGCACGGCATATCGCTTGCCGAAGCTCAGGGGGGAGGAGCCGTTGGTGTTCGTAGACGACATTTTTGCTGCATGGGCGAATGGAAGTGTGCTTTGAAGCAAGCGGAATTGGGAATATGAGCAATCATCCTGTTTTATTTTGGGTCTCTCCTGTTGATGTTGCTGAAACTGGGCTTTGTCAGTTGATTCTGGAGAGATCGTGCATCAGCTCCGGAAATATCCGGACATTGTATTGTTGAATGTCATTAAGTCCTGTTCCAATATGGATGGCAGGTGGGATGTGATTGGATGCTTCGAGACAGTGTTTTGGCTCAACTCCGGAATGCTCCACGCTCAACTCCGACATTCCAATCCTCAGCTCCGAGACCTGTGTGGCATTTGCCCCTGCAAAAGGGTATATAGAACGATTGAATTCTTTGGTCAATCCGAATATGGCATCGTCTTTTGATAAACCACAATAAGATACAAATAAGAATTGAATAAAATGTCATCGAAACCTGATAATGAACAAGATGTTGAAAATGCTTCACCCACGATAACGCCTCCCTCGACTCCAGAGGCAAACGAGCCTTACAGCATATTCGACAGTCGACAAAGAGCTTTCATCGTGATAATAGTCTCCACAGCAGCAACATGTAAGTGAATCGCTCAGATCCTACTAGAACTTATACCGTTAGATCTACATGTTTACTAATAGCTTCCCTGCTGTAGTTTCTGGATTCGCGTCCAACATTTACTTCCCGGCCCTCCCAACTATCGCAAAGGACCTCAATGTCTCTGTCGAACTCGTCAACCTCACAGTTACTTCATACCTCATCTTCCAGGGAATTGCTCCCAGTCTGTGGGGTCCCGTGTCTGATGTCAAAGGACGCCGAGTCGCATACTGCTGTACCTTTCTCGTCTTCGTCGGTGCATGTATCGGCCTTGCTGAGACCAAGAACTATGCCACTTTGATTGTCCTTCGATGTCTCCAGAGCACAGGAAGTGCGAGCACAATTGCCATTGGCTCTGGTGTCATTGGAGATATCACCACTCGAGCCAACCGCGGAAGTCTCATGGGAATCTTTCAAGCCGGTCTGCTCGTTCCCGTTGCCATTGGTCCAGTCATTGGAGGTGCTATTGCCGGATCATTGGGGTGGAAGGCCATATTTTGGTTTTTGACAGCATATGGCGGCGGTTTCCTGTTATTCCTCATTGTCTTTCTGCCGGAAACTCTTCGATCCATTGTCGCAAACGGCAGCCGAACTCCATCATCGCTCATTGGAAAATACCCTCTTACCGTATACCAAAGACTCTCAAAGATTGAATGGAATCGGGAGGCATCGACTGCAGCGCCAGATGCGAAGAAACGCATCGATATTTTCGGTCCGTTCCGAATTCTCATCAGCAAGCACGCAACTCCCATCATTGTCTTCCTGTCGATATACTATGCTGTCTGGCAGATGAGCATTACTGCCATGTCGACTCTCTTTGAGCAAAAGTACAACTTGAAGGAGACGCAAATCGGTCTGACATTCATTGCCAACGGAGTGGGCTCCATGGTAGGAACCCTTATCACGGGCAAAATCCTCGACAAGGACTACAAAAAGGTCAAGGCCGCCTATGACGCTCAAGTAGCTCAGACGGATCTTGAAAATGGCACCGAACTTACTCGCTCTGCTACTCAATCCGAAGAGGATTTCCCTATTGAAAAGGCTCGCCTGCGTCTAATCCCCGTCTTTTCCATCATCCAATGCCTGTCGATCCTTTTGTTCGGCTGGACAATCAATTATCCTCATCGCGTCCCCATTGCTATTCCCATTATATCTACATTCATCACTGGCTGGACTGCCGTCTCGACGCAATCCACCATCATGACATACCTCGTCGACATCTTTTCGGACCGCAGCGCCGCGGCCAGCGCCAGTTTGAACCTCGCGAGATGTCTCTTTGCTGCCGGCGGCACCAGTCTTGTGATGCCAATGGTGAATGGCATTGGCGTCGGATTGGCGTTTACTATTTGCGCCATTGTGCAGTTCGTTGCGCTTTTAGGACCGGCCATTCAATGGAGATTTGCTGCTGGTTGGCGGAAGCAGGCCCGGATGCAGAAGAAGTAAGCATCCGCTTGTGTGAAGAGCTGGAGTAACTGCCACTGCAGCTCTGCACATAACATTAAAAGCATCGTGTGGATTGTAAAAGTGTATTATAGACAATTAGGCGCTTCGACCTCGAGGGAAGCCTGATAGCACTAGCATATTATATAGAATGCGCATTAGATTGAGAACCATAATAATAATACTGATAGAGTACGGAACTTATAGACCATATCAATCGCCTTCATAAATCGAAAGGGAGTCAAAATCTACACTATTTGAGAGCAAGGTTAACAGATAAAATGTCTAATATTATTTCTTTATACATGTCTAAGAAATTCTCATTATTCGTAATCTAGTCGTTATGGCCCGTAGCCACTCCCCAAAAGTACGTTGCCCACGCTCCCAACAAGAGGATTATTGTAGCAGCGAAGCAAGACATGCTCAACTTCTTCTGGAACTCTCGGTTTGATCCCTCCTCGAAATCCTCTTTGAGGGCATTGATCTTTTCACCCCTGATGATCCTCTGCTTTCGTGTCCACTGTAGCCTGCCCATTGTAGGGTTGAAAAAGCTGAGGCCAACTATTATCGCGCCGACGACGACAGAGCCCGCTGCAAGGACGACGTAGAGGATAATGACCCGGTTATAGCTGTCGTTGTCATGGTCTTGAATGACACCCGCCACGATGCCGATGATGATTGTCATGCTGTTGTTGATAGCAATCTTGATAGCATAACCAGAGCCGAAAACTTCCTGGTACCACATGCTGGTGCGGATGCTGTCAATGATGACCGTGGGGCCGAGTGAAGCCGCAAACGCATAGATGCCGAAACTGGCTGCGGTACCTCCAATAGTAGGACCAAAGGCGGCAAGACACATGGAAAGCAGCATACCAAGACCGCAGACCAGCATAATGGTGTTCCGCTGACCTAGTATATCGATGAAAACGCCCAGGAGAGGCACCAAGAAGAATCCGAGGTACTGGGACATGGCTGAATACCAACCTGCAGTGACGGCTGAAATGTTGAAACGCTTCTGGGCGAATTCGGTCGCATTGGAGGAGAAGACGCTGGCAACGGATGTCTGGAAGAGAGAAAACAAGGCCACGAGCCAGAACGGCCAAGGGAGTCGCAACATCTTGGTGATCTCAAATTTCTTGTTCTTCTCTGTCAATCTCTCGCCGGTTGCCGGATCGTTTGTACCGGCGTATCGTCGCTCACAGTAGTTTGTGAAGATGTAGAAACCGACAGTCACCACATTCGTAAAGAGGTTAATGAAGACGGCACACCAATACACCCAGCTGAAATTTCCCGTGTTCTTGGCGATGACGTTGGCAGATGCCTGGCCAACGAAACTGCCGATTTTGCCAAGGCCCAGCTCGAAGCCAAGGGTTGAGGCAAATCCGTTGGAGGGAGCGAACCATGATGAGAAGACTTTGTACTGCGCGCACTGGGTAGCGACATCGCCAAGTGCCTGGACGACGCTGCCAAAGATCATGAATTTGAAATTGCGGACTTGGGTGGCCGCCGCAATGAGAATGGCTCCGACGCTGTAGACGGCGTTGCCCCAAAGCATAGCTCCTGGTGGTTGATGACTGTTAGTTTACAACGGTTACAGAAGCATGACTGGTGTTATACGTACTTGCACCACCAATTCGGTCTGTGACGACGCCGCTGACAAGGATCAGAGCTGTCTTGATGAAGTTTTCACTCGCATCCAAGGTTGCATATTGGGCGTTGTTGATGTGCAGCTCCTATGAATGTGTTAAAGATGATCGCCTGTTAGGTACAAAGCAAGAGAGCCAACCTTTTTCAGAGTGCTTTTCATGGCTCCCGTCACTCCGCTGCTCCAGTGAGATCCAAATCCAACCAAACTGACGAGTATGACAGACAGAATCTTCATGCTCCACGGGATGTTGGTCGTCCGCTGTCGATCAGACGCAGAGTCCGACTCATCACCAACCGGCACACCGACAACATCGGCGGGATGCTTTTCCTCGTCACTCATGATGCGCAACACTCTTCCCCTTGCAGAGGTCACAAAGAGTATGATCTGATTGAAGTGACTAGAGCGAGTAAATTACAACGGGCGGACGCTGGAGCAGCACCACGGATGGGCGACACTTGGGGCTTTAAGAAGGGAATGCATGCTGGCAGGGATCTTATCTGATTGATTGATATGGAGACTGATTGATAAAGTGTGTGATGGCCACGGTGGATCGGGGGGCCACATGGCCATCGATTTGTGCCCGTTTAGTTGACCGTGTTCGGACCTTTAGCCGGTTCTAATCACCTCGTGCGTAAGCTATATGGATCTTAAACTTGCTCTCCGAGCAATTCCCACTTGGAAGAAACCCGAGAGGAGGTGCTGTGTCCACGATGCCAAGACAATTCAACCAGGGAGATGCATGACAAGCGCTGACTAGCCAGTAGAAAATTTTCAACAAGTGCGGAGAGTCGATTGTGGTTCATGATTTGTTGGACAGCCAGCATCCAGAGTCGCATCTATAATTAGACATGCATACATAGAGACGAACGGGTTATGGTTATCAGGGAAGGGCTCTTGACTCTTGGCGTCCATCATGCTGAAGATGGCATAAGCGGACATTAGGATGCCTTGCCAATTGCCTTCATGTTGCCTTTCATGGAAATTCTCATGGCGAAGCTGCCCCTACGATTGGCCAACGCAAGACTCGGAGCTACTCGTACCTTATACTGGGTATATGAGCACTAGTATAAGGGCCATTTTTCTTGCAAAAATGACTCGAGAAATGGGACTGAGGGGGTCCATGTTGAACCAGTGCCGATTATCCAGTGTCATTCGATAATGCCTCATATTCTGCTTTAGTGGTCTAGAGGGGCTCTCCGTTACGTATTCGCCCAGGTCCTTCGTACAAAAGAAAAACGTGCCTGTTTTCGAGGTGGATTCTGTCTCGTTATCCGCCGGGCAAACTGAGTGATCCGAGCGACTCCAGACCCGCTTGTCAAACCAAGAAGCATGGCTGCATTAGCACGGAAATAACCGTAGAACATGCATGATATGGTTAAACTGTTCGTTCAAGAGCATCGGAAGGCTGTCTGAAGCTGTATATCAGGCCTATGGCGCTCAAAGCTTTGCTCACAGAGATTGCCCGAGAATTTGTCCCAAGGATGGAAACCGGGTAGTTGAGAGTAGCGTCGCATTGTGTTGCCGAACTGAACCGCTCATATTGAAACTTTTGACAGCCTAATCATTCTGTCCCAGTTTCATAAGGAATGACCTTCTGATCGATCAATTGCATCTTTGTCGAGTTGTGTCGAGGTTGCCACGTTACCGCACATACTCTACCGATGACTTGGGCCAGGCGTTGTGGTGCCAAAAATATGCGCGCAGAGGAAATTTTGGCTTTGAGTTGACTCAAAATTTTCAAAGCACCGTAATGGAGTGAATCAAGCCAGAATAAGTCAAGATGAACAAAAGGAAAAGAAGAAAGCAGTATTTGAGCAGATCTTTGAGAGCAATGCCAAAAGTCACAGAGCAGTGAAGAGTGAAGAGCTCTGAAAGTTCAAGTGCAGGGATCGCCCCACCATGAGTGCGATAATCGATAAGATAAGCCACTGCAGCTCTTTTGGAAAAAAAAATTTCCCTAGCAAAGCAGCTTCATTCATCCCATTGATGGCATTGGCCGGAAGATTTGCGACAAAATGTCCGCCTCAATTGCGTCGCCCGAGCCGGCAATTTCAAAATCCGAAAAGAAGCACAAGAAGGACAAGGTGTCCAAGTCAGAAAAGAAGAGAGATAGGGAAGAGGATGCCCTAACCGACAGAACCCGCAAGCACAAGAAGTCCAAGAGCGCATCCGTCGAGGAGAACCAGGACGAAGAGGTCGAGGCTTCACAACTGCTGGACGACGATGCCGAAGTAACGCACAAGAAGAAGAAGAAGGAGCACAAGAAGAAGCACAAGGAAGAGGAGCACGATGCCGAGGATGCTGGCGAAGAGAAGCCCAAGAAGAAGAAAAAGTCCAAGAAGCATGCCGACGAGGAAGCCGAGAATGATGACGCTCCTGAGGCTGCCGATGCCGATGCTAGTGTCATGGATGTCGAACAACCCACCCAGCAGACATCCTCTGAAATCTACCAACCTCCCGATATCCCTGCCAACCCTCAGTATCCATTCTACAGCCAGACTGTTTCTCTTTACGAGCCCATATACCCCATCGGCTGGTCGCAACCAGTAACGAACAGCGAGTACCAACACCTACAGCACCTCAAGAACAAATACGTTCCGTCCTTGAGGGGTGTGTTGATGAACTACAAGAACGTCGCTCTGGGCGAGAACCCCGGCCGCAAAGGCGCCGCCGCTTCAGACGACGACCCGACCACCCTAAAGTCAGTCAACGAGTTCGCAGTTGGCTTTGGCTGGATCACCGCTGAGGTCGATCTGTTTGTCCCCAGCCGTGGTGCGTGGATGGAAGGCAGCATCAACCTTCAGACTGAGGGCCACATCGGTGTCGTCTGCTTTGGTCAATTCAACGCCTCTATCGAGGCTCGACGCCTACCATCTGCCTGGAAGTGGGTTTCTAACGAGGACCCTGAGGCCTATGGTATGGAGGAGACTGCATCCGTGATTACTGCGGACGATCACGGAGTTGTGCGCCAGATCCACAGCACGGGATTCTGGGTTGACGGAGATGGAAAGAAGGTTAAGGGCAAGATTCGTTTCCGCATTCGCAACTTCGATGTCGGTGTCAGCGGCGAGACGAGCTACCTCAGTTTGGAGGGAACCATGCTGGACCGGGAGGCGGAAAAGGCACTTGTCAAGGAAGAGGCCGCAACGGCAGCTTTGAGAAAAGGAACCAAGGGGGCTCGCAAGATCCAGAGAAGAAGAGCTCCAGAGTTTGCCATGACTCGTTTCATGGATGAGGCGGAGCAACCAGCCGAGGCACAACCTGCAGAGGCAGAGGCAGCTACAGCATAAAAGGGAGAAAAGAGAATTTTGGCATCACTAACAGGACATCGAGTGGTAGAGGGAGGCCATCAGCCGGGGGAAACATGCTTTCGGAGTTTACTATAATACCCTCTTTGGATGGGGGCTTGTCACAATATTTATGAGCGTTGTACATTTGAGAATTGAGTCAACTATTTCATTGCATTGCTAAGCATGGGCTGTGTCTGTCGTTGGGCTGTGACAACCCCTTCAGCTATCCTATAATTCCAAAATGCAGAGTACTTTGTACAAATGCCAAACCAGATACGTGTGCTGCGTGAATCCTGTCCCGGCTGCACTCTGATTTTCTACGCCGATGCCTTTACCATCGGTTCCCATGGCCGTGCCAAATTCCAGAGATATATCTCTCCAATTGGCTCGCTTGTTGTGTTCTTTACAACAACGTGTTGAAAGGGGGTCATGGCTGACGACAGTAGCAACGTGTCAACCCAGGGAGAAGCATCTTCCCAGCTAGGCTGCTCACAGAATCGGTCAACCTGTTCTCTAAAGGTGTTCCAATCCGAATGGTCATTTACAACGACTTGAAATCGCACTCCTTGGATATCAACCGTGATGCGCTGCACCATGCTGGGAAACTCATCAGAGCACCCGCTGCTGAGAATCCACGAGTAATCGGTTCTATCGCCGTTGCTTTCCCAGTCGTACCACACCTGCGTTCCCCTTTCTGAAAAGTCGCTCAGCACCAGTCTTGACTGTGCGTCGAAGCTGATTGCGCAGTGTTGTTTCGATATACCCTCGACGCTGGGTAAGACGATATCGCAGGTCCTTGGATCCGTGCCGAGGATGAAGCTGCCTGGCCGTTTAGGCGGTTGTGAGAATGTGAGTTGAATGGCTCGCCCGGGAGCATGGTTTGTGAGGTTGGAGAGACGGGATGTGAGATATGGGTACGAATTTGTGGATGAGATGATGCGGGAGGCGTTTTCGGGGAGATGGGTAGATTTGTCGGCCCAAGAATGATGTGTGGTTGGGACGAGCCAGGCGATGATGTCGTCGGGATGAGATTCCATGGTGAGATGTTTTGAGTTATTAAGAGTGTATAATTATTTGTATGGTGTCAAAAGTGAATGCAGTTGAAATGAAAGTAAGCGCCGTGGTGATACAATATGCCTAAGCAGGTCGTTGGGTGTAAAGAGTGAATCACAAATAAGTGTGTCGTTGCATGCGTATTAAGCCCGTGTTGTAGACGGATGCCGATTTAAAAATGAGAGAAAGCAAGTTGATAAAAAAGAATTTGAGCAAGATTTAAAGACCAAAAGAGAGATAGTTGTACAGAAACAAGATTGAATACAAAGAAAAGCACACATCTAAGGGATTCCAGCCTCGCTACTTATATAGAGACTATCTTACATGCAACATGCAACATGCAAAATCTTCATCTCAGCCCAACAGCCCGACGATCCACGACAAACGCGCTCGTCGCATGGACAACGAGCATCTACTGGCCACGATCTCGTGCTGCCGCGTCGCGAAAACAGCTGACTTGCATGAACTATAAGCAGATGACGCATACTTTTATGTTTTCTGCAGCCCTTTAGTGGTGGCTGGTCGCTGCATCGTGAAAAAAGTGAGGCTTTGGGCAGTAATGAGATTCACGGTGCCGTGGCGGAAGGCTGGGAGCCAATCATTTGCTACTGGATGGCCTAGTTTGGTGCGCGACAGCACGCGAGATGCGCGTTTGGGAATGTCGCGGGTCGCGAATAGTGGTGAAGATTTAATTTTCATGTCTAACATTGGTTTCAGATTTGGGCTGGGAAATCATTGTTGAGGTGCTTCTTGTTTGTGTACTGAAGGAGGTGATACAGGACAAGTTCGAAGCTGCACCAAGCAAACAACAGTCAGTAGCTTGACGTGGACTAATACAAAGAATCGTGCGGCTGCTGCCTGGACTCGGTGACATGAGACGACATTTTGGGAGTCATCAGGAGACTCGATCGACATGTAGTGAGTGCATGAGCATTCAATGGCTGTTGTTTACTTTGTCGAGAACTGCAATTTCATGATGGTTGAACCATGATCAGCTCTTTTGCAGTGGGTGAGTGAAAGAGGTACTTGCGCTGAGGTACCATTACAAATTGCTGCCTCACATTTAGGGCCGCAAAACCAGCTCCTCCAGCGGCCGACCTTCACCCGAACTGGAACCTTTGCGGCATCCGAATGCCTCATCCCACGACATCATCGAAGGCCAATTGAATCGCAAAAATGGCTTCCGACGCAGCTACAGATGCGCGGCGTAAGTGCACCTGCTCTCGCTCACTGCGATGAGCCCCCGAATCTCTATCCGCAGCCGCTGACACAACCGCAGAGGCGACCCGCGAGGAGATGCGCGATGCCAAGCTCCCTCTCGCCTACAGAGACAGCTGCGCTCACCTCCTGATTCCCCTGAACAAGTGCCGAAGAGAGACCTGGTACGCTCCGTGGAGTTGCACGGTATGTTTTCATCCAGCCCGGAGTCGAACGAGCCGCGATATGTGGACGGGGAGAACGTTGGGAGCAAAAGGACAGTCTTTGCTAATTTGTATCGGATGGGGATGTTAGGACGAGAGACACGGCTACGAGAAATGCCAGTACGTCGAGTTCAAGAAGCGGGTGGCCAAGATGAACGAGCTGCGGGAGTCAAAAGAGGGCGCACGAAGCAACTAGGGTGCTGCGAGGACGATGGGACGCCGTGTACATATCATCCATGCATGAGGAACGGGAATAGAAAAATTTCTAAAGGTCCGGATCTTGAATGGTGCACGTGTTTTCTTTTGGTGCTCTGGAAATACAGATATTGAACTTTGAGGGAATGATGTCGGCAATCTCATTTGAACACTCTGAGAGAATGGCGAATGAGGTCAAATGATATCGAGCAGCAAGGATCGACATGAGCTTTTTATTTCTTTTCAAGTCAGACTTCATCCACCAGGTCGCTCTTATTATCTAGCCCAGCCCATTTCGGTTTTCCGTCAGGTATATCCACAACCCGCTGCGGATAGAAAAGGTGGCACATGCATGCAATGTTAGATATCTTGTCCAAACCGAAATTCCGGGGAATTACATACTGGACAGCGAAATTCTTCTTCTGGTCTTCGTTTTGAAATGACAGGAGCGTTGGAAACAACAGGACCATGTTTCGTCCTTCATCCATAATGAGGGTGCCGCAATGAGAGCAGCTCACTTTGCAGGGTAATTCATGTTCTGGTGACTGTGATCCTGAGTTGTAAAAGCGCAGGCTCTCGACACCTTTCTGGAATGCCATATCCGACTTTTGAAATATTGCTGCCCATTGGAAAGGGGCACCTATTACTTGGTATAAGTCTATCTGGGAGCATGATATAATGCAGAGAAGTAAGTGGGCTGATAAGTTAAGGAGATGCTTTACCGTGGATGACTTTACAATCGCCGCAGTGACAGTATTTGGAGGCTAGAGGTTTATCTTGGCTGAGCCAGTATTTTACTCTGCCGCAGTGACAGGCTCCTTCCAGTGCCTTGTTAAAATTCTGGTCAGGCTCTTGGTAAGGTGGCTGCGTTTTCCAGTTTTGGTCCGCCATTTCGAGATGTAGTACAATTGTGGATAGAAAAGACGGTATATAATTTAATATGTCAGGCACTCCTGAGACGTTGATCGTAGAAAAAGGATATTACTGGGCACAAATACTATTCACAGTTGCTCATTGACAAGTTATATTACTATGAGAGTACATGACGTAACAGTTGTGACGATATCATGATGGTTGATCTTCAAGGTCTCGGGTAGATGTAGTGAATGGCAATGGTCATGATGCTTTCGTGTAGCCACACAAAGAATCACCAACAAATGAAATTTAAATACATAACAAGCATAGACACGAGGGAAGTAGAAGTAAAGGTTTCAAACCTTCAGATGACACGCTCAGACTCTGTTGCTCGCACTGGACCGTCTAAGCCAAAAGTGGCTCAAATCCGACTTCCGTGTTTCGACAAGAGGCCATCCGTATTTAAGAAGAAACCACTTGCACGGAGTTAACACGGATTTAAGATCATATGGACTTTATGGAGGAATCTCGAATAGGTAAGTAATTCGTATCTTCACAGAAAAGCTCCAATTTATATCTATTGCATGGGTCTAATCAAGAATGTGCTGCTTTTGGTTCTTTCAGTTGCGCATTCTGGATCTAAGACGGGCTGTCGCTAAAAGCGGGGTGAGATGGAAAAGAATTCCGCGCAGTTGACCCCGCCTTAAAGAAAAAAAAAAGACTGATAGGCGGCGATTTGCATTGGTGCTGTTTATTAGACTGAGAATGGATGTCCGTTACGCAAAAGCGTGTTGGTTGAGTACATACATGTAAACACCACAACTACATCTTGTTCTCGATGCCAAGCTTTGGAGATACCATCAAAATTCTCCCAAAACAGAACAATAATCTTCTCATAAACTAAACTGCGCGACTCGCTGTCTTCGAGCCCCTCTCGGCGGTTTGCCGCCCTCTCGGGGATTTGCCGCAGTCACACCCGCCGGCCGTATCGGCACCGACGCCGGCAATAACCAAAGCTCGATATGGAGCCCTTCCACCCTTCCACCCTTCCAACTGCCAATCCCAGGACTCGGCCTTCTCGTTGGCGGGTTTGAAGATCCCATTTTGTAACTATGAAGCTACTGTGCCGTTACCGATTGTCAAATTTGTCCGCGCAAGACCCACCCCGAGGAGAAGGAGGTGGAAAACGAGGTGCAAGCTGGGTATATAAAGGCAAGAAAAATGAAGCCCACTATGCTTGTCAACAACTCGCTGAGCTTCAAAGTCTTGATACAATCACCTGTTCTTCTTTTCCCTCTTCACTTTCATCTCCTCACACATCAAACTAGACACCATGGCTACTAGCGAGGCGTGCTGCAAGTTGGCTCCGGTCACCGTTGACTACACTCCCAAGGGCAAATACGAGAGGATTGCCGGCATCAACACCTGTAAGATCTGAGCCATCTCTAATGAACCTCAGCCTCAACCTCGACGGCACAAGGGCAGCATTCCTGATACATGACACCTAGACATCGTGGGACCTGAGAATGCCACCAAGGGAATTATCGACATTTACGACATCTTCGGCATCTGGCACCAGACCATCCAGGGCGCTGACCGTCTCTCCGCTCACACTGGATTCGTCGTCCTAGTTCCTGACTTCTTTGACGGCCCGGGTCTGGACATTGACGCCGTTCCCATGGACACTGAGGAGAAGCAGAAAAAGGTGCAGGCCTTCTTTGGCTCCACTGGCAACCCCCAGACCAACCTGGAGAAGCTGCTGGTCCTCCGTAAGGCACTGACGGAGAAGTTCCCGGCCGTGGAGGGCAACTGGGGTCTGTTTGGCCTCTGCTGGGGCGGCAAGCTGGCTGTTTTGGCTTGCGGAGAGGGCAACGAGGGTGTTGGTCGACGATTCAGCGCCAGCGGAACGGCTCATCCTGGGTAAGGTTTTTTTTTTGAGAGAGTGTTCATGAAGGATGTGACATTGTTCGCTAACCAAGTATGTATCATGTAGTCTCATGGATGAGAATGACGCCAAGGTCCAGACAGCTCCTCATCTCTTGCTGGCTTCCAAGGATGAGCCTGCCGACAAGGTTGCTCTGTACAAGGAGATTATGGGCGATAAGATTGAGTCTACTACTTATGAGACTATGCACCACGGATGGATGGGCGCCAGAGCTGACCTGAAGAACGAGGCTAATGTCAAGGAGTATGAGCGCGGTTATAAGCAGGCCGCCGACTTCTTCGCCAAGCACCTTTAGGCGGAGAGAGTTGGTAGTTGGGGCGGTTTCAATATAAAAAAATATGTAAAAGAAAGAATCTGATACCCAAAGTCATCTTTTACTTGTTAATGACGGTGAAATCTCAAACTTATTGCGCCAAGGATAGATGTGTCCCGCCATCCCCTCTAGCATACTGCTTGGCTGCTTGGCAAACGGTCAGATTACGTATGTTTGTACGCCCTAGTGGGGGTTCAGCTGCAGGTTATGGGTTTCAAATACTCCTACTGGACGGAAGAGCACTAGGTACTTGTTTATTCTGTTTGATTCAGGATGAAAACAGGCATAGACAAAAGTTCTGGTCATAGTTCTTGGATAGGGGAAGCTCCCTATTACATACGATTGTGTTTCTGTTTACGGAGTAAGCTGCAACGGAAGGTAGCAACCGAGTACTCAATCTGGTTTTGGTGAAGTCGCTCGTTAGAACACCAGTACGCAGCATCATGGCTGCCGCGCATAGTTTTGCCCAAATAGTATATTGATTCGAGTAACTAGAACATATGTTTTCACAAACTGTGAACCTCTTGTACCTCTATTGGTGCGAGTAACACCACCGCCAGGTGGAACTCAATTGACAAATGATTGACATCAGGCCCTTGCACGATGGTCAGCATTTAGTAACACCCCATGGGGGGATCCGTTTCCAGAATGACACAATGGTTTCCTATTTGGTTTCGTATTTTCCCGTATAGACACGCGTTTATTAATCCGAATGAGCCTCACAGGTTATGAAGCTTACCACTGATGCTTACGCGGACATGCGTTTTTTCACATTTTTGGAATAGTCGCTCCACAATCTTGAAGAAACGCCTAATATAAGCATAATAACCGGTCAACAGAAAAAGAAGCCGCAGGGAAGCATTTTTGAGTTCAAGATCAGCAACAATCTGGTAGAGATTTTCAGGGCGAACGGCTAGCTCATAGCCTCAACTAGTATGAACAACAGCAGGGAAGCTACTAGTAATTAGTCCATCTATCAACAGGGGTTTGGTGATATTTGCCCAACTTATTTCTGCTCAAGAAATTAACATGATTCGTTTTCCAGTACAATTTGATCTCTCGGTTTAAAAGTAAGTTACTACATAGTTCTCTTTGTATGCAATACTATCGGCTACAAATCTAGGTAATCCCTGACAGAAAAGGAATGTAGAAGGTTTGCTATCTATCTCTCACCATTTGTGTCTGTTTTAGAGGACACTCAAACTGCCAAATTGCTCCACGAAATCCAATATTATGCGCGAATCGCATGCTACTCCCCAGATAGGCAGGTCCAAGCCTTTCATAACCAGTGTTCGCCCACCTACATACCTAATTCAAGGATGTGTAGATATATACCCCAGTTTAGCATCCGCCGAAGGACGCAATTCGCAACTCCTCGACGATCAACGGTCTTGGCATGACTTGCGGTGATATATTCGGGTTTCAGGGGTCTGGCATTATGTAAATTATACCAGTTAGAGACCATGTATACTCTTGCTCTGACGTAGTGCCAGCAGACTGTCGCCAGTTTTTGCTCCAACCGGCTGAATGGAGCTGGGATTTGGTCATGATAAGTCGTAGATATTGGCTGAGCCGAGGGCCCGTCTGACCACTCTTTCTAGGACATGGTATTTCCACAAATAGCAGGTAGAATGAACAAACTTAAGCGAGCGATCTATTCAGTATCGGCTCCAATTATCTGTTAGTTATGACGACATTACGAAGAGTGGGTAGATGAGAGGCTCAGGTCTTATTGGAAATCATTGACCCGAGGATATCTCAGGGTGAGTTGATATGAAGGATATAAAAGGCGTTGGCATTCCTGCCGAACAATAGTTGAAAAAGAGATAAATACCAGCCAAGACAGTCTCTGGATCTTTAACTCATCCATACAAGTCCACTTTTCATCTACCATTTCAATATGAAGTTCTCAACGACTCAACTTCTTGCTGCTCTTGGCTTTGCGAGCTATGCAGCAGCCGATTTCCACATCCTGACAGGACCATGCTCTATCGCCCCTGGCTGGGGTGGCAGTCTTGAAGACTACGCCGTTGCTTGTCCTTCCAACTACTACAACTGCAAATGCATGATGGATGGAGATCGTACCGGCCATGTCATTAATGGCGAAACGCCAAAATACGGCATTCACGATACTGGATCCAATTATTTCGAACTTGACGGCATGTGCGGCGTGGGAAACATGAACTTTTATCTGCAGGGCGATGGTACATGGTTGTTCTACATTGCTGGAGGAGACGGCTCCGTGCAAGGCCAGTGCTGGCCTGGCGATAACAGCATCAAGGACTGCAATGAATTCAGCGCTGCCTGCAGTTTGAGCAACATCTTGGTGTGCTATTCATACATTTGCGAACCATGAAAGGGATGAAGGAAATACACGTGGCATAAGGTCAATGTGGATCTCATGAGCTGTTTTGGATATTTGCAAGTGCTCACGATGGAAAATGAGCGTGGGAAGGAACAAGCTGGAATATAGTTTGATTGGTCGGATACGTCATTTCTTACTAATTGTATAAACTGTTGCTTGTTGGAGTTATGCCGTACATATGATTATGAGAATCCATGGAAATGATACATTGCAGTCAGAAAAACAGTCTGGCAATTTGACACATAAAAACTTTGCCCGTTCTGAGATATGTAAGAGAAGGGCTGCCGATATCGGTTCAACCACAATGAGATTTTGTATAAATGCATAGCCCATAACGAAGAAACAAAGATCATGTAATCATTCATCGTTTTGATTCATGCATCCGTTTCCAGAATGAGCTAGTCCTCTGCATCGTAGCATTGCGAAGCATTTTGTGAGCATATTGCTTTAACGCCCTATGTGATTTGATGAACTACAAGGGCTAACTTTACCAAATTTTATGATTAATCAACAAATTAATTTACTTGAATTAAATCCTAGATTAGGTCCGATCGGTAGCGGCCGATCGAACCGAACGTTAGAGACATGAGCCGTGATTGACGGCGGAACCCGCATAGTCCGACAAATCAAATGCGAATCCCTTGAAACGCCCAAAATCCTGGCGACTTCAGACACTATTCTATGTTGGTTGCAGTCTGTGAGTCATTATGACTGATATTCACGCTTTCAGCACACAACCATCGTAGTACATCGGCTTTACTCAAATCGTGGAAATATTGTCATGTTACGGGATTTACTTACCAAAGCGCTTGCATTGTTACCAATATTACTTCGCTGTGCCTAGAGATTATTTGAGGGCCTGTATGAAATATTCCAAGCGCTTGGGAGTTCTGCTTGGAAGCTTGGAAGTTGCTGCCTATTCGTCGAGCTCTCTAGCAAGCTCTATGATAGACTAACCTTGGGCGCTACGGGGCCCCAGGGAGATGTTCATCACTTTTGATTGTGTAAATAATGTGATCAGTCGTTTATTTCTGTAGGTCGATCGTCAAGCCAAGGACTAGCCTCCTGTTCCTAAACATCTAGTCTTTCTGCAGCTGGCATAGCATCATCTACAACTCGGCAGATTTCAACCTCGGCTGGCGCAATATCTTACACTTCAAGATTCGGACGGACTAATTGACCAGATCTTGCGCAAAAGCGGATCCGCCAGTTCCTGACTAACGGACACTCTATTCGACCGATCACTCCATTTTCCTAAAAGCTGGTGACATTTGCAGAAGGTGGAGGTTTCCTAATTAGTTAGTTGTGTCCGCGTCCATGACTCGGCTTCGCCGTCTATGATGCCATTGGCGGACATTCTTCCGTACACTGTTTCATTCATCCTCGGCTTGGAGCGACTATATGTCTACTATTTCGCCTCTTCGCCAAGGAAGAAGACTTTGCCTGTAAAGCTTTCTTCTTCAAATGCTTTTTCAACCATAAATCATTTCACATCCTGTAAACGCTCTACAATCATCATGTCCAAAACAATGCAGGCGTGGCAAGTTGCCGCTCCTGGACCTATCGAGGAGACCTTGAAGCTGCTCGACAATGCAGCGCAGCCAACCGCGCCCCTCCAAAATGGACAAGTTCTTGTCGAAGTTGCCAGCGCAGGCCTTAATCCTGCAGATTACAAAGTGCTCAGGCTGGGCCTCGCGTCCAAAGCGATCACAACCTTCCCTAAAACACTAGGCATGGATCTCAGCGGCCGAGTTGTCTCAGTAGCAGATGATGTTACCGACACTAAGACTGGTGACGTCGTATTAGTTCGATTGGACCCTACCAAGGGCCCTGGGGCGCTCTCTCAATATGTCATCGCCAATCGCGCAGATTATGCAGTTTTGCCGCCAAATTTCGATCTAGATCTCGCTGCCGGTGCGCCGACAACCGCTTTAACAGCATATCAGTCCATCAAGCCATACATCCAAACCGGCTCCAAAGTCTTTATTAATGGTGGATCTGGAGGAGTTGGCACCATTGGCATTCAGATTGCAAAGGCTCTTGGGTGCCACGTCACGGTTTCTTGCTCTACAGCGAAGAAGGAGCTTTGCGAGCGAGTGGGAGCGGATGAGATTATCGACTATAAGACCGGGGACGTCGTGGCGCAATTGAAACAGAACGGCAAAATCTTTGATCACATTGTCGATAACGTCGGCTCTTCATTTTCAGACCTTTACCACCAGGCGAGCCATTACCTTAAGCCAGAGGGAGCCTTTGTACTGGTTGGTGGTCCGGCATCTTTGAGTGGTGTTAAAAACGTCCTGGCGGCGAAATTCCTGCCTTCGTTCTTGGGCGGAGGTAAACACCAATTCGTGCTGTACATGACGAAGAATGACCGTGACGATCTTGCGCAAGTTGCAAAGTGGCTGGCAGACGGAGTGATCAAAACTGTCATTGACTCGACATTTGAGTTTCAAGAGGCTTTGGAAGCCTTTGAGCATCTCAAGAAGGGTTCAAGTGGTGGAAAGGTGATTATCCATGTTTCCAGCAAGGCATAAATAATGGCGCTGGAATTTGCAACGATGCACAAGTCGCTACATTAAACAAACAACGATAACAACGATATTCAAGCCGTAATTTATGGTGGCTACCTATTACCATTAATATTGTCTTTGTCGCTCGGACAATAACAGCGATGGACTAGAACCACTTCGTCTACGGTATTGCTCAGCAACTTTCTACATAAATATTTGCGGATGCAACACAATTGGGATACCTTTGCTGAAAAAGCGAAATGCACGAGAGGTCATTTACTCGCTACAGTCATTATTTATTACTCAATAGACATTTTATAGGCGTTAAATATAGCATACTTTTCGGCTGATTGGAATTTTATCCAGCTCTTCCTCTTCTTTAAACCAGTGGGGTCTAAATATGGAAAGCAGAGCTTTTATTTTCGTCATCGGCTGCTTCTCCAAAAGTTCCCTCATATCCATTCTCCTCAAGATACGCACGGAATCGGGTGTCTTCACTTTCAAGGTCCTTCTCCTTGTCAGGGATCAAGAACCATGTGACAAGAGAGCCAACCATGGCAAATGCGGCGCCGATAAGAAAGACTCCCTGAACTCCCTTTTGCGAATCCGAAAAAGAGTTTTGAATGGGTGTAAAAACTTGGGTCCCAATCGCAGCACCTGCTTTTCCAACGGCAGCGGCAAGACCGAGAAAGTGGCCTCGTACTGGCGTTGGAAAGGATTCAGCTCCGCAGAGAAAAGTGCCAACCTGGGAAGTTTTAGTCTCACTGCGAGCAGGTTCAGATTGTGGATATGGGATATACGTACACCTGGTCCCATTTCTCCAAGGGTGTTGAAGATTCCGTACAAAACGACAAAGAGCGGGAATACACTCGTGATGGGGTTGAGAGCGCCTCCAATGATGAAAGCAAGAATCGACCAGAGGAAGAAACCCAGTGCCATGGTCTGCTTGCGACCAATCTTGTCCATGAGAAGACCGCCAATAAGAGTTCCAGGAAGGTAAAAGCAGTTGAGAACAGTGCCATAGCCGATGTTTTGGACGAGGGTGTTGTTGGGGTTCAGAGTTCCGATGATGGTGGAACCAAAGATTCCGAACGGGTAAGTCTGTTGAACAGAGGTTATTACATCATCATCTTATACTTCCTAATGATATCAAGTTTCACTTACAACAAAATCGTAGAAAAACCATGCCAGAGATGTTCCGAGCATGGGTCTCCAATAGCGCTTAATCACTAGCCAGTATGGAATGTGCGTCTTCATCGCATGCTTCTTATACTGCGATGAGTTGATCAACCGAAGACGGAAGAACAAGAGTCCAACAGGAAGAATGAAACCGAGGCCAAAGGAGACACGCCACACGCCATCGTTGATATGCTGATGGTAGGCTGCGAGGACAATGAGCACGATGACACCGGCCATCACAAATCCCAGATCAATGGCGAAATCAGTAGCGACAGCGACGAGCATGCCACGGCGTCGCCTCACAAAGGCAGTCTCATCCGAAGCTTCGGCACTGCCAGTACCGCACGTGGGATATTCTCCTATTGTCGCGGATCTCATTAGTGACCGAACTTTTTGTTAACGCTTCGAGACATGAGACTCACCTCCAGCTCCGAACCCAGCAACACCACGGCCAACGATCATCATCCAAAACATGCCAGTGGGGGTTTTGCCATGCGCCGCAGTAGCCAGAATAATACCCAAGATTAAAAACAGAGTTGCAAAGAAGATACCAGTCCGGCGACCAAGTTTGTCGATTCCCCAGCCAAAGAACAGCATGCCAAACACTTCACCGATAAGAAACGCGTTGGACAATCTGGTCTTGATGGTCGAGGTGAATGCATCCGGATACAGCTCTGCAAAGAGAGGATTCATGTATCCGATGACCTGTGCATTGTAACCGTCTGAGAAAAGGGCCAAGCCGCCGACAAGTACCATCAAGATTGACGAGATGCGGCTGGCGCGCGATAGAGTGCTTGGCTGAGCAACAACATCTTTGTTGGAGTCGTTGGTTGGCTCAAGGGTTGGCGAAACAGCCACTTCATCGACCTGAGCAGTCTTGGCATCCATCCTTGCTATTTGCTGTAAATAATTTTACCAAGATTTAAAACAGCAAGAACGGAAAAGGGTGTGAGTGAAAGGTTTTGTTCCCCCTCAGTGTCTCAGTGTCTTGTCTCAAGGAAAGTTTGCACCGAACTGGGGACTTATACTTTTATGCAATATAACTTTATATGCGGCAGACGATAACAAGGTTGGTTCGCCGATGAACTCGCCTGTTATCTCTAGACCATGCACGTGAATAGATGCAGCTGCGAATCATTGGTGAACTTTTGCTCGACTCGTATCAAGAGGGCATATAAGCAGTAAATCTTGATAGACCCGTAGTAAAGCGGCGAACCGCTGCTAGAAGCTGATATCATTACGAACGCAAAAGTCCAAATCATCCACTGAGGGGTTCGTGAAGGCGACATACTGAAGCACTCGTGAGCTTTCCGATTCCCACGTGCGTGTGTTGGTGAGAAGTCATTTCCAGCTGCAGGTTTGTCAATCATACCCTTTCTGTCCATCAGGATTCTGGCCATCTGCCTCGCGATTGGTGTTGTATCGCTTCGAGAAGTTGTATCTCGTGCCGATCGGCCGGCAGAGGAACCCACGTGGGCCGAGAATATCGCTTGATTCATCGGGAGGCGCACCGGCAGCCCTCCAGTTTGTCCAGTTTCGGCATGTTAGCCACTTGGTGGGGTGGTCCCGTAATCCACAAGCTTCTCGACGTGGATCCTAGAAGAATGATCTCCATCGGCTAGGGAGAGCATTCCCGTAAGCGATATGCCTAGCTTGGCGGGAAACTTCCGAGTATACGATGCGATGCAAGCCGTTCGTGTAAGAGGAAGGGCGGGTAAAAGAAAGAGGAGGAGTTCGGGGTTACAAAAGAGCTGGTAAGCTCTATGCAGGTCCTGCTACCCATGTCGTTAATCCTTTATCGAGAGTGCACTGCATTACCATGTTGTCAGCTGAACAGGTTACCTTCTTCAAGGCGAATGGTTATCTCATCGTTCGAGATACCCTCAACGATGCCGAGACTGCTGAAGTACAGAAGTGGGCGCAGGAGGTCCACGACTGGACGCCAACTGCCGACTCTCAATTTATGCCCTACGAGGTGAGATGACTTTACCATCATAACTCATGTTACATGTGGTGATTTAGAGACGTATTTACAATAATGAACAGGAGATAAATTCTCGTGGAGAGACGGTTCTCTGCCGTACAGAAAATTACGCGGATAGCCACGAGGGGTTCAATAGACTACTCCGCGGCGAAAGGCTCTTGGGTATTCTGGAGGAGCTTTCAGGAGAGCCCATGTATCTTTTTAAGGAAAAGATTAATTACAAGCTCGCAGGAAGTGGTAGGTGTTTTTGTATTCCTGTGAGAAAGAAGCGAGATGGCTAATTGAAGTAGGTGGATTTGCGCCGCACATTGATGCCGTGGCTTACAATCACATTAAAGATGTGAAGCATCTCACAATCTTGCTTGCTGTTGACAAATCGACTCTGAACAACGGAGGCCTGGAGGTTGTTGATGCTAGCCACAACATGGATATTCCCCTCAACGTTGAAGATCACTGCATCACCGATGAGTGGGTTGACTCTCATGAGTGGAAGCCTGTTGAGCTCGAGCCCGGTAGGTGCAATTGCCTAGCCATGAATGATGATTTCCTACCTATATCGGGCACTGTCTGACATTTTCACCAGGCCAGCTGCTCATTTTTACTTCATACTTGGCTCACCGCAGTGGACCTAACCACAGCAATGAGAACCGCAAAGCGCTCTATGCTACGTATAACCGTGCGAGTGAAGGCGATTTGCATAGGGATTACTACGAGCTGAGGAAGAAAGAGTGGCCTGCCACTCACATGCGTAAGAAGGGAGAGACGTATGAAGATGGAGCTTTGAGATACGCGTTCGGTTCGCCGATGCTGAGCGTTGATGCCGGCCGGCAGCTAGCTTTCTAGATACAAAATTTACAAATAATCTAGCTAGCTCTGGAAGAATATTTACGTAAAGAATTAGTTTGCATTATCCTAGAGATGGTGATGTTTCATATTACCCGATAAAGTAAACGCCATGTGTATTTGGGCTTTACTCAAAAGATGGTTCTTCAAGTTCTCTCAAAGAAGTTCATATAAACCGATTCAAAGCGGACCACTCTTCCAAGTCGATCCCTGGGCTAGATCTTTTGTAACAGGATTTGACCCATCCACGTGCAGACGGCATTGTGCCGAGTGGACGATCCATCCACGTTTTAATGCATGAAGATTGGGGGGTGGAGATATGGAGCGAATACTCCAGTCTCTCACATAGCCGATATAGTGCTTACCCACAGATTATATGTGCATGAATGCCGTATATCTAATGTGTCCCAGTCGTCTGCATACTGGTCACCAAAGCCCAGGCAAGCCTTATTGCCTGTCGTCACTTTCATCATCAAAATGGCCATCCCTGCAACCCTTGAGCCAGAGGCTGTCACCTCTTACATAATTTCCATTCTTCAAGCCTCAGACTACACTCCCTACATCGGCGAGCCAATCTCTCAGCTGCAGCATTCCCTGCAATGTGCTGCGTTAGCCGCCGAGGCATCTCCAGCCGTGGACGAAGCTACACAGGTTGCTGCGCTACTTCATGATGTTGGGCAATTTGCTCCAGCAGATGACTTGATTGTCTCAGCAAGTCTTCCGATTCAAAACTTGGGAGATGCTCCGACTACACAGAGCGTTGGACGTGTCGGCCATGAGACTCTGGGAGCCCGCCTCTTGCTCTCACTAGGCTTCTCAGACAAAGTCGCTCGCCTGGTGGAATCGCACGTAGCAGCCAAACGCTATTTGTGTGCCGTAGACGAGTCTTATAATGACTTGCTCTCAGAAGCAAGCAAAAAGAGCCTATTTTACCAAGGCGGGCCAATGTCTTCAGAAGAAGTAAAGGAATTCAGCTCTGGTCCGTGGTGCCAGGAAATGTGCCAGCTCAGGAAGTGGGATGACGAGGCAAAGGTTGAAGGACTCGTAGTGAGAAATTTGGATAGTTGGAGGGAGGCAATCGAGAGGCAGATTGAGCGAAGATGAGGGATTATATCAGAAGAAATTTTATCTGAAAGATTATTTAACAGTCATTTTCACGCACATTGACCACTAGATGGCATACAGTTACAGTTTTACCAATTTTATTATTTACATACAGCTCGATGCTTTTATTTTAAATACATTCTGGTCGTACAAATATTCAGACTGTGACATCAAACATTGAGCGGCATCAAATAAATTTCCTTTGCGCCAAGCTTCGGATTTACAAGCGGGGTCTTGAGTCAGACTCCTTAAGGTCAAAGCGATCCAGGTTGGAGACCTTTGTCCAAGCAGTGACGAAGTCGTTGACAAACTTCTGGCTGGCATCAGAGCTGCCGTAGACCTCGGAGACGGCACGCAGCTCGGGGTGATGGCCGAAGACAAGGTCAACACGGGTACCAGTCCACTTCTTGGCACCGCTCTTGCGGTCGCTGCCCTCGAAGAGGTCGCCGTCAGAGGGGTTGGCCTTCCAGACGGTTCCCATGTCCAGGAGGTTGACAAAGAAGTCGTTGGTCAGAGTTCCGGGACGGTTGGTGAAGACACCGTGAGTTGATCCGTCAAAGTTGGTACCCAGAACACGTAGACCACCAACAAGAACGGTCAGCTCGGGAACAGAGAGGGTCAGAAGGTGTGCCCTGTCAACGAGGAAGTGCTCCAGCTTGACTCTTGGAGTCGACTTGCCGTAGTTGCGGAAGCCATCAGCAAAGGGCTCGAGGTGGCCAACTGACTCGACATCAGTCTGCTCCTGAGTAGCGTCGTTACGACCAGGAGTAAAGGGGACAGTGATGTTGTGTCCTGCATCCTTGGCAGCCTTCTCAATAGCAGCAGCTCCCGCCAGGACAATCAGGTCAGCAAGAGAAACCTTCTTGCCGCTCTGAGAGCCGTTGAAGTTCTGCTGAATCTTTTCCAGAGCCTGCAGAACCTCGGCCAGCTGAGGAGGGTTGTTCACCTTCCAGTCCTTTTGGGGTGACAGGCGGATACGAGCACCATTGGCACCACCACGCTTGTCGCTACCTCGGAAGGTCGAGGCAGAAGCCCATGCGGTGGAAACAAGCTTGGATGGTGACACGCCGGATGCCAAGATCTGGCTCTTGAGCGTGGCAATGTCGCTGTCGTTGATGAGAGTGTAGTTGACAGCGGGGATGGGATCTTGCCAGGAGAATTCCTCCTTGGGGACTTCAGGGCCAACGTATCGGCTGAGAGGTCCCATGTCACGGTGCGTCAGCTTGAACCAAGCCTTGGCAAAAGCTTCAGCGAACTGATCTTGGTTCTCCAAGAAACGGCGAGAGATCTTCTCGTACTCAGGGTCAAAGCGCAGAGCCAGATCCGTGGTCAACATGGTAGGTAGCAGCTTCTTGGAAGAATCAAAAGCGTGGGGAATGATGGGATCAGCGTTCTTAGCAACCCACTGCTTGGCACCGGCAGGGCTTGTGGTGAGCTCCCATTCAAACTTGAAGAGGTACTCGAAGAACTGGTTGCTCCACTGAGTTGGTGTCTTGGTCCAGGTAACCTCAAGACCACTGGTAATGGCATCAGGACCCTTTCCAGAGTTGAAGGAGCTGACCCAGCCGAGACCTTGGTTCTCGAGCGGAGCACCGGCGGGCTCAGTGCCAACATGGCTTGCAGGACCGGCACCGTGAGTCTTACCGAAGGTGTGGCCACCAGCAATAAGAGCGACAGTCTCCTCATCATTCATGGCCATGCGGGCAAAAGTGACACGGATGTCCCGAGCGGCAGCCAAAATATCGGCACTACCATCAGGGCCCTCTGGGTTGACGTAAATCAGACCCATGTGTACCTATACGCGTTGTATCGTCAGCTAAATGTTTTCTGTGGCTAAACCCAGATAGAAATAAAAGAAGAGAAAACATACAGCACCGAGGGGAGACTCCAGGTCGCGAGAGTGGATATCTTTGTGCTTCTTTTCGTCGGAGATGAGGACGCCGTGGCCTGCGCCGGCAGGGTCATTAGGGCCTGCAAAACCGTGGGAATATCGAACATCGTTGCCGAGCCATGTGGTTTCGCCACCCCAGTAGACAGACTCATCGGCTTCCCAGGTGTCTGAACGGCCACCGGCAAAACCAAGCGTCTTGAATCCCATGGACTCGAGAGCAACGTTGCCGGACAAGATGAAGAGATCGGCCCATGAGAGCTTGTTGCCATACTTTTGCTTGATGGGCCACAGCAGACGACGGCCTTTGTCCAAGCTCACGTTGTCCGGCCAGCTGTTAAGTGGTGCGAATCGTTGTTGGCCCTGTTACATGGAAAATCAGGTCAGCTACATATGTCCAAAGTGTTGGTCGAAATAATAACATTCAAGGGTGCTTACCTGGCCACCACCACCGCGACCATCAAAGACACGGTATGTACCAGCGCTGTGCCACGCCAGACGAACAAACAGACCTCCGTAGTGACCGAAATCAGCGGGCCACCAGTCTTGGGAATCAGTCATAAGAGCTGTGAGGTCCTTCTTGACAGCAGCATAGTCAAGAGACTTGAAAGCAGTGGGATAGTCAAAGTCGGCTCCAAGGGGGTTCGTCACATTTGTGTGCTGGCGAAGAATGTTGAGCTTGAGAGACTCGGGCCACCAATCCTTGTTTCTGGTTCCGCCGCCCGCGGCGTTGACGTGGTTCACAGGACACTTGCCGGCGTCGCCCATTTTTGCTGTCTGTAATTGGTATCAAACGAAGAGGGATTGACAACAGTAGAGGGTACAGTATAAAGCAAGCTTGTCACTTCCAGAAGCAAAACTTGTCGAGACTACTGAAGAAGGTTGTGAAGAAGAAAGAAACAGAAAGTGTAAGAGACGAGAGAAAGGCAAAAAAGAGGAGACCAGATCATATAAAACGCCAAGCAAAGAGGAGAGAATTGGAGAGGGGTTGCGGACAACCCCGCGTTCTCTCACGGCCAAATCGCATGTCATCGGGCTTCCGACATGTCGCGATTGCGCTGCTCTCAATCCTCATCTGGATCTGCGGTGAAACACTATTGGCGGCGGTTGTGTCATCGCCTGCTTGTCTGACGAACCGCCGCCTCGCAATTTCAAAGGCCCACGTCCTTTCTAGCTCTGGGCCGGCATCCAAGTGGACAAGCGGGGTTCATGGTGGAGGGGAAGTTTAAAGATGGGGGCAACTTTGTTCGCGGATTGGCCACTCAGTCTGGCTTCGGATGCTACTATCCGAGCTTTCGCGCGTTACAGAGCAGCTTGGCCGTTGGTGAGCTCTCGGTACTTTGTGTTCTAATGTAGGTAGCTAGCCCGAGTTGGTATTACCGAGCGATACTTGTGTCCAGTGCTTATAGCTGCTCGGCATTGTTAGCCCAAAGGGTACATTTGCTGCAGAGACATAATGAGCAATAGACTACACTAGGTCGGATATTTGAGCAGCCGAGTGTGTCCTCTTCCAGTAGTTGTCAGCGACTCAGTACATCCGGAGGAGCACCCTCCGCGAGCAGTTGGATATTCGGGCTTTCATTCTCCGCTTAGATATAAATTCGACATAATTGGCCGAAGTTCATTCGTTTATTAACGAGACAGCTTTGATGGATTCTGTGCGTATATAATATTCTTGAGTTGCTACAAAAGGGGGCATAGTATTATATGTGATGCGTTTTTACTGGCCTTTGAGACAACTTTTGCGCTACATATGACCTTGTATTAAATGATATCGCAACTTACTTCAAAGCCTGCAAGCGGCACAATATTCATTCATAAGGGCATTGCGCCATCTGCTCACAGCTATTTTTATACATTCTCGCCATTCACGGATTCTTGTATCCTGCGATGCCCGCCATGTGACGAACCATACACACTTCGGTCTAAGAGCCATGATGCTAAAACTTGCATGTAAGCATGCATGCAAACAATTAGCACCGCGATGACAATGCATGCAGTTTTGCGCATGTAAGGGTCCACTGATTGCCGCTCTAGATATAATAGCAAAGTCTATACACATGCATTTACAAAACATTTGCCGATTTTACAATTGCCATCAGCACTCCCTCTCTGGCTCTCATCTAATTCCCCAAGTTGTTCAATATGGCTTTGCATCTTGCTTAGGTGGTAAAATTGGTCCACATAACTGTCCCACATGTGTTCTATTGCCCTGTTCGGGACAAATACAGAGCCTAGGCGTCAAGGGCGGTGCGCGCGCATCCCAGCCGCCAGCGGCTGAGAGTCGATCAAGTGGGTTTCAAATCAGTGCTTCATACACTCTCGATATAATTGAACGAAGATTTCTCGAATTACACGTCTAGAGCCATAAAATATCTCTATGAGAATCTGCAAGTTGCCATGTTTATAATAAGAATGAGAGATTCACTTCACCTTCGTCAACAAAGACTACATGCATGTCAATTGTACTGAGTGGCTAGTACGATTTTACTGGAGCAACTGCTGTGTGTCAGTTCATTTCAATTTGAACTCGAGTCTAAGAGCCACGTTATTGAGTAATTCTGCATGAGTATCTTTAAAAGAATCCGCGTCACTTTGACACTATTCTTTTTCTTTTTTCTTTTTTTCTTCTTCCAATATAAAGATAAGCAGATCTTTCCACCATTATTGTATTACAATCGAGAAAACTAGAAGCGCTAAATCTGACATCTTACCAAGTATACATAGAGAGACTCTAATCAGCTCAAAGTGTAGTTCGTAACAAGTATACTTGGTGCAATAATGATTTAAAGGCCTCTATTTACCAGGGCATATTTCGTGGCTCATTTCTCTTTGTCTCGCACTGTTGCTTTCCTAGGTAGTGGAGGAATAATGTTCAGGTGTAACACAGTCGTGTTACCCTATATAAGCTTTTCTCTTTAAAATTTGGCGGACTTTGTTCGTCCACGATCATTTAAGTCGACTCTTTTAAGGAGAGAACTAGAGAAAAAGAAAACAATTCAATCACATACAGGGGTAAAAGACCTTAAAGATAGATGTACTTAGAGTTCTTGTTGTCTACATGGAGCTGATGATCCTTCTTCACGTGATTAAACTGCTTGGCTTTGGACTATTCTGCGAGTCTGCATGAACGACTCCTCCTCACATCACTCTCTAGTCACATGTTACTGTGCACCAAAGCAACCGCCGTAATAAGCGGAAAATGCTTCTAGATCACCTGCTTCTTCTTCTGCTAGACATCGTTACTGCAACTCTGGTTGTTGGAATACTTGTGGCAGGATATTTCACACTCGATAAATCACAATTCGATCAAAGATCTTTCCCTGGATCCATATTCAGCCTGACGCGCTATTATCTGACTGACCCTTGCCGGCCTCATAGGGATGGTGGCCTTCCCCATGGCGGTTGCATCCGCCTGGTGCGGATCAACTCAACTGCAGATGCAGATATTGTTTTGTCTTGGAGTGTGTTTCCCTTGGTCGCAGCCCCTGCATACCACGCATTGAGCTACACTTGGGGGTTTGCTCGCGGAGTACCTGAGCATGAAGATCCAGTGTTCCGCTATAAAGGTCAGCATGGCGTTCCAACGTCCATGCCTAAGAATCTTTTTCTGGCCTTGAATCGCATTATCAAGCTAGATGAAGGGACATATTATTGGATTGACTCCCTATGTATTGACCAGGACAATACGAGAGAGCGTAGTGAGCAGGTATCTATGATGAAGGAGATTTACGAACATGCTGCGGTCGTTGATGTCTGGCTTGGACCAACTACAGACTCTGAAGCCAAAGCCCTTGATCTCGTGTTAGGCGATCTATCTACCATGGCACAAACGTATGGAACCGCATGGACTCCTGGGGCAAACGCATCAAGAAGCCTCTTCGTGCAGTATCCACAACATTTGCTATCAAAAGATGAATGGGATACGCTGATCAGTTTTATGTCGCGACGATGGTTTCACCGACTCTGGACACTGCAAGAGTTCGCCTTGGCAAAAAAGATCAGGATCCTTTGTGGAGATCATTTCATAAACCCAGATGACCTTCATAATGCAGCATTGTTTCTGCAAACCCTTGGACTTACAATGGAATTGCAATATGGAAATAACGGGACTGCTGGTACAGCAGTAATGCAGCAGAGCATATTAAGGGCATGCCTGGGAGATATGAATCAACTCATGAAGTTTGTTTCTCAGATACCAGGAGTGGCTAGCGGTGAACACAGCGTGCCGGACTATGAATCTGTTTTGGCCTGGGTTTTCTGGCGCAGTGCAAATACCTATGCTACAGACCCAAGAGACTTTGTTTATGGAATTCTTGGCTTGGCAGAAGCAATCATGGAGCGCTTGTCTAACACGACCAATGATGTTGATTCATCCATAATCTCATACAACCCAATTGTTCCAGACTACAGTCTTTCAACTGCCGACGTTTTCCGAGCTTTCATTCTTCGTCTCATGCACAGTAAATTGGGTATTAGAGCAGTTGCGCTCATCACTCCTGGAGTGCAAACAGGCGACAGGCCCGGGTATCAGCTTCAACGCCGAAGTGTTCCATCTTGGGTGGATATCGAGCACGAATTACCTTCATGGGTTCCAAATTTGGCCAACCGGGAACAATTTTCATTATCTAATGGTGGTGCTCTTTTCCTGAATAGTTCCAAGAGCGATTTCAACATTCATGGCTCAGCTGTGGCCGTACAGACGCAACGCTTCCACGTCAAGGGCAATAACCTTCATGTGTTTGGTCGAAAGTTGGGTATTTCAAGAGGGTCTTCAAGGTTCCCTTCAGCCCTAGAGTGGGCACCGTGTGCTACCTTTTTAATGAACGTTTTTGCCCCCCTAAGCCTATTAGCATCAAAATATCCTATCCGTTGCGAGGATAAAGACCTATCTTCCAAACAATTGTCGCCTGTTGAAGTATTCCTGTCTTGTATCTCTTTGGGATCTTGGCACCCTGGCAATAAGTTCACATCTCTCAATGGTCCATCTTTGCCGGTGTGGAAAGTTGAGAGATTCATTGTAGACGGCATATCCCAGTATTTGTGCGTGCAGCTGGCGTCCGCTGCTGGAAATGAAACTGTTGACTACGTCCTTACTCAAGATACCTATGATATCATCTCGCGTGCACAGTCAATAAAGGGAATCGACGAAATGTACCTTTATGAGGCTTATAAGCGTTTAAAGATGCCATCACGAATATTTGACAAACACGACTTCCTCAGTTGTGTCCGTGACATGGATGATGCAACCGACTTTTCACAAACTTGTTCACATCTTATTCGTCAATTTCATTGGGCAAGAGGAAGGGCTGTGTTTGCGATGCAGTTGGACGATGAGTACGTCAGACGATTCTTCACTTGTTCTGGAGCCAGCGACCGGCAAGAAGTAACGAAGATGCTTCTTGGGCTTGGCCCCGAGAGAATGGGAAAAGAAGACGAGGTATGGGCAATTCAGGGGTCAGAATGGCCATTTTTGCTCCGTCCTCTCTACATCGATAAAGACAGAAAGCTGCCTATGATGGATATACCATTTGAGGAAAAGAAAGGAGGTTGGTGGAGTCAAACAGATAAGAGCCTTCATGCGATTAAGGTATATGAATTGATAGGAGAAGTGTATGTCCACGGTATCATGCATGGTGAGCTCTTTGATCACGAAAATGATATATTCGATTTTGAGGAGATTGTTATACGTTAAATAGCGAGCTTTTTCTTGTCATTAACAACAGTATCAAAGAGCATTGGGCGTTCATCAGGTTCTCTATAGCAAATGATTGCCCCGTGTCTGCAAGGTGGTAGAAAGTACATATATTGAAGTAGTTTATGAGATACTGATGTCACTTATATGGTACATTTATAACTGATAATGATTGAACTTGATGCTTTCTACGCGAATTGTGCCATTGATTGCGCCCTCGAAGCTCCCTAGCTGGGAGATTGGCAGTTTTCAGCCCATAAGCTGGGACTTCAAGCATCCAGACGGTACAGAAGAGTACCGAATCCGAGCTGGTCATAGCCGCCGCTGTTCGGGCCATAGTCTCCGCCACCACCCTCGGCTCCGCTTCCGTTGGTCACAACTAGGTCACGATACTGCTTCGACCAGGTTGCGTTCAAACCTTTGAGGGATCCGTAATGGCCATAGATCAGTTCCCAGATTGGGCGGATATCACCACGACTGTTGTTACTGATGACACTTTGAGTCACATCACTGTTGACATAAGTGGTGTAAGGAACGTCGAAGCCGAGGTTGTACTTGGCTGCGTATTCCGCCCTAACCATTGTTAGCCTTGCTTCATGCTGTGACTTAACGTAGAGATCGAGACAAATGTTCTTACCCTGCTAAGATTCTGTTGGATAGGTAGCCAAACAAGTCATTTCACTGATTGTAAGCTTGCTGAGCAAGCACTCCCAGGAGCGCAAAATCTAGCATGGCATGCCCCTGGTCCCTCCCAGCTTCTTGGTTTTGCCCTAGGATTTTGCTGCTCCCCGACTCAGTGTATGTAACCCAAATGGTCTTCTCAATAGCCCCATTACCCGCACCACTCTTGAAGTAGTTGACGGCTTCGTTTGCCATGGTGGCATTGTCGGACAAAACACCAATAGCATACATGGTGCAGAGGTTCGCCAGGTCCCAGTTGGCCCAGTAGTGATCGATCTTGGCACCATTGTGGTTGACTATGAAGTCATGGTTCATAGGATAGAACACATTTTTAAGCATAGTATTCATGGCAGCAAGACCCGTCCAGCCAGAGTAGCCACGAAGGATCTCGGCCGCATTAGCCAGCTGGTATCCATAGATGCCGCTGGCGAGGAACTTGTCAGAGGTACCGTCGATGAAGGTGAGAGTGCTACTCCAAGCATCCAGTGTCTTCGCTGCAGCCGTGGCGTATGCCGTGTCCCCTGTGACTTTCCAGTAGATGGCGTTGGCGTACGCAGAAGCTGCGTCACGATACAAGCTGGCATAATTCTCAGGCGAACCCGTGCCTCGATAGACGGTGGGCTTCGGGCTGGGCACATAGCCGGAGTTGGCATGAGCCACCAACTTGTTCCAACCCGCATACCACGGATTTGTCTTCGCGTTAACCTTCGATTTAATACGGGTAAAGTCTGCTTCGGTGTGGAGGAGACCCGGGTGAACAAAACTAGCGCGTGAATCAAGGGGTTGGGAATCGATAGTAGACGAAGGCGCCGCTTGAGAGAGATCGAATAGCGCGAAGCTACAGAGCAACGCCGCAACAAGTGAAGGTGCCATGTTCAAGGTTGTGAGAAGCGGAGAAACTTTTGCTAAATTGCAGAACGCACTGGCTCACGGGCGTCCAGAAATCCATTCCATTCAAAGATTTTTGTTTCATTTATACTTCTGCTTCATGACAACCATTCTTCGTCGACTGTAGGGTTTAATTACAGCTCGTACCTGGGCTGAGCGGATGCAACCCAAGGGTCAGTCTAAAACCACACGCGTCAACTCATCACCAGCCGTGATGAGCTCCAAGAAAACCCTGTAATCAGTATCGGAGTGAGTTTCGGACCGCAGAAACTTACAGATGAGCACCCCGGATTACCCCGGACTACCCCGCGAAAAAACCAAAGAAACAGGAGAGCATTATGGGGTAAACGACGAGGGTTTCTCGTGGGGTATGCAGTTTTGCGGCTGGATCAAACCTCCTATTGCAGCGGCAATACGTCCCTTGCTGCTATTGCTCAATTGCCGGGCCGAAATGGAGCTGCTGGTCATTCGACGCCTGATGCCGGGAATTGCTCCGGGACTTGACCCGGAGGCCGGCGCGCTATATTTGCGCTTATGTATGTTGAAAGAGGGGGCCAATGTGGAGAAAAGAGGTTAAACAACACGGAAAGTCGGTATCCAGCGTTTTGGCGTACGGGGATCTTGGCTTAGTGAAGGTCGAGAGATTGATTGAACATGACAATGTTGTCATTAATATTACCCCTGCCTCCGGTCGTTTGGGGTTCGCTTTCCTCTTGCATATGAGCACTCTCTTCAACATCTCGCATGTGGTGATAGATCTTCAATCTCTCCACAAGCATCAAGATGGTTCTGTTTGGGTCGAGCTTTGGCTCGGTGGTAACGGCATTTGGGCTGTTGGTCAACATTGTCGCTGCCACTGGGCCGCTGAACGGGCTTCCAATACTCAATGGACCTGTGCCGGTTGTCCCCCAAGTCCTTGGATCCAAAAAGCATGTCGGCGATTTCGTACATCCCGGACTCTGGCATACTCATGACGATCTCGAGCGCATCCGATTGGGGGTAGCGAAGGGTCAAGAGCCATGGAAATCAGCATACGAGAAATTCAGTGCAGATTCCTTCTCCCAGGCCTCTGTAAGTCGGACATACTCGCAGTCTTGGACCTCCATGAAGCTGATTTTCAATCTCAGTACACTATGCAAGGCCCAAAAAGCGTCATCTGCCGCGGTGGATGTAGCAATAACTACACGACTTTTAGTAACGATGTGCGCGCGGCTTACCAGAATGCACTAATGTGGTATATCACGAAGAATCAGAGCCACTGGGATCGATCAACCACAATTCTGGATGCTTGGGGCACGAATCTGACCTCGATCATTGGCACTGACACCTCTCTTCTCGTCGGACTTGAAGGAGACATGTTTGCGAATGCAGCAGAGATCATGCGATGGGAAGGAGGCTGGATCGAGGCCGGGGCGAAAGCTTCAGGTGGAAGCGGATTCTCGAACCAACTGTACTGGCTATTCGCACGACAATCCGTCATTATTGGCCAGGCAAATTATGGCATGGTTAGCATTAAGGCACTGCTATCTTTTGCCGTTTACTTAGACGACGTGACGCTGGTGAGCTTCGACCTCCCAACCACAGGCGAGATGCAATGTCCGTGACTTACTAACAGGAATAGTACAATTACGCTGTGTACGCCTTTCAGAACGATCTCTGTGCCGGAATATATGGCAATTTCCAGCCAGAAACGGGACAAGGTGCAGAAACTGGCCGCGACCAAGGCCATGCACAAGGCGCCCTAGGCTGGACTGCAGAGGCGGCTAGAATCATGCAGTCTCAGGGAACAGATGTGTACTCACTTGGAGACAATCTTCTACTCAAGGCTGCAGAATACACAGCTAAATACAACTTGGGATACGATGTGCCCTACGACCCCAAATTTTACCGATGCGAGGCAATTCTGATCAATGGGCCGTGGGCTGTGCCATCCAACATCAGTCGGGGAGTCGCCAAGCCACCCCCCAAAGTTTGGGATGTAAGTTGTTTTTTCGAATACATACAATTTTAAGACTTGTGTTGACCTTGATACAGATTTTGTACTACCAATATGTTGTCAAACGAGGACTTCGCGCTCCTTATACGACCAAGATGAAGGTCACGATCAATGGCCTCGGGGGTGAAGGCAACCGTAAGTATATTCGACACTGGCCGTCAAAAAACTTTGGCTAACTTCAAAAAACAGCCGGCACAACCAGCCCCGGTGACCATCCGAGCTGGGGCGATTTGATTTGGTCCTATAACAAGAAGGGTCAGTTCCTTAATGACAATGGCAGGACTATCTGGGGAGGTGGCGAAATTGGGCCAAATGGAAAAGGCATGATCAACTCAGCTTGAACACAATAGTTGGCTGCGTAATAGAATAGTGATGGATCTAATAAACATACTAATATTGACCTTCTCTCTCGTTCTATGTTCTTCCTAGAGTAGCAATTGCGTCAACTACGTTTCACCTCCGAATAGACACAATACATTAGTTCAGGTGGTATAATTGTATGTGATTCCGAACATGCTTCTTGGGTATTACCCTGTTCTATTCTTAAATGGATTATAAGTTTGAGGGATGCAAACTGTTGTCCTTGACTGTTTTTGAGCCCTCGAATTTGTTATGTGACAAGTCATTGACAGTGCTTGGCTACCACTACTTTGAACACAAGAAGAGTATCGCAAGCTGTGGAAGTTTGAACTCTTTGCTATATCTCATCTCCATCTAATTCCTAGATTATTTCTTGGAGAAGACTAATACTTTTGTCTGGTTCAAAGCCACGTCTTTCAGCACGAGCTTGTTGCCTCCATGGTATCCTTCCTTTCCAGCCCAAACATCTCGTATAGAATACTCAGACAGGCTAGACCCTTTCAACCCAGGCAATCCACTGAGAGGAATTGTGATGTCGGTGATGTTTGGGCCATAGTTGAGAGCCAATACCACATAGCGTGACTTGCCAGAAGAAAGAGGCCCGCCCCAAACTTGGATCTTGTGCTCGGTCGATAGCTCGGGCAGGTAGTTGACCGCTACGCCAGCGTCATCCTGAGAGATTGCGATGATCTCTTTATTCAGCAAGATGTTCAAAGATGACTTGCTGATCGTGTTGATGTTGGCGCCAATGATCAGCGGTGACTTGAGCGCAGCCCAGAAAGAGAAATGGGTCTGCTCTTGGTATAAGTTCATAGTGCCAGTACCAATCTCGAGCATATCCATGTCACCTAGGTCAAGTTAAAAGGCAATTCTCGAGTAGCCAATGGAAGAATATTACTTACCCCATGAACCAGGTCTCTGGAATCGCGACAACTCCCGCATCTTGCGGATCATTGTCAGCACACTGACTCCTGCATAACCGGTATTCAGGCAGTAAGCAGATTGACAGACACCACTACTATCCTCGCCAAATGCACTCTTAATGTCGCCAGAGATTCTGTAGCTATCCGAGAAAGACGCCCAATGCCACGGAAACTGATTTCCCCATTGGCATAGCGAGTAGAGGATGTCGCGGCCAGATCGGTTTAATGCGTCGCCCATGCGCAGGAAACGTTCTTGAGGAGAGACTGTGCCCGCATGGAAGCCGCCACAGTTATCATATTTGAGATAATCTATCTTCCATGACGCATAAGTAGCAGCATCTCGCTCCTCATAACCATAGCTTCCAGGGTAAAAGGCACAGTCATATATGCCCGCGTCGCTTAAGGGACTTGGCGTTAGTGGAGTGCTTCTCAGATGGATGTGCATCACCCGCTCACCTGTAAATTCCAATTTTAAGTCCTAGACCGTGCACGAAATCTGCCAATGCTCTAATGCCGCTGGGGAACCTGGTAGAATTTGGCTGCTGGCGACCCAATGAATCTCGTGTAAAGGCTTGCCACCCATCATCCAGGTTGACGTATTTGTAGCCAGCCCGTGCTAAGCCAGTGTCTACCAGGCTCTTTGCGCTTGACTTGATCAATGTCTCATTTATATTGCTCTTGAATGTGTTCCAGGTGTTCCATCCTTGGGACATTCAGTCGTTTTAATCCATAACGCGTCGATGCTTATACATACCCATCTGAGGCTTTGCTGGATTTACACTACCCAAGCAAGGCACCGCCAGAAGTCCAACGAGTAATGTTGTGGCCAACATTGTGGGCACAAAGACCGGCGCAAAAAAGAAAAAACGAAAAAAAGAAAGGAAACTGTGATCCTAGAGTGTTAGATTTCTGATGGATCTTGGAATTGTCTCCTCAAAGCTACCATATACCCTTACTTTCTTCATAGCCCTTCGTCATCTCTCGGCTCGGCTCATAATTAGACCACTATCAACCCTGAATTTTTTCTCCTCACCGGGCCTGGGATTGCCCCGAGACATTTAGACTATGCTAAAGTCTGGGGCCTGGATTAGTTCTAGACGCTCGAACCCTGTCCCGGAGCATCGTGCGGGGGATCGCCGGGCGCAAAGCTCACCGATGTTGACAGTTCTACGCCGCCCCTGGTAGCCCCAGTCCATCTCCATAAGCAGCACATTTGGGGTCAGCTTCCGCCTAAAGACCTGCCCTCATCTGGAACTAACAGCCAGGAAAATCTTTGTTATCATCAATCTTTCTCATACTGGGCAATTGGGAGCATACATTTTTCAGCAAGAATGTTAAAGCTTCGAATACTTTTCCTCTCCCTTTTGGGAGGTCTCGCCTCTGCGGATGTTGTTGATCACGATCCCTTGGCATATTATCCAGCTCCAGATGGCACTTACATCCCTCCTAAAGATCCCAGCATCAATACATTGCTCGACTTCGTCAAGTCAAGAGATGATCTGAGCATCCTGGCGACGGTGCTAAGTGAGTGCGCTGGTATGCGTGCTTGATGCTATTTCTCGCCGTTTAGAAATGACGGCTGACGACTCTATAGGATTTAGTGAAGCTTTTGATACAGCTCCTTCTTGGTCGTACACTTTCTTCGCCCCTTCAGATACAGCCTTCAGAAATACGGGAGCGTACTATTCTACGTTTGCGGCTACTCCAAAGGGCAAATGGTGGCTGGGGAATCTACTACAGCACCATTACGTGCCGAATTCCCAGCTTATGGTCAAGAACTTTAATACTACATATACGCGCTTTCAGACAGGGACCTTTCTTTTTGTTGGAGCCCAGATCGTCAATGGGAATCTTACCCTGAATAAAGTTTCCAGCGTCACTGAAGCAGATATTCCCGTTACGAAGGTAAGGCAGTATTGAAACATGACGCTACACAATTAAGCATGCATCTTAACGGAAACATCATAGGGCATCGTTCACATCATCGATCATTTGTTAGATCCTTCAGCGCAGATATTGGAGGTTGATCTGGGGAAAACCAGCCAGGGTTTTATACCAGGGAGCTGCTCCAACCCAGCATTGCCATATTGTTGAGCTTCACCTGCATGCAACAGAAGGTTTGATGGATTGGACAAATGTAGAATGGCTAATGATGTCTAAACGGCTTGCTGCCTGCAAAAGGAATTACCCAGAGGTGGCGAATGTGATGTTGCTTATTTCCGGCGGTCGAAACCTATAGATGGTACTTTCGGTCGTGCTATGATGCAATTCAAGTAGTTCAGATTACCTACCTATGTATTGACTATGCTACGCTGTTTATTATCGGGTTTGCAAACCTCTGTTCGAAAATAGGCTTATTGGGCTCACAATACAATTATGGGCTCCCGAAAGACCCAGAGACTTCTACGATACTTATTGACATATTGATGGGAAGACAGGGAAAAACGATGGCAAAATATCTATGTACCTTAGGTACTTGGATTGTTTCTACTAGGTACCTACATTAGGTACCTATATGGACTTGCGTACTCCCCCCACTATACGTACCCATGGACTATATCCCGGCTAGATCTCGATTAGCAGCACGGCCGCCCGTACTAGGAGGTGATAGGCTTACTAAGTTAGGTACAGTGGCGCTCCGGAAGGGTACTACAAAGTACCCATATTGATTAACATTCAACTTCTCTATACGCATACTGGGCACCTTACCATCTAATACCTATCTTGTGTGAATCATTTAGCTTTAAGCCATTGGTTTCCAAACATTTGTACCTTTTGGTCACGCCTAATGTGCTGGGTATATTTCGCTGCCTGAGGCAGCCACTGAGCATTTGCCTGCCTCACGCCTTGGCAGCTGCACGCACATTTGACTTCTCTCAACCAAACTCCCCAGCCAAGTCACTGCCGCTTCCCTCATTTCTTCGCTTCTAATCTTTTCACTTCTTATCTCCTTCATCCCCCAATATCGCGCCTTTGCCCAACAAAATCAGCATGGCCGTCTAGCGCGACCATTCTTCCTAAAAGTCCAGTTGCCGCGGCCGGTGATGGTCATCGGCAAACAGCTCTACTCTAGCCTTCATCAGCAGCCCGCACGCTTCAAGCACCGCCCCAGCGCCATCCTTGCAGCCTGTCAACCAACTCGAATCAACTTGTTCAACCGACCCTTCATAGTTTCAGCCAGCTCCCATGAGAAGTCAACATCGATTGGCATGAATTGGGACGATCTCTCCGACGAGCGCAAAATCCAGTGGCTACTGAAATCTGGCTCAAGTGAAGAAAAATGGGGCTGGGTCATCTACCGATGCAGCTACAAGCCGGAGCTCCAGAGTACCTGGGAAAGTTTTAAGCGTTTCGTCGATGACAAGACGCGCAAGGAAATCGCCGACAAGCTAGACTGGGTCTTTGTCGAGGACCCCGAGCTCGAAGGCGCCTCACTGGATGAATTGAAGCGCAGGTTCAGAGCGTGGGCGCGCTCTGAGGTTCAAGGAGAATACGACATAGATACTACTTCTTATAACCGTGGTTCGAGGCACGGGTACTTTATCCAAGTAGATGAAGCCGCACTGCTCAGTTTAGTCAAAGGTTTGTCAAATGGGCATGTGAATATTGTCCGGGGATGGGTGGATTCGCTGCCGCCTGAGGAGGCGACGGATGAGTTTGGTGATGCTATTGGCATTGAGGACTGGATGAAGATCCGGGCAAGCATGGTTGCGCCCTATTTTTATATCGACTTGGATGACGAGGAAGCTTGGTATGTGCATTATTCTCCACCGCCGAATGGCCTGTGTATATGGTAGTTTTTGAAGCTTCATGTGTGTTATGTTTCGGCGCTTACTAGCGCCTCTGCTGCTATCTCGGATTTCCGTTTCACCGCTGAGCTAAGGCTTTAAGTTGCCAACTCATTTCACTTACTCTTACAACTTAAGGGTGCGCTCGGCGATCGATTTTCTCATTTCAAAATGATCCTTCACTGGAATATACTAACGCCTAGGAGCGTTATATACGTTGACAGATTACCCTTAAGGGTAGTGTACACATATGACATTATCGAGGCGAGAAAAGCGAATATTGCGCGAAAGAAGAGGCTACATCATCATTTTCCACCATCATCTGTTTGTTACCATCTCCTGTCACCCCTCCTCCCACAAATGGCCAAGGACATAAAATTCAGAGTACACAACATGAACAACAATGTGTTGAATCGGCCTTCTTTAATTTCCATCACCAACGCGCCGCACAGCGCTATAGTTGCTAGACACCAGATTAGGAAGGGACTATAAGGAAGAACGAATTCGTATATAGAAAAGGCTGTCTGCGAAAAAAGGCGAATAAAAAGATGAACAAATTGCCATATAGAAAAGGCCAGCTGCGAAGGAAGGTGAATGAAAGCATTGTCATGTTGCCAGGGTAATGTCCGTGAACGAATATCTCGACCGGACAGTAGTGGTGTCTCTTCGTTATCTTCAACATTCGATTGTCTATTTGAGCAGCCTATTAGCCAAATTTCCATTGAATTGAAGGTATATATGACTTACACATTGGTACCCTGAACAACCCCAACTTCTTGCGATGCAAATGTAACACTGGAAACTCCCCGTATTGATGATGACATGTCGCAATTGGGAGTTTTCTGAAATCGTGAAAGGACGCAGCAGCTGTCAATCGCTACACACAGAAATCATGCGAACTGCTTTCAATGGATAAGAATAAAGAAGTATACCTATGTTAGGTATACATAAGCTATTACTCCTCTTGTATTTATTATTGGGCAGAATACCAGGTACGGTGCCCAACGACAAATATTAATAACGTCAGGTAATGACTCGCCAAGAATGCACGAATAGAGCTCCTGATTGGTACCTTTATTGTCTATCACGTGTAGTGGGGGCATATAAATAAATAACTCTGCTGCCCAACATGGACGTTGCAGCCTGTTGGGTAACTTTCATCTCAACATACATACAGACGTATGTGAAATATCTCTGATCAAATCAACATACCATGGCAGATCCTTTCACAATAATAGGTGTTGTCTCGAGCATCATCACATTCCTTGATGTTGGTTATAAAACAATAAGGTTAATTCGCGACTCTGGCAACGGTACATTACCAGAAGTTGAGACATTCGAGCTTATCTTAAAAGAGATCCAAATGCGATGCGCTGATATCAAACAGAACGGATCTGGAGCTACAACTACGTCAAAATATGAAGCAATAATTATTGCCGAAGCTAAAAAATGCGAGCAACTGGCTACTAAGCTGTCCAAAATTCTCGACACGCTTAACAAGAAACGGAATACGCTGTTGGAGGGCGGCCGGATTGCTGTCCATTATATCTTGAAGAAACATAAAATAGAAGATCTGAATGCTGATCTGAAAGTTATCTACGACAGAATGATGAAAAATGTGGGATTGGTTTTACAACAGTTAGTGCTCATTCCTTTCCATCCTCGCAATGGACAACAACCCATGAGCCACCTCCTCAATAGGTCAATGAGTGGATATTTTAAATTTATGCAAATGGCCGATTAAGTGCTCTACTAACACGATAGCAGGGATTGCAATTCTTCAATCATGTCTGAGCTCAAGTCTCTTAAAGAGTCCCAAAATGAACTTAAGATCTCCAGCGACAATGATTTAGATAATATATTGACAGAGATTCTGGGATACACAGTCGAAACAGACGCCGAATCCACAGAAGTCGAGCGGAATCATTTGAGAACATGTCTCAGTTCACTTCGAGAAACAGCCAACAAGGAACGACAACAGTTCAAAATCATTAAGAGCCTGTATTTTCCAGAATTTCATCGTCGATGGGGCCAAATTCGGGATGCTGAGCGGCGTACGAATACCTGGCTGTTTAACGAGAGTGAAACGAATTTTGTGAACTGGCTAGAATCTGGGAATGGCATTTATTGGATTCAAGGCATGGTAAGGCAAATACTCATCTACTCGTTCTCTGCTTTGAGAGAAATTAATGGAAAATTAGGCTGGTTCGGGCAAATCGACTCTGATGAAATTTGCAGCTGAACATCCGAAAACACAAAGAGCTTTGAAGCACTGGGCTCTGTCTGCAGAGATCTATCATCCCAGGTTTTATTTTTGGAATCAAGGTTTTGAAATGCAAAAATCTCAGAACGGCCTCCTCCAATCCATTCTCTACCAGATTCTCAGAATAACTCCAAGTATCGCGACCCAGATCTGCCCGAGCCGTCTCAGCTATGAAGGGTGGCAAATCAACGAACTCAAGGCCACCCTCAAGCTAGTGCTGGAACAAAAGAATCTTCGAGCAAAATTCTGCTTCTTCATCGATGGCCTTGACGAATACAACGGCGATGAGGAAGACCTTGTCCAAATTCTGGAGTTCTTTGTCAGCAATCCTAATGTGAAGATATGTGTTTCCAGTCGACCAAGAATAGTTCTAGATGAGAGCTTTCAACAACGCCGACATACTTTGATCATACAGAACTTTACAGCAAAAGATATGAAGACGTATGTTACACAGAAACTAGAACCAAATGCAAAGTTCAAAAAGTTGCAAACATCTAGCCCTTTTGCCTGCAGCGAAATTATCACACAAATTGCAAGCCAGGCCAAAGGAGTGTGGCTCTGGGTCTTTCTTATTACTCGCGATTTAATTATCGAGGTTAATAGAAATGAAGGTATCCCTACCTTACAAAAGGTCCTCCATGACTTTCCCGAAGATCTGGAATCGTATTTCAGACGCATTATCGAAAAGATAAGGCCAAATCATAAAGAGGAGATGGCACAAATCTTTCTTCTTACGATTGAAGAAGTCCAACCTTTACCTCTATTTGTTTTCTCGCTGCTTGACAACGAAAAAAGTGATATGGATTACGCAATTAAGGCTCAGATATCTCCGCTATCTCTGAACGCTGTTCAAATGGTTGACAAGGATTGGAAGGCAAGAATCCAGAATCGATGTGGGGATCTTGTGATAGTTGGATATGAAGATCATCCAGTCTTTTTAAGTCACCCTGTGGACTACCTTCATCGTACTGTTGGCGACTTTCTTCGAGATTGTTATCACGAGGAACTTACGAAATTGGCTCCTGACTTCAATCCACTTGTTTCATTAAGCAAAATGATGCTCTTTTTGCTGAAAGGATTGCCCGAGATTAGGGTTCAAGAGCAGGAATCGATCACAAGAATGATTGGGATTGTTGATGAGCTACTGTACTATGCTCATGAGTCCGAAAAACGAGATCAACAAGCCAAGTCTATCTTGGTTGATGTGCTCGATGAGCTTGACAGAGTAAACTGTCATCATGTTCGCTCCATTAGCAATCACTGGACTCACATCAGAGACTCTCCTACTAGTCGAGGCTTTGATGAATATCGAGAGGGAGGAAATTGTAATTTCCTAGCACTGGCTGTCCAAGCACGTTTAGTGAAATATGTTCGTGGAAAACTACAGGATAACCCTAAGCATTTGAACAAAGGGGGTAGGCCTCTGTTGGACTACGCACTACGACCAAGACGAGTCACACCTCTTGCGATGCCTTATCATTCCCAAAGAGACGATTCAATTGTGGATCAAGATATGGTGCGGTTGCTATTAGAGCATGGGGCCAATCCGAATCAAAGGGTCTATCTCAACAATGGGTGGACAGTCTGGGAATTATTTCTCGTGTCATGCTATGAGACAACACAGAGAAGTAAGCCGTCTTCGTCGATTAAGGACGCTTGTTATCGGGCAAGTGAGATATTAATCTCCTACGGCGCAAGTCCTACGCATTCTTTTAACATTGGACCCGAGTCTTTAAGCGTCCCATTAGTTCTGGAACGTGTATTTGGAAGAACTAAGGCCGTCAACCTTCAAAAGCTTCCTCAAGAACGTCGCCAGCTTTCACATACAAAGGGTTGGCTCTCATGGATACCTATCATTGGGTCATTTTCGAGGTAATCCCAGAGGCAAATTTGGACAAGAGGATTCGCGTATCAGGCGTTATGCTGTAGTAGACGAATTGAAATGGTTTCAATAAGTCTCAACTTTCACTCAATTACTTAAATGTTCTTAACTTCATAGCATGTTGATAATACCATTAGCTAATCCACAAACTAGTCAATTACGACTTCAACATTTGCTTACTCTGGCTCTCAAAAGTTCGCCACATTTAACAATAGTATGAAAAGAATTCTTCCCCTCTTATTCATCTATAGTCAACCCATTACATTAGATGTGTAGTATTTAGGTCTTATATGTACTATATACACATCATATGCGACTATTTTAATTCTAACTCTTTGTTCTCAAAGCTGGCATAACTATGGCAAGAATATGGAAAGGAAGAACGACAGTGATGCATAGACATCAATGTCTGTCCTTGCCTGGCAATGGTTCCCCAAAGCCGCAATCGAAGTCGTTTGTGGATCTGCAAGTATAATCTAACAAAAACTTGCACTCTTGTTCTTGTAGTTCTAATTATTTTTATCTCTGAAAGTTCCGCATTATGCTGTTAAAGTATTTATGTAATGGTAGTGGTATCATTCTTGCTACAAATCGACTGTCGACTTTGTAGCCGCTGAGATACTATGCTCGTCTCTTCATCTTCAGGAATATTTCCAAGAAGGATAACCAAAGCTTGTAATATGAGAAGAAAGTACAGAGGAAGAAATGCGCATAGCTTTTTGAAAGAGTGCATGTGGAGGGAATTGAAATGCTAAGCTAAACCCGGAAGCTACCATGGAATGAAAAGAATGACTGAAGGGAGTAAGAGAGCGCATGTGATAAAATATAGATTGGCAGAAACGTATTACATATAAGAAAGAATCAGAATCAGGCCGTCTCTGCGTCGTAGCAGGTCTTGGAATTATGACAAACGCCTTGCAAACCATGATATGATCTTCGGACAACGCCGAGGAGAGCTGTTAGTTCCACTAAGGGTCGTTTTTTGCCGGATGATGTACCGCGCGCTCTGGAGGCAAACCTACGCGTTCAATGCAGAGAGTATCTGCTCAAATGCGTTATTTTTGAAGTTCATACGTAATGGGTTCTAGCTAGAGAAGGACAGTGATTTCATCTTTTGAACACAATTGGCGACGGAATTATGCCACCCAGGCGTTTATCGCAATAGCCAACCAAGTGACTGGAGATGTGCCCAACTGTTTCCAGTGCAAATTGCCCCTTTAGGAAATTACCTGTTTCGATTCATTTTGTGGAGATTGCCGATTCAGCGAGACTCAAACGCCCCGAATCCGCCCTGTAGACTGCTTCGGTATTTACAACTATTCCGCGGAGTATGAACAGATTAATTGTTGTACTCAGGGAGCTCTAGAGTATTCCTGCCAATACAGAAATGACTAACCTAATTTATCGTTGAATTTCCAAGTTAGGCTCTGCCGTTCTGGTCCATTTCAACCATGGTGATTCTTTGTACCTAGCATTGAAGAGACCTAGCTGTGAACAAGGTAGAAATCGCATCATGGAGGTAAAAAGGTCATAAACAGAGAGATAAAACCTCCATTATGTTATGGTATATAAATAAACAGGTCTATCCGCAAATGCAATATGGTCAGTTTGATATCCGCCCTCATACAGCTCCTCATACACCCTGCGCCCAGGCTACCACAAACAAGAATAATCCACCATGTCAACCCACCAAACAGCTCCAACGCAGTACATCATCGCTGCTGATGGTGTCAAATATGCGTACCGTCGCATTGGCTCTTCAGAGGGCCTTCCTCTCGTAATGCATGGATTTTTCCGATCCAACATGGATTTCTGGGACCCTATCCTCATCAACAATCTTGCAGAAAAGCGACCTGTGATTCTATTTGATCAGGCAGGCGTGGGCCGTAGCAGCGGCACAATCCCTATGACGTACCAGGGATGGGCAGACTGCCAAATCAATCTCACGAATGCCCTCGGTATCAACCGTTACGATGTTGCCGGCTTCTCAATGGGTGGGCTTTCCGCTCAATTAGTGGCATTGACAGTACCGCATAAGGTCCGCCAGCTCGTCCTCTTGGGGACTACTTCTGCGGCTCCCTTTGAAGAGGAATCGGACATTGTCGGTATTGTTTGGCCGCGTGAAAAAGCCCAGCCTGAGCCTATGGCTGTTCTTACAACATCTGAAAGCACTCCGGAAGAAGTGCAGCATGCTATTGCGTACTCGTTCTTTTACCAGACTGATGCTGGCCGTAAAGCAGCACAGGGATGGTGGAATCGCGTCAATGAACGAAAAGTCGATGGTGAGGCCCCTCTCCTGGAGTTCGTTAACTCTGAGGGCACAGCTCGGCAAGTTGAAGCTGTGGTTCACTGGAACACTCCAGAAAAGAATGGTGCATATGATCGTCTGAGTGACTTGGAAATGCCAGTTCTAGTTATGAACGGCGATGATGACCTTCTTATACCACCGAGCCGTAGCTGGGAGTTGGCCAAGAAAATTCCCAACTCTCAACTCATCATCTATCCCAAGGCTGGACATGGCTTTTTGTACCAGTACGCCAAGCTCACTGCTACGCATATCAACATGTTCTTGGATGGATTTGGGGGCTTGCACGGAGACGAGTAGAGAGATGGATGAATCGAATGAGATTGATACAAGGCATGGACAGTATAGACATCTTCCTTGAACTATCTAGTTATCAAGGACCAAATCGCATCTGTATGCTTCCCATGTACAAACTCAATCCACATTATACTATTCAGTTCATTTTGGAAGGCACATTGACCATCCTCTCCTCTCATGTCTTGTGACAAACATTCAACAAGAGATGAGACGAACCATTTCTTTTCGAGTGTTCCGTCTGCAGCAGCCAGGCAGCCCATGAATAGCATCCATCTCGTCAAGCGCGTTGGTGTCAATAAGCAACCTTCCATATAAGACTGAAGTTTTCTAACCAAAGTCGTTGAAGTCACAACGAATCGTTTAATCGTGCATGTTAGAGACTTGATGTATAGAATAAGACATATTCGAAATGCGTTGTGACATGCGCTCATATGCTGAGAGGTACACAGAAGCAGCCGCTGGAGAAGGCCAAAAACGGCCGAATCCATGTATTGGGGATTGAGTTTTGTTTGCCTCATCATGGCATCTTGAAGGGCGCCGCTCAGTGATGAGATGTCGCAGAATATACTGGCTAAATCCATGCTTATTTCGCATGAGCAGGGAAGCTTCGCCGGGACAATCGCATTGACTTGACCAGAGGAACATCCAGTAGTATCTACGAGATCAGATAGAAGCTGGGTGTTTGGAATCTTATCAGAGTCTACCGCGATTTCAAGAATGCCGCTAAAAATTGTCAATACTCTGGTATACAACATGGGCCCTGCGCTCTCTTACCGGTACATCTTGGACCTGAGTGTCTCATTAATGCTGGATAGTCCTCCTCGAATGCTGACTAGCTCTGCTAGTCCTCGAGCGTGGGCCCACGATTTCTCGTGGTCGCCTAATGAATTCTAAAGAAGAGCTTCAGATAATTGTTCTGGTAGTTAAAATACTGTCATGGGAGAGAGCTTACACTCCAATTAGCTAGACAGGCAATAGCGCCTAATGTCTCATCAGTTTGCATATATCCTGCGGATATTCTGTGATTCAGTCTCTGTAAGGCTTCATTTAATAAGCTGCGAGCGTCTTGCAGATTGACGCTATTCTGGGTGACCTTTGCAAGAGTCCTTGCAGCGTATGACAGAATGATGCAGCGCCACACATCGTCCCCTAACATACGGGGAAACCAATGTTGCTTAGCAGGATTGAACAATAAGAGTGATGACAGCGGATATGTGTCAGTGGCGATAACATGAAAGTCTATAAGAAGCATTAGCAATTTCGTAGTCAACAATGGCAACTATTACGAACAGTAATTGATATATAGAATGACATGATGGGACAATGAAGGAGGCATTCTATCCGACAAAGCTGGCATTGCAAGACCCAGAACTTCATGGTTAAAAGTTACATGCAAACTTGGTGCATGATCTTTTGTGATCTGGAGGTGATCACGATGCACTCGACTGGCATTTGTTGATTGCTTCGGTGGCTGACTCGAGGGTCGGCGAATCAGAGGCTTCTTTTGGATGCGAAAAGTGGCCGTATTTCTTTTTTCTTGTCGTTTCTTCTTCTCTCGAGGCTGAATATCTTGCCTGTTGCAGTCGATAAATCGGAATTGTCCTTTCTTTGCATCGTCTCTCTTCCCAATTGATCCGGATGGGGTACTCGCGATGCCGCTGGGCTTAGGGACGGCCTGTAATTTCCTGGGCCGAGTCTGCCACTGAGAAATCCTACCAAGACTCGTTCCCTGATGAATTTTATGAACAAGATAGAGAGACTTATCTGGGAAAAGTATTTTCTCTCCGTAGCCAGACATTGTGCCTTTCAATTAGTGAGCAACCGTCTACCTTGTATGGGGTTAAGTTTGCTGCATGCACAAAATGCAGCGACCGAGCAAGAGAATGGAATTAATAGAAGCCGGACTACGGACGACAGTACGGACGAAGCACATCCACACCAACTGACCCCTGTTCAAGATGGGTGGGCGGGGCAGCGGAGTCTCGCCATCTGCTTAGTTATGTCCGTAGCTTTAAGAATTCAGTCTACCGAGGTTATTTAATGGACAGGTCTGAAGCTCGGTGACATCGATTTGGGTTATGTTTTGATATTTCGGGTGATGTCATCTGTTATTGCCTGAACTGTAGGAATCATAGCTCGGGCTTTGTTCAAATTGGTTATGATGATTTCCCATATCAGGCTTGTAATGGCTCCTTATTTCATCACATACAGCAAAACCGCGTAATGTTATACCTAATTCCAACTAAACAAAGCGGTGCCAGATATAGCAGAATTAATGACCAATGAAACCCCGTCTTCCTGCAACATTACCTCCCCTGATGGATTTATTGGCATTACCTCCGGGCGCTTATGGCCAAGGTACAATCCTTGTACCAATCCCAGGACCGGCTGAGTCCCAGTTTCGTCAAGAGAGCTGCTGAATTGAACTTCCGGCAAAAGAAAATCTACCTCCGAGGCGGATGCCATGTTGATGTTCCGCTCTATCAAAGTCCGAACCTTGAGTGCCAGCTCCTCGCAGGCGTGATAAACTTGTTGGAACTGCCTGTTTCTTAATTTCGCTGCTATCGGCGCTAGTGATTGTATTGCGACCTCGACAAGTCTCTGGTCTGCTACCAGCATCTCATGCTGAGGCTCTGTCAGATTGTTCACTAGGAGCAGAAGGAGTCCTGTGATTCGACCACATAAAGTAGACCTGTCCATTATAAATATCGTTAATGGCTCTTGAAATATCCCTTTCTTATTGTTCATGGAAACTTACCAGATCAACGGTTCATTGTATGTCAGCATGCTATCCCAAAACTTCATGCACGCCCGTGAAGAGCTAACCAACTTAGACCAGGACCCTGGTAGAGATGGCTGTGGGCAAGTGATGGCACATCTAATCGGTTCGTCAATCACGATAGCGCTGCGTTGGAGGATAATCTGTATCCACTTCTGGTTGTGTGAATGAGCCCGATGTATCAGCGCCGAGGTATGGAGATAGGTCCAGTGCAGGGAAGCCAGGTGTTGTACGGTCCCTGGAGGAGCGGATTCAAGTATAGAATTCGACATGAACTCTCTTGGTAAACTTTCCTCCCATTGATGGAGCGTACACTCGATTGACTGTACGAATTGTTCTTTCGCAGCAGACAACAGCTTATCCGCAGTCACTGAATACAGCCAGTCATATACCTTTCCCTGAATAATCCCAAGCTGTACTCGGAGGCGGAAAAAGTTTATCTTACTCGTTCCTTGGAGGCTATAGACGACACCGGCGCCATCGATGGGGTCAGCTTCGGGCAGGTCGATATCTGTCCACGCATCGGAGAGCAGAGGCGGCTGCTGCGCCCGCAGGCTGATACTCTTATCTAGGACGTAGGCGATCCAGAACAAGCGGTCGCGCTGTCTGGCATCTGTCTGGCTAAGGTTCTCTTGTCCCGACCGACTATAAAGTCTCAGTCTGTGCACCAGTGTGACAGCCGTCGCGACCAAGACACTTGCAGGCTGAGGATCGGGCGATTCCTGGAAAAGGATACAGAGACCAAGGACGATTTGTGCGCTGAGTATGTCTTCTTCGCGAGTGACTATCTCATCGAGGACCGATTGCGCGTTCTTGACGAGCGTTGCTACCGTCAACTCACCTCCAGCATCAATATGTGGCTGGAGGAGTAAACCAAGCGCAAGAACGACATTAATGGCTGCCCAGGTAGCCGAACCACGCTGATCTGGATTTGAGTACCAACCACGCAGCATCTGCATGAATTTTATCTGATCAAATAGAGGTAAGAGCCGATTAGTGGATGAGAAGTACTCGTCCACTATAGGAAAAATGTCAGAGAGTGGTGGAAGAGTCCGTTCATCTTCTCGTTCTTCGCTTGACGGAAGGACTTCTTGAACATCTTCAACAGCCGATCTGACTTCCCCTCTCTTAGACAGGATGTCAATCTGCGTCTTCAGATCCTCTAGCATCGACTCCATGCGGCCCATACGAGCCTCGAGAGACTCAACTCTAGGGGCACTATAGAATCAGCGTTAATTTGCATAACATGGAGCCTATCATTTAGCAGTTTCGGCTCTTACGCATTGACTCGCGGAACCGTCTTCCGCTGCACGCCATTATACACGCATTCCGACTCATAGATCTAGCAATGAGAGCACCGCGGCTTTGCACCGTTGCAACGAATCTTCTTTTGGCAGCATAGATCGCATGCCTAAAGCTATTTAGCTGAGTGAATGGTCAAGGAAGCCTGTCTCAATGCCATCTCATCCGAACAGTTGGGCGGGATAGCTACATACCTTTCTTCTTCCTCCCCTCCGAGACGAGACAGCTGTCTCCGTAGAGTCTCTCATTCTTCAGGTCACTGTCATTTACTCAGCAAATCACAAAGCAACGTTTGTAAACTCCCCGCGGGCATAGTCTATACATATACTTTTGCTGCTCCTGACTTAATCACATATGGCCTGATTACACTGGCTGATCTTGCAAACTCCCCGCGGAGCTCGAGCGATGACAAAGCCGCCAGTCCGCCGCCACCCCAGTCAACTAATTACAAAGTCCGCAACGACGAAATACTCCTTGTAGCATGGGTGAGTACACTCACTGTGCAATTAGCCCGCTGCGCCAATAATATCCAACCAGTTGAAGTCTCTATCGACCAGAGGCAGTCAGAATTACAGCCTATGGTCCAAGATCACAACTCCCCGTGGAATTCGACAACCGGCGGGATGCATAATCATGAAGATGGCGGATTTCAGGGTCGGTCTCGATAGGTGATCGTTCAGGTACCTGTATGTTATAAGAAGATGGCGAGACAGCAGGTTGTAGATTGTCGACCAAAGCAATCAGACCAGAGCTCTAAACATCACTCACATCTTACACTTTAGAAAAATAACTAGAATCCACAGTCCTCTCGTCCGCAATGGCTTCCGTACTTGATTCACAGGTGGATATCGTGGTTCCAGAGATGCCTTCCTTCACCAAAGGTTATCATCACCGTCCCTATCCTGCTATCTCGCCATCGCGGCCTGATATCGCAGCTGCGGCAGCAGGGAAGAATATTGTCATCACCGGTGGCGGTACAGGCATTGGCAAAGCTATCGCCATCGCCTTTGCGCAGGCGGGAGCCCGTTCTGTAGCCATATTGGGCCGGCGCGCCGATCGGCTACAAGAAACTGCGGCCGAGATGAAATCAGAGGCCACCAAGCATGGGCATTCGCCAATTATCGTCACAGAGATGGCGGACCTTATGCAGAGTGAGACGGTGAACGCTGCGCTCCGGTCCATCCAGACCAAAATCAGCATCGAGGCAGGGTCGACTTACCTCGACGTGCTCGTGTCTAATGCTGGCATGGCACCAAAGATGGGAACGGTGCTAGGCTATGACGCCCAAATCATGATGGACACCTTTGGGCTCAACGTGCTGAGTGCCTTCAATGCAGTCAACGCATGGGTACCACTGGCACCACCAGTCGACAATGCCGTATTGATCAATGTGTCATCAATGATGGCACACGCAAGACCAGTGGTCACCAACTTCGCCTACTCAATGGCCAAGGCGGCCAATCTCAAGATGATAGACTATTTTGCTGTCGAAAATCCTTCTATTCACGTGGTTAGCCTGCAGCCTGGTATTATCAATACGGAGCTCGGCGGCGAAGATATGCCTGTCTTTGTTGCGCCGGACACAAGTGAGTCTTCCTTTTACCAGCCTTTCTCACTCATCCTGTTGTAATTGCTTTACATCGATTTTTTTACCCATTTCAGATGATAATTGCTAACGATACTACTTCTAAATAGCCGAGTTACCAGGCCAGTTCTGCGTCTGGCTGCTTACGGAAGAGGCGCGGTTCCTCAAGAACAAGTTTGTATGGGCCAACTGGGACGTCGAGGATCTCGTGGCTCGTAAAGATGAGGTTCTGACGACGAGGGCACTTACATGGGGGGTTGAGGGAGTTCCTGTGTAACACCATAGCTGTTTAATAATAGCTCACTGCTTTGAATCATAGACGAAGGCAGATTCTATGTGTGTTATCTCGAACGACAATCCTTCTTTATATCTACTTTACGTATGATCAAAAGACGAAATATATTAGTCAATAAGAGGAGCGCCATCCATTTTCTGGCCTGATTTACATCGAACAGTATGAATATGCGCCTCTGTGTCTAGAAGTAGTAAATATCGGCCTTAGCTAGGGATATCTCCGGAATCGTATCTCCGGAATGCAATGGTCTGCACCTAAATTAATAGCAGCCAGTAAAATCTCATTTTACAAAATAGTTTCCTTCAAAACCGACATTCCCTCAATTATTATCTCTATCGATATGGATCTGACATTTATTGATAACAATAGTGTTATCGACAACAAAACAAGGTCTGTGATCCGTCGTCAAGCCGCCAAGGGACAAAACCTTGGCCGCAGGATCACTCGCCCATCACGTGTGAAAGCATTCGAACGCCAAGCCTTGGTACAGCCTCTCTTCGCTGTCAAGTCCAGACATGAGTCTTCAGACGTATATCAAGACAACCGCGACGAGGACTATAACCCTCATGGAGATATTGAGGATGCGCCCTTACGGATTGAGCCTGTTATAGGCGACAGTGTATCGGTTCTGAGCCTACCTATAGATGTAGCGCAAGAAGACAGAGTGCTCATGTACGAAGGTGAGTTAGCAAGACATCTGAGCCAGCAAACTCCATGAGTTTCCTAGACTCACATTGCCAATAGCCGTGGCTTTTATGAATGCGCCTCGCTGCTTACCTAGTCTCGCCAAAGCTTTTGGCGAAGGAAGCGTCGGTCACTCAATCTTTCTACAACTCATATTCACGGACCAAGCATGTATGTTATGCTCCTCTATTATAGGCCGGCACAAATGAGCTTAAACATCATGTGAAACATGTAGATTATCATTGCGCCCTGGCCACAGTTCTCGAGTGCAACCACATCTCGCCACGGGCCGGTGTTTCCACAATCCGCCATCTTACCCAGGCCTTTCGCCTGCTTAACGAGCGCATATCCCGAACAGAACATGTATCCAATTCCACACTCGCCGTGGTAATGAGCTTATCGACCTACGAATCTACACGAGGTCGCTACGACCGCGGCATGATTCACCTCTCGGGTCTTTTCCGCATGGTCGAGACGCGAGGTGGCTTAGACCGTGTCGGGGCCGAAGCGCCTGAGATAATGCAGAAGATTTATAGGTACGCTAAATCTATTGCAACTTTATTAAATATAGTAGTAACGCATAAATACAGAGCCGACCTTGACTATGCCCTCAGGTTTGGTGCTACTCCCAAATTGAATATAAAGCTCTTTGAGAATTCCAAAGCTATGGAGAGGCTAAATATGCCTTCTGTGCGAGATCAAAGTACCCTTTCCCCCAGCTTCAACCCAGAGTTTCGAGAGCAACTTGGCCCGGAGCTATGCGAGCTCTGGAAAAGTGCAGCGGAGATGTCTATGCTAGTCAACGAGGCGAGCGCAAACAAACGTTCCAAGTTATCTAGGGCGAAGTTTCTGAGGAGCTATATCTGGCTTGGCCACCGTCTTCTCAACTATGCTCCTTTGAACAAGCCGCGCTCACTTAATCGCCTCCAGAGTATGGCACATTTAGGTCTCCTGATGCTGATCAGCTCCCTCCTATGCGGTCTCGATCGCCGCGTTGTGGAAAATGCAATCCTATCACAGTTACTGCGCGATGAATCAAGTATAGAGACCAATTTCGAGACGCGGGAAATTCTTCTATGGATGTTATTCATGGGAGCAGCTGGTATCCTGCAGGATCCCAATCATGATGTTTGGCTGATCCCAAAGACTTGGGAGACGACGCAGGCACTTAGACTAGACACCTGGGACAGTGTAAGAAGCGTCCTTTCCAAGTTTCCGTGGATGAATGACTTCTACGAGAGCAGGGCTTCAGCGTTGTTTGTCAAGGTGACTCAGTACCAAAATGTTCAATTGTCTCTTTAAAAAGCATGGTGGAATTTTAGATAGAAGACTATATTAACCTTCATCACTCTCCGATAATCTTACTTCAGAGCTCTTGATACGCAACCTGGTTCGATTTTCTCGAGCTCTTTAGCAATGCTATCCCAGCCCTGCTTGTTTGCAGTGGCGTCCATCCAATCCGGTATCATGTTGCTGCAATATGTTAGTAAACATTCGACTAGTATAAGAGTAACCAAAACATTATGAATCGATGTACTTACTCAGCCGGAACGCAGTCGTCCATATAGGAACCGTGACTCTCCTCGCCCGCAACCGCTGCAGCAAGAAGGGTGCGACTACCACACTCAGCGGTTCGACCACACTGCTCCAGCATCTTGTTCAAATTAGCCTTGAAATCTTCTGGTGCGTTCCGTGAGAGTGATGTTTCGCATAAGCCGGGGTTGATGAGGTTGATAATAACCCCACCGCGAGCCACTGGAAGTAATTTCGCGATCTCGCGGACAGCAAGAATTTCCATCATCTTCGATGCCGGGTAGCTAGAAAAGTCTGTTAGTATTTGCAAGCCAATAGTGTATTAAAGGACGTGGATCATCAATTAGGCCTACCTCTTCAAGCCCAATTCGTCATCTGCATCCATGTTCACAATCGGATCATTGGCAATTTTGGACCAGTATTCCCCTAGGTCAAGGCCTGTACCACTAGAGACAATGCTTAGGCGAGGGGTGTATCCATATTTGGCTGAATCGGAGCGCAATTTTGGAAGCAGAAGAATGGCCAAAAGGAAAGTGCTTATAACGTTGACTGTCAATGTCAAATGATGGCCCTCCGCTTTCCCGCCCGATCCTGCAACGGCTGCATTCTCAATGACAGCATCTATGCGCTCAAGTATGTCAGCCGCCTTGGATGCAAATGCCCTGACGGATGCGTAGCTGGAAAGATCCAGATGCCAGACCTCAGCGACGCCTTCGATGCCCGTCGAGGACTCAATGTCCTTCTTGGCAGCCTCACCGGCCTCGAGATTGCGTACTGCGAGAATGACTTTTGCCGCTCCTACGCCTACTAAATGGCGTGCAGCTTCAAGTCCAAGACCAACATTGGCACCGGTGACAATGTAGGTTCGGCCCGCGCAGAGTTCTTTGGAGATGTTGAGCGGGAGCTCGCGTTTCTGGACGAGAGCACGGTCGTTGGCAGGCGCAGACATGTTGAGAATGGGATTGATGATAGGAGATTCAAACGAATTATGCGCTCAAGCGATTAAGAAGTAGCACGAGAACAGCCTCCAATGTTGTCGTAGGAGAAAGACCAACAAATGTTGGCTTCTTCCTCCGTTTTATAACTGTTCATTATGGCAGGATCGTATAGATATTTCAATTACGCACCGGAATTTGCATAATCTCCGCCTCTTCAATCTCTGTAAAGTCCGCTGAAATATATTTCCTCGTCGTTGATTTAGTATATACAGCATCACACACTATATGAAGGAGGAGAGGGTATACATTGAACAGCCAATAGGAGACTGGCATCTGTATTGGGTCTAGTCTGCGTCGTGTGCATAGCGCATTAGCCAATGGGAGAGCGGCAGCCAAAACCGGTAAGGGCGATTGCGCTGTGAATGTTTCACTGAGTTGGCAAAAATAAAAGAAATATTCACATAATCGGCAGAGACGGGAATATAAAGGTCAGCAGATGAAGTACCACGGCATGAAGCCAACGTAAGAAGCATTGGCCGGAGTGAAGGCCTGTTCCAACTAGATCGAAGATGAAACTATATCTATGAGACACTTTGATTTGCGGAAGGGTAGAGGTATTACCTCAATATATGGCACATTTTTAAAACAATATTCTTCAACATCGGCAACTGTATACTCCAGGATATTATATCATTTGGCAATGGGTAATATAATATATTGAGCCAAGAATTCTGACACCTCCCCAAAGAATCATTTCGAGGAGCTGATCGTGATGAAGACTTCCAACATCATATCCGTCTTTCATAGAAACAACATCAATAATCGAGTCATATCTAGGGCCCCGCGCTCATACATTATTAAAAGATTGGCCTTTCACTATATAATAGATGCAAGTGGTCTCTCTGACGGCATGTATCTTTATCACTCGTCTACACTCTAGCTGCCGTTCTCTTTGAGAGTAGCTCCAGGATCGACTCATTTCCCCTCTTATTCGCCCATGTCAAGGGTGTCTCGCCGTCTTTATCGCTTCTTTCCACGTCAGCTCCGTTATTTAGAAGCAGTTCAACAAGCGCTATATTATGCCTTTTGATAGCGCATATGAGTGGTGTTTGACCATCTCTATCATCCCTTTCCACGTCAGCTCCCTTACTTAAGAGTAGCTCCACAACCTCCAAATTACCCCCTATAACTGCCGACAGAAGTGGTGTCCGACCTACTATATCATCTTTTTCCACATCAGCACCCACACTTAAGAGTAGCTTCACAATATCCACATTACGCCACTCAACCGCCATTATAAGTGGTGTCTGGTAGATATTGTCTCTCGTTTCCATGTCGACTCCCTTATCTAATAGCAGCTCAAAAAGCGCTATGTTATGCATTTTCATAGCCCACATGAGTGGTGTTATGCCGTCTTTATCTTTCATTTCTAGGTCAGCTCCCTGACGTACGAGTAGCTTGGCTATTGCCTCATGCCTCTCCTTAATTGCCCATATGAGTGGTGTCTGGCCCTCTTTATCTTTCCAGGCCGGTGCCACGTCAGCTCCCTGCTTTAACAACAGCTCAACGACCGCTGGACTCTTCGATTCAAGAGCAAGTAGCAGTGGTGTCTGCCCATAATTGTCTCCACATTTACACCAACTCCCTGTTTCAGTAGTGCCCTAGCAATATCCTCGTGTCCCTCTTTCACAGTCCACAGTAGCATCGATTGACACTTTCTGTCTTCTGCTTGAATATGAGCGCCGTGCTCAAGTAAAAGCTTAACGATCCTTGCCTGCCCTCTCGCCGCAGCCCATGTTAGTGGTGTCCAACCACCCTTATTTTTTGCTTCGAGGTCTGCTCCATTTTGCACCAATAGTTTGATGGTAGTATCACGGCCACTACTAGTGGCTAGTAATACTGATGTCCGGCCGTAGATGTTATCTTTTGCTTCAATATCCGCTCCACTTTCAAGAAGAAGTCTTGCAATGGCATCATATCCATTCTCCACAGCCCACATTAGCGGTGTCTGACCAAATGTAGCATCTCTTGATTCAGTTTTGGCTTTATTCTCGAGCAATAGTTTAACAACAGCTTCATGCCCAGATTTAGCAGCCCATAGTAGGGGTGTTTGACCGTACGAGGTATCTTTTACCTCAATATCCGCTTTCGCCTCAAGCAGTAGCCTAACAGTGGCGTCGTACCCCTGCTTAGCAGCCCATAATAATGGCGTACGGCCATGTTCATTTGCATTAACATCAGCTCCCTTCTCAATCAGTAGCTTAACGACGTCGTCTTGCCCCCCAGTGGCGGCCCATAACAGCGGTGTCCTAGTATGTACAGTATCTCTCGCCTCAATATCAGCTCCGTTCTCTAGACACAGCTTGGCAACGATAGTATGACCACAATAAGAAGCTATCATGAGATCGGTAAAATGTTCAGTAGGTTGCAGACCTGTGGTCTGCCAAAAGAGGTCAAACCACGCTGAATAGCTCTTTGAATTCGCGTCACATATCTTGAGAACGGATGACAGAATAGCACTACTGTTCATAATATGAGATTCGCGAAGATGGATGTTCCAATTTTTCGCCGAATACTCTAAGAATGCGTGTGTGCCACGAGGTTGATCGCCCTCCCCCATAATATCTGGCGAGTTGAATAGGCCAAGATAGAGCACGCAGATATCTGCAAGAACGGTTTGCGCGTCGCGAATTGTGATCGAGTTTCTCCATCGTAAGCTGGGGGTAATGGATCTAGACGATGCCCTATCTGCGAGAAGAAAATCACGGGCCGTCTGATGAAGGAAATAGATCTTTCCATGGTATATTGTGATAAATAATCCGCACCAGGTTCTTAGGCGTGATTCGAAAGATCGCTCTTGCTCTAAGTCAAGATCATTGAAGTTATGTATAGTATCATCCATGCTCACGGCCACGTTCATTTCTGATAGAGTCAGTGGCCGACTAGCCACCAAGATAATACTTAGAGCTTTTCGAACCATCGGGTGGTCTTTGGACTTGTTAAGTATTTGCTCATATGCTTCATTAATGCTTTTCGGAAGCGTTGTAATAATAGATTCGACTTCTTTCTGAGTCTTTTTGAAGATTTCTTTGTCCAAGTAATCGAATATTAAAAATACCCAGAGGTAGGTGCGATGAGGAGTGTTCCCTAGCCTAAACTCTAAATAGTTTTCAATTTCAGACGGCAGGTTGTTCTTTATAGATAACCGCTTAGCACGGTAGGTGATCACACAATTAATCTCTTGACTAATGGTGTCTGATTCTTCCTCTCCTGGTATATGAATATTTGGAAAAGAATCCCTTAAATATTGAAATCTGGAAACGATTTGATCATATGGGCGGCATGTGAGAAGATACTTCAGCTTGCCCTGAACTTGATGCGTTTCTGAAAATTGGATCTCGATATGTTTCATCAGATTCTCGAATTCCGATGCAAGACATTTATCCAGGGCATCAAGGACTATTATAATAGGCCCAGTCTGTATATCATTGACAGCGTTTCGCAAGACTTCCCAGAGCGACTCTGTTGAGTTGATTAAGCCTTTTCCATCCGTGCGAAATCTGACCATTGCATGTTTAATTAAGGCCGGTTTCCGAGTGAAGAGCTGGTGCAATAGCGCACAAAGTGCTTGCCGAATCGTATTCTAATCTTGATCCTTGAAGAAGAAATAGCAAATAGTTACCGATCTTGGTAAGCCGTGATCTATCAAGTACTTGGCTAATACTGATTTCCCACAACCAGGATCCGCAGTTATCACTAATGGTCCGGATTCTTGATGCAGCCATTTTTTAAAGTACTCGTGATGGAGAAGCCACATACAGGTGCCTTCCACCCTTTCTTCCACTAAGTCTTTATACCATTCATAGGTAGCGTCCTTGTCACTAGCTGTAAGACGGAACAGCTGGTGGCACATTTGCTCACTTTCAGTCAGCCGCTCTTTAGCAAAGTCTTTTTGAATTTGTACATTCTCTTTGGCGGCCGCTAGATGCTGCTCTGAGATATCGACGAGATCTATCCTCCGTATTAGTATGTATTAAATAATGAAATATTGTATTCGTATTTACCTGACAGTCTGTCTTTAATTGTAATCTCAGCTGCCAATTTGCTTAAAGCTATTCGATAGAGAAGAGCTCTTGCATATGCTGCAGCGGTCATAGCCGCATAACCCTGCCATTTATCATTTTTGTGCGAATCTGAATAGTCGCAGATGCCACGGATAACAAGGCATGGAAAATGATTCATAAGACCAGCGGCTTCCATTTCAAAGCAAAGGACGCCCCTGTTAGCGACAAGTTTATCCCGAAGAATTGCATCTTTCATGAGTTGGTTCGCTGAGGCTATTAAGCCGTAATGGATTGCTGGATCGTCTTCTTCGTCGGTTCGTTCAGGTCGATTAACAACATTCAGTGGATCGTCACCACAGGCAATGGCACAGCCTTCCTCTTTGTCTGAAGAATGACATAGTGTGACTTGTATAGTCTATCAGAAGCTGCTTCAGGTCGCTCGAACCTTTTACGCAGCTTCTTCTTTCCATCAAGTACACTGCTAACAGCTTCCGCAAGCTGGTTCCCCTCACATTCGTGCTCTGCCATAAGCCCATTCACAGCTGAAAGGAGAACCAACGGTGGCTTATTCAAAAATATCATCTTTTGAAAGTTTTGACCCTGTGCCTGTAGAGTTTCGCCGTAGTCATACTGGAAAACACTTCCATTCCCGTTGCTAGAGACACCCACTACGACGTCGCCAAGACGAATGTCATGCTTTGGGCTGGGAGCACCGCCACCAATTCCAACCAGGAGGCCAATCCTGATGTTGGGAAAACTGTGCAGCATGTCTCTCGCGACGCTCGCGGCAGATGCTGACCCATATTCGCCACAGGGAAGGACTGCGATTGCCACATTGTGTTTTCCAATCCTTCCCAGAGTATAATCGTTGTTATCGTGCGGTGAGACATATCCCGGTGCGTCGTGCTTTTCGTCGAGAAAGGCCTGTGCAGCGACGTATTCCGGAAGTATCGCGCATATCCAACCGACAGTGTAGTTATTCAGGTCAGACATGATTTCCCATTGAAGCACGCAAATGCTAAACAAGTAGGTTTAACATTTTTCCTGATGGATTAATTGCTCAAGCACTTCCCCGCCCCATTCCAAGTTGGCTGCACCAATCGCGAGCAGCCTCGCGTGTTCCTCCAATAACATCATGCCAGCTTCTGCTAGGGTGTATAAGCAAACATCCGGGCGCATGCAGTTTATCTAAACTCATGGTCACCTTGAAGTATACTGAGACCTCATTGTTGCATCGCCTGAAGTTCCACTTGAGTAGACTACAAGGAAAACTTTCTAGTAGCAGGTCCAAGCAAGTATATGCTGGTCCTGCTGTAGTTCATATTGCCAGCGAACTAAGGTTGCCAAAAAAGGTGCTGACAATGTCTTTATTATGGAATAATTATAAATCCTACTTGCGGGTTGTGTCTAGGTTGATGAGGCCTGATGTAACTCTCGGTAGCTAGAGCCGCGAAAATTCCTGCAAGCAGTATGGATAGTTGCCAAGAAATGTAACATAGATGTGCCAAAGGCAGGGGTAGCAACTTATTTTCTTGGACGCGAAATATACCAGGTTGACCAAGCTGCCGCTAATGGTAATAGCCAGTTGCAATGCTCTCTTAATCGCCCGTTAAGTATGTGATTTTTGGTCTAAAAGAACGTATAGGGAAGAAAAGGTATAGGCAGTGAGTTGGGCTTTCAATGTATATTCGGTACAATTGCCACAGCTCCCTTTGCCGAGATCCTAAATAGGAATGTATTTTCGAGTTCCCCGCATGGAAAACAAGTCTCCGTAGAATATCGGCACATACATGCAGTAACGTCTACTTGCTGTAGCATTTTGAAAAAACTAAATTAGGGGGCAACAAATGCCCAGAGCGGCAGCGGGCGCGGACAGGACTATTTGACGTGTGGTTCCGGGAATGGGTTATTTGGCAATATGCCAAATTCCCGCACACCATACCAACGTCAATTTAGTGGTGTTATGATTCACCCCAGTTAGAAGAGAGTGATCAATATACAGTGCTTCAAGACCAACCACAACTGTCAGGTTGCTTTACCAATAGGTATCGGCACTTGTAGCTTTTAACTCGGAAGAAATCCCGCTCAACCCGCCTCCTTGACAACCGGATATTAACCAGTTGCGGCAGGTCATGCAATGATATCCACAAGAGTATACACGGCAAATTGGGCGGTTTTCCCGTTATATTAAACCAACTGCGTGTTTCGCTAGCTCAACAGCCAAGTCGCTCGGCGTAAGTGACAGGTGTCTCGGTGCTTATATGCAGCATTGCATATCCATGCTAATCGTATTCTTACATCACCATCCTCATGGAGTTAAGCTTGGGCTACGGAGTAGTTTGTCACAATTAAGCATCCTTGCTAAGGCTGTCAAAATTCCGTTTCACTGAATCCACTAGCCTTGTGAAATGTATATAAGCAAGGCAATTGACCGCATTTCACTAATCAATCAGATCAGTTAAGATATCTAGCACCTGTTCAAACAAAATACATTCAATATGAAGGTTCAGTTCCTTGCTTAGATGCTTCCCCTTTATTCTTGGGCTCTAATTAATTGATCTGACAGGCTGTCATTGTCTCTGCCCTTGTTGGGTTGGCTTCCGCTGCCCCCTCGGCACTTGCTGGTGTTAACTACAACCAATGGTGGGATGCGGGTTGCAACGGCCGAGCCCTCCTAGGAGGCTCACTGACCCAGGGATTTTGCACCATTGTTGAGAGTTTCCCTGGCGCAAGCATCAAGCTTACGCCGACAAACCCATGCCCAGAAGGCACCTCGCCACAGGTTACTATTTCCACCACGAACGACTGCGACAATGATCAGCCTGACTGGACGTTTATCGCGACCGACGAATGTGTTAACGTCACCATTCAGCCATCGGCAATCCACCTCAACTGTGTGTAGTTGGAAATAGTGGAAGCCTGAAGTGATGATAAGACATATGGCGTTGAAAAATGAGTGTTGGAAGTTTGTGATTTGTTCTTGTTATATAGGCCATGAAAGAATAAAATGCAGTCCAACAATTTGATTTGTGTGTTATAATGTATTGCCCAAGTTCCTTTAGCAACCTGACTTGTTGGATTGTCATTTTAGAGGCGGGAGAGAAGACACTTACCGAACAGCTACGTATGAGGCGCCTACGAATTCGACCATATGTCCTTGATAAATGCAACGTCAGTACCTTGATTGAGAGTAGATAAATATCTCCAAGCATTGTTGAGGGAATGACCGTATGGTAGAGTCTAAACAGCGCCTCAGGAGCCACAAAGCTAGACCACAATGATAGCATCGTGGGTGAATGACAAAGTCAAAACGCTACGGCAGCACCATTATGCAGACGCTTGTAGCAGAGAACCATGAGGTTGATAATCATTCTTTGTAGAAATTGATATTAAGTCTAAAGTACGTTCATAATTTGCGAAGCTAATCAGTGCAAAAAGTAGGCTGGCATAAGCCAAACCACCAACGGTCCCAAGCTGTTACCATCCCTAAACTCCCTTGCAAGCCATTACAGATCAATCCCCATAATTATTTTTTCCCCTCCAAATTCCACTGAAACATCTTTTGGAAGATCTCCTTTCCATTACCCTCAAGCACATCTCCATGGCAAGGAATGATCGTTGAGAAGTCCCACTTGTTGATGACTCTTAGGCTGTCGTTCATGCTATTGCGATCCTTGGCGCCGTGCCAGATAATTCGCTTGGGCCAGGTAGCATCTCCGTAGGTGTGCTGCACTCCCTGGAACAGCTTGTTGAGAAAGCCGCTTGGTCTCTGAGATGCAGGCACCTTGCTGTACTGCTCGGTAGCAGGTAGATTGAACAGGAGATCAGCCTCGATAAGGGTCTTGTCTGGCCTGTAGTTGAAGACAAGTTCCTTGTTGGCATGGCCATCGACATACTCGTAGTCGAAGTCGGCGTCAAACTCGTCGCTGATTTTGATGTCACGCTTGCCATTCTTGGTAAAGACAACGGAGAATTTGTTATCATCGATCTTAGGGTCCTTGGTTTGGGTTGCGCGCTTCTCAGGAAGGCCCTCTGGGCCGATGATTTTGGCGTCAGGGTATTGCTTAGCCCACTCAGAGATGAAGATGTGATGCTCAAAGTCGAGGGCGACGATGTAGCCCACGCGACCTCCTTGCTCTGCGACTCTGGTCTTGGTTGCTTCTGTGAGGGCCACGGGAGAGAAGACAGCGAGGGCGCCAGATGTGAGTCTCACTATGTGATGGATAAGTATTATAAACAATAAGCCTTATACGGGGGAACTGAGACATACCAAGTGTTCCACGGCCGCCAATGCTGAGCTTGCCAAATCGTGAAAAGGGCACAGAGAACGTGGTGACGTTGGGAGTGACATTGCGGATGACCATAAGGTCAGCCGGATTAGTTGGGATCAAGCCAGCCGACATGATGTTTCTCGTTTGAAAAGGTCGAAATAAAAGCGAAAATATGCGTTTGTAGCTCTGGTGTGCGTAACTGTGTGTATAACAATGAGTTGAAGTTTTAAAAGTTGGTGGTAATGGTGGTGGAGGTGATGTTATTTAAATGGTTGTTGCGTGAAGTCATAATGAAAACATTCGATCTCAATGATGTAACGCGACGTATTTAAACACTTACGCCATCATGCTAAAACAGACCTGATAACACGTATCGTCGATAACTCAAATCATGGATACGCTCGGTTCATCCGTAGGGCAGATTTAGTAAGCACGTTAAACGTCGGGGCCTTGATACGAAAATTGCCAGGCGCGTCGTTAGTGGCGAAGGATGCATGCGTTCATTTGGAATTCCAAATATCTCTGCAGGGCGCCCCAGCCAGAATGTAATGGAGAGTTGAGCTTAGCTAACCATGACCCGAATGTGGCTGGTGTCAAGCCGAGGCTCATCAACAGAACCCCAGAAGAAGAAGATCTACCTCGGGAAAGGCCCAATCGAGCCTTTTGTTAATGTCAGATTTCAGGGAGCTAGAGCGAGGCCAGGGCAATGACATCAAGGCCGTTGAATTCGGACACGGAGCAAGATTGCCCGGCCGTCGTGCCACCCCGGCTTTTCGGCCTGATTGAGCAACCCGTCGATATAAAATACAGCGGGCTTGTCCGAACTCGTCCGGATAGGATATCTGATAGGATATTTCATTCCATTTACTTTGTCTTGCTGTGCTTTGCGCAAGGATATATTTGAGTTATTGTTGATTTGTTGCATATGTTTGTTGTTTGAGCCGATGCAGCGACAGCATGCCCCTGGGTGAATTAGCGCAAAGCCCCCGAGATCACTAATAAATATGTACGTAAGATGCCTAAATCTCAAATTGCCAAACTAAAATCCAACTTCGCCAAAACAGTCAACACTTCAACCAGATATCTACGACTGCAGCTCAATATCGACGAATTATAAGTATCGCGTAAATTAATCAGCTGTTATTCATACTGTTTAGATGCTTCACACCCTCGCTGTCGAATGCCTAGAGCTTATTCTCCTCTCCATGGAGCTTCCGGCCCGCTCTTATAGAGGTCAGGACTTTTGGCACTTCAGCCTTCATGAGCCGCACCTACTCTAGCCAACAATGTCTTGTACTTATTTACCAGCAGTAAAGAGGTAGGACATTAACTCGCCAAAAAAAAAAAAAAAAAAAAAAAAAAGAACTCACTCTGAAGCTGCGTCATGTCGATATATATTGATCTCTTTGCATATCTTCTTGTCGACTGATATCTAATGATAGGTCGTTGATCTGGCCAACTTTCTGCTATATTTCAATCCGCCACTGTTGGAAACGCAATTATATTGAGACCGTCTTCTATACATGTACGTATGATTCAAGTGCCAGAGTACGTCAGACTTACCCTTGGCTCCACGAAAACTTTGCGTAGCGCCTTACACCAAAGAAGTCTTGAATCCTCGTATATGTCGAATTCAATGCGTTCTGTTTTTCCTCTCAAATTCTGTGTCATATAGATGTATTTGTAACGACATCTTATTGGCTTCCGCTTTTCTGTTTGACTTCTTATATAGGGCGTACCAAGCAATCGACCCATCCAACAATAACTCTTATTGAAAAGAGGTGCTACTTCTTCATCCAAGCAATATTTTATTGCTTAGAAGAGTTCTTTCTTCGCCCTTTAAAATAAACGGCGCACCGTTGTAGCGTAAATAAATGAAAGCGAAGGGGTTGCCACGACTTCGACAATTCAACTCAAGTCACTCCGATCCGGCCATAGGTCTCTTAAAATTCCTCCCCGTTTCCTTTTATTTAACAGTTTTGCCATCAATACTGCAACTCTTTCGTTATTTCTTTCACCTAGAGCTCTCGCCAACTGCATAGCCGGCATCCACGACATTGTGGAGGCCGCTGACAATTGAATGCGTGGATTGACTTGTTACCATACACACACCAGACTAGATGGAGCGCTCTAAGCCTCCCAAGCCGTTTGTATTGTTCATTCAAAGCATTCAGCTCCAAATCAGAAATATTAACCTTGTCCAGAGACTCCTGTAGATACCTTCCCAGCCTTGGCGAGGTAGGCAATAGCTGGCTTGCAGAAGTCGGCGAGAATAAAATTGTGTCATTGAACGATTATTGTCCCCTTGAAGAAACAGGCGGTACCTCATACCTGCTATCAATTGCACAATGGCTTACTCCAACAGGAAGCAATACATTCCGCATATTTGACTGCCAACACGCAGTGACCTGCAACGCCGTTAAAATAAGGGGGCCATCAAAAAATCCGTTCATAGTAGATAATAATTGTCCCAATTTGATGTCTTATGCGCACTGGTATATCCAAACACTATGCCAAACCTGACATCTCGAACCCTCAGCAATTCCATTGCCACCTCCTCGTCTTCCGACGTTCCCATTTTGATCCCATTTCTAAATGCTCGACACGAGGGGTCAAAAGCCCTCCAATAAGAGAAACAAAGGAAAATAATAAAACGACTCCAACTCCCAGCGAGTTTTCAACACGCCTACCTCGGCGAGGTGGACTGCCGAAACTCCGTCTGCACTCGGATTCCGTGCAGTGGTATATCGTCCCTTGTATCGTCAGCCGGAGGTTCGTTCATCCAGGAGGTTTTAACAGTGTGTGTATACCCTTTCGTGTCAGGTCTAAATTGAGAGTTCATCACGACCGGCTGAGATCCAGTGTTGAGGCTGCCGTCGGACTCAGTTTCGTCATCCAGGCGGTAGAAGGCACTGCCGCTCGCCCTGCGCTTCGACTCTCCGGCGAGACCATTGACGCTCTTGTTCTGGCTGGGGCCGCTCAAGTTCGACTTGTTGAGGTTGGAAGACTTGGCGCCGCTGGTTCCTCGGTTCGGGGACAGAAAGTTACGCTTGATGCCGATGCTTCTGGCGAAGAGTCGAAGAACAGGTAGTAGAGTGGGAAGACAGGCCGAAACGATACCGGCAGAAACTTCGATGACTGTCCAGCCGACGGTTGGTGCCAGGGTGTAAGTGGGATCGCTGTTTGTGTACGTGAAAAGCACCGAGGTACGGTAAGCCGAGGCAAAAACGACGCTATAAACAGTTGTAAGTAAAGGCGGCACATAAAAGGAGAAGGGTGCCGTAGCAGAAATGTCGGCAGGACTCTACAAAGCGCAATAACACGTACAAGAAACCCAAGCCAAAGGCAAAGGTCAACCCCATCTTCTCCGTTGTCCTCAGCTGAAGTTTCCAGATCTGGGGGATAGGCAGGAACAGGATGGCGAGATCGGTAAAGATGGTTGACGAGGCATTGGCGATCCAAGTGCCGACCTGGTTGATGCAGTGGCCAGGGAGATCAGGGTACCACAGCTTCTGTACGGGCGTGCAGATGAAGATGAAGAGGAAAGTAATGCAAACGACCCAAGCCATGACGAAACCACCGACCGCCCAGGCCATCTTCTTGAAGTATGGCACATGGAAAATGCGATAGTACATGAGCAATAGACTGATCTTGGTCCAGCCAAGGTTCCAGGCGTAGAGGATTTCGGCCACCAGCAGCCACTTTGCCATCATGACAATCCTCGCAGGCTCAACCTTGTCAGCATGGAGGCCCATGCCATTGTCGTACATGGCAAAGATGAAGCCAACAACCACGAGATACCATCCCTATCAAAGTTTTGCAACTTTAGCTTTTTTGGTCCTGTTTGGAGGCAAAGCCTGTCTAGTCGAGCAAGCCTCGTCGTTTGAGTAAACCTACCAGTGAGAATATAATCATGCGGTCATCCCATCCCAAAGACTGTTGTCTGAGCCGACGACTGATGATGCGCAAGATGACACAAACAACAGCCAGGACAGTCATGGACGCCGTTACTTGCACGGTCCATGGCTGAAGGTTGTCGGCGTTGAAGCCCGGCAGACCCGGCAGAACTGATGGAGTTTCCTCTGCCATGACGATTCCCTCAATCGGAGCCATGGAGCATTTCGGAGTTTGAAGGTCGATGAATACTGTACATTCCGGGGCTGGACAGGATGAGGCGGTCTTTCATACTTGTTTCCTTTTTTTCCCCTCTACTTTGCCTTGCCGTTGCCTTACTGTTGCCTCGCTTATCCCCTTCGTTATTAGTGTCTCTCTGTCAATCAGACGGCCCCCATGGCAATCAGGTCCACGCTACCGGGCTCATGTCAGGGGGGATGATGTATTGAATGTGGACACCTTGGCGGTGGGCTTGGACCATGAATAAGTGGGAGGCGAACATCATCCCTTGGCCCTTCAGGAACTACTAGATGAGGTCTTTTTCCGCGGTGGCACGACTCGCTAGACGTCGATATGTAACCAGTCAAGACGACGATCAGCTCTGGTGCCGTAACGGTCCGTCTTGGTGCCTTATGCAAGCAACGGCGGCCCCATAGGAGCTTTAAACCTACGGTACACGTCCAACAACTTGTTGACTGTGGCCATGGCGGTACTGTATGCCAGGGTATACAAAAGATAGGCGTATTCAGGCAGGTCCGTACTGTAGGTACTGCCGGCACGATTTAGGTAGGTCGTTCGTCGTAATAATACAAGGTATATACGCATGCACTATTCCTCTTGAACACCGAATCGGCGATACCAAGTAATAATCTGACGGGATCAGCGTTCACGTGGGTTAGCGAACTCCTGTGCAAGCATTCTCCCATCGTGCTCATACAGCTTCTGGCCAGGATACCTCGTACTTCGTACATGAGTCTAATTCCATTCTGCCAAGGAACCACCTGAAGAGCCGGGGAATGCCAAAAGAAAAACAAGATACAAAACGGTCCGGCATATCCAACCCTCTTTGTGCCCTTGCAAGAATAGCGCCAAACACAGAATTACGGGCCTCGGAGCGCGCCGTACCCTTGTCTCAACTCCAATTCAGAGCGAGGTTGCGTGACTCCAAGGGTTTGGCCGTGTGTACAAGAGGTGCTATGAGGGAAGTGGGCAGCTCAACTCCCGCCCGGGACCGGGAACGAGTCATTGGCTCTTCGGCAAGGTTTCAGCATTGTCTCCGGCTTGCCCTCCCAGCTTCTCTCGCGATTCAAGCTTTACTCCGTCAAGACCTTAACCAGACCAATGGGAATTCTCTTTTACCGTCCCGATTCGTCGACTGGCATTTGCGGCTACCTGATTAGCGCAGACGAACCAAGTGGAGGGACAGGGGCGGACCGCTTTCCAAGTGCCTTCAAGCATGTCTCGTAGCAGAAATTGGAGTTGCTTCCAATGAAAGTTGCTAGAATGAATGTAGAAAAATTTGTCCGGGTATGTCCTGGAGCCCAGGCTTGCCAGGCTATAATGCTACTATCCTGTTCTTTCTTTAGCATTAGTGTTAGGGATCTTCAGGCTATCCTACCTCAACTCCGCACACTCCGCTCTCCCGTCTCCATTTCGCACATTACCGTCCTCAGGCTGCTTTATGCACGCATACGCATACTGTAGCATACCAGAAGTATGCTTGAATACAATACTCTTCTATAGATACAGGGCTGGCTGTGGGCGAAACTGCCAAGCAGCATGAGGCCTTCTCTTCGTTATAACACTAGAGTTATGGTGGCACAGTCCGGCGGAATTCCCGGTATCCTACAGCCTGCAACTTATATACGAACTGCAGGCTTGGGGTCTAGTGTCGAAACGAAGCATTGCTAAAAGCAGCCCCAAGCAGAAACTATACTCCATGTATGTAAGGTACCTACGCGTCATGGCCTGTCACCGATCCGAGTGTAACCAACATACATACTCGTACATACGCTAACCACGACTAACACCATGCATGCACACACACCTCGGACTACTCCATACAAGTGGTACATGCTCCTTAAACCCATGAGACAGACGGCCTTGTCCCCCCATGTAGACCGGAGGGTAGGCCGGAGGGAAAGGATGAATATCTACACCGCTAAGGAGGAGGCGGGTCGTCCAATTGATGCAGTTTCAACCCCCGCCGAGGCTGGTTCCAAAGCCTGGAGGCATCCGAGGCTCAACTCAAAGACGCGCTTGAGGGGCAATAAAGGCGGCTCCCTTTTTGACCCGTTGCCGGCTGGGCTATCTAAATACAAGTACAGGTAAATATTTAGTCCCCCACGCTTCGCCAGCTCTCTCTCAACTTTGACAAAGAAAGGAGCAAGGAAAAAACAAGAAACCCAATCCGCTCATCAGCCCTGATTCCACCTCTGCTAGACACTTACGCGAGATACCCTACCTAAGCATATTTGTCTCTCCACACCATCATGACTGCCGGAACCACCATCAGAGTGCCGCATCTCGGCGGAATCGATGCCGGCTACCGTCTTTCCAACGGTGCCGTCGACCCCGCCAAGCCTACCGTCGTGCTCATCAACTCCATGTGCATGACTTCAGCTCTGTACGACATTCAGTTCGGCAACAAGGCTCTCACTGACGTTGCCAACCTGCTCGCCATTGAGCCTCTTGGCCATGGAGCCACTGAGACCAAGGCAGAGAACTACACCTACTGGGACACGGCCATCATGGCCGTCCAGGTCCTGGATGCTCTCAACATCAAGAAGGCTTTTGCCCTCGGAACCAGCCAGGGAGGCTGGATTGTCACCAGAATGGCTCTTGTAGCCCCCGAGAAGGTATGTAAACTCGGTCTTCGTCGAGGCAACTGCCGTACATATATGTATGAGGATGCAAGACACTTATATGGAAAGAATCCATCCCTGTCCCGCATCCCCGTTTTTATTCTTACCTACTGCACGGCTTCCATCCAGTATGGTGTGTCTCATTTGCATTCGCCTAACTCGCATGTATCATACACCACTGCTAGTAACAGTAGTGTACTCGTACTCCCATTATGAACGCAGAGCTGAGATGAACAACCCTGGGAATACGACGCTAACTAGCCTTCAACTACAGATCCAGGGTCTCTTGCTCCTGGGCACTTCGCTCGACTACGAGTCCGATGCCTCCCGTCAAAAGGGATGCTGGGATCCCGCAACTATGCTGGGTCCGGTTGTGGACAGCCTGTATAGCACTGAGCCGACCCCGGATTTCCTCATTGACGCAGGTCTGCGCGAGAGCGTCGTTACCCTTGGATTCTCGGGAACCGTCACAGAGGAGACAGCACAGTTCTGGAGAGACACTCTCAACAGCATATACACCGGTGATGAAGGACGAAAGAAGCTGCGTGGTGCCTTCACCAACCTCTTGGAGAGAGATGGTCTGCTGAGACGGGTGAGGGACATCAAGTGCCCTGTCTACTGGATTCAGGTGGGTCACTAATCTGCACTCCTTTACCTTTATTGTCTCAGTCGTTGATATTGACCAAAACTACAGGGCAACCAGGATCTCGTGTATGGCGTCGACGTACCAAAGGACCACATCAAGGCCTTCTCGGGATCAGTAGAGACCGATCTATCCTTTACTGACGGCGGTCATTACTTGAATGCCACTTCCCCCAAGGACGTGGACGCAAAGCTGCTGCAGCTGATTAACAAATATTCTGCGTTGTAATTTTAGACAGCCTTTTCAACAAGTTAAACCACGAAGTTCTTAGCATAGCAATATCCAGAGTCGTTATTGATCATCATGTACTCCGTACTCGTCACCTCACGATAAAGTGGCGAATAGACTCAAATGTGATATGCAGGAAATGTGACAGATGAAAGCTCCACCTGAGCGCCTTCTCTAATGTATTGAATAGGAGACTGAGCTTTGAAACCCATCAACGGTTAATATACTAGCAGCAGCTTAATTCAACGGTCGACGATCTTGCACGAAGTAGGCATCTGTGATCTTCCATTTCACGTTCAAGTGCCTCATCCATCAGACTAACTCTCCTCATATGTCGCCGTCGCTTAAGTCATTACCATGTAAACCAGCTCTTTGATTTGCTTCCACCGATTACGTGTCGACCAAATGGAGACTCTTTCAACAGGGGAACCCAAAGACGAACCCACAGGCGAATCCACAGCGCGAATTTGGCGGGTATTGTCGACCAAAGCGGTCAACCGTCGCCCCCAAAATCTTTTACGAGATCTGTAGTGAACGACAGGGTCTGAGATATTTTGGTTCGGCGCCGTCCAGACTGCCGAGCTTCTAACCCATGCAAGCCGCTCGACCGGCGCAAGGTGCTAAAAATGTTGCCCATCAATCTGTTACTTCAGGGGAAGGTTAAATGGCGATCAGTTGGCTCTGTGACATTCCAATCGGGCTGCAATATAGCCGACCGTCCGAACTTGGAAAGTTTTGCAATTCAATGCGTTGTTGGTTCTTCACCTTGCATTTATGGCGATATTAAAATCTCACCAAATCCGAATAGCTGGGAAGATAGACCCCGGCAGAGGCGAGCGAACTGTGGCCAGTAAGCATCGGCTGCAATGCACAGATCCTTCGCGCAGCATTCAAGGTTCTCATTTTTTTTATTTTATCCTTGCCAATAGGAAGCGTTCCGCACGTACTCGCAGCTGGTGGCGTGTTACTAACAAGAGGCCAACATTTTGTGTGTGTGTGCAGCTGAATCAAGAAAAAATGGTTCAACTCCAATACTGTAGTCATACGACGTCGCCGCTTTAAACTTGTGACTGTTTCTCCTTTCCGCAAGGAAATCCGGGCCGTGAAGTTTTTTTCTTCTTTTTCTCTTCTTCTCCCTTCTAAATTTACTCAAAGGAGGAGACGCCGTTACCTGAAATTATGGGGATTGAAGTGGTTTTCCTCCAATAAGCTGCCCATGGCCAGCAACCCGGAGCTGTTCGGGCTATTTTCAACTCCGTTCATGCCCTTGGACGCCATGACTACGTTCTCCTGACCCTTGAACCGGGGAATCGGCGGGAATGCGAATTACAAGGGCTTCAGTTTGCCCTGATCTCCTGGCCCAAAGGCGCGGAATCTTCCGTGTTTACCTAAGGCTAATAATTTCCTCAAACGCGGAAGATTTGCTCCTTGTTGCTTTGGATGACATTCTCATGGTCCTGCCCTTGGCCAGCTCCCCAGGCCCAGGTAGAAGCGTCGAGCTAGTTCGCCGGCTGGAGAGCCTGGGGGCGGAGTTAATTCGTCTTCGGCCGCCGCCAGGTCTTGAGCGGGCCAATTATAACCGAGGATAATGGTTCTGAAGCATTCGTAAAAGAAGTCTTGGACGAAAGGAGAGTTGTTTGCGACAATTCATGCACCGAATGGAGATCGAATGCTGGTGCTAAAGAGTGGTGGTCTGTAAACCATGGCTTGGAAGATCCGGGTATAGTAACATGGTCTCGTAACGACGCTGCTTCCATGCGTTCTGATCAGACAAGACGGCAGATATCATGGCAGTTGTACGGAGTACAAGCTACCGTAGATGCTTGAAGCATACTCTTTGAAGCGTAAGCAAAAGCTTACTCGTATACACTGATAGGTGCTCGATAATGGCAGGATAGGAGTAACCTCGAGTCGTTCACCCCTGAGCATCACGACCACGGGACGAGTACATAATTTCTCCGTGTGTGGTGACTGATGCTGACAATTGCCGAAAGAAGTGCTTATTGTAATTCACTTACGAGACATACACGGGTGTGATTGTTAACAAGAATTCTCTTGCTCCAGAAGAAACTATATGTTAAGTATTGACATTGGAGCAAGTCTCGATCGGCTACGAAAAGCGGCCTTCAATTTCTTCAGTAAATAACCCATATACACATTCCTTGCAATGCTATTGCTAACACGTATCTGCCTTATTTACAGATCGACTTATTGATCATTCACGCCCAGATCAAGTCCCTACTCTGATGCCCTGTAAACCTGCTTTCCTTCAAACCACGTCTCCTTGACCACGCCCCTTATCAAACTCTCAGGCTTCAGCTCAACATCGCAAACAACGAAATCTGCTTTGAGACCCTTCTTCAAGCTTCCAGTCCATTCATCCGCAAATGTCGAATACGCCGACCCATGCGTCGCCGCCACGACAGCCTGGCAAACTGTGAGTGCAAACTCCGGGTTCACAACAGTCTCCAAATCAGGCTCGCGGTACGATCTCCTCGTCGTCGCCACGTACATGTTTGGAATCGGGAAATGAGGAGCCGTGGGCGCGTCAGAACCGAGAGCTAGGGGTGCGCCTCCATCTGCAAACTCGCGGTAGGCAAATGCCCTCTTGCATCGGTGATCTCCGATGAGTCTCGGCCAGGCTCGCAGGATGGCAGGATCCGAGTGGACCGGCTGGATGGACGCCGTGATGCCCAGCTTGCCCAGACGCAGAGCATCCTCCGCATTGGACAGCTCGATATGCTCAATGCGAGGACGCCTCGAGCGGTCTGTATTTCTCTCCAAAACATCAATCGCCATGCGAATCGTTCTGTCGCCAATTGCATGCAGCGCAACCTGAAGCCCTGCAGCATGAGCCTTAGACACGATGGTATTCAGATATTCTTCTGGCCAGATAGGATCGGGAGTTATTCCCGTCGAATACGGCTCCGTCAGCGAAGCCGTGCAGGCATCAATAATTCCGTCACAAATGACCTTGACGCCGACAATGCGACAGTCTGGTGTGTTGCGAGAGTTGTATTGTCCAGCCAGTTCAATGGCACGTTCAATCTGAGGGATCACACCCTCGAGAGAATCGCTGGGTTTCATGAGCCAATACGCAGCAATTCGCATGCCGCCGAGGCCTTCTTCATTCCGCAGCGCAATCAGAGGCTCCCAGATAGTCTCATCCATGGCCATGTCCACCATTCCGGTATACCCAACCGAGTTGAAAGCTTTGATAGCTGCCTTGATGGACTCTTTCCGCTGCTCGATAGACGCTACCTTGGCTGTAAAGGGCCAGATGTACTCAAACACGGCGCTCTCGTTGAAGACGCCGTTGAGTTTTCCGTCTTTGCCTCGCTGGAATGTTCCACCCACAGGATCTGGGGCATCATCCGGAATATTCATAACACGGAGAACCTCCTCTAGTCCTGCAGTGTTGCACCATGTTGAATGCAAGTCTTTGGTATCGACGAATATTGGCCTGGGATCTAGGTCATCCAGCAGAGTAGAATCGACGCCGTCAGGGGTCATGGAGTGCATCCAGCCGCGGCAAAAGATACGAGGCACATCTGGATGGGTTTCGGCATATCGCTTGATCTCAGCCCGAATATCCTCCAAGCTCTTGCAGGCCTCCAAGCCAACTTTGACGAGAGACTGTCCAAGCAGCAGAAGATGCAGGTGACCATCGATGAATCCAGGAAGCACAGTCTGATTGCCGAGATCTTTGACCGTCGCGCCGGCAGCTTTAGCAGCTGCTACCTCTGTGTCTGCTTCAGAGCCAACATACTGGATGATGCCATCTCGTATGATCATACACTCCGCAAAGGAAGGACCAACATCCGCCGCACCAGTCTCCGGAGACTGGTAAACCTTGCCATTGAGCAACACGACGAAATCTCGAGAAGCATGTAGTTCGCCCATTTTCCAGACTTAAGCTCAATGCAAAGAAGCATGCAAAGACGTTGTAGTGAACCTTCTGCGTCTGCATCAGCCGATCCAGGAATGTCACTCATTACAAAACTCCCCGTATGGAGAACGTGGGGAAGCTATTAGAGCCGAAGCCGGATCTGATAACTGCGACCCGAGCCTCCGTTTAAAGCCGAATGGCCATGGCGTGAAAATTGGTTTAAACACACTTGGCATGGAACACTGGGGCCATGGACGGCGAAAGTGTTTAACGGTGGCGGCTTGATGGGTTTTGACTGGCTGTTCGTGTGAGCTAGACACATGTGTGATTCGACGAGCACATATAACATTGCCTTGAGCACGAGTCAGATATATGTACTATACCAATTTACCTTTGTGAATACAGTTTATAATGTATTATTGCTACCCCTCTGTTTGTTTCATTAACGTTGTGGAATCAAGAATTTAAGAGTTCTCGAAGGATCATGATCCTATGCACAATCCCCACAATCTGCCGCTCCATGATCTGAATTAACGTTAATTGAATCGCGATGATGCGGGCGCATAGAGTTCTCATGTCATGCATATTCGCTGATCAATGACAATAAATACTAGATTGAGTACTTTACCAGATCCGGTCCTATTATTCGAAATTAATATGCCTTAATCGTTATGCGGGTCCCTTAGATGAAGTCTCTCGCTAGATTACCCGGGAGGTTGATTTGTCGTGGGCGCGATTATTTATTACCTCGGTGTCTCAATTATACAGCTACGTGGTAGTGATAGCATCAGGTATTAGAGAGATGCAACTATGGTAGTAGAAAATCGGGATGATTAGTACAGTAGCATACACCTACATGTACCTAGGACTGAGCATATACCAGGGTATCTCGCATCATCTCCTTCATATTCCTCTATGATGCTTGAACTTTATGCCTTCTCTAGGGTGTCGAATAGCCAATCTAGAATCCGAAATGGTCACTGTCTCAATCACTAGATGCGGCCTTACACTCAACTTCTTCGATAGCTTAACATCGATAAGCGGCAAATATTCACACTGCAAAAGATTGTATCATTTGAATCATATCCTATCTCGCTGAAACGGCAGCCAGTTCACGTATATAGACACTTCTACCCTGTAATAAAAACGCCATCCTCTAAATTCCATAACATCTTCACATATGAACCCCAACAACAGCTTAGTGTGGAACATTGGATGGGATCTCAGGCCAGGGGGTTCGGGTAGCAGAGATGATATAATCCCCCAGAATACTGGTCCTAAATCCAGCCTCGCAGTATTGGAAGTAATACTTGAACAAAAAGGTCAGCAACTGTGTAATTCAAAAAGAAACTGGTACAAATCAAGTTTACATACCACCCATGTTCGGCGATAGGCCTCAATCATCAAATCGGTGGCATCAGGATTCTTGGACACATAATCTTGTCTGATGGTGTCCCAATTCTCGTCGAAATTCTCTTTCCAACACTGCAGAGTGCGAATGTAGTGAGGGCCAATGCTCTGAACAGTCTCTACTTCCAGGGTGCCGCTGGAACCATTGTGTATTGATGTCATGAGCTGGTTTATGGTTGGCAGATAACCTCCTGGGAAGATGTAGCGCTCTAGAAAACAATCAACCGTGTCGCCGGTGGTAGAGAACTGTTAAAGTCAGTATTATCGCTTGACGAATAATGAGGTGTAGACTCACCGAATTAATTCTGGTAATGCCTTGGACTACCATCCTTCCACCTTTTGGTTTTAAAAGGGCAGAGATCTGCTGAAAGTACTTGTTCATATACTTGTCTCCCACGTGCTCCAACATTTCAATAGAGATGATACGATCATATCCGCCCTCTGGTACAGGAGCCTTGCGGTAGTCACACAGCAGAATAGTAATCTTGTCCTCAAAACCTGCAGCTTTAATCCTCTCTTCAGCAAGTGCCTTTTGCTCCTTGGAAAGTGTCAACCCAGTGACTCGGCAACCAGTCTGTCGAACTGCTGTGATGGCCAAGTTACCCCAGCCACATCCGATATCCAGAATATGATCAGTGGAGGATATTTCAGCTTTGTCAAGAATGGTCTGTATTTTTCGACGCTGAGCGGACTCTAGCGATTCGCCCTTTTCTCCAGACCAGATGGCTGAACTGTAGTTCATATCGGGAGAGAGAAAGTTGGCAAAGTGGTCGTTGGAAGTATCGTAGTGAAACGATGCATTTTTGAGAGCGGTTGTGTTGTCATTGGCCGGGATGAGATAGTGAGCCGCGCGTGGTATCAGTGTATATAGGAGGTTGCCAGCTCCGACGCCTAGCGTGTCTTGATTCCTGACATAGAGCTGCAGAGAACGATATATGAGTTGTCAAGGACTTCTTTTCTGGAAATGGGATGTGTAATTGGAAGATAAACTCACCGAAAATAGTTCGACAAGGTTATCACATTCTACATCTTGGACTAGATATGACTCTGATAGCCCCTGTAAAGATGTCAGTAGTTGCTTCGATGGATGTGGGATATTGTCTCTGTATCCTTACCAAGTCGAATGCTTGACACAGTCGAACAAAAACTTGAGGGTTCTTGATGATAACAACAATCTCCGGATCTGATTCGGAGTTGCTGCCGAATGAAACGCTTTCGTTGTTGTCGCTAGCGTATTTTGTGTTGATTGTCAAACGTCCTCGATGAATACGCTTCAAAGCCTGGTAGACCAGGCTTCGAGCTGTTGACTGAACCCACGTCTCTGCCATTTTCAGATATTATACTGCAAATTTCTGCCTTTATGGAACAAAAGCTTTTTTGTAGAGACAAAGAGCCCATTAAATACTCTATCCTCAAGAGTCCGAGGGCTCGCGCCATATTATGGTCCCCATCGCCTCAAGTTTTCTGTACTCCACCGGCAATGGCCTCAATGTTAGGCATCTAAGCAAGGGGTTACACCAGCCTTGCTGCTTGAAGCCTAATTTGGGTCATTTGCATGCATTCGGTGATGCACTCGGTGACCCCTGTCCTCGTGAAAACTGGCCTTGGTTGGCCTCTGAGATGAATTATCGCGAGCACGGTAGTGTGGAAAGGACGGAGTTTGGGCAATTCAGCTGCATTCAATTGCCGAATGAGGAATATGAAATGGGATATGGCTACAGGTTTTGGTCCTTATCATGCGTCTTGTTCTGCAACTAGCCAAAGCTCAGCTCACCACAGTTTGGCTGTCAACGCCCAGCAAAAGTGTTTCTTTGGCCAGATCTGCAGAGTTATAATGGATCGAGCATTCCAGGTGGTATTAGCCAAATGGGTCCATATGCAAGGTGAGGAATTGGTACAGGATCTGGCTCAGCTGCCCTCACGACGGCTGTGCTAGCCCGAATAAGATGTCAATACTGCCTCTTGTCGTTCATTGGTGGTTACATTGTACGTAAAAGTTGTGCGAGCTGCATCCTTCCTTATCTTGATCACTAAATATGAAGCTAGAGGAGTTGACTGGAGAGCGGACGTCTTTGCAGAGCAGGTGAGTGGCTACTGAGTCTCTTAATGGGCACATTCACCGATTCGCGACTATTAGTAGCGGTCATCGTGCAGCAGCTAGACGTTAGACTAGACCCTGAACGTGCTGCTGAAGAAGATTTGACGTTTTGAAGTTTGCGGAGACAACCCAGAGTCCCGGAAGTGAGTAGGGGAACACAAAATCGGACATCGTCAACTCAGACCATGAACCAATCGATTTGTTCGCAATTGGGTGCGTAACACAGAGCGAAACCCCTCTCTCATATGGTTCTAGACTCACCCAGATGTTACATCGCCACCATCGGGCATCCCCATTCTCCAAAATACAGCCGCAGCTTGGCAATATCAACATCAATTGATGGCGTTCACCATGCAATAAAGATCTCACTATAAGCCGCCATCCCGCTCATTTCTATTCGATCAAGGGCACCGAAATGCGCCGCCACACGGAAAGTCTTCAGCCACGAGTGCCAGATCTGGGGTCACAGCAGCAACGGCTTACATGGGGTAAACAAGAGCCCCAATATAATGCACACACTATGCAGAAATTGCCCCATTCCCCAGCCATCTCCAATACGCCGTAATGCAGACACAAACCCTGCAAGTTTCCCTCGAAAAAGCAAATAATGCACACACAACCACGCCACATGAAGGGGCAAAGCTTCGCCTCGTGCACGTCCAATTAACCGCTGAGGCGCCTCATTGAACCGAGGCTCCCTTATCCGCAATCCCCCAACCGTGCCGGCCCATCTGATTCGATACTGGGCGGAGCGAGCGGCATCAACACTGGGAACCTCATCGCCAATTTCCTGTTCCTTTTGCCTTGGAGGAGCATCGCCAGGCGAATCGTCGGCATGCACCAGAACAACAACCAACGCGTCAGCACGGCACCAGGCGCAGCGGGCGACGCAATTGTCATCGTCGGGTGAGCTCCACCGTCCCCTTGAGGCTCTCACAGCCTCAGTCTACTGTATCTTGTATGAGTACTGGCTCACTGTGTTTACATTGTTTCTAGCGCGGGCATCATCGGCCTGGACGTTGCTCTCGTACTGGCTGAGCGGGGGCTGGGGCCTTTCATCACCATCATTGCAGAGCATCTGCCCGGAGATACGTCTGCAAACTATACGTCGCCTTGGTGAGTGACTGCTCTTGTTTGTTGTGAGGTGTTGTCCCACGTGATGCCATATGTGTTCAGCATGTATCTAGACACATGCATATATGTATACAAGTTGGCTTTTAACTGACCTGCTGGCAATATATGTAGGGCTGGATGCAACTTTTCCGGCATCTCAGGCACTGATGCAAATGCTCTCAAATGGGATCGCCTGGGTTACGCTCATCTCATCAAGCTCGCCTCTGAGCATGGGGATGAGGCGTATATCCGTCGAACAGACTCGATAGAGTACTGGGATGAGCACGTGCCCCACGACAAGATCAAGGCCATTTCCGAGTATCTTGAAGATGTAAGTTGTTGTTTACCTATTCACATCTCTCTCAACGCCGCTCATCCAGTCGCAGTTTAAAGAGATTCCAAGCCAGGAGCTTCCCGCCGGCGTTAGATTCGGCATCTCCTTCACCACCCTGACGCTCAATGCCCCCAAGCACATTGAGTATCTCTTCCACAGGCTAAGGGACCAATATGGCGTACACTTTGTGAGACAGAGGTTTCCAACCATTCAAGCCGCATACTCCAGTCCGACCACGAGGGTTGTCATCAACTGTACCGGCCTCTCAGCAAAGACGCTGCCTGGGGTGGAGGATGCCAAGTGTTACCCGACTCGGGGCCAGGTTGTCCTCGTAAAGGCACCGCGTGTGAAGCGGAATATTATGCGTCATGGAAGGGACTATGAAACGTATGTGATTCCGCGACCTGGAACGGATGGCCATGTCATTCTGGGGGGATACATGCAAAAGGGCGTGAGGTAAGTTCATTTCATCCCATTGCACCAAGCCACAGCCAGATTGATGAGCTAACACGACTACAGCGACGGATCAACGTATTCATATGAGACAGAGTCCATCGTCAACCGATGCGTTAAGCTATGCCCCGAGCTGCAGCCCTTCGAGATGATCGCCTCATTTGCAGGCCTACGACCATCCCGCGAAGGCGGCGCACGCATCGAGAGGGAAGAGATTGTCGTTGATGGTAAGAAGAAAGTTCTTGTGCACAACTACGGCGCTGGAGGCACTGGGTATCAAGCTGGATATGGCATGGCATTGGAAGCGGTTGGCACTGTGGACGATGTATTGCGAGATTTGGAGCGGGCCAGTCGACGATCGCGGCTGTGAGGGTTGTATGAGACGGCCGGTTGTTGTATACATTTACTTGTTTGTTTATTTGTTTGCTTATTTGTAGATTTGGGTTGCATATGGTTTCAGTATATCTCAGTTTTTAGGTGTAAATCGAAAACGGGCACATGGATCGGGGTCAAAGTCGATGTTTTGTGACACCAATTTGTGTGGCTTCTCCCATCTGTGATCTAATTGTTGGCTTGTACTTATGAGTCAGGGTGTACACACAGTGTAGAATCAAGCATGAAGTGCGTCCCAATGCTCTCTATATAATATATTATTCTCATATACTGTATATATCACTGTCATACGACGTCCAGATTCCCCATTCGCTCCAACTTTCACCCGAGCCACAGCAAACCTCGCAGACTCTTGCAAAACGGCGCCCTCTCGGAAATAACTCGCCTCTCCCTCCCTTGCCCTTTTCAGACTCTCCGTCAGACCCATATCATCTTAGCGGCGGAGCGAATCGAATCGTTCAGGTCCTGTTTATCTTCCCCGCGCTCCGGTTGAACAACGAACCCCTCTATGATGCTATTTGCGGGCGATTTGGTTTGCTGAGCGGTGCCTGTTAGTCGTCTTGATAGGATGGCGAGACCGCAGCGAATTGAGCCGAGCCGGGATAGACGAGGCTGATGCAAGGAATCTTTGTTCTTGCAGGGGCTTTATTCAATCTCTACTGATAATTTCTGCGTAAAAGTCTTGGTGTTCGCAGAGCTGGCTTCCACATACGCGTACACTTGTGCCTCTCCTCAAACTACAGATAAGCTGTCGCAAAGGTCGCGCAGAGACAAACGACAACATATTTAGAGCTCTCTGAACAAAATCACCGCCGCAATGCCTCTCGAAAGCTCTTCCGTGTTTGAGGATCCCACCTATGACATGTTCAAATTCCCCTCGCGCCGAAGCGTCGTCCACAGCACTGAGGGAATTGTCGCATGCTCACAACCTCTCGCAGCGAAATGCGGCCTCGAAATACTGCGCGCAGGAGGAAATGCCGCTGTGAGTGAGATGCAATTCATTCATATTAAACATTCGCTAACAGCAATGATTATAGGATGCTGCCGTAGCAGTTGGTGCGTAAATCCTCACTACATGTGATTTGCGATTTCTCATTTACACATGCACTCAACTAACTTTGCTTGTCAATTTGCTTAGCCGCCGGCCTCAACATGACCGAGCCTTGCTCAACAGGCATTGGAGGCGACATGTTTATTCTCTACTGGGATGCCTCCAAGCAGCAAGTCTTTGCCATGAACGGCTCCGGCCGCTCAGGCGCAAACTGCACGCTCGAGCAGATTCGGAGCGACCTCAAGATCGAGGACGGCATCACGGGGCAGATTCCCATGGCGAGCGTCCATGCAGTGACGGTTCCTGGAGCTGCAGCTGGATGGGCCGACACAGTTGAGCGGTTTGGCAGCGGAAATCTGACCCTGAGCCAGATCTTGAACCCAGCCATTCAGTTGGGTGAAAAGGGATTCCCCGTGTCAGAAGTTACCGGATACTACGTACGTTTCCGAGAGCAATTGAAGAAGACCGTTGCATTGTTTTCTGACTGAAGAGTTATTACAAAAGTGGACAAGTGCAGAGCATCTCATTCGAAAGGCCTCTCCAAACTACGCAGAGATGCTCAAAGTCGATCCCAGCCAAGCAGACGGCGTCAGAGCCCCTCGGCCAGGCGAAATCATGAAGAACCCCAACCTGGCCAGGACATTCCGCACACTGGCCGAAGAAGGAAAGGAAGGCTTCTACACGGGAAGAATAGCCCAAGAACTCGTCAAGGTCGTCCAGGATCTAGGCGGCCACCTGACTCTAGATGATCTAAAACACCACCTCGAGCAGGGAAGCGAGCCAGTCGACCCTATTTCTCTCAAATTCCGCGGCCAGGGCCTCACCAGCCAGGCGTCCGACGAGGGCATCGAGCTGTGGGAGCACCCTCCCAACGGCCAGGGAATCATCGCCCTGATGGCCCTGGGCATCATCCAGGAGCTCGAGAAGCAGGGCGAGATCCCCACCTTCAAGCCCGAGGACTTCAACACCACGCCGTACCTCCACGCCGTCATCGAGGCCCTCCGCCTGTCCTTTTCCGACGGCAACTGGTATATCGCCGACCCCAATGTCACTCCCGTCCCCATCGAGGGCCTCCTTTCTGAAAAGTACCTCTTCCAGCGAGCCTCTCTCTTCAACTCCTCCCGCGCCCTGGATCTCGTCGAGCACGGAGAGCCAAACTACCCCTCGCCCGCCCTCCAGAGCAGCGATACTGTCTATTTCACCGTCTCTGATTCGCAAGGAAACGCCGCCTCCTTCATCAACTCCAACTACGGCGGCTTCGGCACCTGCATCATCCCCAAGGGCTGCGGCTTCACCCTTCAGAATCGAGGCGCGGGTTTCTCTCTCGACGCCGAGCATCCTAACAAGCTGGAGCCTCGTAAGCGACCTTACCACACCATCATCCCCGCCATGGCAACCAACATCAAGGACGGCTCGCTTCACTCCTCGTTTGGCGTCATGGGTGGCTTCATGCAGCCTCAGGGCCACGTGCAAGTTCTCCTTGGTCAGATTGTCGGAAAGTTGAACCCTCAGCAAGCACTCGATGCGCCCCGGATATGCATCGGCGCAGGATTCCCAGAGCATGGCAAACCTGTTGACTGGACGGTGAACGTGGAGGAGTCGATGGACCCCGAAGTAATTGAGGGTCTGAGACAGCTGGGCCACAATGTGGTTGTTGTTGGTGGTGGGCCAAAGAGAGGCCTGTTTGGACGGGGGCAGATCATTCGGTACACGCTCGATCCTGTGGACAAGACTCCCATCTGGTCGGCAGGCAGTGACATGAGAGCAGATGGAGCAGCATACCCATTGTGAGACAGATATGATATAGACAAAAAATAAAGCACGGATAACAAGGCCAGAGTGCCAGAGTGCGAGCTTGCCTCAACCCTCGTTGAAGTTGGAACATACAGAGTGTCGTATGTCATGCATCATGTGTATTTTGCTAGCCCTTCTTCATACAACGCCACCCATCGTATATCGTACACTTGTTTCGTATATCGACCGTCCTTTTCTTTGACTTTTCCTCTACTCCTTCTTCTCACCCTCCTCCCCCTCCACCAAGACCTTCTGCTCCTCAAACAGCTTCTGCAAATCGCCGTTCTGGTGCATGGAAACCAGAATATCGCACCCGCCCACAAACTGCTTGTCGACGTACAGCTGCGGGATCGTCGGCCAGTCCGAGTACTCCTTGATGCCCGCCCGCAGCTCCGGGTCCTCGAGCACGTTGAAGGCGGCGAACTTTTCGGGGCTGACGCCCTGGATGCCGAGGATCTGGATGACGGCGCGCGAGAAGCCGCACTGGGGCGTCTCGGGCGTGCCCTTCATGAAGAGCACGACGGGCGCCGAGGCGATGGCCTTGTCGATGGCGGTCCGCGTCGTGTCGGACAGGAGACGGATCTGGAAGGGCGTCAGGGGGGCGACGGGGGCGCGGAAGGCCGATAGGGGAGCTCGAGATGCTGCTGCTGCTGGGCGAGCAGCTTGCCGCAGGAAGCTCTGTTGCAGCGCATCAAATGTCAGCAGATTGTTCTTTGCTTTGGATGGACATTATTGGATAGTATAGCTTTAGAGAAAACCTACAGAGGCGAGTGATCGTGAGAACATGGCTGTGAATGTGACTTGCTTGCAAATGCAAATGTAAACCAAAATGTCTGGGCCGAAGAAAAAAAAGTGAGCCGGTGATGACTAGAATTGAGCCGAATTCTGGAGGGGTGATGCAATTGCTGGGGCTGACCAATCACCGATAAGGTAATCCGCAGATCGGCTCGGTGACAAATCTCACCACTTTAACTCACATGCCAGATTAATACAGCTCTGAGCCGTTTGCTGCCACAAGGAGAGAGAGACTGCGGCTCTATATTCAGGATTCTTCCACGTAGTATTAGAAAATATCCTGTCAGCTGTCTGTTACAAGTCAAACCAAACAACCAGCATCAGTGCTGCAGAGGCATCTCACCTCTCTCTCTCTCTAGCAGTTCATTCACCTTATAGCATTCACCATGTCCATCAACCCGGCGCAGGAGGTTACACAAGCTCGCAGCGATGGCAAAGTGCATCTCCTGTTGGCTGCATCCGGATCTGTAGCGACCATCAAGATCCCCAACATCATCAAGGGCCTGTCACGGCATCCCAACTTATCGATCCGACTCGTGCTTACCAGCTCTGCTTCTGAATTCCTTCAAGGCCAGGCCGAGGAGCAGCCAAGCCTCACAGACATTCGCAACTATCCCAATGTCGACGCGATATACACGGATGAGTCTGAATGGGTGCAGCCATGGACTCGAGGGGCTCCGATTCTGCATATTGAGCTTAGAAAATGCAAGTCACCCAACAATTTCTCACCTTGTGAATAAATCTGCTAACCATGTTTCGTCTATACAGGGGCTGATCTACTAGGCATGTTATTTTCTGACTGTCCACCTCATATGGATGTACTGCAAGACATTTACTAACAATGATACAAATCCAGTGATCGCTCCACTCAGCGCAAACACTCTCGCCAAGATGGTCCACGGCATCAGCGACTCTCTGTTATCCTCCACCATCCTAGCCTGGGACACAGACGGCTTTGTAGACGGAAAGAAGAAGAAGATTCTCGTCGCCACAGCCATGAACACGGCAATGTTTCGAAACCCCATCACGCAGCGCAACTTGAAGCTGCTCAACGAGCTCATGGGCGGCGCCGACGGATGGGTCGAAGAGCTGCAGACCATCTCAAAGGGACTTGCCTGTGGCGATGTTGGTCAGGGAGCAATGGCGACAGTGGAGACGATTGTGGCCGCGATCGAGGAAAAGCTTGGGCTGGCAGCAAAGGAGAGTCGAGATGAAGAATAAGTGCGGCAGCCGAATCATTCGAGAGGCTCAAAGAATTCTTGCCCCCAAATCCACCATCTCTACTTCGTCATGGATATCTCACAGCAAATAATTTCTCCGAGCAACAAAGGAATTGCAGATAGGTATACAGCCGCTGTATGCCTGGGATTGGCTCAAGGGTCAAGATGTCTTGCCATCGGTACATGCACTTTGTACCAGCGAGCCTGCCTGAGGGTTGATCTTGGGAGTTCCTTCCTTCTCAGCATACCTGGCTCTCGCTTCTTTGCAATTCACTTTTTTTCACCATCGCACAATTCTTTTTCTTTTTCTTCCTTCTCCATCTCATAATACCATTTCTTCTCAACCTTTTCAACTACTGCACAATTTTCCCAGTCATGGCGCACCCCAACAGATCGTCTCTCCTCAGCCGTCTCTTCCCTCAAGAGCAACATCTAATCAACCAGTTTTCCTCTGGCGAAGATCTTTCGTCATCGACCCTTTTTGCCCACATAAGCAGCCCCGGGCTGTTTTCTGTATCCAAAGCTCCTTACTCCTCGTCCTCGTCTCGGGAAGAGCAGTTTCGTCCCAATGACCTGTTTCGCGCATGCTTTGCCAACTTCAGTAACGATACGGCAAAAAGCAAGCCGCATGAGGAAAAGGCTGCTAAAGGAGATGCATTGGAGCAACTGAGAGGTATGGCATCAATTCATTGGTTCCATGCTCGATAGCCTTGTGTTTGTCTGTCTCATCAACTAAGCTTTTCCATTCACAGAAGCTTTTGCCCAAGAGGGCGTAGAGTTATACACCTCGGTCGCCAGCAAACTAGCGGAAGCCCAGCAGGAGATGGCGTCTCAAATCTCCGACTTTGCCACCATGTCGTCCTCCATAGCAGCGGACATGGACGAGTTGTACGCAAACTTGTCGTATCCGCTTTCAACAACCCTGTGCCACTCAAAGAATTTCCCTCGAGCCACCATTGAGGTCCATCTGGCAAACGTCAAAGAGGATCTCAGAACGGCCGAAAGTGAGTTGCAAGGATTAGAGCGTGAATGGCAAGACAACGTTCAATTGGAACAGAAGCTACGCCAGGAACTGCTCGACATGGAAGGGAATGCAGCACAGAACAGAGAGCATGCCTACAATGACGAGGACTATCTCAAGAAAACTGGATTCAGGCAGGAGATTGAACAGATCGTTTCAGAGGCTGCTCAAGCCCTGGAAGAAATAGACGAGGTCAGTATCTTCGAGTCCAGCGCTTTTCAAGAAGCCACAATCGCTAACTCATATCACAGGGGTACAGAGAGGGGATTCAAGCTCTGACTATGAAGATGATGCAAGCCATGCGGGCAGATTAAGCTTCATTTGTGGATCCTGAGCAATTGAGCAAATATTGTCTATTTTTCTCATTGAGCTACGCATGTATGTATCTATTTTCCCCAGTCGGCGCTTCAAATCACCCCGCCGCTTTGCTGCCCCTTTTGTTGGGACTACAGCAATGTCGCTACATGCTCCCATTCGCCATTGAACGCCGGTTCCCCTGTACATCATGAAAAGAAACACGGCCCTAGATTTTCCGTGCCAAAAAATAATAGTTGTAAAAGTTGTCGGATCAAAAATTCATACTCGTCAACGTCATCGCTTCTTCTCGCTCGTCGGAGATGTTTACTGCTCCTTCTCAGGGATCACGACGCCCCACTTGTGCTGGACGTTTCCGTACATAATGTCACCGATCCAAGTCTTGATCTTGGAGGTGTAGACGTTGGGCTGGTTCTCGGGGCCCATGGGGATGTTGATGTCCTTGCCGCGGTGGTGGATGGCCGAGATGGGGCACACAAAGTACTAAAATAACAAGTCAGCTTCAGTTCGTCTACAATCTTTTGGCATATATTTAGAATCAGCACTTACGGCAGTTCCAGCAGCAAAGGACTCGATCAGGCGTCCCTCGGCGTCAGCCTCAATGACCTCGTCAATGGTGTACTTGCGCTCGGTAATCTCCAGCTCGTCGCTCAGACGCTCACGAGCCAGCTCCAGGATACTTCGGCGAGTCACACCATCCAGGATCAGCTTGTCGTCCAGAGGAGCAGTGATGAGCTCCTTCTTGCCGTCCTTGCGCTTCCAGACAACGAAGAAGTTGCTGGCTCCGGCCTCAGTACACTCGCCGTCCTTGCCATAGAGCCACAGGATCTGGTGGTAGCCGCGGCTACGGGCCTCGGAGGTGGCAGCCAGACTAGGGCCGTAGTTGGCACCGACCTTGGCATAGCCAAAGCCACCGACCCAGGCGCGGACCATATCCTCGGGGGAGGTGTGCAGGCGCATGCCGCCGGGGGGGCTGTCGAGCTTGGGCATGTAGGTGACGATGATGTACAGCATGGCCTCCTTGGGAGCCTGGACACCGAGCTGGGACTGGGTTCCGATCAGGGTGGGACGGATGTACAGGTAGCGGCCGGGCTGGTCGCGGGGCAGCCAGCGGGGACCGTCGACGGACAGCAGGGCAATGATGAGCTTCTCCAGCTCGGCGGGCTCAAACAGAGGCAGGGAGATACGGCCGGCAGACAGGTGCATACGGGCACAGTTGCAGTCGGGACGGAAGACGCGCAGCTTTCCATCGTAACCACGGTAGGCCTTGAGGCCCTCGAAGCACTCAGTGGCATAGTGGAGGACCGAGGCAGTGGGCATGAGGCTCAGGGGGCCGTAGGGCTTGAGCTCGGGAGTGGCCCAGCCCTCAGAGGCAGTCCAATTGACGGTGACCATGTGGTCGGTGCAGATGGTCTGGGAAAGGGAGTTGGCAGTAGCATCATCTAGCACGGGCTGAGGGTTCTTGGTGTAGGTGTAGGTGAGCTTGGAGGCATCGAGGGGAGCAGGAGTAGTTCCATTGCTGGGCTTGACGGGCTGAGTGGCCTCCTTGACCTGGATGTTGGCGGCGGTCAGGTCGACGTCCTGGGTTGGGATAGCAGAGGGAGCCATTGTGACGGATGAGGATGTTGGAGATGTAAGAGGAGGATGAATGATTGGATTTCCTTTTCAGTAAAGAAAAAGAAAAGAAGAAAAGAGAAGTTGTGGTGGAACTTAAAAGTTTGGAAGGGAAGCCCGGGAGTTAAGAGGAAAGTCGGCAAGACAAGGCTCCGATGGCGGGTCAAACGTCGAATGGAGAATGACTCAAAAGAGAAAAAAAAAAAATGGCGGCTTGATGTACTATCTGACGCCAAAGTTGGAGGCGATTGGAGAGAGGATACTCCACGTTTGTAACTGGGTCTTGTACGGAGTACGTCTGGCTTAATTTGGGAATCCCAAGAGATTTTGGTTTGCAGCAGTGAAGATAATGCTCCTTTTGAGAAGGGTGAGAATCTTACTCAAGTGCGTCAATATTACGATGATGAAAAAGGGCAGATATACAAAGAGATTGTCTCAGCTGGTACTGTCTCACCAACAACAAGAGGGCTGTTTTAAAAAGGGAAAAAAAGGTTCTTATCCCGCCGGGGGACCACAAAAAAAACGCGACGAACAGTACCTCGACGTTGGACAGCGGCTACTCAAGGAGCGACTCGGCACACGGCGTAAAGTGGGGTCACTCTTGGGTCGCTTCCATGTCACTTCGCACAAGAGCGCCGCTAGAAGGAAAGAAATGGAACCGAGGGAGGCAAACGGCAGCAGCGATAGGAATTAACTAGGGCCGGAGAGAAAGAAGAAAAAAATTGATAGGTGTTCCATGTAGGCGTCTTGGCCTTGCTAGTTGCTAAGTAGTAGCGGAGCTGAGGAGCTAGATTCGGCTTTTAGAGGCTCTGGCACTACAGACAGATTACTATTTGGTGCTAATACTGTATTGATTGATGTGTTACTCCTTCATCTATGCTGTGCTGTGCTGCATTACCTCGGGACACTATAAGCAGGAGGAGAGTTGCACATTGAAGCTGTCCCGCCAGTAAGCCAACCAACACCGCCAAAAGAAACCAAGACGCCAACCCAACGGAAATAAGAACAAAAAAGATCCATGGATAACATGGACCATCGTGATATGCCTGAAAATAGCCAGTGAGAAAAGGGATGGCGGACCTGGTTGGCTGGGCAAAAGAGGGCAGGTGACCAGTTCGGCGGCCGAAGCTTGTTTGTTTGCGCAGCAGCTACTTGGAAATTCTTAATCCGTGTCTGCCCGCACCGCCCTGTGCCGAACCCGGTGACAAGCCCAGCCCTTTGTACAATATCGCTGGTTTTGGTGTGTTTTGTAGCTGGCGTGGCTTAGGGGGGGGGAGTTTGTACGTAATTTTAAAATTACAGGCAGTTGAATTGGCTTATGGTACTTGCATGGATGCTTCCAATTGATGCACCCCGTGATGCCAATTGCAGCGGTTCGACTGGATGAATTTGATTCAAACTGCTTGAAACGTCCAGCACGCACAACCCGCCAAAGCGGAGACCCAAGCCGCCGATACCGAAGGCCCGACTCCACGTTCCGGAGAGCGGAAATGCTCCGCCCCGCTTCTTTCGCGGCACATCCAGAAGAGGGAGCTTGGGATTTTGTGATAAGCCGCGATTTAACTCGGTACATATCATCTCACCATCAAGGTACTGAGTGCATTCTGTAAGACGGATAATCTATTAAACACAACGGCCAGAAGATACGAAACTCTCCGATCCGAGATGTCGTTTTGACAAGCAATGCGGGGGAAAGGGCGCGCCTGTTTAACAGTTGCATTGCATTATCAATGGAGAATTGGAGAAGAATCAAAAGAAACACGTCTAATTGCCAGATCCAGATCGATTGCGTAATCAGTTGTTCAAGAAAACAATCCAACATCTCCAATTCCGATCCCCGATCCCAAACAAACAGCATCCCATGACACTCTCTAGTAATTGCTTTCTCAGCAAAATCCTCCCTCGCTCGTTGTTTTTTCTCTTATCAGCAGCTCCGATCCGGCTCTGCAGCGCATAAACGTGCATCGCATCCCTCAATCCCCCCACCATGCAGCGGAATTTCTCAGCCCCTGGGTTAGTTGGGTTTGCGCCGTCGATAGCCGCCAGCCAGTTACGCAACCTCCCTTGTGTTGGTATGACAATTAAGTTAGCTATGAGATCATCCATCAATGTCCCGCGCATCTTTAACATAACAATTACAGCATGTCATCGCACGCACGGGGCGAAGGGCATAAGCAGGTGGTCAGAAAGCCATGGCGATGCGAAAAGCCAACCACAGAATAGGTATCGAGCGCCATCCGTTTCATCTGCTTCAGCTTTCTCCCCCTACTGTACTTGGCATCGAATCTCTCTCCAGCTGAAGTCCGTGTCACCCAATTCGACGAACTGGATGTGCTAAGAAATACAGCAGGCTATGATGCAAACTCAACTCTATTAGGTACTTTTATCTTCTCTGTGTGTCCTCTACTTTTGGGGTCTCTCCGCGGCCTGTTGAAGACTCTGTCTGTACGTATCCAAAAACTCCAAAATCAGCAAAATCACATCCCATCGCCTGCTTTCGTGCTTCAACGCAAAAAACATGGCTCCTCTCAGCTTGACATGACGCCCCTCTCCGCCTCCTTCTTGCGCTGCTCCTCCTCCATCAGCTCTCGAGCCCTCGCTGCCGCTTCTACCTCGGCCTTGACGCCCTTGGCCCGCTGTCGCGCCTCGTACATGTCGCGGCTCTTCATGATTCGCTGCACGATTTCCCCCGCGTTGACGTGCGAGAAGGTGTGCTCGCCAATCTGCCGGTAGATGCCCATCTCCTTTGGCGCCGTGTACGGATCATATGTCAGGGGCATGAACGCCGTCGGACCGTGGTAGACTGCGTCAGGGATGCCCCCCCACGGCATGTCTGTGAGATAGCTCTTTGTCGGCGTAAACGGAGCTCCGAACACAGCGGCGCTGATATACTACAGCAAGACGTCAGTACTTAGTGTCGAGAGATGATGATGGGCAAGGGCTTACCTTGCACTGGAGAACGCAGAGTCCACGCTCGTAAATGTTCATGATGGGGTAGTTTACGCCCTTCCACTCGTTGATGACTCTGTCCTCGTGAACTCCCGCCACGACGTATGCCGGGCCGTAGTCCTTTCCGCCGTTGACGCTTTTCCTCTTCTCCGTAGCCTCTTCAGAAAACCAGCCCGCCTCCCGCGCAAGCTTGTCTTCCTCTTCTAGCACCTTGCACAGAAAAGCAATGTGGCCGCTAGAGAAAAGGTCGAAGCCGCCGTCGACGTAGACCACACGCTGGCCAGGTTTCGGCCCAGGTCCCTTCAGAAAGCTCTCGTAGGATCCCTTATCTCCCTCGCTAGAACCTAACTTTTCTGGCGTCTCTGAATTCCAGAACCAGACATCGACACCGGGGTTCTTGGCTGTTTCGTCCGTCGCGTACAGCTTGAATCTCTCGAGCATCGCCTCGGACTGGGCTTTGCGCTCCTCCTCAGTGCCCATGCCTTCTTGTCCAGCCAGCGTCTTCTTTAGCGATTTGATGAAATGCGTCTTAGTGCACAGCAGCATGCGCCCAACGAGATCGGTGGTGGAGATGCCGGGCGATCGCTTGACGACCTTGAAGCGGCCTGCCTCCTTGACAAAGCGGTAACAGTCGTTTCCATCGCTGTCCGAGGTAATGTCGTCGCCGTGAACAACGTATCGACAGCCGTAGTGCGAGATGTACGGGAGCTGCGTCACGTAGGGGGCGTATCCGACCGACTTGGTAACCCAACGACAGGCATCTGTGGCGGCGAGACTGTTTTTTCACTCTGCTAGTCAGCCATTGCGCTTCTCTTTTGGTACCTCTTTTTTCCTCATCCCACAAACATACCGCTCCTCAAGGTTCATGACCGTTGGGCCCTTGTTGGCAAGGATCGCTTCGTCGGAATGGACGCCGACGTATAGCTCGTCGCCAAGCTGTCTGGCCTGGACCATTGCGCCGGCGTGGCCTGACAGTGACGCCCAAACTCATTAGCAAGATGCTCCCGTGGGTCAATTGGAAACTAGCGGAGGTCTAACCATGGTGGAAAAAGTCCCAGCAGCCATCCACCCAGATGCGACCGTCGAGGAGCTCAGGCGCGGGCTCGCCCTGAGGCTGCTCGAGATCGTCCTGGTTGAGGCTGGAGGCGCTCATGTTGCGACAGGCGGAACGTGGGGGGCTGAGAATTTAGTAGAGAGAGGGTCGGGCACTGAGCTAATGCAATATAAAATTGCGCAGTTACTTGTTCCAGCTGAAGAGACGTCGATTCGGTATCAAATGTCGCTGGCGCTGTTGGACAGCTGCGAAGACGGAGCTGGCGTTTGTTGGAGGAAGCTTGAGCTCAACGTGTCTCAGGGGTTCTGCAGCGACTGCGGGGAAATGAAGGTGACATTCACTGATCTCTATCTTATCGCATTCGTTAGCGGCCTTAGCACTGCTGGAGCCCTACTGGAGCCCTTTTGGGGGCTGTTCATCCAGCTAAAGGCGCCCCCAAGCGACGGGCGCTAGCACGTGAAAAGAGTTGCGGCGTTCTGGTTAACCTTAAACCTTAGGCAATTGACTGCCCTATGCCAGTTTACAAGTCATTCTGACTTCATTCACCTTCTTCACATCTCTTTGCTCCTCTTCATGCTCTTCATCAATGAGTATCACCAAAATCGCTGCTCTAATATCCTGCACGAATCCATCTCGATAGTCCCCTGCTAGGCACTTTTACCTGGACAGGCAAATGTAAATCGCAGAGTCCCACTATGGTCTCACCGACCATGCGAGCACAAGCATCGACATCCCGCATCGCCATGCCCATCCAACAAAACTTCAAGCCTGGTCCTTTTGTCAACTCTACGATTTGGTCCTAGCACAACCGGATACACGGCCTCAATCGTGTTAGCATCAACGCGATACTCCTCTGCCAGATCCAGGAACCATCGGCCAACCAAGCAATCGCCTGAAAACGCTGCCAAGGTGCGCTTCCACGTGCGCTGCCAGACGGCTTGAAGCCTCTAGTCCCCGGATTGGCCCGCCACGTTGTCGATCGATTGGAGCAGACATGGGGCTTCACCTGCTGTCGAACCCACGGCCGTTCTTCTCTCGACACCGAAGACAGCACGCTAAACACGGCGCATCGGCCCAATTGCTGACAAGGCCCCAGAGTAGCATTGACAGGCCCCATATGACTTCATGGTTGCAGCAACAGCCCTGGCGACGGTTACATTTTCAGCATGTCTAGGAAGCTCACCACGATACTTAAGTCGTCGCGTTCGCCCGTCGGCGCATTGACGTCTTCTTCGCTCGCCAGGTCGCCTGTTCCCCGTCGCAACCAAGCAAGTCTGAGCATCTGGATCTGCATCGTCACCTGCATCTTCATCTTCATCTTCATCTCAAGCACCGTCAAGATGAAGGCCTCCATGCTGTCTGTTGCCCTGGCGCTCGCCCCCGGCGCCATGGCCTGGAAGGAAGTTTCCGACTGTGACGAGATCAAGTACACTTCCGTCCCGGGCTTCTTCCTCCAGGATGATGCCAACACTGACCCCAACACCTTTGACTATGTACGTATCCAAAGAGAGGATGAATCAAATCTCAATTACCTCGACTCGCGCCTGACATTCATAGGCCAACTTCAACTTTGGTCTTCTCAACAGGACTTACCCCACTGATGCAAAGTTCGACCCTCGCCACAAGAAGACCCAGTGGCAGCGCTTCGCCAACTACGTCGAGTCCCTCAACGACGACTGCCGCAAGAACAAGAAGGACCAGACCACTTACAAGGTGCTCTTCATGGGTCGCCACGGCGAGGGATGGCACAACGCCGCCGAGACCTTTTACGGCACCCCTGCCTGGAACGTGAGTATAGTCTCAAAGACTGACTTTTGAGTCTTTCATACCGGGCATCGACATGGTTGCTAACTGTCACGCAGTGCTACTGGGCTGAGCAGAATGGCAACAGCACCGCTACCTGGGCTGACGCCGAGCTGACCAACAATGGCATTGCCCAGACCACAAAGGCCAACGCCTACTTCAAGTCCCGCTTCGCCGACGGTCTCCCTTACTTTGAGTCTTACTACAGCTCGCCTCTCCGACGATGCCTCCAGACGGCCCAGCTCACCTTTGGCAGCCTGAAGCTGCCTCACCCCTTCAAGCCCACCATCAAGGAGCTTTTCCGTGAGAGCATCAGCATCCACACCTGCGACCGCCGCTCCACCAAGACTCAGATCCACGCTTTTGCTCCCAACTTCCAGTTCGAGGCGGGCTTTACCGAGGATGACGAGCTTTGGGAGGGCGCCCAGGACAAGGGCGAGACCTCTGCTCACCAGGTCGCCCGCAGCAAGATTGTCATTGACGACGTCTTCTCTCACGACGACAACACCTGGCTCAGCATCACCAGCCACTCTGGTGAGATTGGCGCCATCCTCACCGTGCTGAACCACCGCTCTTTCAGCCTTTCCACCGGCCAGATCATCCCCGTCCTCGTCAAGGCTGAACTGGTTGAGCCCACCGTCGAGCCCACCAGCACCTACGCCTCCTTCACCAGCGAGCCCACCTGCAAGTCCCCTCCCATCACCAGCATTTCTGGCCAGGGATGTGTGTGCGCCACCGCTACTACCACTTTCGCCACTGCCACCATTACCTCTGGCTGCAAGGCTCATTAAGTATCCGTTTAAGAATAATGAGGATGAAGAGGCATCGTGAGAGTCACGGCCTCTGGAGAAAACAAGAGAAGCAGTAATGTGTTGACCATGAAAATTACTTTGATATGTACATAGTAACCCTAAATGATAATGATGTGCACAATGCCTGTATCTTGGAGTTTGTGTGAAGTAATGGTCTAGCTGTATAGATCTTAGCATGTATCGCATCTAGCCTGCCAACAGTGAAGGATCAAACAACCCAATTGAGATGGCCCAACACAGAAACAGTCACGCTCAAAATCAGTAACGACAGAATTGACGACGGTAACAACAACATTGACAGCAGAAAGTTTGACTGTCGAAGTACCCGGTTCCGGTGCCCGCCCAGCCAGTACATTCTTCAACTCTGGAATTATGAACTCGTTTCGTTGTTGTGACAAAACCTCTATACAGACACCCTATCTCACATACTATACCAGCTAATTCTTCATCATAGATTATATGCAAAGATATCTTCGCTACTAGGGATATTGTCACTACTTCCTTTTATAAGCAATAGTATCTCTACTTTCTTCTATAAGGGATAGCATCCTCTACTCTCTTCTACTGGCAATAGTATCATGTACTCCCTTCCACTAGCGATAGTTTTAATATCACCCACTACTAACAATATGTTCAATCACTACCCCTTAATACAGGATGGGATGCATCTCTTCGGTCCAGGGAAGAAAATACCTCGATCGGTAGGGATTGTTCACACCCAAGTAGTGGCCACACTTTAGTCCTGACACAACCAAGGAACCCACCTCCGCCTTAAGCAATACGGTCTGCCAATATGAAGATTGGACGTTGAAGTCACGAGGCCCGACGTTAGGACGGATCCTTCAACGGTCCCCTCTGACGATATGACGACCGGTTCCCCTCGACGGAGGGACACTCATCTGAGTTCGCGCGTCTGTGCTCCTGTAGGAGGAGCAACCGCGTTAGGTGATTGATACCCTTTAGATCATCGCCTCATATCAGTCATTTGAGGTCCCATCGATGAAAGCCAAATACACACGGCTTTGGATTTCGGTTCATGCAAAGGGGAAGCTAATTCACGAACTCACCAATGAGCAAAACAAACATGGGCGATCAAATCTTTACCCTAAAGTAGCCGTGACAGACTTGTCTTCGAATTGTCCAAGGCAGGCTTGGCTACAACACTCACATCTTGTCTCATCCAAACCACTAACAGCAAGATAAGTAAATCCACTTAGATGTTCTCTGTCTTCGGGCTAAATATGTATGGGTAAAAACAACCGCAGATTTCCAATCTACTTAGGCCTGATTTCTTTTCTCTAATCTCAGAGGGATTCATACCTCAACAAGCTCGTTAAAGTTTTTTCTTGCAGCCTCTACAAGGCGTGGGTTTGTTAGCAGACGGATTGTTAACATTGCCATCCCCTTCCCACATTTTATCGCTGCTTCATGGGCACTGTCGCTTCCTGCATGGTCTGCAAATCGCGGATGGTGTAGGGATACACCTAGGTCTGTAGGGATAGGGAATGCTCCGTGAAAACTCGGAACTTTGTAAGAGACACTGCCTATTATGAGTCAGCTCCACAGTGGACTTGTAGATGGTAAGGAGGCTATCTCACCCATGTCAGTCGATGCAGTGTACGAGTTGTCATCCTTTACCAGGATCTTCTGCCCGATAGACAACATATCAGCGGCATACTGTTGACATATTGCGTCGTTGACTCTTAGATCTTCATAAGTCGGGCCCCTATCGATGGAGTGAGTAAGTAACTTTACAACTACGCCATAGACGCCGGATGAAACATACGGAATAATGTTGTACTCGCAGCCTGTGCTCAAGGCAGCAGCATTAAAAGACTGCTGCACTTTCTTCAAAAGCGTCTCGCTTCGTTTCGTCGATGGACTGCGGACAAGCCATGTCATTCGAGTGTAGTTGGCGATAACATTAGGCGCCGTGCCTCCGTCGTTGATGACTCCGTGAACCCGTTCGTCTGGTCTCATCTGCTGCCGCAGCATGGAGATACCGTTGTATGCCATTACTGCAGCGTCAAGTGCATTGACACCGTTCCATGGCTCACCCGCGGCGTGAGCAGATCGGCCACGAAACTCGACCTCAAATTTTTGCGAGGCAATGAATTTCAAGCCGGCGAGCCCATCGTATCCCTCTGCGAATTGATGCGCCGCCAAGGGATGGGCCATGATGGCAGCAGCAATGTCTTCGTCGTCGAAGGCGCCGGCTTCGATCAGTTTGACTTTTCCTCCTCCACCTTCTTCCGCAGGCGTGCCCAAAATCCGTATCCTTCCAGGAAAGCTCTCTGACTGAAGCACTTTTGCGGCTCCAAGGAAAGCTGCCATCGAAGAAGTTGTGATCAAGTTATGGCCACAAGCATGGCCAATGTCAGGTAACGCATCATACTCAACACATATGATCACGAGAGAGCCGCCTGAGCCAATCTCGGCCATGAAAGATGTCTCCAAGCCATATGCTTGCTTGGTGACGGCATACCCATGTTTTTGTAGGAACGAAGATATTGTCTCCACAGCATAGAATTCCTGGTAACCTAATTCCGGGTTATCATGGATAGCTTTATTGAGCGCTCGCAGGTCTTGGTCAGCGGCGTCGATGGCATCATGTGAGTTGTTGAGAAATCGCTTCACGGTATCTTCAGCAATATGATCACTGGATTTGAGGTGGACCATGATGATTATGGGAAGATTTTGTCAAAGATATGCTTTGGTGTTGACAAGTTTGTGAATATGAGCTGAGAGGTAATGAAACGAGTACTGCGAGAATTTCAGTTCTCAATTCATGGGATGTTTCTGGTTTATATAAGTACACTTGCCATGCAAATAATAGAAACCTGAATCCTGTGGACATTTCAATTGGCTGATTTCAATATTAATTGACTTGTAACCTTTGAAATCATATAGCGCCCTTGGCGAATCCCCTAACTGTTAATAAATTTAGTCATATTTCGACCGGCTAGTTGGTAGTTGGCTATGCTTACTTTCTAGTAGAGAGTAAATCTTCCGACCGTCGGCAAGTTCAGGCCCGATTTTTCTGGTTTACTCGGCAAATTCGGTTGTTGACTCAAAATCCACGCTTTCCAAAATTTAAATGATAAAGAGAGCAGGCGGAGAGTTGCTTGGGGAAGAGTTGCTTTATTGGATCGGACAGTAATGATTTTCTCACCAGGAGGTAGATAGGGATACTCTTGAGTATACTAGAGCGGAGCGTACATCACTTATGGGCTATTATGTCCCCAAGTCCTTTACTCAAACTGAAATTATTGATGAAAATGTTTGTTAAAGTTTGTGGACTTATTATAAACACGATTGTAATTCGTATGTTGATGGATGCCAAAACGTATCCTTGTAGACTTGGTAGCAAATATTGGGAAGTATTTGCAGCTTTCGCTATATACTCCGCAAGTGATTAAAAAATACTACTCTATACTACGTCTACATCTATCTACTAGCAGATGGTAGCGATAGACATCTCTACTATTAGAAAATAGTTGGAGTCTATGAGAGTATCTCTGCATCACATAATAGCGGGAATATCCGCGAATATGCCTACATGTACTGTCAGATAGTAGATGATAGGATCGCATAGGGAGTATCGCTTGATGGCTACATATGTCGGTATTTTGCTATCAAGTTCATTTGTCGTTCGCAGCTATTCGCCACTCCAGAAGATAATTCTTGCCATATACAGTTCCTCTTTGTTCATCACGACTTGTCGCTTTGTTCATTGCAAGGTCACCGACATTGATTAATGTAACCCAAGATACTAGTAAATTTCTGGGATAAGATAATGAGCCTTTGCCACTTGTTGAGCGACTTGGAAGCTATGTGTGTTATGACATTCGCTTGCTAGAATTTGCATATACAGGTGAATCCAGAGGTGTTAGGCTGTCCGCCCGTATTCAGGGATGTGGGCATCTTCCCCATCTCTGCAGCCCAAGCTCTGACTAGCATCCGCAGAACATTCAGGCCCTACAGTGAGCAGACGTGCCGACTGTAAATTGAGCCAATGATCTATTATGTGCAAAGGCTGGACTGACTGGGCTAGCTGAGGCTCTCGATCGGCCTCGTCAGCTTCTTGGAGGCTTCCATAACGAATCATGTGATTTGATGAGTGTAATGAGAATGAAAAAGCACCAAGCTCCATTATAGCGACCTGAAGAAACCCACAGAATGGCCTAATTCATTCTTTGGATTTGACGATTTCGCAATATGCCCGAGCCGACTAACACATTCAACATAAATACCATGCTGCCTTCATGAGAGATTATCAACTACTCTAGATGGACTCAACAGAAACTTCGAAGGGATAATAACCCATTTGTGTCAATCTAGATTTCTCACTACACTCCTCACACTGGAAGATGGACACAACTTTCAACCTTGTTGTTCTGGAATTCGAATTGCCCGCTGATGAGATTCTCAATGTCTACGGCACATACGGCGATATTATTTCCCATTGTCTACACAAATGCTGGCGTTACCATCCAAATGCGTCGCCAACGTTGAGAATTTTAAAATGGAGCGTCTTTGAAGAAGATGCGCTGCCTCCGTGGAACGAAATCCATGGTCTTCTCCTACTAGGAAGCAGTAAGAGGCATCTCCTCCAATAGCGCCGTGAGTACTAACAAGTTAGTTTCAAGAGTACACAGCCTCTGATGACGATCCATGGGTTATATCTTTGGTAAAATTGGTTCAGATGGCGTATATAATGAACATACCAATGAGTGGGGTGTGCTATGGTCATCAAATAATTGCACGGGCTCTGGGTGGTAAGATATCGCGTAACCCAGCAGGGTGGGAACTCGGCGTTTGCAAAATGGACATGACATCCATAGGCCAAAAGCTCTTCGGAAAGGATGCTCTTGTAGGTTTCTCTGAGTCATAAATTACGTGGATTATACTAACGCCTTTGTTTAATTGTTAGATGGTTCACCAAATGCATAGAGATGCTGTGGTTGAAGTTCCTCCAAACATCGATGTCCTTGCTTCAAGTTGTTCCTGCAAGGTTCAGATGATGTTCCAACCGGGGAGAGTTCTCACGATTCAGGGACATCCAGAATTTGATTCAAGAATCTCAAAATCTTGGCTAGATCAAAGATACAAGGAGGGCTTGGTGGAACAAGAACTTTATAATTATGCACTAACAAAGCTCAATCTGGAGCATGATGGAATGGAAATACTGCAAGCGATGCGCAAATTTCTACTTGGAACATCCATATAGCCTAGCTTCTGGGACTATTGAAGCATTTCGTACTGGCCGGTTCTCGGACAAGCGGCGTAAGCTATCATACCCCAGTGGCGTTTAGAAGACCTTCGAGGTGGGCGGGTCTGCTGGGAGTGATTTGGAAATGGTTGTATTAGTGGTTCCGTCTCATTCTTCGGCCGCAAGGAAAGAAATATGGTGCGCCTTGTATGTCTACGTCGATAGCATCCTGAGAGACTGTCAATGCGGGTACCATGAGAATGACACTTTGAACCCCAAGCCTACAACTACCTATTTTTGGAAACACTTTGCCCCCTTATTTGATCACGAAAGGGACATCGAAAAATAAGAAAGAATTCAATGTAATAACGCCCAAGTGAGATCGCGCTTGATGGTTTTAGATAAAGAAGGCATGTGGCACAGAGACCACGATCCTTGTGAAGGAGGCTGAATTTGCCGGTCGGCTAATTCAGCAGATTCAGCTCTTCCTCTTCCCCCGCAGATCGCCTTCTTTCGATGCTCACAGCCAATAGACTTCTATGCCTCCATGTCTTCAATCAACAGCGTTTTGGCCAGACGGCTGCGTTTTCCACACCAACCCCAGCAAAAACTCATCGCGAAATCTGACCCTGCGAGATTTCATCTTGTGCTTTTGCCGGCACAGTAAGCCCCAGGAATGTCGCAAGGGAGAGATCCTTCTGCAGCGGCTTCCGGCCGGCACTCGCGACGGTCCGTTGCTGGTTGCTGGACATGCAGAGGCAAGAAAGTCAAATGCGATGAACAACAACCTTTTTGTGCCAGATGTAGTCGATTGCACTTGTTTTGCGACTATCAGCCACGGCAAAGAAAACCGTATGTTCGGGGAAGAGCAAAAGCACTTACACAGCAACCACAGGAAGAGTCAAGGCTTGCCCGGGATGAGAGTGGAAGCGAGAGTCACGAAGCAGACGCTCAACCCTCCGAGGAAGAGACCGACAACTCTTCACAAGTAATCGTGTACAACTTGGGTACAAGTGGTCTCTGTCACTACTCGCCGAGCCCTCCGAATGTCCCTGCTGCCTGTTCTTTGACATTGGGGCTTCAAGAGCGGGAAGCCATCCAGTACTTCCGGACCACGTTTTCCAGACATCAACATACCAAAAACCCCCAATACAATGTCATCTCGGTCATATACAATATTGCAACCAAGTCCGAACTCGCAATGCACATGGCCGTTTCGGTTGCGAGACGAGAAATGCTTTGTCTTCAAAACAATGGCCAAGCTGATGTCAAGGACGACGATATCTCTATCCTGCACTATTCAGCGGCTCTGAGTCAATTGGCCGAGTTTGTAAACGGAGCTGATGCAGTCACCGGGCTTGATACTATCCTAGCTAGCATCTGGCTCATGTTGACCTATGAGCAGAAATTTGGTGATGGCAACGGTGTTGGCCTATCTAGCCATCTGAAAGGCCTTGCAACAATTGTACAAAGTGAGGCCAGACAAGCCCTCACTCTTCCGGCAGACGCAAACCACCATATCCCTTCCTCTGCCAACACCATGGAACTCGATTCTTCTCAGAGGCGCATGCATACCCTCTCTCTCTTTTCTGCACGAATGCTGATTTGGATATCTCTCCTTGACGCTGGAGCTGCTTCAACTGGACTGGGAGGAGACTTTAACGCGTCACTTCATGGCTTACTTGAAGAACATGCTCACATCTGCGACGGATGTGATTCTCGACTGCAAACCAGTCTCTTCCGAAGCTTCACTGAAGTAGCAAAGTACTCAAATCCATTGTTTTGCAGGGTATGGGGCGACGATTATCCGATACAGGAACTGATGGATGACATCAGCAACCACGACATATTCTTATTGTACGGCTCTTGCTTTCAGGTCAGGTACATGGCCTCAAGATTGGATAGCCTGAGGAAGCAGGTTTCAACAGCCGCCGAGCAATGTGAAAACGTCATTGAACTCGCCTTTCAGGAAATAGCTGAAACATATACCGAGACTTTCCTACTGGCGAGCAAAATAACCGTCGAGACGGACAACAGTCTCCGCGTTATCAAGAATCTTCGGTTCATCGTTCCTCACTACCATGCAGCGATACTTTACTACGTAAGATGTGCGGATCCCCGACGATCCTCTCCGGACAGGCGGATGGTATCGTTAAAGATGATTATGAAATTAGCATACCAAGCTTTCAAACTTGAGGGGGACGAGGCTATGCTGCGGATCGCTTGGCCACTCTTCATAGCGATACTCGAAACCGACGATCTCCTCCACAGGGAGTGGTTAATCGCTCGGTTGCATGCGCTCGGGAAATTTGGCAAGAATTACTCAAGAGCAGCGGTCTTTGTTGAGTCTTTTGTTGCGGAAGAAGAACGGAAAGGGGAACGTTTAGATTTCCAGGCTTATCTGACATCAGGAGGTTTCGAACAGTTCTCGATATGACTAACAGCAGCGATTCAGACCCTTGAATTTCCAAACTAGTCTTTTGTTCTTGGCATCATCTTTCTGATCGTCGTACCGGACAATCAGCTCAAGTCGAGATGGCTTAGTGAGACTGGCCGAGTTCTCGCCGTAGCAAGAGTCAGAGTCAACCAGCAGGGAATCGGCAACAAGCATTTCAAGACGTATCAATTCAAGGAGGCCCTTATGGACCCCTTAGCCTGGGCATTTGCTTTCTACAGCATTGCTTCCAACATACCAAATGGAGGCATCAGCAACTTCTTTAGTCAGCTCGTAAGTGGCACTTAGGGGATGTATGGCTCAACCTTTGACTAATGTGACTAGATCGTCTCGTTTGGCTATAGTCCTACACAGTCTCTGCTTCTTGGAACTCCTGCTGGCGCCGTTCAAGTTGTCAGCTTGTTGCTTAGTAGTTAGTGTAGCGATAAATACAAAAATCGACTACTGGTATCACTTAGTAGACTGAGTTTGGCAGTACTGGGAGCCATCCTGCTCGTTGCATTGCCAGATTCTGCAAAGGCGGGTAAGCTTGTTGGTTACTACTTGACTCTGGCCGGGACGACGCCATTCGTGGCACTGTTGAGTCTAATTTCTTCTAATATTGCCGGATACACCAAGAAGACTACTGTGGCTGCCATGTATCTGATCTTCTATTGTGCCGGCAACATCATTGGTATGTACATGCATGCTCCTCCAAAACTTGCATGGTAACAGTCCAACTGACCAATTGAGATGCAAGGCCCTCAAACCTTTCGTCCGGCGGATGCACCTGGTTTTATCCCGGCTAAAGTCACCATTCTTGTCTGCTATGTCCTTTGCATGATAGATGTCATCTTTATTTGGTGGTATTGTAGACGGATGAACCAAAAGAAGGCAGCCCTTAGAGCGGAACCCGGCTATGTAACGCAAGAGAACTCTGAGTAAGTGTATCGCCCCTGGATTAGAGAGGTAATATTCTAACTGGTTGTTGGATAGGTGGCTAGATTTGACGGATAAGGAGAATCCTGAATTTACTTATACTCTGTGACTTAGCCACTGCTTGATTAACTCCATTGGAGTAAATCTTCGAATTCGCTTGATCGAGGAGTTAGATGAGCTCAGAGAGCTACGTTTGGGTAATTTGTTAACGTGGGCAGATGAAATTGCGATCGCATTGTCAACTGGACGCTTAGATATAACCTCGTATCACCGAGGCTGCTCTGACCCAAGGAAAATTTCAGATAATTTTAGCCCTACTTAGACGAAAAGAGCGGTATATATCTCAGTCGAACAAAATAATGTCAGTGAAAATAGTGTAGCCATGCGCATTTGCTATTGGCACATAGATATATAACGGCTACTCCAGGGAGGAATATAAGAAAGAAGATTTCTATTGTATTCCCTGATATAGACTGGTATGGATCTTCTCAGATCAAGGGAAGAAACCACTTAGATTAGTAGAGTTCTTCACTACCAAAGATCTATCGTGAGCTCCAGCTTCTGTCTCAGGACTTAAAAGACTGTTCTAGATCAGAAGCCAAGTGTATGTCTTTAGATGTTTCGCTACTGGTCTTACGGACACTGCTTTTTGGATAATATTCACCCAGTAACGTCATTTTGTGATACCAAATTGACCATAGAGTAGTCATTGGAAGCGTTTGGAAAGCATTACAGTCCAACACGATACTGGACGTAGTTGAGCGAGATAAATGATTAACATATCGAGATGGGGGGGGGGGGGGGATTATAAACCATTTTAAAACAGATGCTGTACAAGAATGCTGCTAAAATTGGGACAGCGAAAGAGAAGAATGGTCTTGCTTGTTTGCTTGCAGTACAATCCTTCAAGGCTTTACCAGGTGTCCAAGATGATGCTCGAAGCTTCTTTTCTTAGCAAGTGACGTTAGATTTCTAATTCAGCCTCGAAAGTAACAGAAGTCTTCCATCAAAAGAAGGGCTAGTTTCCCTCCTGACTACATGTTGACTTGCACTACAATGGCTGCAAAGGCAGCATCTCCCATTGGGCCGCCCCATTCCAGCTGATTTTAGGCAAAAAAACAACTATCACTGTTCGATCACGGTTGATATTTTTCCTCCGTACTCCTGGGGTAGTTGCATGATCAAAAAACATGCCGCCGAGAAGACCCTGGCAGCCAACTTTTTGCTTACATCTGCCCGAGTCCGATTATATCCAATTTAGCCGTTAGACGAGCTGCACCTCTGCCCCGCGAATCACGGCTCGAGTCCCGTTTTTTTCTCCTAGATTGCTTCATCGGCACTAGGCCAATGGAGAGAAAGCCGTGTGGAATGCCGTCGTAGGCTGTTTGTTGAAGAGTTGGGGTGCATGCAGCTTCGGACCGGGGGCACATGGCGTTATGGTTAATTGGAAGCATACGGGTTAAGTATATGTCATAACATATTGGGCATATGGTAATCGATGTAACATCGTGGCCCATGGATGCCCATGGATGCCTTGGGCACAGCTTCTGCATGACGGCAAAGATGGATCATTCGCCATTTCACCACGGGATATTGTAATCCTGTAGGCGGCTATTCCTGATGATTCGTCACATTACTTGTTGCGGTTTACCGTGTGGCCTGATCTCCGCAAAAGAGGACCTTGTCAACAAGATATTGTTAAATCATCGAGTCAGTTGTATGTTCGGAACTTTTTCTCTTTTTTTGTTTTTTCTTTTTTTAACCCCAATGCCGGAGACGCCAAGACGATATTAGCCGTGAGCCAGTAAATGAAACATTCCGCTTCTTCGTACATGTACCGGGACCTATGAGTCCATCAGCCCACGGCTTGTGGCAAACTACACACATGTGATCTCGCTTGGTGTTGCTGGGACAGCAGCATCACCATGTCAAGATGGGATCCCAAAGCGCAATGTCTCTGTGAAAAGGATCATATCCAGGCGGGGTAAATTGCCAATGGTCGGCCATAGGCCTGTGCGGAGGCATGACAGCATTTGGTTCCAATTATCCGCAAACTCATTTATAAAGGGTGACGCCGTCCTCCCAGAAACTGAGAAACAAAAGTCATCGATCAATCAGCTCACAGAGTCCATCACAGCAAGAAACAAGAACAACAATTTGAAACAATGGTTGCCTTTACTTCCCTTCTCGCTGGCTTCGCCGCCATTGCCGGAGTCCTGTCTGCTCCCACTGAATCCTCCGTTGAGGTGGAAAAGCGTCAGACCATTGGACCTGGCACGGGCTACAGCAATGGCTACTACTACTCTTACTGGAACGATGGCCATGCTGGCGTGACATACACCAACGGTGGCGGCGGTTCTTTCACCGTCAACTGGTCCAACTCTGGCAACTTTGTCGGAGGCAAGGGATGGCAGCCGGGCACCAAGAACAAGTAAGAGATTACAACCCAGATGTCAAATCTTGTTACCAAAAGCTAACATATCTCTCTTTAGGGTCATCAACTTCTCCGGTAGCTACAACCCCAACGGAAACAGCTACCTCTCCATCTACGGTTGGTCTCGCAACCCTCTCATCGAGTACTACATCGTCGAGAACTTTGGAACTTACAACCCATCCACTGGCGCCACCAAGCTGGGTGAGGTTACATCTGACGGCAGTGTCTACGACATCTACCGAACTCAGCGTGTCAACCAGCCCTCCATCATCGGAACCGCCACCTTTTACCAGTACTGGTCGGTCCGCCGCAACCACCGCTCCAGCGGCTCGGTCAACACGGCCAACCACTTCAACGCCTGGGCTTCGCACGGTCTCACTCTCGGCACCATGGACTACCAGATTGTTGCTGTGGAGGGATACTTTAGCTCTGGCTCTGCTTCCATCACTGTCAGCTAAATGGATTGATGTGACGACCGAAATTGGAATGAGAAGTCTATGAATGGCTCATGTTTGTTACTTTGGGTATATGGAGAAATCACGATGCTGGATTGGCTAGTCTAGATTTTGTATACGAGAAGATTGCACAAATAGACCTAGTCAAACGAGAAACGAAAGTTATGACATACAAGTATTTCCCACTTGACGTACTGGATATTCAAAGTTCGCTTAGTCTAGGCTTAATGTACCTTTTAATGATGAAGATGTATGAAATCGCTAGTTGTAGGTTATCAATTAAAGGGGTATAAGGATGGACTCTACATTAAACATCATCTTTGCCACCACCCTTTCCTTCCTTGAATCGCCATGAAATACTCACCTAGCAACTGCAAAGCGGGAATAACAAGTTACATGTAGATAGCAATGTTGATCTTGTCAATACCGATGCTGATTGCAGTTTCTACTTGAGCTATAACCCGAACTCTATTGAGCATCTATGACGATTTATGCTCTAAGCCAAACTATATAGGAGGCAGCTATGAGTATGAATCTGTCTAAGTTTACAGAGAATTCGTCGTGGCGCATCAGTGCCCCGGGCTGCTTTAAGATTTAACTCCAAGGCTGCGCATGTGGTTCACAATAGCCACATATGACACAGATCTAAAAGCAGCTTACCCCCATCAGCAAGGAAAGGCCAATTTCCATTGAACATGACTTTGCTTAAATATTGCATCCTTTGACCCCTCTTCTACCCCCTTTGACCTATCACAAGCCGCTCGCCCATTATTTCAAAAATGGCGTATGAATTTGGCAAGGTACCCAAGGCGCCTCAACCACCGCACGCGATTCTACACTACCTGCGCGGCCTCCATGAGAAAAAGCATCGTTACCTGATACATGGGCGTTCGACGGATCCTCGTTGGATCTACCAACCAAATATTTCCGATCTTGCATTTCTAGCAGCCGAGATGACACTTCAAGAAGCCGACGATTGCTGTAACAAAGCTGCGCCTTTATACATTTTCTCGGCGAAGCGCACAATTTATCCATCTCTGTTTGTACAAGTGCTGCACAACTATCTTTATCACAAGTGGTTTGTTCCTTATAAAAGCGAGATTGAATACTTGCAATTCGTTACAAAGACTTTCCTCCCAGAATTGCTTCCCGACGATCTTCAACCCGGCCCGTTAGTCGATCTCGCTATCCCAGTCCATTCGGCCATCTGTGCAAGAGCACAAGAGGCTCGAGATGCAGTCAAAGAGCTTGAGCCACCTTATCCCTTGCAGCCAATACCTCCCAAGGGTCCGAAGAAATGGGGCCTTTACAAGTACGCATGCATTGATCAAATCGTCCGTGACCAAGAGTTTTTCCTCCATCGGCCTCTATTCCGAGCAATCATGATCATCATCAGGCTGGAAGAATACAATGATGAAGATCTTGACATCCGCCAACTTCCTGTTCTCCTGGTTCGGACAGGAATAGAAGAAGGCCTCAGCGCTCCTATTTCATTTGAGCCCATAGCTCACAAAATTAAAACCGTCATTCAGCGCACTAATAGTAGCGAGGCTGTGGTTCAAGTGACACTTGAAACTGCGGTGGACTTTGTCATGAGCATGGACAAGCGAGAGATTGCCGCCTTTGGACATCAGCCAGACCCAATCCTTTCCACACGAAATCTTGGAGACGGTGGCCTCTCTGGTCCGTCTATTCTTACTACGGCTCAAGAAATGGGCTGGAGTGACGAAGAATTGAGAGGCCCAAGTTCCAAATGGGTGGATACTGAGAGATATCCTGAATGGTCTGGCGGAGGTACCCATGAAGATCACATGATACGGCGAATGGAGAATGCGGTGCGCGAAGATTTCCGCATGAGAAAAGGCGTTCTCCGACCTTGGCCAGAGGATAATTCAAGAGGAAAGAAACATTGGAATATATATTAGTGCAGCTTTGTCTTCATCCAAAGATCTCACTGCTGGATACAATTAGAGCCAGTGAAGAGTGACATGGCCAGTCCGGGGGTTTGAATTTCATCATCATCTAGGCAGGTATGGCATTTGGTGTCTCAAGCGGACAAAAGGAACAAGATAAGGAGGCAACGACTATGTACGATTGGTATCTTTGATAGACAGATTTAGCAATCGTTGTCTGTGACGGACGAAAATTTAGAAAACTATAGCATGTAGGGAAAGTAACGATACTGTCTCAGGTAGAGAGAAATAACAAGCTTCCGAGCCTCAGTTAGGATTTCTTGGCCAACAAGACCACCATCCTTGAGGTCTTTGGTACGTAGTACCGGATCTAGCTGGTGACTAAAAGATGCAATTTCGCGATTTTCTAAACTGATGACAAAGCTCACTGCTGTCTGAAGTGCCACCTAGGCAGCAACTTGTTCATTGGAGCCAAGTGCATAGCCGTGGATTCTGGATGCAATTGGCTCGAACGAGATGGGCGAGCTCAGTCCGGTTTCCACACCCGTATAAATGAGCAAACCTAAAAACTGGCACACATCTATATCCACGTTGAGATGCGGTTAAACCCTTTGAGAAATAATGATTGTCCGGAACAGTGGTCGAAGTATAGAATATTTCTAGCTGCGGATGATCTCTGGGGTGTCCATATCTAGACACCAGTTTCATTGTTTCGGCATATTATGACTTAATGGTTCTTGAAGGACACTTAGATTGAGATTTCGATTGCGTCACGGGCGACTTGCATTCCATTGCAAATAGCTGCACGTACGTAGACGGTGAGGCCGACTAAAGGTCCGGGCTAGAGATCGCTGGGCAAAAGCCACGGAAGACATGTTTTTGCCAGGAATTGCACGTATTCAATTTCGTTTCGGCAAAGGCGATGCCACTTGTATATAAATATTTGTGTACGTGTAAGGAGAAACGCAGAAAGGGTGTGTGCTTTGTCGAGATGATGTAAATAGGGACCGCTTTGTTACAGCAGCCGTTCTAGAGTCATATCGGCACTTGATGAATTAAATGTGTGACATTTGGTTGGTATATCCAACGTATGTCAGCTGAACGTTGTTATACCATAGTTCGATGAGATGCTTCCATGAGTACGAAGCTCGTGTTGGATTTCATGTCGGGGCAGAGGAGTCGCGGGGGTCCAATGGAGCGCCATGGTAGGATAATGATATCAGGATTTTGTGCTCAGAATTCTAGCAGTGTATCAAAGAAGTACTGTAAGCAAGTGTTTCAATGATGAGAATGTCTTGGTAGGGCTTCGTTGGAGAAGACGGATAAACGACGATAGTGCTAGGATAGGGTGTATGTACCTTTGTAGACCTTGTTTGAGAAGATCAAATGTACTTTATATCGTCAATCAAGGTTATTGCCTCGTTTCATTATTTGAGCGTGGCGTCGAGGCTAAATAGAGTTACGCCTACTAAAGGCCGGACGGAGCCAATAACACAATTGTGAACTGCAGTGTTTTGCGCTGTCTTTCTCTTTTACTTTACTCCGCATTTCAAATTATCTAAGGTACCTACCTGACGTCCTCTCTCTCAATCTCCCAGGTAGTATACAGTCTACCTGAATACAAATCTACCATCGTCATTGCAGTGAATATGCCAATATGTTGTTGGCCTTCTCTCTACCTATCTACTAATCTAATTCCAGCTATAGTTGTATACTGTAATTATGAGAGAAGAATGGGACATGGAAGCTGCTGCTGAGTGAACTCGCCCTTCAAATCATCACTGAGAGGCAGAACTAAATGATCAAATGGCATCAAATGGCATCAAATGGAAGAAAGGTACAAGTAAAGATAAGGCCAAGTGCTACAGAGCAGGTACAGTGCTGGATTAATAAGGCAACATGGAACGCTCAACAGTTTCAGCATCCATAGAGCTCGACCTGCTGGGTACCTGCTGTCGCACACGCCCACAGCAGGCGCTTGTAGTATCCCAGGCGTTGTCCGCTAAGTGCTTGCGGGACATAGATGGCCCGAAAAATGACATATGGTTGGTGCCTGTGGAATTGAAGGCTGCCACCAAAGAGATGCCGTCATCTAATCACAGTCAATCACAGAGCTCAACAAGGTTCGCGCCTTGTCTCAACGTAAACCTTGCAACAACCTCGTTCCCACCCCCCGGCAAAAAAGAAGACATACTGTAATCTTACAGTAAGGCTGCGCGCGACATCGAGTACGGCGCAGGTACACGCAACCGCATAGCTATCAGCAGGGCGCCCGTTGGTATCCTCCAGGTCGCTCCCCGTCCAGCCCTTCCAGAGCCATGCCTAGCGCATAAAATGGGTTGAAACTTATGCCCCGGCCCGACCTTGTTGTTTCTCAATCTTCCCTCTCGCATCTCTTACAAACGCAAGACCGCACGACTCTGCGCTTCCCTGCTCTCTCGGCTCTTCTCCCCTCATTCTCATTCTTTCCCCTCGCCTCTGCCTTTCTCTCCGACCGCCGGAGACACGCGTCGCGACTGCAAAAGCGCAGCTTCGGGACGCCAGAAGCGCTGGTTAGCGAGCAACAGGCGAGTCAGCCAGCAGCTGCACCCACTCGGGCAGGGTTTGGACAGCAAAACAGCCAGTAAGTCCGCAGCACCCCCAGTCTTTCTGTGCCTGTTCCTCTTAGCCTTATGCTGCTTAATATCGAGTCCAGTTGGCTTGATCTGTTCAGTTCTGCTTTGCTTTGCTTTGCTTTGCTTTGCTTTGCTTTGCTCTGTTCCCGTCCTGCATTTGCATTGCATTTGATTTGATTTGACTGCATCTCTCATCTAGCAAGCTGCTCTTCTGTTTCTCTCCACGCGAATCATCATCTCTCAAGACTTCTTTTTTGGCACTGCAGTTGTTTTATTCATTCATCCATACAATTTATCCACTCAATTCCCCTCTGCATCTGCATCTGCATCTCCTCCACCCTCTCCTCTTCTCTCTTCTCCTTTCCTCTTCCACCGTGTCCTTCTCCATCTCTCTCCGTCTCTCTCGCCAGTCGTGGACTCCCTCGGCGGCCGCGCGGTTTTCGCGAACCCGCCCCGACCGTACGAGTCAACAACCACAATGGCTAATCGGAAACAACAGCGCGAAATCAGCAACCTCGCCGAAGACCTCGGCCCCTACTACAGCCAGCCGGGCCGCCGCGACATGTCGCAACGAAATCGGAGCGGCCGTGGCTCCAACCGCAACAATGGGGGAACTCACGGCGAGGAGGTCCAGATATGGGACGAGGCCAAAGCCTCGTTCAACGACCTCATCAACGGCATCAATTCCGACAACGACAACCTGGGCCAGCTGGTCAACATGGACAAGCAGGCTGGCACGATGGACTCGGACAGCGTACCCACCGACACTATGAAGCAGATGGAGGAGCTATGCCGATCCGGCGTCAAGAAATCCGAAGACAACATCACCGCCGCCAAGAACCTCATAGAGCGTCTCAAAGTGATAAGAGCAGTTGTCGTGGCCAAGGAGCAGGCGGAAGCACCACCCACCGGGCCATCTAAGAGATCCACCACCAGGACCGACAGTGCTGCTGCTGCCGCCGCCTCTCTCTACGAATTCAACGAACCAGGCGATTCCCCAGTGCCCAGCCCCATGGTGGGCTCGTCTCGAAAGCATGGTGAGCGGAGCAGCACCATTGATAGAAACAGCATTCCACCCAAGGCGGATAGTGTCGAACCCCCGGGGTCTACGAGCGGCGCTGCGGGGAGCTCGACCAACAAATCCAAGATTCTCTTCTCAAAGGGCGACGAGGTAGCATTCAAGCCCAAGGCTGTCAATGGCGAACAGACTTCAGACTGGATACTGGGCGAGGTGGCACAGGTGCTGGGGGAGGGCAAGAGTCGGCGGTACAAGGTTATCGACATTGAGCCGGACGATCAGAGCAAGCAAAAGGAGTACCGCTCTAGCGCCAGCAGCATGATTCCCATCACCCCGGAAAGCCAGGCCAGCTCGCTCAAGGATTACGAAGCCGGCCATGTGGTCCTCGCCCTTTATCCTCAGACGACGACGTTTTACAAGGCCGAGGTTCATAGCATGACATCGACGGGCAAGGTTGATCTCAAGTTTGAGGGCGAAAACGATTCAACGACGCTACAGCAGGTGGAGCGAAGATATGTCATTGAGTACCGAGTCTAAGTCCCGTCCGGCCCACCTTTTGATCGATGTTTCAGCCGCAATTCCAAACTGGGGGGGCTCTTTTTCTTTTTCTTTTCTTTTAATGTCCCGTTTCTTGAGAGTTCATGATTTATCATGTCTGATACCAGGATGTGGAGTTTTTTTGGGCTGCAAGCCTTTGTATGATTATGTGTTTTGCTTGACTTATCCAGACAAGAGAGCGGCAACGCTCCGTACGGTGTTCGGGTTTTCTTTGAACAGAACAAAAATTAGGTCTTTACGGATGGTTTAGAACGGACAGGGGTGGAGTTTTGGTAGCAGGACTACAGCGTCTGCTTCTTTATTTCTTTGTTTCTCTAGTCTATTGTGCAACCATTATGAATCCAAAGATGCTCGTGTAGCAGGAATGCTTCACTTGTTTTTTTCGAGACTATATACACTTCACTGCCTACTATGTGCTTCTCCCTTCTTGGCATATACACAAGAAAAAGGTTATGGATGAGGCCAAGTGGCTCTCAAGTTCAAGTCCAAATCGTCTCCTTTACTGGATCTGCTTAATGTACTGAGGACCCTGGCCGCTCTGGCCAAATGCACCGGAGCTGATTGTGCCGTGGAAGTTGGTATCGAGCGAGCCGTCGTCTGCCTTTCGAGAGATGGCAGTCACACCAAGAGCGCCATCTTGGTTGGTGACGAACAGCGAGCTGCCGTCGTTGCTGATGCTGAACATTCTCGGTCCAGTGCCTCCTGAGGAGACTGAGTTGATCCAAAGGAGCCTCAGGTTGCCGGCACCATTGTCGATAATCTTGACGTGGGCGATGTTATCCGTCGCTTGGCCGGTCAGGCGGTTTGACAGGTACAGGTCCTTGTTATCGGGGGAGAGCACAAGCTCGCCGGCGCCGGCACCGGCGGGCGCCACGGTGTTGGGACCAAAGGTGTTGAGGACTTGGATGGTCTCAAAGGTCATGCCCCTGCCATCGTCGGTGTAGGTGACTTTGTAGGCGATGACGACGTTGCCCATCTCGCAGAGCAGGAAGTAGTGGGTTGCCTGGGCGGCACCAAATGGGAAGAAGACGCCATGACGCGGACCGGCACCGGCGGGCACAACGGGGAAACGGTTGACGATGTTGAAGGCGTCGTTTTGGGAGTCAATGACTAAAATAGAGTCGGTGCCGAGGTCATTGGCTACAAAGAAGCGGCCTGTGGGGTCGTTGACGGTCTGGTGAGGGTGAGGAGCATCCTGTCGGTCCGGGTTAGGGCCGAGGGGACCCGTGGACTGGATGGACTTGATGAGGGTCAGGCCGCCGTTCTCAATGTTCCAGACGTCGATCTTGCCGGAGCCGTAGCCGGCGCCGAGCATGCGGGTGTTTGCCTTGTTGACCTCGAGGTGGACGACGCCGCCGGAGCCTTGCTTGTTGGTGACCTGCTTGATGGCGTTGCCGTTGACGTCGATGTTGTAGAGGAAGGTGTTTGAGGCGATGTCGTTGACGGCGTAGAGGGAGTTGGGGGCAACGTAGGCGAGCCACGAGGGGTCGGTGTTGCGGAAGGAGGAGTTTACGGTGGTGGTGAACTTGGTGCCGTCGTAGGAGGCGAGGTAGATGTGGCCGGAGTTGGCGTAGACGACTTTGGTGGAGGAGGCGGCTGAAGAGGTGGGAGCTGCGAGGGCAGGAGAGGCGGCGAGAGCCGCGGAGAGGGTGGATGAGAACTTCATGGTTGATATGTTGTCTTTTACAAGATTGCAAGTAAGAGAGTGAGAATGAATTTAGAAGAGAAACGATGGGATAGATACAGCTCGAGTCACAGATTTTATAAGAGAAAAAATTGTACTCTGATTCATCTCGTATCGACTCATTCATGCTGTCAAAGAAGGCTTATAACCTGCCCTGTCCGGACTGGTGAGCTTTTTCGTCATCGGGCTGATCGAGTTTCCTTCTTCTTTTGCGCATGGGTTTGCCCGCCAAGATGTTTCAAAAAGGCCGTTATGCTTACTTTGGGCTTTGGACTTTGCTGATCTGCAGCAAGGCGGCGTCCGAGAAGGCTCCATTGACCGCTGCCGCTCGGCACTACTGTACTCTATGTGAGATCGGACCTGACGAGTTGCCGGATGGGGCAGGTGATGGGAGTTGCGCCGAGTTTAAAAAGAAGGTTGACTGTTGTTCTCGTATATGTATGTAGGTACGTGGGGGGTGTTTGGGGGGTTGATTTGGGTTGAGTTGAGTTGCATTTGAGTTGGTTGAGCTGGGGTTGGATGGAGTCTGTGGGATTGAGTTGTCAACTCTTTTCAATGTTGTTCTTTGTTTGGAGTAGTAGGGTAGGTTGAGTGAGTGTTGGTGTTGTAATGGTTGAAGTGGGATTTTTTACTTGTTTGGGTTAATAATCTCTTTGTATTTGAATTGCTAATTCAATTCTGTTTAATCTATATACTGGGGAAAAAAAACAAGCTTCAAGTCGGTGTAGTTGCGTGAGTATCATGGCCTCGTATTGAATTAATTCCATGTTGTTTATAAGCTGCAGCTGTTTTGACGGCACGTACCAATCGAGGCTAATGCAGCCCAGTATTTGTCGTGACAACTGCAGGCAGAACAGGCTAACCTTTAAAGCTTGGCGACAATGCTAATGCTAATTTTGACTGATGTGCTAATCCATGTTACTGCTAATATTAGCCAATGCCCGCACATCTTCATGCTCATAATGAGTTTTGGCCTAATAAATAGCTCCAACGTCCCCTTTAGCCCGACATTGACGAATTTGGATCCCCAGAAATTCATCAATTTGATCTTGCTGGCTGTGCTCGTACCGGTACTTTGCCATGGCCCGTCCAAAACAGCGACGAGCGGAGATTATCAAGCGGTTACCCCTGAAAATTGGCTGCAGCCCAGCTCCACTGCCGTCATTCAGGCCATTCCCCTAGCGGCGGGGGGAAATGCTAATAATGAGCCTGTGCCTGTACCTGTACTTTACTGGGTTAGGCAGTGGATGCCCTGTAGATAGCAGCTGGAGGGAAATGGATGCGCTGTGCTTGAAATGCATTCAATGCGCACTTACATTGATTTGATTGCCTGTGCAGGCCCCTCTGCCGGCTGCAGTCCAGTACAGGTACTCGTATATCAACCATTTATTAGCGAGAAAAAGAGGACACCTCTCTGTGCTAAGCTAAACCTCCCCCCAGTAGTCGTCCTGTAGATTCAGTCCAGGTTTCTTGTACCTGTACCTGAACCCGCACCACTACCTGTCCCTGTACCTGTACCTGTGACCTGCAGCAGCAACACCCGCCCCGAAATCCACACGTGCGCGTCGCATCGCATTTGCTTCTTCCTCGTCCCTCCTTTGCCCCAAAATCGCCAGCACAGCACAACGAGAAACGCTTAGACTTTTTTCTTTCTCGGATCGCCCTTGGCATCGCACTGCCGCCTTGACGTCTTTTTCTCTTGTCCCCGCTCTCTCTCTCTCTCTCTCTCTTCTCATTCCCTTCTTCCATCTCCATTCTCTTTTGTCGAAACTTGTCCAACTCTTGCGGGCTTCGTTCTTCTTCCTTCTTCCCACGATCCCCGTCTGTCCACGTTCCTTTTCGGTTTTCGCGCGCGTTTTCGCCCTCGCAAACCTTCTTCCGTTCTTCGACGATACGTTTTTGGGCCCTTTTGCGTTTTGTTGCAATCGGATAAATAGTGGTCGCATTCTTCTCGGCTTCTGGAGCTCGAGTGTCACGTTTTTGGTAGGTTTCTGAGCTGACACGCTGCCATTATTTGGATCCTCTCGCGCTTCTCTCCATGCGCTGTCTCCATGTCTCTCTTTCTGCTGCTCCTGTCTCTTTCTTTGTGATTTCTGCAGGAGAATGAGGTGGGGGAAATAAGATGAGGCTTGGCTGCATTGCATTGCAAACGCGTTTGCGTTGAATCTGTCTGTCTGACCCTTTTGCTAACCTCCCTGCGTCCAGATTCCGTTTCATTCGACCTGACCTTTTTTTTTTTGCGACGCTGCAAGCCCCTCCCTCCTTTTTACTTATCTTCTCCCGCGACAACAACCTCCTTTTCCTCTCCCGCCATCAAAACAATTAAAGAACCGCTCCAACAAAATCGAACCGTCAAGAAATAACAACCGATACCGCAATCATGGGTGGCCAACTTTCCAAGGTTATGAGCAAGATCTTCGGATCCAAGGAGATGCGACTGCTGATGCTGGGTCTTGATGCCGCTGGTAAAACAACAATCCTGTACAAGCTCAAGCTCGGCCAGGACGTCACCACCATCCCCACCGTTGGCTTCAACGTCGAGACCGTCACCTACAAGAACGTCAAGTTCAACGTCTGGGATGTCGGTGGCCAGGACAAGATCCGTCCTCTGTGGAGGCACTACTTCAGCGGTATGGGCTGCACAATTCACGGCGTCTTCCTTTTCCAGCTGACTGAGCGCTAATGTTCCTTTTCCAATCCAGGTACCCAAGGTCTCATCTTCGTCATTGACTCTTCCGACCGCGCCCGTATGGACGAGGCCCGACAGGAATTACATCGCATCATTAACGACCGAGAAATGAAGGACAGCCTGCTCCTAGTGTTTGCCAACAAGCAGGATCTCAAAGAAGGTGCGCCAGTCTTCTCTCTCTCTTGTTCTTCTTATGACACTTCTTTAATGCTAACGTTCACAACAGCCATGTCACCCCAAGAAGTCACCGAGGCTCTCCAGCTCTCCAAGCTCAAGGACAAGGTCTGGTATGTCGTGCCCAGCTGTGCCACAACCGGTGAAGGCCTCCTCGAGGGTCTGGCCTGGCTCTCCAACAACGTCAAGGCCCCTGCCGCCCCCGTCAAGAAATAAAATCGATGATACACCTTTGTCCTTTTGGTTTCGCGAAAAAAACTACGACGCTTAATGGAAATCTTTTCAATGATGCATACAAACAAACAACCCCCCCTTGGTCCCCGCTTACGGATCTCCCGCCCAACCCATTAATATTTTTTGTGTCGGGACTTGCACCCCAGTCCTGACGGCGCCGTCTTTTCGTCTCATCTGACGGCCTCGAACGATGGCCGATTATTTCGACTGGACGCGCTTTTACCGTCGCTGTATCTTTGTTTTTTGCCGGAGGAGGATAGAGATTGATAGGATCTGAAGACGGAGAAGAGGTATAAGGAGAAGAGGAAATCGAAGGAAGAGAGAGGTGATGGAACCGTTGCTGCTGTATACCATGTCTTGTTGCGGGAGGGACAAAACTGTCTGTGCTTTTCTAACGTGGTACTTTATTTGTGCGAGAGACTGTTTATCTCTCTCTCCTTTTTTTTTAAAATTGTCTCGTCAGCTTCGTCTTATTTTGAAGCGCATATCTTAGCATTTTTTTTTGTTCCTCTTATAACGCAAAACGCTTTTTTTAGTTAACATTGAAATACCCCGTGCTTCCTTATTTTTCTTGCATCTTCTTCCTGCGAGAGTGAAAGAGAAAGAGAGAGGGTAGCAGCACAAGATGGGGCGAAAAAAGTTGGTGGGAGAAAAGGTTGCGGGATAAGGGGGAAGTTTCTGGAGCGGATGGAAGAGGGAAGAGAAGAGAGGTGAGAAAGGGAGGGAATATCATACTATGGCTAGTCGAGCTTTTTTTTTTTTGTCATGTACACACACTTAATGTAGGAGAACTTTTTTATCCATATACTGTTTGTTGTACCCTATTTTTCGTTGGTGAGTGGTTTCTTTGGGAGCGGAGGGCATATCTGAGATGTGCATCTCGTTCGTTTAATCTTAATTTATTTCCTTGAGTCAAAGAGGTTTTATATTCTTGAGTGCATGGATTAATCCACACATGCCCTATTTAACACTGAACACAATATACCGATCTATAATAACAAAAAAAACATGCCATTCGCCTTATCAACGCCGTGGTTTGCCGTTCGTCTGTTTCATTCCTTGAGTCGTGAAATGTCCCCCGTTGCGCCGCCCCCTTACATTCATGAAACGCCATAGGAAAACCCCCATGATTCTAACCTCGTGATGCTTGCTCTATACATACTCGCTCTCGTCCCAAAGCAAGCATTCCTAGCTGGCTTGTAATTACTGTGTTTTCATGCGTGAAAATATCAACTCCCAAAAGTTAAAGAAATTGCCTTCCGAATCCAATCGAAAAGGACCTATCCAGAATGTAGAGAAAAGTTCACTCCTTCATGCGCTTGGCCGGCCGCAACAGCGTATCATCCGGAAGACCGCTGCGCTTGGTGCCCGGTAGACTGCTGGTGCGAATATCGTTATCGTCCTGGCTGACGCGGCGGTGCGGATACTCGACCTTGACGCCCTCGAAGCAGTTTGCGCTGACGCGGTCGCCCGAGCTGAAGAAGACCGACTGCAGTGCCTGCGCGGCAGTGAGGCGCTTTTCCGGGTCGTACTCGAGGAGGCCCGCGAGGAGCTTGTAGCCTTCGGCGCCGAGGGACTGGAGCGCGGGCTGGCCGTTGGGGCCCGAGGCGGCAGATCCGGCACCCGAGTTGTTGTTGATGGTGCTGTAGTACCACTTCTCGAGGCTCGACGTGGTCGCGTAGCCGCGGCTGGGAGGGTTCTGGTGGTGGCTGTGATGGTGGTGGCTATGTGTGCTGTGCTGCATCGCCGACAGCGTGTTGAGCTGGATGTACTCGGGCATGGCGGGGAGCAGCGGCCACCGTTCCTTGGTCGGCATGCCCATAATCTCGGCAATCTTGTGCATCTGGTTTCTCTGGAAAGGAACCGTCTTCTTGCTGTCCATTTTGGCTTCCTCCCCCTTGAATATCGGCCGTAGAGACAGTAATTCAGCAAAGATGCATCCCACGGCCCACATGTCGATGGCGGGAGTGTAGTGGTAGGAGCCAAGGATGAGCTCCGGTGCGCGATACCATATTGTCACGACAACCTTATCACCACTAAAGAGGGAATGTAACGGTTTGTCAAAGCGACGAGCCAGACCCAAGTCTCCAATCTTGACTTCTCCACCAGACGTGACCATGATGTTGGCGGGCTTGAGATCGCGGTGCAGGACCCAGTTGGTGTGAAGATACTGGCAGCCGTTGAGGAGCTGAAACATGATGCTTTTGACCGTGGCCGGGGGTATTGGGTGACGTGGCTGCTGGGTGTGGTGGTGGATAATCTGCAGCAGGTCGTGTTCGGCGTATTCAAACACCATGAAGATGCACTTGTCCTCTAGAATAATCTCCACGAGACGGATGACGTTGGAGTGGCGAAGCTCGCTGCAGAGGCTCATCTCACGGATGGCGCTCTGCGAGATGCCTGTGTAGCTGACTTGCTCACCCTCCTTATCCGGCTTGAACTTTTTGATAGCTACTTCGATCGGAGCCTGGCCAGAGCCAGAGGTGGGCGTGAGGCCGCTGGACGTCCGGGCGACGGCAATGCCTTCGCCATTGCTGGCTCTGCTCACGGCTTTGTAGACACGCCCGTAGGTGCCACTGCTGATGAAACCAATAATACGGTATCGCTCCGTTACACGTGCCTTGGGCTGGTAACCAGCCGACTGGTCGCGACCATCTGTATATAGGCGGTGAGCGGACGAAGACGAGGATGAAGACGATGCGAACAAGTGATGCGATGACGACGAGTGAGGATAGCCTGGCCTCAGCCTCAGAGGCATGGCTGGGGAATGGCGAGATGCTGGAAGAAATGAGGGCTACTCAGGATGTGTGGTGTGAGATTGCGGGTGAGTGAGAGAGGAGAGAAGAGAGTGAAGAATGGAGGGCTGAGACTGAGACTGAGACTGAGACTAAGCGCGCGTGGTGTGTGTGGTGATGTGTTATATGTACAAATCGCATGTGTGTGGGTAAGCGGATGAGATGGAGGTTAATGCGAGCTTAGATGGATGGCTGGGTGAAAAAGAATAGCCTTGCAAGATGAGCCAGATCGGGTATCGTGTAATATAAACCCACGCGGGTCTTGGCACGGGTCAGATTATCTGACTAGCTGGCAATGAGAGATAAATGGGTATGGATGGGGACGGGGGGCGACTTCAATACGCCCCGGGAATATCAGAGAGTGACAGTGAGAGTGGGAGTGAGATTGAAAGAGTTCAAGGGGGTCATGACATGGCAAAAAGATGTGATGTATGAATGAGTGGCTCAGCTCAGCGAGGCGGCAAAATAAAAGGAGAAGAAAACAGCCTGTGACAAAACTTGCTGCCGCTCTGGTGGACGATATCGTCGGTTGGGGTATGCACAGCAGATGATGCTGGATGCCACCAAGAGTACAGTAGCAGTAGCAGTAGCAGTAGCAGTAGCAGCACAAGATGGTGAACAGGAACAAATCAGAAGCAGACAAAGCACCTAAAAAAGGGCACGCGGTGGGTTGATCCAAGGTGGATCTTGAGTGGGTAAAAGAAGAGGGCGTTGGATAAACATTGATGGCCCAAGTGCAGATGGGGAAATCAACCGCTATGCCGGAGACAGGCTGGAGATGAAAGAGAATGGAAGAAAGAAAATGGACAAGGACAAACAGTAAACAGTCAGTTAGCACGCACCTTCAAACGCCGCCAACACGCTTCGTTTCGTCGTCTGGATGGCCCTTGCATTCATCACGCTGGCAGTCTTTGCTGTCCCGGGCCCGGATCCCGTCGACGAGTTTGTCAGATTCATGTCCTCGATGCCCTTTTGCTTTTGCTTTTGCTCTCAGCGGCTGTAACTGCGTCGAGGCCGTATCCCGGCTTCCCTTGCGAGCGAGACGCCACGGCCTGTCAGCATGGAGCAAAAGCGTCGATTCGACGACTTCCGAAGAGCTCTTGTTGGCCTGTGAGCGAGTGGAGCAACCAAGGTAGGCAAGGCATGCACGCACCCACACGATACGACTCAGGGCTCCGTTTCGTTTAGTCAACGGTTTGGTTTGCGTTGTGTCTGGACTGGCGCTGGACTTGATCTCAGATGATGCGAGCTAGACATGCGGCATCTGGAAGGGGAAATGAGGAAGGGGGAATGATACGTGGTTGATCCGTATTCGCACGTGGCCAGGCGGATTGATTGGGTAGATCGCAACGGTAGTAGTGAAGAGAATGGTGGAATAAAGGAAGCCCAGGACGAATGAGATGAGGAATTTGAGCTGATGCGATGCTGCCTTTAGCCGGCTGGTGCGGAGAAATCCGAGGAGTGGCGACAAGTCGAGAAACAAAATAGCGGATGATTGTTAGTTGTTGAAGAGATGGAGATGCTAGTCTATAGCGCAGTGAAGGATGATGTGATGATGCAGGGGAGTGAAGTGCAGAGAGCAGCGCGTGATATACAATGCAGAGGTACAAAATGGGCGTTTGTGATGAAGTCAATTGAAGTTGGTTGGTTGAACAAACAAATGGCAACATGGAAAAGTATAAACTACAGAGAATGCCGAGATGCAAAGTGTAGGTGTGGCAGATGACTAAGCCGCCGTGGTGTAGCTGGTACGGAGTACCAGACATCTAATTGTCTCAGCTTGTGTCAAGCCAAGATGATAAGAGGAATGGCTTCACTATTTAGGAATAGTAGTACCAGGAATGCCCAAAAGAGGGAGGGAGAGAGACCTGTGTATCAAGTACGCTGATAATCTCAAGCTAAACTGCCGTTGAGAGATCAATCCATTGAATATCAAGTCTCTTGTCAACACCATTCACCAATCAGAAGAGAGAGCCAAATATCAACGTCTTTTAACATGCTTCATCTAGCCGTATAAATATATAACAACATCTCGCCCAACTCACATCACACCATCCCATCTCCCTGCGCACATTCACACTCATCGCGGTCCGAGCTTCTCCAGAGCCCGCACTCCCTGCTCCTCCCACTCGGCCTTGGTCACCCACATGGCCTCGTTCTCTGCCATAATGTTGGCCAGCACGGCTCCTCCCAAGAACACCATGTGTCTTCTCCGAGGAGGGTCCTCTATGCGCACCTTGAACTTGCTCAAGCGTTCGGGGTTGCCTTGGAGCGCTCGCGTCAGCCACAGCTGCTTCAGCTCCTTCTCCAGTCGTGACGGGAGACCCGGGTACATGCTGCTGCCTCCCGACAGCACAATTGCCTTGAACAGCGACGCTCGGATGTCCACATCGGCCGACTGGATTGTGTTGAACAGGAATTCGCCCAGTCCGGGAGACTCATTGTCCACCAGGTGAGGCTGGAACAGACACTCGGGGGCCTCGAATCGCTCGCTTCCCACGCGGATGACTCGGCCGTCGGGAAGGGTGTAGTCCTCGACCAGCACGGTTGTGTCTTCGCTCAGACGCTTGTCAAGCTCCAGGTCGTATGAAACGTAGCAGAGCTTCTCCTTGATCTGGCGGACCGTCTCGAAGTCGGCAGTTCGGTTAAGCGCGTAGCCACGGCGCAGGAGCAGCTTGATCAGGTTGCGGGTGACATCTCGACCGGCGACATCCAACCGCTTGGTAAGGTGATTCAGCACGACGGATTCATAGACGGGGACAATGTGTGTGACACCATCACCAGAGTCGACGACAACGCCCGAGCTCAGACCTGCGCAGTTTCACCGTCATGTCAGTCCGCCGCACAACACAATCGGTGTCAAACGTTGGAGAGGGGAACAATGGGAGGATGTAATCATCATGTACCTTGTGCGTATAATGCCAGCACGGCCTGGATGGCAACGTAGACTCCGCCAAAGCCATATCTGTCAAACATGACCTCGCACATCTTCTCTCGGTTCTTTAGGGGATTCATGGGCGGCTCGGTCAGCAGGATCTTCTGGCCCTGCGGGTTGATCTGGAGCTTCTCGAAGAAGGTGTAGTCCCAGAGGTGCTGCATGTCCTCCCAGTTCTTGACAATTCCGTTTTCCATGGGGTAGCTGATCTGCAGCATCGTCCGGGCCGCGGCCGCGTCGTCACCGCACATGATGTCCTTGATGATGACATCGTTGTCTGTCCGCTCTTCGGAACGCAGGATGGGTCGGCCGACAATGGACGGGTACTGGTGCTCGGGGAAGTTTTGGGCGGCGTATCCGACCTTGAGGAATCCGGTTCCGCCGTCGAGAACTGTGAGATGATTGCCGCATTAGTAGAGAGTAAAAGAGAGGAGCGTGGGATTCCTCCATGTGCTTAGGAGGAGAGTAGGGGGAAGCTCGGCAGCAAGCTCCAGCCACGGCAGACGCAGCTCCAGGGCAGCTCCGGGGGCTTCAGCGGAGGCCTTCAGGGCGTTTCCACGTACCGATGGGAGGGACCATGTTGGCGATGGGATCAATTCGGGCGTTGGGCGAAGCTGAGGCTTTGGGTGAGGAGCTGGAAGCTGGAGGCTGGCACGAGTGTGGAGGCGTCGTCAGTCCGTTCGTGTCTACCGACTAAATGACAGTTGAGCCACATGGTGGGGGCTTCAGAAGGCTCTCAGAAGGTCGATTGTCGTCAGAGGCGGGCGTTGAGGGCGTCACGTGATACCCCGCAGCGCTATCAACTGCTATCGGCCACTATCAGCCATCTATTTACAGCATCACCATCCACTGAAGCTTCAACTTCACATAACATTTCCATGGATGCCTGTTGATACCATTGTCCTCTGTTCATCTTAATTCCCTCAGCTGATTCATCCACATAATCAATTCTTCACTTTTATTTTGATAACATCACTGAAATTTTTCATCTTCTTCTCTCTTTCACTCACCCCCCCAGCTACAACAACAGCAACAATGCCTTCTCCTCGACTCACCTCCAACATCAACATCCTCCTCCTCAATCCCAATTCTTCTCGCGCCATGACAAAGACCATGGAATCAGCCGCCAACTTAATAGCAACTCTTCTTCCAGTAATTCCGCCAACTCATCCACCATAGCCCACCAAGCTGACTCTGTCGAGTCCGTATCCATCAGCACATACACGGCCCCTGAGCCATCTCCGGCAAGCATCGACAATGATGAGGACATAAATGCCAGCGTTGAAGCCGTTTCCAACGATCCAGAGTTCAAACCCGAGGGCTACGACGCCGTGCTCGTTGCCTGCTTTAGTGTTCACCCCCTCGTCAAGCAGCTTGCTCACTCTCTGAGACCTACTCCCGTAATTGGAATTTTCGAAGCCAGCATTCTGACGAGTCTCTCTCTTGTTCCCCTTGTTGAAAAGGAAAAGGAGCAGCAGCAATGGGGCATCGTAACAACGGGAGCCTTCTGGGAAGCGCACCTCTCCAATGGTGTCGCCGCCTTTCTGGGTCAACCACTGTCTCAGAGCATCAGCGATCACAGATTCGCCGGTGTCTACTCTACCGGCCTCAACGCGGGTGACTTTCACATAATCTCACAGGAGCAAATCAACGTGCGCCTCAGAGAAGCCACCAAGCGGCTGCTCTCCTCGGGAAACGTCACCTGTGTCGTCATGGGCTGCGGTGGCATGGGAGGCTTGCAAGACATGATTCGCGACATCATCGTCCAGGAATACGGCCGGGACAAGGCCAAGGACGTATCCATTGTAGACGGCGTCCAGGCCGGTGTGTTACAGCTACAGCAGACGGTGCTTAGCCGGCGAGTCTTTGGCGTCAAATAGGACAGCTCGTGTACGACTTGAGCGCCGCAATGATACACACCCTATTGTTCCCACGACCTGACTTAGTATCTTCTATCCTCCCGTCCTTTCTTTTCTTTGTAAGATATTGCGGTGTGAAAGCGTTCCATCAGCTACCGACATTCTTGACGATGCTTGGCCAGCTCGTCTCTGCGTACAACCTCTAGACGCATGCATACCTGGTATGCATCTTCATCATTTACTACCTCCTATCACGTTCCTCGGCCGAATAGCAAACAACGTATATATATAACATGTACTCACAACATACCGTGTCAAACAATCGCTCCAATCATGCCCACAGACTGGCTGTGCTTCTCAAACACAACATCTTCAACTCTATTCTTACCCTTAGCACCTGGCTAGTACTTGGATGTCTCTCAAAGATCTTGGACTATCCCACCCTTTGCAAAGTACTGCCACGACGTAACTTTGCCTTGTTGTACGTGCCGTATTACCAAGCTTTCATCTGCCGCATCCCCCCTTTGTATCATCTTCACACCCTCATACAGCATCCAGCTATGCCTTGCCTCCAGTCCTCCCGGCGATATCAGATGCAACTATCCCTTGCCATTCTAGCTGCACTACCAGAAAGCGACAAGAACCCAAAGAGCCAGAGAAGGGGGCAGAGAGGTGATCTTCATGTTACCCCCTCAATCTTCATGTTACCCTTTCATGTCGTCGCATCATTGCACAGCTTCTCGTAAGGTACAGGGTTTCTTTGACACCTCGCATCCTGTTGTTGGATTCATGCTGGGCAATCCTCCCTTTATATAGACACATCCCCCCTCCTGCTCTGGCTGCCTGCCCCCTCTTTCAATCGAGACAGTGGGAAAAGGACTCACGGCAAGCGACTTGATCTTCCAAAGAAATTGCAGCAACCCCAAGGAAGTGAAACAGATGGTGCTCTTGACGGCGCATGCCGTGTGACGGGTCGTGAGTGTGTAGGTAACCATGCCCTCATGTCTTGCTTTCAGAATCATCCGTCATCCCAAGCAGTCCTGGGATATTTTCATTGGTCATCTTACGACTGTTTATGACGAAAACTCAAGAAGACGGCCGAGCGGCTAGAAACGGAACAGAAGAAACGTGAGAAGAAAATGAAATACTGTCTGTATTATGTCTAAGTACATTCCGTAAAAAAGAGTTATTTTCCCCGTTATCTGCCATTTGTATACGGCTTCTCCCTGGTGCTCTTCATGGTACCCCTAGCTATGGCCAGAAAGAAGCCCCTGAAGTGTGACAATGACCACTGCATTACATCCCTCTTCCCCTTTTCCGAGAGCAAAAATGTAAGAAACAAAAACAGAAATAGAGCAGAATAAAACTCATAACCATACCATACCATACACAGACCAACCTAATGAAGAGAAAAATGAGAAGAGAATCAGACCCCGGAGTCACACGCTCACGTCGAGTTGCCAGTCCTTCGTCCTTCCACCACGTTTTTATGTTTTCCTTTCCGATTTCATGGTAAAGCGATCCAACCCGTGTTAGAAGAGCCGAAAAAGTAAACGAGAAGTAAAAGCAAAGAGGTGAAATTTGCCGAGGCAGAATTAGTCCAACAAACACAAATAGAATCTCAAACATGACAAATGAAAGACAACAGAAAGCAAAAAAGGAACCAAATGAATACGAGACACAGCAAGAGAAGACAGTGTATCCGAGCAAAGAACGAAAGACATAAGGAAGAAATTGATTAGAGGGAGAAAAGGATCACAGAAGCGAAGTTCCGCATCTGGTGGCGCGTCTGCATATGCTGCGACCAAAACACTTGCGCGAGCCAAAACGGGCCAACGAAATCCCACCGCCAGAGACGCAATGCAACCGATCTTGACTTTTGGTGTTTCTGAGCCAAAAGATAATTGCCGAGATGGAGGGGAGGGGAAAAGAAGAAGAGATAAAAAAAGAATTAAATCTTGGCGAGGAGGATGTCTTTTTCTGCCTGCTCCCCTGAACATTGTTTGGCTCTGCTATCGAGAGACACGAGGTGGCGTTGCGCCTTGCATGGATTTGGCGAGGAGGCTTGAAGTTTTGTGTGTTTCTTGTTTTTCATAATCCTCCTTTTCGGAACTTTTTGGGTTTGAATCTGCAAGATGCCTTTGGAAAGTCGGCGTAAAAGGTCCTGGTGATGGCTTTGGAAGGGAAACCGTTCTCACAACGCAGATCTGATCAATGGGAGGACTGAGTTTAGAGAGAATTAAGAGAGAAAACAAACAGCTAAAGAAAACCACACAAAGCAAACGAAATAGTACATGGAAAACCCCCTTCATGGGGTAATGCGATAACGGGAACACAGCCCCTTTGCAAAGACGTTGTAGAAACTCGTCTGTTCGTCCACTTCTACGTCCGCATACCAGCCTTGCGGTCGTTTTCATCACCGCCCATCGAATAACCCGAGTGGCCGTGGCTGCTCGCCATGCTGTAGCCCCCAAGATTGCCGGTGTACGTGCTGGCATAGCGCCTAGTCGTGTCAATGTACTTGTACTGCATCTCAGGGGCCGTCATGCGCGGCGGCTCTTCAGACGGCGCCATGATTGCGTCGAGAGACGGGTTTGCACTCGTCGTGTACTCGCTGCGGAGGTGCGAGTTCGTTGTGGTGGGAGTGGGATACGAGGACAGGGGCGAGTTCTCGAAGCTGGTGTATGTGGTTGCTGCCTCGGAGAGAGCAGCGGGAGAGGAGCTGCCGGTGGAAGACTGAGATGTCTTGCTGTAGGCTGAGGAGATGGACTCTGCTCGATAGGGATGCTGCTGAGGAGCGCTCGTCATGGGCCGCGAAGAAGGCGTGGGCAGCAGTCTCTCGCTGGGGAGGGAGGCGATGCCATGGTAGGCAAAGCCGGTGTTTGCCTCGGGTACGGGAGCAGGCCGATGTACCATCGTTGTTGCTGCGGCAGCTGAAGGACCAGCAGGATAGCCATAAGCAGTCTCTGGTTCAATATACAAGGGCGTGCTGCCTCCAGAGGGTTTGTTTGAAGGGGGGTTAGAACCCATTCGATAGCCCACCATGTAGGCGGCATCGTGCTGCGGCGGGTACGACTGCTGATACACTGAGTAATCGATGCTGTTGTCGTCGGTGTATCCGTTGGACCATCCTGACAGGGGATAATACTTGTTGCCGTAGGCGTAGGTAGAGGCAGAGCCGTTCCTATACGGCAGGGCCTCGCCGCTGGGCATGCTCATGGGTTCAGGATATGGCGATGGCAGGGGAGTTGTTGGGATGGGGGGCACGACTGAGGATCCTCGGGCTTGAAAGTTACGAGCAACTTCGAGGCTGTAGGTGAACTGCTCGTTCTTGAGATGGGTCTCGTGAGAAGATACCTGAGAGTGGAGAGAAGAAGGTGGTTAGCCATGTGGTGAATCAGTATAGACAAGAGGCATCATCATCTTACTCGAAGGAACTGGCATGGCTCGAAGCCAGCATTCTTGCAGTTGAGGCACGGCTGGCCATTTCCACTGTCTCCCGTGCATCGAATCTTTCTTTTGCGGCATCGCATGCACTGTCGTCCACACCAAGTCAGCAAATCTTGTCTCCGTTTGTATCTCAGGGATGAGAAGCGAGGATGGGGAGAGGATCAGCTTACCGCAACGGCGATTCTCTTCCGCTGGGGGTTAGACTCTTCAGTCGACTCCCGGTCACTCATCATGCTGCCTCGAGAGTCACTGTGGTAAGAGTTGGATCTGCGGTCCGCGTACGGCGTTCCGTAGGGAGAGATGCCGCCACGAGGAGAAGAGTACCTTGTGTGGTTGGAGGAGTGGGTGCTTGAAGAACCCATGATTGGAGGATCGAAAAAAAGGAACAAGGCAGCTACCTCTGGTGGCGTATACAGGTGGTGTGTGTGCCAAGTATCGTTTGACCTCTCGAGTCAAGTGTCCACTTTAAGATCGGATGAGCAAACGGGCGAGGCTCTCGATACAATCTTGTTGGCAGAGGGACACTGCTCTGGCCGTTTGATAGTAACAGATAGAGAGAGAGAGAGAAAGGGAGAGACGGGAAACGATGGGTCTGACGTCTTGGGCTCACTTGGGCCTCAACTGTGACTCGGTGATGCTGGTTGGTACCAAGACAAAGAGGCAGAGTCCAAAGACTGTGGCTATAGTCCTGTTTTGGTGGCGAATCAGGGGGTTCCGTTTGAGGCAAGGCAACTTGTAGAAGGCAGCCGGGTGTCAATGATTCGGCAAAGTAATATGAGCGAGGCAATCTGGGGAAAGAGAAGAAGAAGAAGTAAAAGGCGAATGGGAAGAGGATGAAAGAATCTAGAACAAGAGATCCGGGACGAAGGAGCTGTAGCTCGGGAATACATGGTAGTTATACATGTTCGGTACGCGCCCGTCGTCTCCTCGATTCCCCAATTTTCCCGTTTTGCATTTTTTTATTTTTAATCATTTTTTCTCATCTTGTTTGTTTGCTTGCACCATTCCCGGCCTGGTCGTCCAATTATTTCCATCCTCTGCCTTTTCCCTGGACTGACACTCTCTTCCCACTCGGCCATCGCAGGCGCTCAACAAAACAAAAACACAGCTGCCAGAAAAAAGTCACCACGGCCGCATATGCTGCCGGTACACAGCAGTTGACAAGCTCGTCGACCTTGTCATCCCCCCCAGAATGCCCAAAGTCTCTCTTGTCAGGGCTACGCAAGGGAGTGGAGAAGCTGTGCCATGATGGCAGGGAGTTGCGGAATCAAAGGCTTGGTGCAGATCTACACATCTGTACGTGGTTCGCTTTAACCCTGTTCTTTCTTTTGCCGACAAAGCAACACACGTGGAGGAGGGACCCTCCTCATCGATCTCACCGGATTCTCGGGCCGGATACCTGTTGGGCCCCTTTGGCCCTGCCGTTCTCTATCTCAGGGAAATCTAGATTAGATTTCCCCTTGCAAACCGCATCCTGCACAACATTGATGTACAGGCTCTGGCCGTCCAACTCTTGCTCCTCATTCTATTTCGAGGAACCTTGCCTTCACTGGTCTCTCTGGAAAGGCCCTGTAAGCGGTCATGGTGATGGATCCAAGGTCAGTGCGTAGTATGCAAACCGTTTCCTTTCCGTCAGACACCTCGTCTACACACGACAACAATCTCACAGTCTATTCCAGGAAGGGCAGAGCATGGAGCACATATCGAGCCTTATAATTTCTTTCAAGGATTCAGAGAATACGAGTTCACTGCTAATGTCAACTTGTTTCCATTCAGATACCTGTTCACCAGTCTATTTTTGCTTCGACTTGTTTTACCATACAAAAAAGTCGGGCAGTGAAGTGACCTCATCATACACCGCGCAAAATAATCCAGACCAGCCAAAGATACGCGCCATCGCATTGCAAAACTGCGGGCCATCAAGGTCATCACGTATTGTTACAATAACGTAGCGGTCAGAGTAAATGAGATGCAAGTTATTCTCCTCTGTGCTACTCCGCATAGCAGCCTGCAGAAGGACCCCCAAGCAAAGTCCCCCCCAGCTCAACGTCGTACAAGGAGCCACCGACTTGTTTCCGCCCAAGGGACAAGTCACCCTACGCAGCGTACATGTAGGTACATGTACCTTGCTACCTGGTACATTGGGAGCCTCCATCCGTGTGAAACTTGAGGCGAGAAACTGGAGTTGAACCAGGCACATGACGAACAGCACACGAGGAAGACGAGACATTGTCGAGAGGCGTGGTCCCTGTACCGGGCAAACGGGAAGGATTACTACCCCCAATCTGCTCTGTCACTCCTCACAGAAGCAATGTACAAGGAGCACGCACGTGTTGCTCGGCAATTAAAAGGGATATTGCAGTGTTGGTAGGTCATGACAACGGGAAACCGTTTCTTCCAGAAGGTCGCTAGGAGGAAAGTGGGAAAGGGGGGGTGGCAGGGCCAAAGAGAGTGAGAATGGTTGAGTGAGTAAGATCTGTGAATCTTCTTTGAGAAGCATGGTCGCGAAGGGTGGTTGATCGACACGGACGAGCTGTGCTGGTGTGTCTCTGATACTCGACACGAACCCGCAGAACATCATGATCACACACAGACATACATGCATACGAGAAACGTCAACGAGTAGCAGTCGATTTACTGATTACATGTACAGTAGTGCCAATGGCCAGCCTGTCTTTGTCCTCAAGGTGCATGTCGAGTATGGCAAAGCTGCATCCTTCGACACTGGCGTTTGGCGATGCTGTGGCTGCCGTATGAGCTGGCCAGCTGCCTCTCCCTCCCCCCCTTTACTTGTAGGTTCGAATCTGTCCGGGCACACGGCAGACACCTCCCAACGTCTGTCTCGACTAAGAAGAGGCGCATGATGCCGCCTGAGCTACACCAGCCCGACCAAAGCAAGGCACGCCAACGCGCCAGCGGCTTGACGGGGGCGAGATCCCGGGCCCTGCAAGGGACAAGACGGTGAGTGAATCGAGGCGTTTCCAGAAAGGCAGCCCAGCGCGCACATGGCAGAGGGCGTGCAAGGCACTCACTTCCAACTAGAGGGAGTTGATCAAGGCTTGTAAGACGGGCAGAGACGATGATGCGTGCACACACACATGTACATGGCCAGTCTCAGATGCCGCACATAGCTGTACAAACCACAGGGATTGGCAGCGGTGAATAACACACAACACACTCGCTCCACCAAAGTTTCATCCTGCACTATGCATAAAATTCAAGTGTTTCTGATCAAACAGCCGAGAGGTATCTATTGCCGGCATCTCTCTTTCAGCTGTGTGGCGATACCTCTCCTCTCCCACACACTCCCCCCCTTTCCCCTTTCTGTTTGGATCCGATCTGGACAGAGTGACGCTTACACGGCCATCGCCGTTGGGGACCCTCGTCTCTTCAAGTTAATTAATTAAAATCTGCCTGCTAACCGGTTTCAAAACGCCTCGGAACGGCCGAGTATGTTGCGCTGCTTAGCGAATAAATCTTCAGCTTGCGTCTGATCAGAACCTGGTCAAAGCCTCAACTCACTCCCTCCACCACCCCCTTTGCCGCCAAACATTCTCCAGCATCTTTCGAGATACCCGCCCCAAAGAGAGATAAGTCCTTGTCCTCAAAAAGACGGAATTAATTCTCCTTAGGCAGCCGCCCTTTCTCCCCACTGTTGAAAGCGGGCACGGTCCTTTGCAGCGCTGTAGTCCCGTCATGTTCCTGCATTCAACCGATGGTGTTACTGAGGAGAGCTTAGCGATTGGATGTGATCGAGCAGGGTGTGCAAGGGAGTGTGTCCAATCCCTGGTACTGAAATGGCGTAGTCAGCCAATGAGCAAACAAACACTCGCAAGGCTGCAAATTCCAGTAGATGATCTGAGCGTCATCCAGGTTTAGAACAAAACATGGGCAAAGCAGGCCTTGATTCGAGAAGATCAACCATGTTCTGCGACAGGGATATCACCAACCTCGTGATGAGGCTAAAGGATTCAAAGGGCATGTTTCAGCACATGGGGGTGGTTGTTCAAAGGTGTAGGTGTGTTCAAGGAACATGTATTTTTGGCATCTTCTCTTTCTCAAGTCAGCTAGACGTTAGGTATGTTCGTACGAGGCCAAAAGAGCTAAAGGAGGGAAATCTGGGTGCTCAACAGCCTCAATGACAAGCTTCGTCTTGCTGTGACAGTCGCACAGACGCACCACGACCGGTTTCATTCCCTGGCAGCTCTATTTCGCATTGTGGTTACTGCTCCTAAAGCTATTCTTACTCTCTGTTTCGGCACAAGAGTAAGGGAAACAAGGGCCAAGTCGGCGCAACGGCGCACCATCTTGTGATTTGATTTGAAAAGAGTCAGGTATACATACGTATAACCCGTGGCACCAAGGTCAAGGTAGCAGCAATGGCTGCATGCCCATTATGCATGTCTGTTTTCTTAGCCCAATGATTTCAAGCGTCACCGGCCATTGTAAACTGGGGGTCGGGATGAAGCAGAGCCAATCAAACGGGAGGCAAACGAGGCGGTGACGGAGTTCTCGAGACTTCCTAGATGCATGTCTCGCCTTTGGACAGTTGCTTGCTTGATTGCTTGCTTGCTTGTATAAAAAGTGGCCACAGCGGCTGTTGTCGCTTACACGGCGAGCCCGGAATTCAAGGGCCATGTCGATCCAAAGCCCGGCTTTAGCTTCAGAGGGTGGCTGGTTTAGGATCTAAACAGCAAGCGACGGTGTGAGCCATATGGATGGGGGCCGTGGCTACTTCGTCGTGACACTCACCGAGACGATTTACATCGGAGATGGGAGTCGTACCAAGCGGGTCCCTTGCAGCCCGTAAAATGATGCGGAGGTAGACATGGAGTACAGAGCCCATGGCATAATCACGGGCATGCCGTTTTGTTCCATCTAACAGGTTTCGATTCGAACTCGATCCCGCCGAACTCACGGGCGTAAATCAGCGCTGAGGGAGGGATGAGGGGGGGAGCCAGTGACGAGATGGAAAACATGAACGGACTCGTATAAGCGTAACGGCGTAACGGCGGCTCGGCAAATGGCGGTAACGATAAATGAAAGAGAGCCTCTAGAAGCATCCACGGGACGAAATTGCTGTAGATTAACTTATGGGGCTCCTCACGGCTATCTGAGATATTAGCCCCCGTGAGTTTCTGCGGGGGACCTGTCATGTTTGACAGCATCTTGCGACGAGTGGATGGGATGCCGGTAGCCATTTGGGCTCTGTTTACCAACGTCACTCTCCGTGGATAGAATAGCTTGGATTTGTGAGAATTTCTAGAGACGGAGAGCGGCGAGGTTAGCAGGTTAGCAGCAGGGGCGTCGGATGCTTGAAGGGCCCTGGCATCATGTAGTCTGCCTCGGAACTGAAATGCAAAGCAGAGAGTTTCATCAGGTACCCTTTGTAAAATGACAGTGTACACCTTCTACTCTTGCAACCGGCGGTCTGAAAGATTGCTACGTGGATCCAAATCTGTTTGGAAAACTCCAAGCCTGGCGGAGGGTGCTTTGACGCGACGCTGCTGCCTTGGTTCTTGACTCGCAGCAAACGCAGGGACTGTCAGGTTTGTACTTCAAATTGCTCTCGTTTGAAGTTGACCATATCCTTCGAGTCCTAGTATTGATGTTACGAGACAAACAATAGCATAACAGTCTACCTGGCGAGGGCTAATTGACTATAGAAAATGTGCGTTTAATGATGTATCAGCATACAGAAAGAGCAAACATAGTTGGAGAGGATCTGGGGACGAACTTTGAGGTCCTTCTAGTCGATGAACCATGTCCAACCAGTTACTATTACTTTCTCATCCATAGCCAATCTGTGCCTATAATCGCACCGGTGAGTCTCGATCATAGACGCCAGTTACTGGTTCATCTCCGCATTGTTCAATAATTACGTACATTGGTAGCAGTATTAATATCCAGACCTCGCAACCAAACAAACTTTTTGAGTATGCAGTTGATTTAGGGTAGGTTATCGTAGTTGGCAAATGGCTGCACCTTTTGTTGCAAAGTTCAGGTCAGAATTGAGAGCCTGTTCGCAAGAAATGAATGCCATAACGACTGGTCGTAAAAACAGATGACTTTGTATAATAGCTGTAACGCTACCTACTGCAACATGTTGCTTATTCGCTGTGAAGCTATTCAGCTGTGATTCAAAAACACATGTACTAAGACCAACGCGGCAAATAATGCTGAGGGTTGTTGGCTGCAGCTTTTCGCGAATCAATCAGTGTTCAAAGCCATTATTACACGTGGCAAATTAGTCAGCAATCAAAGGCAGAAATGAGTCTGGTTTTGGTGCCGCTTGAAGCTCCTACAAGGCAGCATTTGCTTGTTCTTGGCTATCGCCATCACCAGCCTTGGCGTCGTGTGGGCCATCCTTTACTGCCAACCCTCAATCAAACCTTTTTTAGTTTCTCTATTACTTTGATCCTTCTTTCGCTCTTTTCAGATTCTCTAAGCGGACTATTCATTCGTTTCTTCGCAATGCCTCCATGGCGAACTTTGGCCCAGCGAGATCAGAATCGCGAACTAGACAATGCCTCCAACCAGCCTCCAGACCAGGATTCTGCTCAAACGTCTTCAGAAAACATATTTTTATTCTGGCCCAACATCATTGGTGCGTCTTTTTTCTCTATGCTACAACATATGTCCTGTTCACTACTAATCTGGCACCATGTCTAGGATATCTCCGAGTGATCTTGGCCATAGCCTCCCTGTACTATATGCCACTCCATCCACGCACCTGCTCTCTTCTCTACACTATATCATGTCTCCTCGACGCTCTTGATGGATACGCTGCGCGTATGTTGGATCAGGGAACGCAGTTTGGCGCAGTTCTGGACATGGTCACGGACCGTTGCACCACGACATGCCTGCTGGTTTTCTTGGCGGCGGCGATGCCTCGCTGGGCCATTGTTTTCCAGGGCCTGATTGTGTTGGATCTTGCAAGCCATTACATGCACATGTATGCATCTCTTGTCGTCGGCGGCGCTAGAACGAGCCACAAGGATGTCAGCAATAGCCAAAACTGGCTGATGAGGGTGTATTACACCAACAAGGTGCGAAACTGCCATGTCCAAATCTATACACTAAACTCTGACCTGTAATTCAGATTGTCTTATTTTCTCTCTGTGCTCTCAACGAGCTCTTCTTCATCGCCTGCTACCTTGTCTCCTTCTCTTCACCAATTGATCCTCTCTACTTAAATGCGGATATTGACGGAAGAGAGCATCTGCAAACAGGGACAGAAGTCGACACCTCGCTATTAACCCAGATCTTCCCAAACCCTTACAGCTCTGCAGCGCTTGAGATGGCGCGAGCGAACAAAATGGACGGATACCTTCCGGGTATCATTGCCAAGATTTGCTTTCCGTTCATGGCGCTGAAGCAAATGATTAATGTTATCCAGTTGATTCAAGCCAGCAAACGATTGGCAAGGGTGGATGTAGAGCGGAGGCGGAAAAGCAAGCAAACGTAGCAGCCCGGAACGGAGAATGATGCTTTTTACAAAAAGATTTGGCATGATGAACTACTTTAAACATATAAACATTACAGGTAAACCACAAGATTAAGTGCTAATATCCAACTGCTACCAACGGAACAGCTGGCACCATGGTCTTAAACCGTCGTAACAGCTCCTTGGGTGGCGTTCCAACCAGCGGAGCAGCTCTCTTCTTGACCTTCTCAGGGTCATCACTGTCCTTTTCATCTCCCGTTTTCGTCACTTCATCTTTCTTTACCTCAAATCCCAATCTCTTTGCCCATATTTTCACGGCATCCTCGGGTGTCTTGCGGCCAATATCCTGCCACGTCTTCTGTACTTGCTGCCAGGACTCGCTCTGTCCCTTCGGCAACCAAGCCTTGTCTGAGTAGGGAGTGTTGGGGAAGTACGAGTTGTGCTTCTTCTTGTCCCCATCGTCAAATACTTGCTTCATTCTATCTTGCACAATGTTGAACGGGTTAACCTTGTCATCGGCGAGACCGGGACAAGGCGGTTTGATTGCCAGGCCCATGACTAGAGGGATGGTTGTGTTTTCACCATTGAGCAGCTGTTTGACATGATTACCGGCGACACTTGGATCTTCGCTGCGGTTATCTATTGGAGCCATCCATGTTAGCACTCATATTCTGTACCACACAGCAGAAAGATACCTACATATTCCCCAGATGGAACTCTGCACAGGCTTTACTATAGGCTCAATCCGCCACTCCATCGCCTGCCAGTCCTTCATAATGCTGAACCGATGGTCGTCCAACGGTTTTGGCGTGGTCGACTCAACCAGGATTGTAGCCTCAGAAGTTAGCGAGTCGGTAAGCTGCATAGGCTTCCCGTAGACCTTTTGATGCTCTGCTTTGATCTTGGCAGATGCACACTTGCGGTCTTTACCATCGCGTAATTCGACGACGGATGCCTTATTGATGGCAAACTGGAATGTGACCAAGAAGGAAAAACTGCCACCGCGCACCAGCCAAGGATCATCATCTTTGGCTGTTGTTCCTGGAGGCGCCGGTTCGAGGCCAGACTCGCATGTTAGCAGGATGGCTGGATTGTCCTGCTTCTTCTTGTCGTCATTTTTGTTGTCGTCCTTCTTCATCACATCATCTGATGTGAGCATCGATGGAGGCGATGACCCAGACGACTTGAGCACAACGTTCCAGAAGCGCTCGAGAGTGACGGCCGGAGGTGGCTGTGGCGGAGCTCCAAAGTTCACGTCGAAACCAAACACCCAGAAGTCAACATGCACGACGCCTCCAAAGGGCGGACCAGACATGTCGAGTGTAGCGCTGACCTCGGCATTGATGCGAACCGTGACGATCCACAGATCCATGGTGAATCGCACTCCCACAGAGAGACGACTTTGCAGCTGGAAGTGGAAGGGCTCAAAGTTGATTAGGAAATCAACAAACGCGTCGAACCAGGCATAGAGAGCGCCGAGACTGAGTGCCGCGTGCAATCGGCCGCCTCCCATGCATACCTTTGGTGTGATGGCAAAGTAAGCCTCGCCTGTTACACTGAGGCAAGAATCCAACGACCAGCTAATTCCTAAACGCGGCGGCTTTGGATACTGCGACGGTGGACTGAATGCTTGGTGATATCCGCCCAAGGTGAGGACCCAATCTCCAGCTGCGATGTTGTCTTTGACGTCGTCTTTGAACCATGCATACATGGCCACTCCGCCGGTGAGATGGCACTGCGGCGCCAGGACAAACGAACGCGGCGACAATTGCGCCTCAAGCTTGAAGATGCCCCGGTTCACGTCAAAGGTACAGATGATGCCGAGCTCAACATGGGCAAACTTGACGGGCGACTCCAAAGCAGGGACATCGCACGTGGCGACTCCAAACAGCCCAAACTGCAAGCCAGCTCCAAACTGCACCACGATGACGATATTCGCAGCGAGCATCTGGAACGCCGTGATACGAACTCCGGCAGCGGCCCAGTACAGCCCTTCGGCGGGACGGAACCAGATGCCTCGCATCAGCCGCTTCATCGTGTCGACGGGCGTTTCCTTTGTCCCCTCTCCACGCTCGGCAACGAAGGGAAACTCGACGACTTGCTCGACAGTAGGCAGAGCAATGTCAGAGTTCATGCCGAAACCACCGACCAGACCGGCAAAGTCTGCGAATCCCACAGAAAACAACGGTCCGTTGAGCTTGCAGAAGATGAATGCAAAGGTGAATTTGTTGCCCTCTTCATCTTTCTCCTCTCCATCGTCTGTGAAGCGCATGTTTTGGCTGAATGGGGATAGACTGATGACGGAAGATGAAGATGGCTTGGAAATGTCATCCTTGCTGACGGTTGCATACACACCCATAGCTTGGAACATCCACGGCTTGAAGCCGATAATCAGTCCTCCCACGTACATGTCGACCTTGGGATCCGATGTATCGTGTATGAAACCGCCCGCAACGGTCAGTGGTGGACGGTCTAGGGAGACGATGAGGCCCTGGAGACCGAATGTAATGTCACCTAAGGATGGTGGATTCGAGAGGCTGGTTGTGCTGTTCAGGGGCACACCGATGGTGAAGCCCAGCAGTGCAATGCCGATAGGACCCATCAACAGCGTGGCATCGAGAGTGATGCCCAGAACACCATCGCCGTTCTCGTCTGATTTGTACCAGAGACCGATATTTTCAACAGAGAGCGGGCCAAGCGTCATCTTGTGCGGTGCCTTGGAACCCTTCTCGGACCCTGTCGGGTCAGGCGGCCCAACTTTCCCATCTTTCCCGTCTTTGGGTGCCATGAGCGCCCTATTCTGTCCGTCGTAAAATCTTATACTTGACTTCTTGCCGCCAGACTTCTTGTTTGGCTTGCCAAAAGCATAGTCGAGAATGACACTTGTCTTGCCGGCTGATGGGCTCTTTGCCACCACCACAAAGTGCGAGCCTGCAGAAACTACAATTTCAGTATCAGCTGCCTTTTCTTGTTTCCTTGGCTTATACAATAAGAACTCTTCTTCTGGAATTTGGGCTTTAGTCGTCAAGCACTCCTTCAGGATCTCGAACTCGGCCTGCGATATGCCAGGGACAGCCGTATCGCTCTTTTCATCCGGCTTGTAGCTCGTGTCCTGAACCCACATGAAGAACATCTGCTCAAAGGGGCTGTCGAGAGTGGTGTTGAAGACGGGCACGTCGACTGAGATCTTGCTGATGGCAGCCTTGACGAGGCGCTTAACTAGCTTTCCCTCTGACCGGAACTGTACAAACCAAAGCGAAATGCTTCCAATGTTGATGAGGAGGGCAAATACAGTCATCGTCTTGTGCTTTGCGCAGAGAACACGCAACGGCTTCTCCCCTCTCTTGCCATCCAGCTTCGCGCCTAGGATGGCTGTGGGCAGGCCGGCTATGTTTTTTGGGTCGATAAGAGCATCAAGAACCTGTTCTATGGTGCAGGCCGTACCATCTTTGCTTTCAGCCGCAAGACTACCCTCAAATAACCAATTATCAGATCCCTCATTCTCGTACGTGAGACCGAGCTTGAGAATCTCGCCGAGAGCCAGAACACCAGTGAATTTGAAGTGGGTTCCAGCACCCCCCTTGGCATAACTATACTCGAGCCCGGCGTATTCGATTTCGATCTTTCCGAGAAAGTCAATCACGTCGTTCTGGTCACCATTATGCCAAAACGATGCCAAGTGTCCGATGTTTAGATTCGAAACGTCAGCAGCTAACTTCCAGTTGCCCTTGTCATATGAAAGCATGCCGTGAAGGTTGGCAGCCTGCAGCTCCTGCAAGTCTGGGTCCTTGTCTGGATCTAATTTTCCATTCTCATATAGTTTGATGGCGACTGCAAGTCTCATGCTGAAACCTTTGTCATCGGGGCTCTTGACTCCCCAATTATACCCTGCATCTAGTTGAAGGTCTTCCAGTGCAATGGGCGGCGGCTTAGTCCTGTCTGCTGTATCCCGATTTGGTGTTGGACAGCGGATAGCACCACTAAACCAGATCTTTTCTTGTGACAGCTCAATCTCGGCACGGTAGATCTGCGTCGGAATACCAGCGGGTAGCTTGAACGGTTCGCCGCTGGGGGATGTGAGGAGGTTCTCAATGTCCAAGGTACGTAGTTGGTTATCCGGGTCCGGGTCTGTCAACGGATCCAGCTCCATGTATGGTTCGTACTCGGGCAACGCTTTTCCATACACATCATAGGGAGTTTCAGGTACAGCACACCAAAGATTGCCCTTGAGGAACACGCCGAGTGACTTGGACCATCCAAACTTGAGCAGGAACAAGATGGGCTTCTTGGCGAGGGCGGCCGCGGAAGATTTTCCGATCTTGAGACAAGCCTCGAGTGTTATATCGACCGATTCGACTCCCTCTATGTTACCCTCCTTATTGAGGTTCAGCATAAGCTGCATTCGGCGTGGGAAAATGGTGTTTCTATCGACAGCACCCCCATCTTCAGACTTTGCCTTGTCCAGTATATCCGTTATCTCAAGTGATTTGAGCTTCAAGGTTGTGCAGAGCCAGGCCACAATAGCGTCAAGAGCATCCTCACGCATGGCGTTAATCTCAAGTGCTGTTTTTGGTTTACGTATCGTCAAGGTCAATATCGCTGAAGACGTCTCCAAGGTCAGGGCCGCATCAAAGCCAAGGCCCGGTATGGAGAACTGCAGAAGAAAAGTAAGACTGCCCTCTGGTTCGATCCTATCGGCGTCACGCCCAAAGGCAAACTGTGCCTTCTTGCGAGCAACCACGGTGACACTCTCGATCGTGATGCTGGGGAGGCACTTGCCTAGCCATTTACTAAAGACAGAGTGGTTGGCTTGGAACCCAAGACGCAAGTGTGTCTGATAGTTGATGCTTGGACGGAACCAGAGGGCGTTGCGGAAGACTTTTGTTGTATTGAGAGTGAGCTCGATTGGTCCGAACAACTTTAGCACGGGATGCCCGGACAGAGTTGGATCACTGGTTACCATGCCAGCCACCTCACCAAGCATTGTCACAAGGGGCTTGTCTGTAGGCAGTGCTTCCAGCCCAAAAACCAATGTGCGGCGCTTGACTAGCATGCTTTGCAGAGCCAGTTTGTCAACTTTGACATCGGAGAACGTCAGCTCTGCACCGGCAGAAGTGCTCATGGTCAACAATCGACCTCCAAAAGGAAACGTGAGCTTGAATTCTAGTCCAGTGGAACTGTTGAGTGGCCAAACAGCTGGTGTCATTGCCAGGTTGAAGCCAGCAGGTGTCCCCGGACTGTCATAGTCCCACTGAAAGAAGAGACGGAACCAGAGGAACCACTCATCATCATCGGCAAGCAACGCTTCCTCCTTGGCATTTGGTATGGATCTCAAACTAAAGAGTCTATAGTGTAGAGTGTCAACAAAGCCAAAGTGATCATGTTCTCTTGGAAGCGGTATGACCGGCACACCGGCCGGGAATTTGGCCTTTTCGGAGATTAGCGATTCTGAAGCAATATAAACGGCTGGTGAAGCCGCAATATGAAGAGGAACATGGCGCCGCTCTACTACCAACGTCTTGGCCTCGCCATCGATATCACTCCATGAATCATCATCAGACTCGGACTCGGATGAGTCCAGAAGACCGACATCAATCCAAGACCCCTGCCTCTGGTGGTTATTTCTCTTCGTGCTCTTGGTCGCCTTTTTGGGGAATTTGGGGTTTCCCCTGGACAAGTCCCACGCACCAGGCCTGTCTTCGCCTGGATCTGCATAGAGACTGACTCTCCGCGGTTCTTCTTTGTTGGCAATGGCGAAAGCATGCAAGGTGTTTACATGTGGGAGCTTCCAAACGAAGGAGGAATCAGAAAATATGAATGGCTTTTGGTTCTGGTACAAAACCTCAACCATCCCATCAAAGCCGGAGTCGCTTGGTGCTGAGATGATGTTAATAGCCACAACCTTCTGCACGCCGAGTCGAGGGATGTTATTTGGGTAACGAAACCCCCAAAAATCTGTAGTCCAGACAATGTTGCTGACCCATGTAGGTTCTGGGCCATAGGGGAGCGAAGTGAGGTTCGCCATCATGCTATAGGTCATATCGCAGATTTTCTGGCGTTGTACATTCTCGTCTGGCTCTTTTTTGAACAAAACTTTGTACTTGTTAACCCAGTCTGCAAACTCCTCCAATGGTGATAGGGGGATTGCCATAAGCCCTTTCTCGTTACGTTCCTCGATGTACTGCTCCTGATATGCGTCCAACCACGGCCGTAGAGTTCCATTCGGGTCGTACATCTCGCCGATACTCCATTTATGCGGATCATACATACCATACTCGTTCTTGAGGAGATATGAAGGCAGCTGGCAAGGCAAAAATGGTCGCCAGCGAGGGGCTTTATTTTCTGATGCATCAATGGCCTTTTGGAATCGAAACCATGACGCGAGAATCCAAATAATCTCCCACCCTGCACGATAAAGTCAGAAATCCATCTGGAACTCGATGATTCATGAGGACTGAGAAGCCAAAAGGGGCCAGACTTACTGGGGTGGCCGTATTGTAAGCCCGCAGAGACGACAACGTTGCGAGGGCTAAAGTCCACTATCATCTGAGGGGGGTTGGACGATCGTGAACCGTGGTGGCTCAACTTCATCGATGTCACTTGACGGTCATGGACACCCCCATCAGGCGTTTTGTATTTCGTCCAATCCGCTATATTCTTCTCCAGGCTGTCATGTGCATCTCCCGCAAAGTAATGGGAGATGTGCTTATCGCCCCAAATAACCAAGAGCACAATACTCGACTTGTTCTGCGGCGTGTGTAGCGCATTGGCGCCGTTATACAGGGTTCGTTCGGACACTGCCACGCAGTAAAGGCCTGGATACTTGGCATATTGTTGCGAACCGGGTTGCCTTGGGGGATTTTGTGCCAACAGCCCGTCCAGCGTGCCCATCTGTGGCCATTTCTGTTCCCAACCGTTGTCGTCGTCCCAGCTCATGAAGAAATTGCGTCCCAACAGTGCCTTGTAATCCCATCTCGCTCTAAGGGTACCGATCGCTTGTCTGGTTTGACCATTGTTGTCTTGGACTTGGATGGCAAGATTGTTTTCATTGTCAATTGCCATGTTATCCTTGTTTATCTTCCAAGGTGCATAAAACCACGACTTGGGCTTCCAGGTGTCCTCATCGTAAAATACTCGGTTGAGTATCAACGGGTTATTGTTACCAAGGTTTTGGTTGGCAGCGTCTCTAGCCAGCTTAAAGAGATATGCAATGACACCCTCATAGTGATCTCCGTCCCAATGGGTGATGACGAACCCGTCAAAGTACAACCAACGGTAAGCTCCTTGATTAGGGTTGTCTTGAAGCTTCGGTCGTTGGCAGACATAATTAAGTTCGATCTGTTGAATTGTGTTCTCAAGCGCTGCTTGGACCGCATTGCCCGGGGCGCGGCCGCCATCAATCATCCATGCTTGCTCAACGAGCCGTCTTCCGTCTCCAAAAACTGGCTCTGAGGTGAGCAGATGAATTGCTGCATCGCCGGCACCGATGTTGATGTGAAACGACTCCACTCGGTAATGGGCCATCTGAATGTCGTTTGGGAGGAGCTTGTGGTGTGCTGAGAAGAACTGGCACCATTGAGCATCTTTGAGAGCTCTCTCTAAATGATTGATATCTAGAGCCTACACACTTGATAGAATCGAACAACCCTTTTCATCCGTGCCCAGAGATCGTTATTTGCACTCCTCTCCGCCTCCCACCTCCTAGACACCACCTCCATTGTCCAGTTTCCCACAAACCCCTGCCATGTACCATGGAGTACCGATCCTGACGGGGGTTAGCTGGGTGGAGAGAAGCAGAGCTGAAATCAGCAACTATTGAGCAGGGGCTCATCCCAGCTGGAGCTAGTGATTCTCCTAGCCTCTTCTCAGGCTGGTAGATTGGACATGGACAACTTGTCAGCACACAATTTTAACACTTGCCACGCGGCATGATGGCAACGAATGGAATGTGGAGGTATTCCCTAACAATAGATCTCTTTTGGGGAAGACAAACTCATGGAAGTCCTGTGAAGACTAAGATTGAATAGCGGCAGAGCGGCTCAAAATGAAGACTGAGGGGGAACAGAATTACATGCGAATATCATGGTCTCCTGAACTACACTGCCTTTATCGTTTGTGCAAGCATGAGTCAGATCAGATGGGAATCAGAGATGGACAATGACATCGCATCTAACAATCACTAGAAAAGTATCTCTTTGCGTGTACAGATACTAAGAACATACATCATAATTTCGCTCGAATCCGAATCTTGAGCTTGTCTGTTATTACTGTTCCAGCAGGCAGCTCAAGTTCAACCTCAACCTCAGCCTCCATCCCAGCTACTCGACCAACAGCCTCGCCGCTGAAGCTTGGCCTACGACTGTCAAGTCACTTTTCCTCGTTGCTGTCTGCAGCCCAGTTGTCACGGATGGCGCTGACAGTGTCACTCTCCTCCATAAGAGTGTAGATCCAGTTGCACTGCTGCTCGTGGTCTACAACAACGCTCATCTGTGCTGTAGCCTGGACAGCCTGCGGTCCCTTGCCGGCCTCGATGGGGCCCTTCCAGTCGGGAGCGTACTTTTTGTCTTCGATATCCGCGTATCTGCGTTGCAAGATGTTGTTGCCGCCATGTTTGTAGAGATAGTAGACAAAGGCCCGTCCAAGCACGTTGGCATCAGGCTTGAAGCTGGGCACCTTGCTGGGGTCGATGCTCTTGGATGGGACGAATGCGCAGGCAATTGGAGTGTACGGCATGAACGTTTTCTCGTCATCGTCAATATCGGAGTCTAATAGTTCAACGTAGTGAGCACAGTGTTATTCGATGGAGCATGATACTTGAAAACTCACCTTTTCCCTTGTTTGCGTTAAAGATGGTAAGACGGTTGTTGTCAGACTGGAAGACAACCCATTGGGATTTGCCATCATAGAAAGCTCCCAGCCACGTCTTCTCCAACACATGCTCGACTGAGAGATTGGTAATGTTGGCCGTAGCTCCGGATACTTCGCTTCTCTTGATGATGACGTTCTTTCCATCGGCCGATTTTCTACATTCGGTCAGCACTGCAAATCTTGACACCGGGTTAACTCGCTAGAGATACGTACGACTGGTAGTATATCCAGAGGTGTTCGTTGTCGGTGCAGCCAGCGATGAATCCGTTCGGCACCACGATCCTGCCTCCTTCTTCATCCTTGGCAACATGCTGATGGACCGGATGGAAAAGCGAGAGCACAGCGATGGGCTCTGGCTGTGTTTCCCCCGTCTTTGGGGGTGTGTGCATAGACACGCCATAGACGAACGCGGCGTCATCGTAGTTGATTGTCACCAACGATGATGGGTTCTTGACCTTTTGTGAGAGAGGGCCGCCGCTCATTCCATCGTGACGGCGAGGAGTCTTCTCTGCGGTTCGGAGTTTTCGTTGCTCGAATGAGACGGTGTTATACTTGGAGGTTGCAGAAAAGATGAGGACACGCTTGTCGCCAACTGAGCTAGGTCTGTCGGCAGTGACGGGGTTGATGACAGCAGAAACAGCGCTCATCGTGACGGTTGAGATAGTGCAGAATCAAAGGCAATGATGAATTGAAAAGATTAATTAAAGTCGAATTGTGTCAACAGCCAAGATCAAATCCGTTGTGTAAAGTAGAGGAAGGACCACTGCTTTTGATCGAGGAAAGTTATAGCATCATCTACAAGCCCACGCATCAACTCAACCGAGCTGAACAGACGGCATTAAACATCCATGTGTCGATAATGTCGCTCAGCTCATCAATTGAGCGCTAACCCTTCCTTTCTGAGGATGGCAAGATATTACAGAGTGCCTGACAATGACAGATGACTCCAGCCTTTTCATCCATGTGATAGTCCACCTCTTCGCAGCCGCCCACTTCAGTACAGACTATTGGCTTGGTGAATCGCCTGAGTGCTGAAGTTCCCAGTTAAGCTAGGCAGATTTTGTGATTGTGTGTCTCGCGCTGAACGGATACTTCCACATGGTTAAGCTTGAAGTCTGGCGCGAGACAAGCCGGGATTGACAAACTAGGCTCTTGACGAGGCATTCTTGCCCCCTCACTGGCAATGGCCAATGGTCAATTGACAATGAAAAAGGTAACATGATGGGGTCATTATGGTCTTGCAGGTGAAAAGAGGCTGGCTGTAAATGTTGAAGTTTGCATACCAGTCACTATCACAGCGTAAACGACAAAACTACAAACACGGGTGGCTCAATAGTGCATTATTGGACCTAGTCTAGCGCCATGATCATGTCAATAGCGTATCATTGAACCTGGTTTAGCCGCGATCATGTCGGGAAATAGCGCTGATGCAATGTATCTATCGGATGGAATTGTCCGGTCCAATCCTCGACGCCTGGCTGATTGCCACACGCCATTCGTCAATCAAGGGAGCATCGTGTCTCGGAACTCAGCAACAGCTGATGAACTCAGCCAGGCAACGGAGTTTCCCGGCAGTTATCGCGAGGGTGTTTCACTCTAAGCTGAATAACCAGATCGAGGCTGGAGCTGAGGTCTGGACTTATACCCTTGATCAAAAGCATCAATAGTCTTAACTAATAGCGTCTCTCTATTATTGGCGTTTGACGGCTAGCCCCGGCTCCGATTCCCCGTACACCACGCGGCCCGGTAACGGTAACGGGCCGCAGTTAACACGACAGTGATTAGAGTCAGAGACAAGACTACATGTGTCCAACCGCTGTTGTTTACGCCTCCCACGCAGTTGTGAGGAATATGAGTAGTTATTGGCTCGCGTAATCTCAAGAGGCTGTCAATATTTGCCATCGGCCAATCCTATGGTCAGGTATTTTGATACATCGTCCGCACTATACAGGAGACTACTCGTCAGCAGCAAACATCTGCCATCTCGTAGACTAATTATTCTCCTCTAATCCAGCCTTCTACTTCTCATTAACGCCCGCAGCCATCTGCAGGTACCCCTCGATGGCCGTATATGGCCCCCGCTCTAGCTTTGACTCTTCACCCAACACCTCAACAGCCAACGGCATGAACTTTTCCCGTGGCTTCTCTTCCTCCTCGTCACCCGTAATACTCTTTCCATGCTCTTCATCAACATCGTAAGGCTGGAGCCAACTCCACATCCCCAACGCGCCACCTGGCAGCCCCACGGATTGCTTCTCCTCCCCCTCCACGCCTTCAACCACCTTAGGTGGCAAATCCCCCTGCTTCAGCTGCCTCGCCTCCACAAACCCTGGAACGTCGCCCGTGATTAGCACAGGCCCGGCGTGGAAAAAGGCGGATAGCTTGTCCAGGGCTCCCTGCCATGTCCACGTCGGTAGGGAAAACTCCTTGACGGGCAAGATACCAGTGTAGGCATGCACAGGGAGGAAAGGGTCGAGCAGGGCGCCGAAAACGGCAAGCTTTTCGTTTGCATCCGCAGCGTATGATGCTGGCGTGCGGTCGTTCTTGTCCGGGTCGAGATAGTATGGCTTCAGGAGAGGATAGTTATCCTTCTTGATGGTAATTATCTTGGTGACTGTTGGGTTTGGCTGCTCATCTTCGTAAGAAGATGCCGGTGGAGAGATCTTTGCCAATTCTTCGGTGGCTATATCATGAACACCGGGTGGGAAGTGTGTGTAGAATGTCGATACGTCAAGAGCATTGCCTTCTTTTAGCTCGGACTCGGGAAGGGGAGGAAAGTATCCTACCAACCCATCAAACCCGCGCTCCCGGTCGCCCAGCTTGACGCGGAATTTATAATCGAGGAGTGTCTTCTTGAGTTTGTTGTCCTGCGACAGATGACTTTCCCACGGCGAACCGGCAAGTTCCAAGGAGACTCCAAAGTACGTGAGGGCCAGGGGTCGGCCGAGCAAGGCGCTTCGAAATTCGGCATACGCGCTTGGTGCGGGTGCTATTGATGTTGTAGCAGCATTGATGGTGGCAATGAACCTGCGGAGATATGGGTAATTCTCTCCCAAGACCTTGACCAGTCGCGCGAGCTGTTCGGCTGCAGCACCGCCGTCTTCCTTGCCGCCGCGCCTGGACGGATCGTCAGGTTTCTCGAATGGCAGCCACTCTGGCGACAAGAGTGCTCCAGTAGGACCAGCGCAACGAACCTCTCGATAGAAAGCACCCGAGGGGAGGAAGAACTGCACTCCAAAGTTTGCATAGTTGACCACAACCCAGCCCCAGATGGGCTGGTCCCAGTCGTGAGTAGCCCGCCAGAAAGGCGGCTTTGGGTCATCCTCGTGCAGAGGGGGCTCTGATGGAATTGTGAAAACCGCATTGAGACGTGCTGGCTGGTTGATCTGCGGCGGCACTTGGATATACTCGCACTTTGTCTCGTTCTCTTTCTTCACCTTGCCAACGACGTTGGGAGACTCTGGGTTCGAGCTTTTGGCCTGTGGCGCGTACCAGTCGCTGATGCAGGGATACAGCTTCGGAGTCAGCTCCTCAGTCGTAGGCTTAGGGTCGATTGCATGGATGGCCTGGCCAAACTTGTCAATGATGTTGAGTTTGGTGATGCGGAACTGGCCATGGGTTACGGGCTTGAAAACGGCTGGCCCATCCGTGTCGGGTTTACTTTTGCTGCGTCCATATGGCGTGAGATCTGTCTCGATGCCCATGTTTTCGAGGACCTGCTCAGACAATCCGGCTTCTTTGCGAGCCGCCTCGCTCATGAATTTCACTGCGCCAGTCACAGGGTTGCGAATCGACGGCTTGACATGATTCCCTTGCTCGACGGTGAGCATGTGGCTGTTAAACCCAGACAGAGGTGCAGACAAAAAGTCGAATTTCCTCAGGCTCTTGGCGAGTTCCTCGCGGTCTTCAAACGGTAGCAACTTTTCTAGCTTCTCCGCTGCCGTATCGGAAAAGAGTTGTAGGATTTTGGCCTCAAGCGAGAAGCTGGGTTGTGGGAGGACGAGAGCTTGGCCTGAAAACCGCCGGTTGTCGACTTCTTTCTTAGTCTTGTCGCCGTATTTGTCCTCCAATGTCATGTCTGGCTTGATAGCATAGTGCAACTTGGCGCCTTCGCTGTGCCACCATTTCGACTCGGCAAGCTCCCAATCGTCATGGTCGATGTGAGTGTATTCCACCTCCCATTCAAGAAACAAAGGGAACCAAGGTTGCGTATTATTCCAAGAGTCACGCCAAACAGGCTTCCCCTTATGATCCAGGCCTTGGCGGTCATGAAAAGTTGGCATCTGGGGACTTATTTTTTGTCTCTCCGGTTTCTTGGGATCATCATCCGATACTCCGCCCATAAATCCATGAGTCCTCAAGAAGCTTGGTGTCTTTGGTGTACCGTCATCCTCGTCTCTTCTCCTTGTTCGTAATACAACAAATTCACGAAGCAGGGCTTGGGCTGATGCTCTTAGAGGTTCAGGCATCTTCTTGGTAACAAAGTCTTTAAAGAGACTTGCCCAGCCATCCTCCTCCTCGCCAGGGACAGCAGATTTTGTTTCTTCGAGCAATTGACCGTCGAGTCTGATCAGGAGTGTGTGCAGGTAGTCCGGTTCCCAGCCAGATCGCACACCACCAACGAGCAATGTCGGGTCGCGCTGCTGATGAAAGGGCGGATGCACGCCTGGCTCAAATTCTGTTGCTTCATCCCCTTTCTTTCCGTCAGTCAAGACTGAGATTAGATCCTGCTTGCTGATACCCAGCAATTTCTCCAAGGCGTCAATGCTGTCCAAAATTGGCTTCAACGCATCTTTCACTTCTAATTGCTTCTTGGCCAGCGTCACAGCCTGCCACCACTCCGCAAAGACGGCCCAGCGCTGTCTCTTGAGCTTCCTGTCCGCTGCATCTCGGAAGCGGCACAAGTCGTTCAGCTTAATCAAGTCTACCCTCTTGTCTTCAGGAATAACCGGCTTCCCGCCACTTTCGCCTCCAGAAACATGATACTGTTGTCCACCATCCAGCCTTGTATAGTTCCAGTTATACATCATGTCTGCCCCCTGCGCGTGCGCTTCAACGCCATCATCCCTGCTCAAGAGCACTGTCTCGAGGCGTTTCAGTGCCGACTCAATCTTTTTGACATCATCATTGGGATTGCTCGTATCTGCCTCATGTGCGCCCGCGTACGCCATCAACGCGTCCATTGGCGTCGTTCCTATCGCCACAGGGAGCTTCTGACTCAACATCTCAGCATATTTATCCGCGAGGATAATCTCTGGTGCCCTGTGGAGATCCCAAGAAACATCATACACTGCGCCGTGGCAAAGACTCCGTGTGCCTTGTTCCCTTCGAGGAAGACATTCGTCAAGCCAATCGACGATTTCCTGGGGGATAATGTCGTCAAAGTCAAGCGTTCGGGGGTGAAAACCTTTGAAGTCCATATCCAGCCTCTTCAGGAGCTGCGCGCGAGTTTCAGACTTTTCTTTGAGCCAGACAATGTCCTTTTTTGGTTTGGAGTGCCATCCGAGGACAGAGTAGCTAACTGATGGAACACGGGAGGCGTACAATGGCTTGGTTTTGTTGTCTCCGATATCAACACGGTCATACTCAAAGTTATCGACGATCGAGAAAACATTGGAATTATGCAGCTGGTAATCTGGAAAGAGCTCATTGGACGAAGATAGGAGCTGTAGGTTGACGCGTGACTTGCTGGTATCTGTGGTTCCGTCTTCAGGCTGGGTTTCCTTCCACTCTGATGCTTTTCTTTTGTCACCTATGAAGATTTCGGCTTGTTTCTCCAAGACATCTGAATCTCCGTTTACCACAGAGTTGGATGCGCTGACGAAAGGTGACACGTCAACTTGAAGATCAACTGTGCCATCAAGAACATTCCAGGGTTTCTCGAGTGTACCGTCGTCGGGTTTTCGTTCTCCGTCGAGGGTTCGGCAGCGGTCACTTTCGACAACCCACGCAGAGACGCTTTTCAGCTTGTCCTTTGCTTCACTAGGTTTGACGGCGTCAAGATCATGTATGTGACGAACGACTAGCCATCGCGTAGGGACCTCGGGGAAGATGGGAAGCCCATTTCTGCCGTTTTCTGCATCACTCGTTGCAGCGCTACCACTCCGGTATATGCGAGGGAGCGTCCAGTGGAGATAGATGCCCTGTCGGTTTTCACGCCGGGAGCGAGACCCGAGATCTGTAATGCGCGAGTTGAAATCGGCCGGGCAGGCGTTGTGTAAGTCGGTATGGTACAGAATGTCTGACTGGAGATAGGACTTTTTCAGACGCAGAAACGAGTAATTGGGCTGTGAGATGGGTGCAATTTTGGCTTTTCGTGCTCTCAGTTCATCGTCATTATAGCCGCCATCACAGACTTTGTCATTGAGGACGAATGCATCAAGCTTGATGGGGATGAGCACGTTTTGATCCGCGTTGGGTAACATCTTGGCAAGTTTGTGAATGCTTGCTGCTGTTCCTTCAAGGAAAATATGAAGAATAACCACCACTCGGTTTCTTTTACTCGCCAAACTGAAGGCACGTCGTTCATGTGAAGATGTGGGTAGGCATAAGACAGCCTTGATAGGAGAATAATCTAGGGTCCAATTCCACAGTAGTAGATGGTCCAAGCTAGGAAATTGAATCCCTGTTCCAGGACCTCTACAGCTATCAATAGCGTGGTTCTTCCCGCTCAGCTGGGCATTTGTCTTAAAATCCAGCCGTTTCCATCGCACCCCCCTGCGGGTATTCGCACTATTGATTCGCTAGTACAAAGCAGTGGCGATGTAGTGATCCCATGCTACGAGTCCACACAGATCGGTACTTCTCTCTACCTTTTTCTTATTTGCCTGTGATGGAGGCATCTTGGCAAGCGGGTGGGTCAGTTAGAGGAGGGCGTGGGCTATCGAACTCTTTGGTGTGTCTTCACTGCCCTGTAAGACCCCTCCATGGCTGTTGAGCTTTTCACGAATGGCTTCCAGCTCTGCCTCCCAAGTGATATCTCGGTGCTATTGTTTCTTTCTTTTCTTACCACGGATGCGGTAGAGCCAAGATCAAATCTTCTGGAACCCGCGAAATGTCTCTCAAAGGGCAATATCGTCACTTGACTCTCCGTCATGAGCAACGCATTCTATGCGACGAAGTCCCCAAGCTTCAACCCGGAGAAGCCCAATTCCATTCCTTCTATCTCCCTTCCTTAACCGCGGGTCTGCACGATCTTACCATCTCGCAGACTGTCACGCCAGACAAAGATGATCCTAAACACGGCAAGGAGCCTCCGGCCCGAGCGATTGACGTCAAGCGGCAGTTTGACGTCCTTGCTCCGGAATGGTCCATCAGCAGTAGCGACGGCGATGGTGGTGGCAGTAGTGACGACCAGACGTCCACAGTCATGTCCGTCTTCCCAGCACCAGGACAAACGGCACAGTTCCGGACGCTGCCGCACATGGTGTTCCGTGACCCTCACCTCCCATGGGCACGGCGTGTATCTGAGCAGAGCCTCCCAGACAAAGAAAAGAACACGATTCCTTGGTTTGCTCTCATAGCTTTTACAGCAGAGGAACTCGAATTAACGAATAACGAAAGAGACACAATCTTCCCGCCAGGAGTGGGAGCAACGCCCAATGATAACCTTGGCTGGGACATCAGGGCCGGTGAAATCGAGAGCATAAAAAGCAATGACAAGCTACTAAACACGATCCGGAAACCCGCAGATCGTGATAAGCAGATCAAAACCAGTGTTGTGGCTGTTCCTGGACCGCTGTTCAAGAAACTCTTCACCAATTCCGAGGACCCAAATCCAACGCAGTGCGACGTTGCCAAGTTCCGATTTCTATCCCATGTCCGCACAGTCGCTACCGAAGGCACGATGTCGGCCATCGAGGGGGAGTCGGGGACATTCAGTATTGTCATCTCGCATCGGATTGGCCCTGTCGATGTAGACTCGGCCACGCCGGTCATGGTGCACTTGGTTTCTCTCCAGGACATTGACGGACTGAAGTTGTCAGAAGTCAAAGACAAAGTTCTCATGACTAGCTTGTACAGCTGGACTTACACGGCTCTGCCACCTGGTTCCTTTGATGTGCGGAGTGCGCTTCAAAATGTCGGCACTGGTGGAAAGGGGCTTAAGGTCTTGCGAACCGACAACACCAGCACGCCCACGGCTGACAAGTCAGGGCCAGAGGCAGGCAAGGAAAACATTAGACTATCCATGGAAGAGCTGGTAACGAAACGACAAAACGATGGATACACCCTCGTCCGACACCGCACCGTCACGGGCGAGCAAACAGCGGCCATGTATCGGGGGCCACTCTCTCCCACGAGAGTTGCTCATCCATTGAACGCCAATGTTTCTTTCCAATCGAACTTCGGTACAGACCTCCAGATTCTCGATCCCAACCTTGGACTCATGGACATTTCGTATGCGACTGCCTGGCAGCTTGGCAAAACGCTGGCCATGAGTGACCAGTCCTTTACGGCCTCATTGGCTCGTCTTCGAACCGTGATCCACCGAGACGCGCTCGCCAGGGCCAAGGAAGACATTTACAAGCGGCTAGGAAGTGCAGATTCACAGACCATCGACACGGTGGCATATCACAGCCGTTCCCGCGTCGTGTCCGACATTGGCTCGACAGTTGCTTCCCTCAACGATATCAACACTGCTTTGCATGCCTCGGAAATGCCAACCGTAGACACGAACCGGTGGAAGCGGCGCGAACCAGTTTCCGAAGTCAACCTATCCCTCCGTTCAAACCACATCTTCAATCAGATTTATTCCCAGGCCCTGTATGTTTCAACCGGCTTGTCGACTTCGGCTGATGGTGGGCTGTACTGCTATCACACCGTCCCTACAAATACCGACTACGCAGTAGTGCAAGAGTGGGTGCTTGACAAGCTTCACCTCGCCGGCATCCCCGCTCACCACTTCATCCCGGACCCGTCATATCTCCCGCCGGAGACGATTCGATTCTTTCACGTCGATGCCAATTGGACGGACGCCATGGTTGACGGGGCATTGAGCCTTGCCAACCACGTCACAGACGATCCTGCAGAAGACTTTTGCCGCAGCGCACTGAAAGCTCGGCTCAACGAGTACCTCGCGACTCCTCTCAAGGGTATCGGATACTGCCAGCAGATGCCTACATACGGCTTCTTGATGAAGAGCCAGCTGCTAGTCCAGTTCCCTGATATTGCAGTTAGTGCCGAGTTTGAGGAGCAGTTCCACACGCGGGAGGACTGGGATAAAGCCAAACCTGCCGCTCCGATTCTGGTACAGCGAAAGTTAGCTTCAGATGCCATGCTGGTGCTGTTTGATCGTGAGCCGCCTGGGTTGGTGAGTCTGAAATTCACTCTGCCGGCGCACCAACAGACGTTTGTGGTAGCAGCAGGCCTGCATAAAGAAGACAGGGCACAGGGTCGCATGCAGGATGAGATTGAAATTGAACATCAAAAGATATTTGCGTCTGAAAATCCAGAGACAGATCCTATCAAGCGGGGTGGATGGCTGGGTGGTGGCTCAAAGACTTATCCGATGGGAGAAATCTTTGACTGGCAGTCGAGGACGATCCGCGTCGTCGAGTATGCGAAGAAGATACACGAAGTTCTCAGCAAGGAAATGTTTCGAGACCCGAAGGAGGATGGAAAGCATGGACCCTTAGACCAGTATACCGAACCGAAACCGACGGCAGCTGTGTTTGCTCTCCAGCTCAACGAGCCCATCTACACACTCGTCATTGAGCCCGCACCAAGGGATTCCAACACAGTGGCAGGGGCAAAGACAAGGAAAGACAACCTGTCCATTTCAGCAGACTGGGAGCACCTTTCGTTGCCTCTTCTCAGACCTGAGCAACGCACTTCATCCTTTCGCTTCCACCCGCCCCCTTTTCCAGCACACAAATACACTCCCTCGGCGCTGCCTTCACCACCACCCAAGCCTTTATACCAGCCGACCAATCTACTTCAGTACGTTCCAACGGAATCCATTACTCTCCCTCCAGCACCGCCGATGCCGGCCAACCCCGATGTGGTTGTCGCGAATCCCAGCTTCGACCTAAAGGTCTCGCCCATCGAATACGACAGCTTCGTCCCTACAAACCGCACCGTCCCATTCGACCTCATTTTCTCCATCCTCGTTCCTCCTGCGTCCCAGTCCACGTTCACTTACCGTCTTACCAAGCTCACCGTACGCCTCACCCTCGGGGACCTCAAAGATGCGGGCCTTCCCAGCCCCGACGACGACAAGTCCTACCGCCCCTTGATCGTGCGGAAGCCCAAAAACTCTGAGCCCCCGGCCCCGACCATGCTATCCAACTTGCGCTTCAATGTCCTGCGGAGCTATGACGGGGACGTGATGATCCTGGAGGTGGTCTCTCGAACGTTGTGGGGTGTGGACATGTATACGCTCAAGGAGGCGAGTTTCGTGTTGCCGATGGTGGAGGTGATACCCTGGGAAGTGCCGTTCGGGAAGGATAAAGATGGCGCGGAGAGGTATTGGCGGACGTGGGTACAGATGAAGAGTGAGTTCTTAATGGGCAATGATCCGTTGGAGTGGGAACATGGCAGAGAGGTTTTGTTGAAGCGGGAGGTCAAAGCGACTCCTTGAGGGGGTTCCTCTGGTGTAGGCAATGTCAATGTAGTTTGCGAGTGAGCTTTTCGAACCCTCTTTTCACTGTTTTCAAATTGTTGACGTTGTGTTCATATCAATGAATGGCTGATGAATCTTGAACGTATGTCTTTTTGGCTGGCTCGCATGGAAATATTCGTTGTACAGCCGTGATAAATAACGTAGAATGAAAGTGAACATAGAAAAAGTTCCGATATGTAACATAGAGCTCGCCTGTTCTTTGACAATCCTCTGCCGAAAGGTCATCGGTGTCCAAGTGTAAGATTGTCCAGCCACAATCGCAGTGTTTCCAGTGTAAAATTGTCGTCGTTTTCACGGTTTGGTCAGTTGATTCAAGCCAACGAGCAATTGGCAAGAGTTGAGATATGATAGGTGAAAACGCCTCAGTCACCAACCAATTCGCCAGTGACACTTGGAAACAGGCTCGTGTAATTATTTTATACATTATTCAATCATGTCGTTAATGCGCCCCCAATATGTCATCACCTGTCTCTGCGCCTGTAGTCTCCATCTCTATCCCTCCTGTCGTGACGGTAGCCATCCCTTGACCTAAACTGTCTATCACGGTCATCGTCCCTGTTTCCTCGACGAGGGCTCCTACTTCGATTTCGGTTCTGGCGCCCATTGTCGCGATCTAAAGGTCGCTTATCAGGGCGGTCATCGTTTCTACGGTCATATCGACCATCATTCCTTCGGTCAGACCTGTCGTCATTCCTTCGGTCGGGTCCGTCATCGTTTCTCCGGCCGTTGGGGCCTCGATCATGTCTCCCCTTCATCTCCTCTTTGCTGTAGACCATGTTGTAATTCTTCCCAGAGCTCCTCTCGTCCTCTTCTCGGTACTGCCGTCGCTTTTCGAGCTCTTGCACGCCGCCCCATCCACCTCGCACCCTTGCCCTGCGTTTGTTATTCGTGTCTTGCCTCCACACGTCGCTGAGCTTGCTGACACTCTGTGAAAAGTCGACATGGATTCGCCGGTCGTCGATGAGGACATCTTGCATTTTGGTATATGCCACTTCGCACGATGCCTTGTCTTCGTATTCGATAAAGGCGTACTGTAAGCTGTCGCCCGTCTTTTGGTCTCGAATCACCTCGCAGCTCAGAATCTTGCCAAATCGGCCAAAGATGAGCTCCAGGTCTTCGTCTTGCGTGACAGGGTTCAGTTTGCAGACGAACAAGACGTTTTCCGGTGGCTTCACCTCGGCAAAGGGGAGGTCGCCCATAAGCTCGAGTGTCAAAGCCTGTGCCCTAGCATCTCTCTCCCGCCTTCTCTTTTCCAGCTCTTCCTCGTCTACATCATCGTTCTCGTGAAGTTCTTCTTCGTTGGCGATTCGTACCGTCCGTAGTTGTTCGTCTGAAGGTGGAGGGCTAGAGCTGGGTTCTCTCAGGCCCGGAGGATCAGGGTAAGGATCATCTAGGATGACTGTGTGTTTGATTCGGATATCGACAAACGGGTATCCCTTGTCGTCGACCATGGCCTCGTTAATCTTTTCTAAAGAATCAAAGCCCTCCACAACCTTGCCAAAAATGGCAGCCTTGCTGTCGAGGAAATCCGTCTCTTCGCCCAGAGTGATGATGAACTGTGATGCCGCCACCCGCGTGTCTGGGTCTGAGGCCAGCGGAACCGTCGCCATGCTGACAGTGCCTCGTTCTAGATGCTTCAGTTTGGGGTGAAAGGGGGCTGTGAATGTGCGCTTTGACGGATCGCCGGACAGGTGCCCCCATATTGAGCAGCCTCCATCGGATTGTTTGGCGAGAGGCCCGAGAGGATCGCCGGTCTGGAAGGAGAAGTTCTTTTGGACGGAGTGGATGGGAGAGAAGTTGTAGTATTTGACTTTGCAGAGCTTCAAGAAGCTGTACGGATGGTTAGCAGTCGCTTAATTAGAAGACAAGACAAGAGAAGACAAGAGAATAGAGCTTACTTTTCGCACAGCTTGGGAGAGTGATCGATGAGCAGATCAATGACGATGTCACCGACGGTGGTTTCTAGCAAGACTGACATGGCGGTGAATTGAGTCTCGAGATTCAGAATCCAAACAACGGGATGCGGATTTGATCTGCTTTGCTTTGCAGCCGCGTTTTGTCTGACGCGCGAGGCTGCGATTTGATAGATGGATGAATGACAATTTTAGTGGAGAAGCTATTGCAAGGATGATGGCCTGTGACTGATTACATAATGCAGGTGATGCTCTAAGAAATCGTGATGCCATAAAACACCACAGCAAGAGAGTATGAAGCTCGATAAAGAAACCTGATGATTAATATAATTAATGGTTTCCGATCAATTGCACAAAAATTTGAGTTTATGTGCCTAGTAACCTCGTTCTGATGCATCTGAATTGTGCATAATTACACGGTACGGCTTAGTCTTCTGCGGCCATACCCAGAATCACATGCATGCATCATGACAGAAATGAAATACAGTCCAGGCTCAACGAGCAGCTCTACCCCGTCCACCCCAACAATATGCTCATAAGCTTCATCTCAACTACCCTCCTCTGTACTCCGTCTTTTACCCACAATCATCCAACCTCAAGCATCTCAGTCAACCTGACACCGCAACGGCCGCTCGCCTATCCCCGAGCTTGTCGCCAATTTGCAGGGCTGCCGTTTCAGTCGCAGTCAATGCACGTATCCAATCCCGTCGCAGGTGGCAATTTTGCGTTGTACAGGTTTTGCAATTGCAATCCTACGGAGGATTTTACTTACTCACACATGCATACAGAATTCGATGCATCACATTCTTTTACGAGGCGAGTGGCGTGGTGTAGTTGTAGTGGTGTCGAGATATATTCCGTGATACTTATTGGACTTGTACTGGCACTAATGCAGATGGTAGTCTAGATGCACCTTGAAAAAACTTGAAACTTGAACTCAACAATATTGATGAATTGTGACTTGTCTTAACAACCTAGACTTGATTGCTTGCTCGCTAGTGAGCTACGATAAAATACAACAGACAAAACAAAAGACAAAATCCCAAACTGTGAAAAACAAAACCCTCAGATGCTATGTGGAATACATGTATATAAATATATCAACAGCAGGCTCGCTTCCCATTTTTAGTGATGCCCCCCGTAAAACCGCCGATCCACAGCAGACAAAGTGAAAAGATACCTAGACAATAAACACTATAAGATAGCAAGAGAAATAAAACAAAATAAAACAAGCAAGATTGCACCAGACAAGGTCAGGTAGGTAGTATGTATGTACATCAAAAACAAGAAATGGCTTTCATGTACAGTTTTGAGATGAAAAAATAAATAATTGCGCGCGCGCAATGCGATGCCAGAAAAAACGGAACAGCCGCGATGAAATAATAGTTTTGTTTTGCATCATGCAACAAAAACAGGGCAGTCAGCCGCATCATGCCCGAATCGGGTAGGTGGGTGAGCGGAATACATGAAAAAAGAAATTGACGGCAGAAGATAAGAATGGAAGCAAAATGAATGTCCCCAATTTTGCGCACTTTTTTGTATTCCCCTGATCAGTCATGGAAATAGAAAAAAAAAGAATAAAAAAAGTCCCATATCGTATGAATGGTGTCAGCTCTCCACTTGAGCCTGTGGTATCTTTTGTTTTTCCCCCAATACAAAAAAAAAAAGATGGATAAAGAATTGGGTGTGCCGTGTCAAAACGGTTCCATTGGTATAAAAGGCTAGTTTGCTAGCCCATTGGTGGGATTAGAATTAAGAATATTGCAGAGAGGAAAGGAGTGACTTTGTGATGTTGATGATGAAGATGGCGGATCGTCGGCGGGTCTCAGTGGAGTTTTGTGTTTTGGCGTGATCAGCCTCTCCACAAATGGCTGCGTAATGATATTCGCCTTGCCATGTTATCGACGATTTCAATTCTGTGACTCGTTGACTCTTTCAATCCCGGCTTGGGGAGCTTCTCCTCCGCCGCCCCGACCGAAGTTCCTTCTCCGTCTCCATCAGCCGGGCCTGAGCCCACATGCGCGTCGTCATGTCGTTGCGGACGGCATCGCAGTTGAGCAGCTCCGTCAAGGCCCGCTTGATACTCTCGTTGACGTCAAACAGCCGCTGCTCCTCGGCGGAAATCTGGAAGATGGTCTCTTCGTCGAGGATGGTGTCGAGCTGGTCCTCCCAGCCGTTGTTGCTCTGGCGCGGCTGTCTGGAACCGCGGCGTGAGGGGCCTCCGGATCGCGAGTGGCGCCGTGATGAGGTGAGGATGGAGGAGCGGACGGGCGACGTGCTGGGCGACGAGATGGTGGACAGGGTGCCGGTCGAGGCGGTTCGCGGGCGGATCTGCTCGAGGTTGTTGCAGAGCTGCTCGTGCTGCTGCTGCAGACGCAGATACTTTTGCAAAGTAAATGCGTAGTTGTGGTGATAGCTCTCAAAGTCCATATCCATGGTGAACATTGAATGTGGGTGAATGTACTTGTTGTACTTAAAAAGGTAATGTTGTAGGTGGTCGGTTTGGGCGGGTTTGTTGCTTCGCTTTCAACGTGGTTCTCTCTTCAGCGGCTGCAGCGATATGATCGAGGTATTGCTCTTGTTCCCAGCTGTGACGAAACCATCGGACACACGAAAGAATAAAAATAAATCGGTTTCCACTCCGCGCAGCAGGTGATGAAGAAAGGAACAATGGGCGAAAGTAAGAGATGGTATCGAGATCACAAGGGTTCGACCGTTGGCGATGATAGGAATAGAAACTCGATGGAGTTCTCGCTTCGTAATAATAGAAGTGATGGGAAAGTGGTTGATGTGCAGAACGTTGGAACCTTGCCTTCCGGGTCTGGCCAGGGGGGGTCGAGGACGGATATTAAAGGTGCAACGAAGCAAGACCTTCTGTTGATTCTAGGGCAAGGGAAATAGATTGCCTCTTTTGCGCAAGCGTAAAGTTCCGCCGCCGGTAGATGATGTGTGTGTGTGTAGTTTCTTTTTGTGGAATATATCAAGCCCGGACCAACAGGAACCACAAAAGGTCGATGGCAAGGGGGGGTTTTGCTTTATACAAATAGGACGAGGGTGATGGAAGACTGACGTCGAGAAGGTAAGGTCAGGTCAAAAAGCACAGGGGTTGGCGTGATGATTGTAGTGTTGCAGCATCCGATGCAAGTGGCGGCGGCTCCCAGGAGAAGGTGGACCGACGGTAGTGGGAATTATGGGCAATCCAAGTGGGAACAGGCCGTTTACTTTTGTCGCAGCACTAACAAAGGCCACTCGCACGATGCCCCGGCTAATGAGGGTGTGGAGAAAGAAATAAGGCACGGAGTATCGATAAAATGAAGCGGGAATAGTGTAGCATGGGATGGATGGGAGGGCTGATGAGCTAGTAATATACTCACTTTCGTACTTGGGGACCTGAGAGAGGGGAGGCAACAAACGGTCAATGGCAATACGTCTGTCTACGTGTACAGGACTCCGTATGTTTTTCTTTTTTCTGATAAGTTACCGCAGGCTTGCATACATCGAATCAATAATCCGGTCCAGCTGGCGGTCCCACGACGCAGAGCAAAAGCTTACTTTGCCTGGTTCCAAGACGACGTCGCAATCGCTCGGCAGCATGAGCATGGGTACGACTTACAAGGGCAAGCAACCGCCAGCCAATGACAACAGCGGCCAGAGCTTCGTGAAGGCGAAGCTGAGGAAGGGGGTTGCTTCGGATGCTTTCTGGTCTAGATCCTTCCTGGGCTGGTCCGGCCTCTAGCTTGCTGCGCCGGGGCCTGAACAATCTACTCTGCCGTAGCATTTGGGCGCCAAAGGGGGCGAAGGGAGGGGAAACGATGATATGCAATATGCAAGGCCTGGTTCCTCTTCAGACGGTGTAGTAGCTTGGCTTTGAAGCCTTTCTGTTCCGGTACTGTACAAGAGTTGCTAGACCAGCTTTAAGGTTCATGGGAGGCAAACCACAGCCTACACGTACACGGCGCCGTTTCCATCCAATGGCAGCCCGGCGGGTGGCGAAGAGCAGCTTCTGCTCCAGTTCTTTGCTGGCAAAACCTGGATACGAAGAGGGGGACCCTACGCCTTACCTTGCCTTGGCTGCGGGCGAGTTGGACGATGGCGCTGCTGCACGTTGCTATGCTTGCTATGCTTGTTCTTTTGCTCTCGGGGCTGGTGGGCCTGTTTTCGAACGAGCAGGGGTCTCCGTTTTTTTGATTAATTTCTGGGTATCTTGCTATCACGCTTGCTTTTTGTTGCGTGCTTTTCACTGCTGCTTCTGCGGTTGAGTAACCAAAGGGGGGAGGGCAGTTAATATCAAACCCGTGCAGCTGTCACCGCATCATCCAAGGCGGCTCGGGGGTCTCGTCTTTTGAATCAAGCTCGACACGCCTGTGGTCACGAGGCCGCGTCCTTTTTGAATCCCAATATTTAGTGGTATACATACACATATGCATATGCCATGCAACAATGCAATGGCCGCTGGAGACGGCGCGTGGAGTGGCTGTTTTGGCGGTACTCGGCCGCGCCCTTTAACTGGCACAGTCGGCGTTGCTTGAGCGACACGGAGTTGCGCCATGGACTGGCCTTGACCTGCGTGTGTGAGTGTGAGCAAAAAGCAACAGCTGAATCAATTGGGCTTCGACTGAATGCTGTAATTTGCGCCAAAGATAACGAAGCGCCGTGAGCCGCTATCTTCTACCACTTTGACCACCCCCCCTTGTGAGCTTGAGAGAAGCACGCCAATGAAGCCCAAGATAACGGCAGCCGGTGGCAGTAGAATTGACTGGCTGTCAATGGCCCGCGGTTATCTGGCGCATCTCCCAACAGTCATACCCCGTATCTTTTGATCTGTACCTACGATGCGGTACAGGTACAGGTTCGGAGTAATACAGCTCATGGCGGGAAAAGATAAGCCTCAGCTACTGCTCCGTGTTATTGGGCATCTCCGGATGTACTCGCAGCTGTCCTAGACATTGATCGGCCACTCAGTGTTACAGAGACCTTCTATTTTTGCCTCGTGATCCGCACTGATCGACGGTACTCGTACATGTCATTCGGAGGAGAAGAAAAAAAATTGCAGCTATCAAAAGCCACCCCTGACCATCATTTCCACAATACAGAGCCGATCACTGGGTAACAGCCCAAACAAGTGGCAAGATTTGCAAAGAGAAAAAGAACGAAAAAAGCTTGAAAGCCTAATAGACGGAGTACGCAGAAGTAGGTTGCAGTTAATTTATTTTCAACGCCTAGAACACGAATCCAGGTGTAAAAACATTAGGCAGCGAGCAGAGTAGCATCCAATGTGCATGTAATCCAGCAACTCCGGCGATGGCTCTGGCTTCCATGTTCACAGTGTCGCATGCAGATATGCTGGTAGCGACAAAATCCTACCTTGGCCTCAGCCCACCTCAAGCTCAAAAGAATGCCCAAGGCTGTGTCTGTGCCGTCTTTGTACGTAAATTGGGATATTGTATGTACGAGTAACAACTTCCTACCTACGCGAGGTGCATTCACCTCACGGGACCATCGGCTAGTGATCCGCACAAGAATGAGAAAACCGCTCTTCTCTTCTCACGACTCCGGTGTTGCAATGCATCGTCCCCGATCAATTGGCCACACCGGCGGACAAGGGGGCTGTTCAAAGATCCCGAGAGCAACAAAAGCCCTGCCGTCAAAGGCTCATCATCTCACTCGTGCATGTAACGAGTAAGAACACATACTCCGTACATGTAATGTTCAAAAGTGCGGTGTCCAGCCCCCAAGCTTTGCTAGTGGTCACGTTCATCAGAGACTCTGTGACGCCTCTGCCGATCAGCGATCATCTCTTGCCAACGTGGGCTCGCTAAAGCCTCAGATTGTTCACCAACAAAAAGCAAAACGCAACGTCGACCGCCTCTTTTTTCTAGTACTTTTTTTCTCATCCCTGCGTTGCGGAGACTCAGTCACATTTCACAGCAACCGAAAGACAAGACAGACAGAAATAGAGAAAAAAAAACGATCAAATTGCTCATGAGGTGGAGCTTGGAAACCTGCAGGATGCTGCAACTTTACGGAGCACCTTTGCATGTACTCCGTGCCAACTCTGTGCTCCGTCCGGTGAACTAGCTTTTTTGTCTTATTCCTTGACCAGCCCTTCTACCAAACATCGTCGACTTCCGAACCGGGGTATTATGGAGGCTGCAACTTCTGCACGGTGACCAATCTTTTCCTCTCCAGCCAGCCGGCCGGCGTGTTACTTCCTCTCCCCGCTCATGCAAACTACAAAGTTCTACCGGCTGAAAGTGTTGCAACCTGCAAAGAGACCCAAGCCAAAGGATGACAAAGAGTATACTTCATAGGCCGCCCGGCGTCGGCAGCCGGCCCCAAGGTTTCGGTTTGATCCCATTTGCCCGTCATCCTCGGTGGCTTTTTCTCTCCCCCGCAGCTGCAACCTCCCTCTCACCCGCTTCAAAGCCGTGTAAATGTGCACTACTCGTACATGCAGGCATGTAGGTTTCAATGCCTCGAGTGATAAACCATGCCACAGTCGTAAGACTGCGTGCCGCTTACATTACCTTGTGTCTCCGGCTCCTACCGTACAAACGCTCACACTGTAGCCGGGATGAATCAATAGCCCTCCCCGGCTGTGTCTGACTTCCCCAGACTTTGGTGTCTTGTCCATGACCTCACCTTGCGGGAGACAAGCTGCATGTTGGAGGGAGGAAAACTCCGGCCGGGCCAAGGTCTGTCCAGAGTCCAGACCAAAGCATGGGGAGATGGTCACGCTGTTTTAAGTGACGTCAACAATCGGGGAGCATCGTATCGAGCATCCGTGCTGCAATTGAGTGTGTACGTGTATGCACGAAGGGTAAAACACAGGCAATGCAGGCATCCGGACAGCTACGGCTGGAGCAATATTGAAATGCCTCAATTTGTGGTCGGAAGTGCCTGGCGAGAAATCATATTGGCAAAGCCACAAAAAACTTCTAAAACAAAACAAGCCATTGACCTTTGTGGCTTGACCCCCAAAGCGCCATCAAGGTGATCCTGTCCCTGGTGCCATACTGTATGTGTAGCCTGGCGCCATCGCCATGCAGCTCGCTTGGGCTTACCCTAAAGCTTAACGCTCGAGGACGCCGCATTATTTCACCCCTGGCATCAGCGGGTAAGCTAGAGTTCCCAGAAGCTTTCCGTCGATGAATATCATTACCAGCCTCTTTGTAATGGATTGAGTTGTGAGGTGATACAGTTTGAAGCGTATCCCGTATGCATCGCATACTCACAAACGTTCCGCCTTTGTCTTACAAGGACATATTCTGTATATTGGAACAAACGCCAAGTAATCCCAAGGTGAAATGTGTTGGAATTCAGATGATTGAATTAAGACTTTGTCATAATTTAGATACTCTACAGATTCTAATAGCAACCTGATCATTATAAAATGGCCCTTCTTGTTGGTCACGCGACGGAATCTCAAATGAGACATCTTCCACCTTCAGCCCCTCGTCGCGGCACTTGTCCAAAAACACTTGAAACGTTTCCAGATTACGCTGAGTCGCTGCAATGATGACCTCAACATGAGGATACAGGCCAAAGAGTTCCAAAAGCGTGCTGACAAGGGCTGGGATTATACTTGGGTCATATGTGATGTCCGCCCCGAGCACAACATCCAACGGACGGCCGCCGTTCCACCGCTCTTCTTCGGTTCCTACAAGTGCATACCCCCACTTGAGATCCATGGGACGTATTGCATCTGAACCCTCAAGCTGATTCAGAAAGAGGTTTTCAGGGAGGTTGTTGATGACGTCGTCTGATCCATCTGATGCTATGACATGGGTTGACCCCAAGTACTTGATGCACATAATGGCGAGATAGCCAGTCCCGGTCCCAAGCTCCAGCACTCTCTTTCCCGAGACAATGCTGGGATCATGACAGAGAAGCTGTCCCAGGTGAAGCGCTGCCTCCCATGTCCTCAGACCCGTAGTACCACCGGCGGCGACGAGAGAGCGGTTCTCAAACAGGTTGATGCGAGCCTCGTGATCTGGCAACGATGCGAGATGATAGACAACGCGGCACTTTTGCTGCACAGCATCATCCTCGTTGGGGGCTGGTGTGGAGAATAAGACAGAGAGGGAGGACATGAGGCCATCGGACACTCCCTGCTCTCGGTCAGAAAAGGCCGTCTTGACAGCTGCAAGGGTCACACAACTTACATGTTCATCCCAGTCGTCTATGCTGGCCTCAATGCGGGAGACTAGCTCCTTGAGCACTCTCACCTGGTACCTCAGTGGAGGAGGGCCTCCGGGAAGAGAATCGTCTGCAAAGAGTCTCTGATAGATGACATCTTGAACTTCAGGGAGCCTGATGTTTTGAGGTTCGGGGTAGTCCAAGTTTTGTTCCAATTGGAGATATTGGTGGCAGAAGTGGTCGACTTGCTTCCGCACTGAGGCGTCCATGACCATGACTATATCAATATGCACATATACATATATGCATGAGTATACGGGGGGACAGCATATGATTAATTCGAGAAGAAGATGTATTTCTCAATGCCCTGCTTGTTCATCACATTTTTGCTGGATTTGCTGCTCTGCAGTTGCTCCATGACGATCTGCCCGCAGCCAGCGCTACAGCACGTAAAATGGTGGAGAGAGCAAATCCCAAGCAATTCATTGGATAGGATGAGCGGGGACCATCCGTCGACAAAAATAGCAGTTTTCAGCCTACTAAACAACCGAATATTACCCCGCACGTGACGGCGCACATGCACATGCACTCCCACTTTGCTGTGAAAATTGTTGGTTTGTGCTTGCTGACATAACACACGCCCGCGCACAAACCCCTGCATTTCTCTTAGGGTTTGGGACCCAGGCTAAGCGACACGACTTGCTGCTTCGGAATTTTCGCTGCCCCGGTTTTTACTTTTGCGGCGAGCCCTTTCTCCCACGACCGCAACCACGACGCCAAACCGCCGAGTCTCTCCTTCGTTACTCTCTCAGAGACAAGCAGCACAACACCGCAACCATGGCGGATAACGACGCTCCCGTTACCCTGCGAACTCGCAAGTTCATCCGCAACCCCCTGCTTGGCCGCAAGCAGATGGTGGTGTGAGTTGGAATCCCTCCTTCCCGTGTCCGTGTCGCCAGATTCGATATTCGCCCTCGTCAGATCTCAGTTCCCTATCCATGAGCAAACATCCATCGAAACACCGGCCTTTTCTTTCAGTACGGAGGGAGAGGAGAGAAGAAATTGCTCTCCTGCTGTCTGTGGATTTTCTCATCATTGCTACGCACACAAAACACTCGCCTGCAGAATTGGCATGACGTTTTCGATTGGATTTGGATAGTGGATTCACGACGAGGCGATGGGAAGAATCAAAGACCGACCGACACCACGAAACCCAATCACATGGGTTCAAAAAACAAGATTCATGGGCTGACCTCTTTCTCTTCAATGCATATAGTGACATCCTCCACCCCGGCCGTGCCAACATCTCCAAGACCGAGCTCAGCGAGAAGCTCGCCAGCCTGTACAAGGCCCAGAAGGAGCAGGTCCAGGTCTTTGGCCTGCGCACCCAGTTCGGTGGCGGCAAGACCACCGGCTTCGCCCTCATCTACGACTCCCCCGAGGCTCTGAAGAAGTTCGAGCCCAAGTACCGCCTGATCCGGGTCGGACTCGCTACCAAGCCCGAGCGTGCCAGCAGACAGCAGCGTACGTTGAAACCATATCATTGGCGCCGAATCATCCTATTCAGGGTGTATGTGTATATGTGTGATCTTTTTTGACTGACTTGAAATTGTGGGAATACAGGCAAGCAGCGCAAGAACCGACAGAAGACCCTGCGCGGAACCGCAAAGGTCAAGGGTGCCAAGGCGAAGAAGGAGAAATAAACGCAACGCTCTCGATATTGTTGCTTGCTGGTGCTGGTGGGAGGTGCGGCGTGGCGCTGTGGTACTGGTACTGGGTTGGGCATTTTATTTTGCGCACCTGCGATGTGCTGCGGACTTTTTTCTCTCGGCATGTAAAAAAAGACAAAATTTTGTCCTTGTCGATGAACCTCTAGAAACGGCTGGGAAGGGGAGTGATGGCTCGGCCCCTCCCCAGGGTTGTGTGCCTTCGATACACTAGCATGAAATCAACGGTGTTTTCGGGTTTCGGTCCAAATATGCGTCTCTCTTTGTTTTGGTGGTTTTTGGAACACATTGTTCATGCATTTTTCACGTGCTGGATGAAGTGTCCTTTTTTTATGTCATGATGGTCCGACTCCCAAGAAAATTCGGTGATGATCAGTGGGCAATTCAATGAAGAAAGAAAAAAAATCCCTGTTATTGAATGATGTTCTGGATTGTGGTCGTAGCACTTGTCTTTCCCATTATGCCATGCCTCCCTACTCCTTGATACTACACCCTTCGTCTTATACTGCCAGATATCTACCTATCCTTCGTATTGCAAGAAACGACAACATCACGGGGAATAACATCGATACAGGCTAACCACAAAACATGAGTCAATCCCATTCCAAGTCACAAAACGCTACAAACTAAGAATCAATCTACCAAATTACAAGACGCCAGAGAATTCATCCAAGATCTACGAATATGCCAATTGTCACTTTCAGTTACCAGTGGACCCATGGAAGCGAAGAGACCTAAATGACCAAGTCACAAACACAAACGAAACGGCAGCCAGGCCAGCAAAGATGAAGTAGACCCAGCCAGCGCCACCAAGCCATGTGTTGAGGGCCTTGTTGATGATGGGAAAGAATTGGGCCACCAGGAACGTCGCCACATAGTTGGCTCCCAAGCACCAACTCTGCGTTGCGCCGACAGCTTCCTGGCCCACAAGCTCCGAGGCCAGGATAAAGGGCACAGGTCCCAAGCCCACGGCGAAGAAGCCGACAAAGAAGAGTACGGCAAAGGCAGACACAATCTTGAAGCCAAAGACGATGGACAGGGCTAGAACGAGAGCGCTGCTGCCCTGGCCTACGACGGACATGATCAGACAGGTCTTGCGTCCCAGTCGGTCCGGCAAGGGTGAACATGCGATAGTCGTGACAAGGTTGACTAACGAGACCAAGATGCTGAGAAGAGCAGACGAGATGGGTAGAAGATCGGCGAGAAGCGAGACGGAGTACATGATGACGGAGTTGATACCGCAGAACTGCTGCACAAACATGATGCCGACGAGGGCAACGATGACGGGCCGAGTGCTGGGATCCTTGGCGACTTGCAGGAAGCCGAGGTGAACAGGCTCGTTCTTGGCCAATGTAGCATTGGGAGGAGGGATCTCGTCGGCGTTTTGAGCGAGAAGGCCCTCCTCCTCTCCGGCGCCTGATCCATCCCGACCCCAGTCCTCGCTCTCTTCCCTGATATCAACCGCCTGACCGCGGATCCTCTGCAGAGTCTTCTTTGCACCGGCCACATCGTCGTGCGCGGCGAGCCAGGCTGGGCTTTCGGGGACGATCAGCAGCCCAATGCCCTGTGCGGCGGCGATCAAGGCTCCAATGCCCAGGTTCCACCTCCAGGCGCTTCCATAGCTCAAGAAGAAGCCCAGCGTCTGCGTAATGAGGATACCGATATTGATGGAGATCTGGGTCATGAAACCGAAGAAGCCTCTTCGATCAGGAGGGCAAACCTCGCTAATGTACAAAGGAACAATGACGGTCGAGGCTCCAGCCCCGATGCCAGACAGGAAGCGGCCAGTCGCCATAACGAAGACGCTGCTGGCGGTGGTCTCGACGACGGAGCCGACGATGAAGAGAAGAGCCGTCACACGCATGGCGAGGAGGCGGCCGCGGCGGGAGGAGAATGGCCCGGCAGCGAGAGCGCCGATGAGGCCTCCGACGGTGAAGATTGAGGAGACGGTGGCAAAGGCCGCCTCGTCCATGGGGATGCAGTCGTTGGCGGCATCGGCATCGTGGACGGAGGTGACGAAGCGGGCGAGACGGGCGAGGGCTGAGACGGACTTTCGGTGGCAGGTTATGACATCTTGGGGGGCGTTGAGCTCGGCCTATGGGGAGATATGTATTAGCAAGTGGAATTTTGAACGTTTATAAACGGATAGATGCTCATAAGCAAGTCTGTAGCTTGAAATGAAGCTTGATTGAAGCTCGAGGGAGTGACAAGCAAAGCGGTGAACGGAGAGGTTATAGTTGCGAAACGACGCACCAAGTGGAAGCCAAACTGGAGAGACCCGAGAGTCGAGATTGCGATGAGGATGATGAGATACGCGGTGACTCCTTGGCCCGCCATCGTCGCGGATGGTTGGGAGCTGGAGCTGGTTTGATGATGGAAAGTTGAAGCTGTAGCGACTCGAGTCCGACGATCAGCTGCCCTAATGCTGCTAGGCGCTGTCGTTTTAGTGGTGGGGGGGAGAAAGGTCCCGGGAGGTGCCGCTGTTGGCTGGGTAGTTCCAGGGGGGTTGGGCCACGTTTTTTTCCCCAGCTTAGGGGACTTCTTGGCACAAGTACCTGATTATACTGCTGAGTGAAGTTGATGCTTGGTAACGGATTATTTGACGAAATAGAGGAATTCATTGTCAGCATTATATATATGGTCTTATCTGACAGCCACGGTTCATATCGATTTGTTCCATCTCTTTGTAATGGTTGACAGCACAATGTTGATATCTTGTACGACCAATCATGCCCATCGTGACCATGATGACATCCATACGACACCTACCCTATATGAAACTGACCGATTTCGAGGAGCTCCCATCATGTGATGCTCTACCGTTCCATTGCAGCTAAATGCAGGTACACAGCTTAGGATGACTGACGTGTTATCAACTGGGGGTTTTGGAAAGGCTATTGGCTCAAAATGATGATTGTGTGTGTGTAAGTTGACGTGTACTTCAAAGACCTGCATAATAGACATATTCATCAGATAAGGGTAAGACATGAAAGTGATCATATCATATATCAAATTTATTTGTATTTTGCCAATGCATTTCAGCACGGCAAGGTATCTTAAGTACTAAAACCTCTATAATCGCCATGTACTTTTCTCGATGCCCAGCATTGAAGCCTTGGTATCCTCCACTACGGTACCAATATAATTCAGGTACACTTCTTCTCACAAGGCCATTTAAGCAGCTACTCCCAATTAAAAAAGACAAAATAGTTAATCATCATCGTTACAATCCTAAAAAGTCAAGAATCTGTTGCTCACCCAAATTCTTCAGCACCTTGCGTCCCTGAATGCAGTCCGCCTCGTAACGGGCCAGGATGCCCGCCTCCACGATGCCCTCCTCGACCCAAGCCTGGACAGCAGGATGCTCATACAGCCGGTCAATGTACTCTCCCGCAGGCCCAGCCAGCTGGATGCCATACGTCTTGCACCGCGACGCAATCGGCGCGTAAAAGGCGTCCGCGGCGGAAAACTCCTTGCCGGCGATCCAGGGGCCGCCAAACTTACTGATGCCCTCGTTGAAGAGCTCCGTGAGCCGGTTGATGTCCCGCTGAAGGGCCTCGCTCGGGGTGCCCAGCTCGATCCGCAGGGCTACGTTCATGGAGCACTCGTTGCGGATGGCGGGGAAGCCTGAGTGCATCTCGGCCGCGGCACAGCGGGCAAAGGCTCGGGCGAGCTTGTCGCTGGGCCAGACGGCCGGGAAGTCCTCGGCGAGGTACTCTGCAATGGCGAGCGAGTCGTGGACGAGGGTCGTGTTGCTGTTGTCGACGAGGGTGGGCACCTTTGCTGAGGGCGAGAAGGTGAGATAGTCGCGGCGCTGTTCGGCCAGGTCCTCCTGGAGGAAGTGAAGCTTCTCTTCAAAGGGGATGTCGAGGGCCTTGAAGAGGACCCAAGGCCGCATCGACCATGAAGAGTAGCGCTTGTTGGCGATGTGGAGCGTGTAAGTCATCTCGAATGCTGGATGCTGGCGGTTTGGTCGTTGGTTGTCCGTGGTCGATGGTCCGTTGGTCCTCTGTTGTCGATTGCGCCCTTTCTATGACTTGTGGCTTTCCCTCAGGCTTTTTGATGTTGATCTCAAGACAGCGTTATATAGCTGATCCCCAGAAGGCAGTGACAAGCTGAGTGCTTTGTTGAATTACAAGCAATTGGACTCTCAGTCTCCGACTCAAGCTCCGAGTTTGATCAGAAAAACGCCTTAGATTTGACCTTTGACACTACTCCAATTTTCAAGCCACCAATACTTTTATCACTTGGCGCCCTGTGGCTTCCTTTCCAGCGACAAGCCCTGAGTCAACTTGTCTCTATTAGATGGACAAGCTTCTTCTCCACGGTCCGATCCGAGACCGATAGAAAGCGGTTCTCTGAGTCGCATTTCATTTCCTATTTGTGTTGCGAGAGCTTAACACATATTGGGACTGGGCTGAGATCGACTGTCGAGGGCCGCATTTGTAAGCAGTTCTTAGCCGAGGCGAGACGGCTTCATCTTTTCACGAGCATCGTCGTAGAGTCCATCTCCATCATATTAGTGCCTTTCAGCATTGAAGCGTAAATGGAGCTGCCAATCAAGCAAACGGGATCTCCTGAAGCTTCTGTGGCTAGATCTCGCCGGCTTCTTTTCATCTTTCTCTATACTCGTACACATTTTTGCATAGGCGCTTGATTGATCACCCGATAAACCTCGGACTTGAGCCGCCAGTCTCAAGGCGGCGGGCAATGCCCGATTGGTGGCGGCGAGATGCGGCGAGATGCGGCCTAGCAGCAGCACGAACCCACCGGCTTTCTTGTTAGACACGAGATGGGGTTGGGTCGAATTACCTAACTGGATAATGACAATGGCATCCCAGAGGGCGCCCTGCAGAAACCTGCCTCGAGTTCTGTGACTGACGGACTTGTTCCTCCGCCGATCCTCGGGCTGGTATTGTACCCTGCTTATACCCACTGCAATCGTCTCTCTTTGCAGCAGGATAGGAAAAGTTTTCAGTAGTTCGAAAAGCAGCACTGAGTAACAATAGACGGCAAATGACTGTGACCGATCCACATCGTGATTTAGCCGCGCCTTACCATCGACCATCGACCACCTTACCTTAGTAGGCATGTAGGTGATGCCTCTTGTGGAGGACTTTTTATGCAGTCGATCGTTGGAATTCAGATTCTCCTTGTAGATGGCCAGCCGCTTTTCCAGCAGTCAAGTTGCCATAAGCACTCTGTCTGGAGTTGAAAACTTTGACCTGTAACATTTCAGTATCACCACCGGCGATTTCCATCACGCAAGTATCCAACTTTTCCGGTTTAAAAATTGGACCAGCGGACGTGGAAGGCCGAACAACGGGGCCCACAGACTCTTGAGCCGTCTAGGTCCAACGCAATCGGATGTCGGCCGAATGACCGCAACTGTTTCCATCTGGATATATATGACTGACGCTGCTCCGTACCCCGGACGCCCTCTCTGCTTTACCACACTGCATTGCATTGAGCGCGCGTCTGGCTGTAATTTGAACTTGGCCTCCGTATCATGACTATAGTTGATTCTTGAAAGTGCTGTGAACACTTCACCTACCCGACCTAGAGTGCCATAAGTTGTATTCTGTGCCGCGGAGATTCGTTATTCTTTGCCAGGATCCTCACAGCGACATCGGCATCACTCTAATAACACCCAACGACTGTAAAGTCTCAAGCATCGACTGTGTACGAGTTACGCCCGTGGAATAGTAATTCGTTTTGCTCAACCAAAGGGAGAATATTCGACTCGACTCCCGGTTCCAATCTAGTGAACACCAACAAGCCGAAGAACCGAGGCATCTGTGCCATCATGGCACTTACACAACCAACGACAGGCCTAGGGTCTGCTGAAGCGTCTTCCACCGAGGGAGACGTTACTGAAGGAGACTTTACTTTAGAACCAAAAATCGAAACGCCTGGCCACAATGCTCAGGAAATGCCTGCTATTGAAGCACAGGCTACAGCTGATGCCACCTCAGAACCTCCGCCGGACGGGGGTCTCAAGGCGTGGCTTCAGATTGTTGCCGGACATCTCGTTGTCTTCAACACATGGGGCTACATCATCAGCTTCGGCATCTTCCAGCCATACTACATGGAGATGCTCAACCTTCCGGCCTCGGCCGTGTCTTGGATCGGGAGCATCCAGACCTGCCTACTATTTCTCATTGGCACCTTCTCTGGACGTGCCTTTGACGCTGGATACACCAGGACATTCCTAATTATAGGATTCATCATGCAGGTGGTGGGAATCTTCACGACGAGCGTTTCAACCACATACTGGCAGCTGTTCCTTGCGCAGGGGATTTGCCAGGGCTTGGGCTGTGGGCTTGTTTTTGCGCCGACGATTGCCAACATGTCGACGTATTTTTCCAAGAAGAAGATCCTGGCCTTGTCGGCGGCTGCTTGCGGCGGTGGAACTGGGGGCGTCGTCTTCCCCTTGATTGCGCAGCAGCTGATTCCCAAGGTCGGATTTCGCTGGACGGTCCGAGTCATGGGCTTTGTGGTTCTGGCTAGCAGCGTCATCATCGTTTCGCTCATGAGAACGAGGCTGCCGCCGCGAAAGGCTGGCCCTCTGGTTGACTGGTCTGCTTTCAAAGAGTTGACCTATGTCCTGTTTGCCATTAGCATGTTCATCACGCTTTGGGCGACGTATTTTGCATACTACTACGTGAGTCTTGTTCTGCCCTTTGTATTTCATATCACATGTTTCTGACAGCAATCATTAGGCACGCCCGTACTCAATAGATCGACTCGACGGATCTCAATCGACATCTTTCAATATGCTCATGATTATCAATGCTATTGGCATTCCAGGACGACTTGTACCGGCTTTCCTGGCTGACCGATACTTTGGAGCCGTCAACATGTTCATCCCCACGATCCTGGCCGCGGCGATTTGCATATTTGCTTGGGCGGGCGTCAATTCCATCACTGGAGATTACATCTGGGTCGTCTTCTTTGGCTTCTTCGGCGCCGGCATCCAGGGCATGTTTCCCGCGACAACAGCCGGGCTGACCAAGGACCTGAGCAAGGCTGGTGTGCGAATCGGCATGATATTCACCATCATCAGCGTTGCAGCGCTTACTGGGCCGCCGCTGGCTGGAAAGCTGGTTGCGGTGGCTAATGGAAGCTATATCGGAGCTCAGATCTGGGGAGGAGTTTGTCTCGTTGTTGGAGCATTATTTCTAATAGGCGCGAGTTGGGCGAGCCAGAGGGAGCTGAAAAAGAGCAAGGAGCAATCGATTTCTCAGGAGTGAAAAAAGCATGAAGGATTAAAAAAGAAAAAGAGATGCGTCAAAAGAAATAAAAGGAGGAAAGCATATATAGAGGATGGTTGTTTGTTTATGACTGCATATGGCTGCGATAACGTTATCATATCATAGATTCCCGCTATCGATACCGAAAGGGTCGAACTTAATCACTAATAGAGATTCAATACTTTCAATGACATCTTTCTGAACACCGTAACAAGGTGCTGGTTGTGATATTAAAATAAAAAAGCTTTTTACAGAGATGAATGAGCTGGTCTGATAGATTTATAACCCATCGGTAGCGTGTCAATTGATGTGCCGAATCTCTTGCAGTAAAATCGCCTGCTAAACTGCCCCGCCACATCTTCAACCCAAGAAAGAAAAATCTCAAGCTCACATCAAACACAATCTCTCTCGCCAAAACCGACAACTGCGGTCATGTCAGCAGCGCCATGGATCTGCCGCAGCTGCGCCAGAGCTCTGCGACGATCCCACCAGCTGCAGCTTGTCCGATTCTCTTCCAATGGTGCGCCATAGCCTTCCTTCTCTCTACGTCAAGCGATACCCTCAGCTGACAGCTTATGCGCCCAAGATGCTTCCAGTTCTCTGGCCCCGAGCCTCCTCCGCCGCGCTCAATCGCTATCTGAAGAGCATGATGATCTTCAAAAGAGCCTCAACAGCTCCTTTGACGCCACCAAGGCCAAGCGCGCGGGTGAATTGGGCCGTGTAGCCTCCGCCCTACGAGCATGGGAGACGGCCCAGTCGTCGATTACAGAACTTGTCTCAATGACAGAGGACCCAGACCAGGACCCAGATCTTGCATCTATCGCCAAAGACGAGCTGGAAGGAGAGCGCGCGAAGCTGGACATGCTGGAGAAGAGACTCAAGGAAAGTCTTACGCCGAGACACGCCTTTGCCGATTTACCATGCATGGTTGAGTTTCGACCCGGGCCGGGAGGTCTTGAGGGCAGGTACTTCACCGACACGCTATTCAAGATGTACAAGGCGCTGTGCGCACGGCGAGGCTACAGGGCCAACGTGCTCAAGTACGAAATGGCCGAGGCCGCAGGCGATCAGTCCTCGTCCTCCGGCGAACAGCCCGTCCAGGAAGCCGTCCTCGAAATCCAAGACCAGGGCGCCTACGACATCTTCCGGGGAGAAGCTGGCATGCACCGCGTGCAGCGCATCCCCAGCACAGAGAGTAAAGGCCGAGTGCACACGAGTGCTGTGGCCGTTTGGGTTCTGCCGTCGTTTCCAGAAGGCGGCAGCGGCGCGGACAATGTCGATGTCGACGACCCGGAGAGCGACTTTTACGTCAATCCTCAGGACGTCAAGATTGAGACGATGCGAGCCCGGGGAGCTGGTGGACAGCACGTCAACAAGACTGAGTCTGCCATTCGCATGACACACATCCCTACTGGCACCGTGGTCTCCATGCAGGACCACCGTTCGCAGCAGCGCAACCGCGAGGACGCGTGGAAAGTGCTTCGTTCCCGTATTGCCAGCCAGCGTGCCGAACAGCGCGAAGAGGAGGCATCCAAGCTTCGAAGCAGCGTCTTGTCACAGGCCCAGATCACGCGGGGCGACAAGATTCGCACGTATAATTACAACCAAGACAGATGTACGGACCATAGAGCCGGGATGGATGTGCATAATTTGCCGGATGTGCTTGAGGGAGGAGAGACGCTGGATAAAGTGATGGAGGCGGCGAGGGAGTGGCTGGTGGGCAAGGAGGTTGAAATGCTGGTCCTGGAGGAAGAGGCCAAGGCGAAGAAGTGAAAGGACAGTTTTTGTAAGAATGCATGTGTACGATGAGAAGAAGATTGGGCAAGTCTCCCGTTTTATGATATAGATCATTGTATGATGTACGATATATATGTGTATATACCTACCTATGTATATGAATGTAAACTTGGGTATGCATTACCAGAGAGAAACGATGAAGAATACACTCTTTGTAGGAATGAAACGCATCATCATACATGGATGCATAACAGGCTTCTTTCTGGCCATTTTCTGGCCGTGTTAATTGCATCAACTATTCCGCATAGCTGTCTATCCGCCGAAACTCCAAATAATTCACAACTCAGCCGCTTCCAAATTCACCGTAATATGTCAATCCAATATAACCAATTATGACCCCCATTCGGGCCTGGTATAGCCGCCGTGATTCCAGCACCGCATAATTCCATGGGGAAACAAAAAGAAAAAAAATAGGAAAAGAAAAAAAAGTAGCCTGCGCTCGTATGTATGCCTCACATTAACCCTCCCAAAACGACTTTGCCCAAGCCTGCCACTTCGGACCTTGCGTGCGATCTGCTGTGGTCTTCAAAATCCTTGACCACGCCCTGTACGATGATTTTACGGATTTTCGAATCCGCCTTGGTGAAGAGCTCGGCAATGGGGGCTGAGCACTCTCTGGGCGACGGCACCAGCGCCAGAAAGCGCGTGTAGCAGTCAATGAGCACATCGCACAGCGTCGCAAACGTCTCGAAGAAGTCGGGATCGAACGGCAATGACGGCGTTAGTAGATATGTGTATTCCTCGCCAGGAAGCAAGTCGGACTCGGAGGCCGCAAAGTTCATAACAGCAGGCGCCGGACCGGCATTATTGGAGCCACCGGCGGGTGAGTGATGGCCAGAGGCCGATGAATCGTCAATGGTGACGTCTGCGGACGTAGAGCGGCGGGTTTTCGTGCCGGGACGGCGAAACATGTTGGGGATGCGGGCGCGGGTCAGGGCGGCGGTGGAGGAGTCGCCGTGGAGCTGCTGGAAGGAGTCGAACTCGGCGAGGAGGGCGTTGAGGCAGCGGAGGAACTCGAGGGGCGTGGAGGAGTAGAGGTCGTGGATGGTGGGGATGGAGAGGCCGAGGAGCAGGTAGTTGGTGGCCTTGCGGGAGAGCTTGCGGGGGTCGAAGCTGGGCATGCGGGAGAGGTCGGGCTTATCGAAGAGGTATGTGTTGAACCAGTAGACGCGGCCTTCGTGGCTGTTTGACGATGATGATGGGTCAGTTCAGGTGTCTCATTGTAGTTGAAGTTGAAGAATGACTTACGCCTTTCGCAGGTAGTCCAGCGTTGACACCCGCTTCTGTGCCGTCTCCGTGATCTGCTGGTGAAGCACATGAGCCTCGCCCTGCGCCAGCGCCCACATGGTGCTGCTCATGCCTGGACGCGCCTCGACCGGCGTTGCTGGAGGAGGAACCATGGCAGCGACTGTGGCGGCTCGCGAGATCATGGATGGTTCGGGGGGGCTAAACGGCACCCGAGGCCCTTCGATGGCGTCTCTCCGGCTGTCCTTTTCCTGGTCCCTCTCCTTTTCCCTCTCCTTTTCTTTTTCTTTTTCCTTGTCTTTTATGACACCGTCCTTGCTCACAATCTTGGCCGCAGCGGCGAGTGCCTGGGCGAGGTCGGGAACAGCAGGCGTCCCAGTGTCTGTGTTGGCGGCGTTGTTGGCAGCGTTGGCAGCGTTGCGTCGTCGAGAGCCGGGCAGCGAGGCCTTGAGCGAGGAGAAGGACGCCTTGCGCTCCTTGCTGCTGCTGCGGACGGCGGACAGCGACGACGAGGAGTTGTCGGGAGGGCCACGATCACGGTCACGATCACGGCCACGATCCTTGTCCTTGTCTCGGTCACGATCTCGGTGATCTCGGTCGCGGGTGGATGGTCGCGGCAGGTTGAGCGACGCTGGACTGAAGAGGGCGCCCGAGGTGGCGCTTGAAGGCGCCATGGCCGTTGCTCTGCTTTTATTGGATTGGCACTATTGGGGTCTTGGGTCGTGGGGGCTTTTCGCCTTGCAACGTTTTTGCGCGCTCGGGATCGAGGCGATAAGCGGCGCTTAATTTTGTCTTGCGTTAGCGAGTTGTGCTACTCCGTTTCTCGTGGCAAAGTAATAATTGGAAATTCATGCAAAATGTCGTAAAAGGCAGGGCGGATGGGAGATGACAGATGATAGATGACACGACACGACACGAGGCCGTATTGAATCATGGCATGGCATTGAAGCAGGGAGGTGGAATGGAGAAGAACAAAATAAACAAACAATCAGCGAAAACAAACACAGGGCAACCTACGAGAGTCGCTCTCTTTTTCTCCCTTGTCGTTTTCTCTTCGTTTTCTCTCAAGTTTCTTTTTCGTATCCGGGGGTCAGCTCATGGCGGTGGATTTTGCTTCGACTCGATATGCGATGGATGGATGCGATGCGATGAGATGTACGAGTGATTATTATTGCAATTTGGCGGTAAAGGAGAGAGACGTCGGTGCTTTCGACTTTAACTGCAGGGCATGCAGCTTTTGCAGACCCCAGAGTCGTATTGCCTGTTGCTTTTGGTATTTGGCCAGGCTGTGATGCAACGCGATGCAGTCACGGCGCATTTAGGGAAAAGCGTTATTCCGAACTTGATCCCGAAATCCTTATCTCTCTCTGTTCTTGCAATTCTTACAATTGAATTGAGCTCAATTGATACTGTAGAAATACTAGCAATAATGGCGTGACGCTGAATGGAGAAAGGGGACGGGATTAAAATCTTAAAATCACATGGGTTTCACGTTGGCGGAGACTGGGCAGAACTTGTAAGTGCAGTAAACAATGTCAATCTCAAGGGTATCAACAGCATCACCAACCCATCACATTAATAGATGCATGTACAGGTAGGTACAGGTATATAGATATAAAAAACATTTCAACAAGGTACTCATTCATTTCATTTATATCATCAGTTACACGGCCTTGTCGGGGGTAACTTCCTCACGCTCAACGTGCTCTAGCTCAACGCCCTTGTTGAGCACATGCTCCACGTCCGCCTGTCGCTGGTCCTCACTGATGAGGCCAAACAGAATGTCCATGTCCTCGAGAGTGCGGCCCTTGGTCTCCTTGATAAAGAGAACAACAAACGCCAACATGCCGCAGCAGAAGCAGCCAAACATGATGAATGTGCGCCAGCCGATGTGGTTGACGGCAGCGGGCGTGATTTCCGTAATGACGAAGTTGAACAGCCACTGCGTGGAGGCGGCGAGACCGACACCGTACTCACGGAGACGTGTAGGGAAAATCTAACAGGTTTAGTGTTGGTTAGCATACGAGGACATAATGTATTTGGTGTTGACGATGATGGACACATGTATAGGGAATCTCTTACCTCAGAGACATAGACCCATGGGGTTGGGCCCCAGGAAAAGGAGTATCCGATCACGTAGAGATAGATCATGACAACCATGGCAATGGACGCCGACGAAACCGTGCTGCTCTTGGGGTCAGGCGGATGCGTCGCGAGAACGGCACCAATGATGAACATCATGGTGGCCATCCAGATGGCACCGCCAATCAGACTCCTCTTACGACCCCATTTATCGATGCCGATGAACAGGAAGATGGCCGTGGCAACAACCTTGACGGTGCCGTAGACACCAGTTGCAAACAGCGACGAGTTTGTGCTGCTGACGCCGACCGTCTCGAAGATCTCGGGAGCGTAGTATCCAATGCTGTTGGTTCCGGAGAACTGCTGCCAGAACATGATGCCAAAGGCCAGCGCGAAGCGGTTCCAGTTTCCCTTTTTCAACGTCTCCTTCCAGGTGACGCCTTCGGTAAGGGCCATCTCTTCCTCGATGGAGGCTCGAATCTCAGCCATTTCCTTCTGCACCTCGATGTTGTCTGCAGCCTCGTTGCGGATGTAGGCCAGAGACCGCAGGGCCTCTTCATGGCGTTGCTTCTTCATCAGCCATCGCGGCGACTCCTTGAGGAAGAAGAGGCCGCACAGCATGAGGCCGCCCGGCACAAGCTGGAGGCCGACGGGGACGCGCCACTGCTTGGTGCTCTGCTTGATGTGCAGAGAAACACCATAGTCGAGCCAGTAGGCAAAGGTGCTTCCGATGACGAGAAACTCCTGGAACAGACCGGCGACACGACCACGGATGGCGGGCGGGCAGTTCTCACTAACAAAGACGGGCGTGATGGCGGACATGCCGCCGATGCCGAAGCCAGCAATGACACGGCCGCCGTAGATCTGGCCAATGGTGTGGCTCGCGCTCGTCTGGACGGCCGCGCCAACGAGGAAGATGACGGTGAAGAGCATGAGCGAGTAGCGTCGGCCGAAGCGTTCGTTGAGGAAAGCGGCCGTGATGGCGCCGAAGAAGCAGCCGGCCGTGAGCAGGGACACGACGTTGGAGGATACATGGGCGTTTTCGGCCGACGCGAAGCCGCTCGAGTCTGTGGGCAGGCCAAAGTCTGATTTGAAGCTCTTGAGCGCGAGCACGCTGCCCATGACACCCGTATCATAGCCTGGGAGAGAGAGAGAGGAGATGTTAGTATATGCGCATTATATGGCTCTCGGTTTCGTTGGCCGTGAAGAACTGGAACATGGTGATGAAGGACGGAAACAAGAGAGTATTAATAGCTCTAGTACATGTAGTTTGTTTCCAAGCGTTGTGAAGAGACAGAGAAAAGAGAGAAAGAGGGATACACACCAAAGAGCAGTGAGCCCAGGTAGGCCACCGACGTGAGGATATACACGCGATAATTCTTAAAGAACTTCATGTTGGCGACTTTTACTTCCAGTCCCAACCACGGAAGATGCCAACTACTGTACGACAAACAGACATCAACTGGAGGAGGGTCTCATGCCCTTGATATATGAACGAGAACTCTCTCTTTTACCCAATTCATCCTCACCTCCCATCCGCAAGTGAGCAACAAACAACGTTAAACAAGCCGATCATCCATATTGCGGTGCGCTAACGCCCGTAGCTGTGCGTCGGTTGGCGGGATAAAGGTGGATAGACCTCGAACAGG